TTAGTTATCCTTAGTAGAGTATATTATTAATATTATCTAACTAAATTCCTAGTATATCTATATTCTTAATAGAAAGTAGGAATAGTATAGTAGTTAGTAATACTTAGAATATAATTACTCTAAGTACTATAAGTACTATAATCTTATTAATAAAGGTTATAAAGCTAATACTAAAATATACTATTATAGTAAAGGCTAATTCTATAACCTAAAGGCCTAGAATTAGTTTTATTAATACCTTTATTTATACTATACTAGTATTAAAAGTATTAATAATATTTATATTAAGAAAGATCCTTTTAAAAATATCTTTTATATACTATTCTTTATAGCTAAAGATACTAAAAATACTTTAGAATAGATTTTTAATATAAATAGTATATTTAATAAAGGTATTAATAAGGAAATATATAATCTTTTTAAGGAATTAGTCCTTTACTATAATAAAAGCTTTAATAACTCTTAAGAAGAATACTTATATATTCTCTTATTTATTTACTAAAGAGTTATCTTTATTAAAAAATAAAGTAATAATATAAGTATTAACTTTATTCTAAACTAATAATATCTCTTCTAAAGTTCCCTTAAAGGCTACTAGGAAAGCCTAGTATTTTTTATTATTTAAAGGTTTTTAGTAGATCTTATAAGTATTCTAAGTATTATAAGTACTTTTCTATTCTTTTTTAATATAGTTTATTAACTAGTAGCCTTTTTTTTAATATATAAAATAATACTTTAAGGTATTATTTAAGTTACTAGGTTATTTCTTTAGAAGGATTTAGGTACTATAAAATTACCTATTAATATAGAAGTTCTAATACTTTAGATAAGTTTACTTATATATATAAATTAATTATTAAAATACTAAAATTAAATCTTTATAGTATTCTAGGGGCTATATAAGGGCTATAGTATAGGCTTTATTACTATATATAATACTCTTTAATATATTCTAAGTCTTAGTAAGTATAGTTATACCTTTTAGTATAAAAAATAGTCTTTAATATAAAACCTAGATCTTATTAACTAGTAACTTAAGGTAGTTAATAGTAAACTTTATAAGGTATTTCTTTATTAGCTTATCTAATAAAAGGTATCTTTATTTATCTATATAAAGATTCTAGGTTAATAAGGACTTAAATTAGTTATAAACTACCTTAGTTATTTTACTATAAGTTATTTAGTAATTTATAATTACCTAGATATAGTACTTTAAGGCTTTTCTAGTAAGTATTAGTAAAAATATATATAGTAAGGCTTTTTCTAAAAGCTAGGCTTAATTATAATAGTTAATAAAGTTATATATCTAGGTATAAAAAAAGTTATACCTCTTTTTACTATACTTATTAGCCTTTTAATACCCTTTAATAATATTATTAATTTACTTTAATATATTTAGGTTTATTATAAGTAGCCTAAGGGGTTTATTTTTAAACTATTTATACCTTTTATTATTAAAGTAGTATAATAATAATAAAGATAATAATAATAGTTCTAAGGGTAATAATAATACTCTTTATTAATATAATAGCTATAGTAATCCTTATAATAGCTATAGTAGGGGTATAGGTAGTCTTAATAGGGGTAGTAGTAATACTTTATATTTAGGAAGTTATTAGGTAGCCTACCTCTTATAATACTAATAAGTAAAGTTTCTTTAATATAGTTATAATATAGAAGGCTAAATATATTTATTATAACTAGAGTTCTATAAGGTATTAAGTAATATAAAGGTATTAAGTACTAGAAAAAGTCTAGTTATATAAGGGTCCTAATAAATCCTTATAGGTTTAAGTAGGGTATTTTCTATATTATATAGATCTTCCTTTAGTATTTCTTAAAGTAGTTCTAGTAGTAGTATATACTAAGGTACTAATACCTAGGCTATTTAAAGTAAGTTATTATTATTTAAATAGAAAAAGCTATAAATATCTTTCCTTTTATTATTAACTAGCTTTAAAGGTTTATTAGCTAAGAAAGAATTAAATAATAGCTTCTTTATAAATCTTAATTTAATAGTAAATAGTTTTATTAAAAGCTAGTTAAACTATATTAAAAAAGGTCTTTTTTTTAAAGAAAGAAAAAGGTAATTACTTTTATAGCTAATATATTTATTAAAAATAGTCTTCTAAATAGTTTTAATAATTTACTATTCTTTATTAATATATAGAATAACTTTAATACTATTAAGATAGTCTTTAAACTTATAAAAGACTTCTTTATTAACTATTTTCTAATTAGCTTTAATCTAGTAAGTAAAATCCTTATAAAGGTACTTTTAAAAGTAGCTATTAAATTATTTATAGTAGGTATTATATATAAAGATATAAAAAATAATTACTATAATAGTCTATTAATTAAGGTTAATAGCTTCTTTAATACTTTAAGTAAAAGAGTATAGTTAGAATAATTTCTAGTTAGCTAGAAGAAGATAGGTAAAATAGGTAAGGCTTTTAAGTACCTTATTAAGGATTATAGCTAATAAGTAGCTTAAAATCTTAAAAGTTATTATATAAAACTATACTAAAGACTTAATTAAAGGTTTTTTATTAGTTAAGTTACTAGGTATATTAGGTAATATACTAGGCTTTCTAGTAGTTATATTAGATATTATAATTAATAGAATAGATAGTTTTAAAAGGTTATAAGGCTATAAAGGTATAAAGGGAATAAGTATTCTATTAGAAATCTATAATTAAGGTAAAGGTAATTACTAATTAGTATTAAGATTACTATTCTAAATAAGTAATAGTTATAAGATTATAAGTATAGAGTACTTATAAAGGTACTTTATAAGAATAGTTATATAATAATAATTCTTAATTAACTAATAAAATAAACTATAAAAAGGAGAGGCTATAGTTAAATATATAAATAGGTAATACCTTAAGTACTACTAAGAAATTATAAGAATAAAAGAATAATTAGTAGTTATATATATTAATAGTTAATAGCTTATAAGTAGTTACTTTACTTACCTATAGGAGATAATAATACCTTTATAGTAATTTAGCTTTATTAGCTTAATTACTTACTATAATAGCCCCTATAGTACCTTATATTAGGGCTATAGGTATTAAGACTTCTTTATATACTATTATATAATATAACTACTATATATATATACTATATAGTATAACTAGCTACTATATATAACTATGTATAGTATAAATCTATTTACTATATACCTCTATATATAGTATATCTTACTAAACATCTGCTATACTTAGCTAACTATATCTACTATAGTGCCTGCTAGTATAACAATAGGTTTAAAAGAAGTATAGAAATATAAATAAAGTAATTAAAAGTAAAAAGTAAAGATAGGTATAAAAGTATATAAAAGTAGGAAAATAGTAAGGCTATCTTAACTAGTTTTAAGTTAAATAAGGCTTTATAAAAAGTAAAGTTCTTACCTATTTAGTATAAATAATATAGAAAATAAACTATAAAAACTAAAAAGAAGAATAATAAAGTTAAGTATTATAGCCTTTTATAGCTATTATTATACTTACTTATACTTTAAAGTATTTAAGGATTAGGACTTAAAAAGGACCTTAACTATATATAGTATTTAGCCTAGGCTAGAATAGAATTATAAAGAGTAAAGGTTAAGTAAAAAATAAGTAGGTCTATTAGCTTACTAAGTTTTATATATTTATACTTATTATTATTATCTTTTACTAAAATAAGAAGTATATTACTCCTTATTAAGAATTACTTTAGAATTATACTAAACCTATATTAAAGCTAGGGTTTTTCCTTTAAGTACTTTAGTTTTTTCCTTATTTTATAAGCTATAAAGATACTAGATAGACTAGCTAGTTAATTAGTATAATATAATAATAATAATATATAGAAGAGGCTAGTTTTTACCTAGGCAGCCTTAGGTCTATACTTAGTATAGTAAGGTACTAGTATAACTTACTACTATAGTTTTTCTAATACTTATAAGTTTATTAAGGTATTAAAAGGACTATAAGGTTTAATTAGGGTAATTTAATAAATAAATAAATAATAACTATAAACTTTAAATATATATAAAAAAGTAAAGCCTTTATTAATTTAGAATTAAAAAAAGATAAATAAAGATATAGTTATTATTAAGATAATAGCCTAACTTTAACTTTTAATTAAAATAATACTTTATAACCTTTTTAAAATTAAAATAATATATAAATAGTTAATAATAGCTATTTAAAATATAGTTTAATTAGCTATTTTTATTATAATACTAATATAGTTATAATAATTATTATAATAAAATTAGAATATAATAAATACTATTAATAATATAAAAAAAGTATAATAAATAGTATAATATATAAAGATATTAGTAAATTAAGAATATATAGTTAAAGTAAAGATAGTTTAAATTAAGACCTTATATAAGACTAGGCTATAAAACTAGAAAAAGTACTTTAATTTCTTAAAGAATATATTTAGGCTTTAAAGGCATTTTTACTAGGTAAAAGAATATATAGTTAAATATACTTTTAATATAATCTTAATTCTATTTAGGCTATATAGTAAAATAGCTATTATATAAAAAGAGAAAGCTAATATACTTAGCTAAAAGTTCTTTTTAAATATTATACTATTTAACTAAAAATAGCCTAAGTTTATAATAAAGTTATTAAAAGTAAGTTAGAATATAATTAAGATCTTTAAGTTAATTATAAAGAAAAAGGTTATAATAATACTTAAGAGTTATATAATTAAAATACCTTAAGGCTAAATATGGTTCTTTAAATTTCCAGCCTTATCTACTAGGTTCCGCTCCTCACCCCTGATGGAATGAACACCTAACTACCTAGGTACCTAGGCAGTCACCTGCCCCCGCTGCTACATTCGCATCCTCACAACATTCGGTACCTTGTTAATCGTTATTGCCTAGCACGATCGCGACACACATCTCAAAAGCGCGCGACTCATCGCGTAGAGTACCTGCGACTGGAACTGCCGCGACTACAGGAGAATACGACATACCAATTGAGCATATGGAGTCCAACAATCAGCCTTCAGATACGTCGCTGCCCGAGCTTGTCGTCGACAACTCAAGCACAAGCAACGGGGAACGTCCTACGAAGCGCCATTCCTCAGTGATGGAGCCCTATATGCTTTCACCAGATAGCGCTTTGCTCTCCAAGCACACGATGGCGAATAATACAGCAGACCACCTCAGTGGCCAATCGACGCCGACCAACCCGTTCAACTTTCAAACCCAGGTGATATCCACCTCACCAATTAAATCAGTAGGACCCCCTCCCCCCAGCATTTTCTGAGCGGAACATGCAATAGCTGACATTTCTGAAGCAGAACATCGGCCAGCGGCGAGGCCATAGATATAAACACAGTAGTGTTTCGACGCAGCACCAAATATTCCAAGAGCCCCCCCAGCGACCACCACCAGTTCTCCCGGCATCTCTGCCAATCCCAACCGTGAAAGAGGCATGGAAGAGTATGAATAAAGACCAAAGACTGCGTCTCTACTGGAGTCTGTCACATCTTGCTATTGCCGTGTTCATTTTTTTCAGATCTGAGGGCTCGCTTTCTGCTACCGCACTGTCGCATCTTGTCTTCTTCGACGCCGGAAGTGCGGCAATTTGTGTGGCTGTTGATGTACTAGGAAACTTTGAGGTGTGGCGGCGCAGCAGCATTCGTCATCCCTTCGGCTTAGAAAGAGCTGAAGTTTTGGCTGGTTTTGCCATGTCCATCTTCCTTCTCTTCGGCGGATTTGATCTTGTTTCGCACAACCTTAAACATCTTCTCGAATCCGTGGGCCACCATGAACCGCATCACGAGCATTCGCATGAGGAAGTTCCAGCAGGGTCTCTTGACCTTGCTTCCGCAGCGGCTATCATCAGCACGCTGGCATCTGCATACGGCCTGAAAAATCACGCCCGTATTGCCAAGGCCATGAGAGTATCCTACCTCGCGTCTTTGCCAAGTATTCTATCCAACCCATTCCATTTCCTCACTTTGTTATTCTCCACATTGGTCGCATTGCTGCCGCTTTTCTCCATCGAACTCTACACCTGGTTGGATAGGTTGATCTGTGCCATCATCGCGCTTGCCATGTTTGGGCTTGGAATGCGGGTTGCTATCGCGCAAGGCCTCATGCTGCTCATGTCATATGGTGGCACGAATGGCGATGCTGGAGTGTCTTCAGTCATCCAAGACATCCAATCTGAATCCAATATAACCAGCATTGATGAAGCGCAATTTTGGCAAGTTCATTACGGACTCTGTATGGCCAACTTGAAAATTAGCGTACAGAAGGGTAGTGATGAAGTGGCTCTCAGCAGATTACGCAACAGAATCACTTCGTTGATACAAAATCGCCTGGGAGAAGGTTACGGCACAGGCGGTAATGTTCGGTGGGAAGTATCATTGCAACTCAATGCAAGGGGTGCTTCGTAGTTTCGTACGACAGAAGAGCTCGCCCCTCGCTCGCAAGATGTATTGTGCAACGAGAACAATGCGAGGATTGGTATATACTTGAATTAGAATCATTAGAGGCGGGCATCTCTATCCTCATATGCATTTCTGTGTTTAAAAGATGTACCCGTAGTCTTTATAGCACAACGGGTTGTAACATTCGGCCTGCCGTCATTGTTGTGCACAGATCTACCAGCCGAAGAGATAGAAAACGAATGAGAACAAACTCCTATCGCACACGCTCCCGATCTTAGAATAGGCCCCACCTGCCGCGCTCTTTAGGGAGCTTACGGTTGGATGCGAGGCGCTCTCGTTCGAGGCCTTCCAACTGTTTCAAGCTCTCCATCTTCTCGAGAACGAGCTCTAGTAGCTCCTTTCTGCGAATAACCTCCAGATGACGTCGAATTTTCGGATCTTCCTTGGCAAATCTCTCAATATCGGCGTCTGACAGATGCTTGCCTAAGCGAAGATCGAGTTCCCTAGGAAAGTTGTAGTAAAATTCCGACAGTAATTCGACATTTAAAAACAGAACAGCGGTAGAGGCAAGTTTGGATGCTGCAGCGTCGAGAAAAACTTCTGGGCATTGGTACTTGTTCTTCAGGTTAGCGCATTGGTTCGATTTTACAGCCATAAGACGCAGCTTGATGATGTCGGCTCGGTCACGAAGGAAGACGGCTTCACGTCCTTGTACCAATTAGCTTCGCTCTGCACCAGTACAGCTCCTTGATAATAGTCACCTTTGCTAAGCAATGCAGCGCTGAAGCCGCCAGCGCCACTGCGTCCATCACCTTCCACGACAACGTCACCCTTGCGGGTCTTGTCAACAAATGAGACGACTTCCCTCAGTTTGCGACGTCCACCGACCGAAGTCTCAAGAGTTGACATCGCGGTTTCACAGTCATCCAGCTCTTTCTTCAAGAGAGTGCTGACATGCTGTCTGCCTTGAGCCCACTCGCGCTCCTCGACATCAATTTCAAATTTATACGGCTTAATACAATTTTCAACTTGATCGCTGGTGCTGTAGAAACGCTCATTCAAAATTGTTGATGCAGCGTCCATAACTGCACTCCTTGCGAACGGGTGATTGGAAAAGCTGGATTGATCCAGAAGCGCTTCGACGCTGTCTTGAATAGCTGCGGCAACGACAGTGGTTGCCAATCTTCCAACACCAAGTTTTGTTAATGCAGAAGAAGAGGCGTCCAACTGACGACGCCAATAAAGCGAGTCAGTGTCAGTCTTGGGCAGATCCGCTATCTTGTCTGTTTCGAGGGGTGGAGGCAGCAGGTCTGTGATGGGTTTATTCCAGTACCTGGCTGCGAGCAGATCAAGCACTTTCTGATCCAGCTCGCCCTTTAGGAGCTCACGCATCTGTGGACGACCGAATTCACCCGTCAGTTGCTTGAATGAATGCTTCAAAGCATCCAAACTCTCCGCTAGGTATGATTCTGCGGAGAGTGGGCGATCATTATATTGCACCTTGAATTCATAGGTGGCTTCCTCAAGCTCCTGGCGGATAGCGTCACTTGTGGTCTGTAAGCTGGCAGACATGGTTTGCTCTAGCACGTGCATGAGCTTCTTCCGAAGGGTTACTGTCCCGACACTCACTCCGGCTTCTGGACCGTATTCCAGCGGGTGAGTTGAGAAAAAGGATTTCTCATTCTTCGTAATGGCGGCCAGGAGATTGGACGCTCCCATTTTGAATAGGCCCTGGGACTGAGGTGCCCTTGAGACCACACCGACATAGCCAAGGCGGAGTGGATATTGCTTATCATTCAGAATCGCTGCTCCGCGTACAGCATCCACGAGATCCATCTTGGTTATTACCCCGATGGTTCGTTCACCACGCGGATCGACTCGTCGCGAAGCGCGCAAAGCAGTAGAGTTGGCTAGATCAACATCTGCGGCAGAGATCGCGAGAATCACGTTGGGTGCCTGTATATACTTGTCGCAAAGTTCAGAGATTTTCTGCTTCAGCTGCAGCGGCTGGTTTTGACCAACAACTTGAATATAGCCAGGCAAGTCAATCAGAGATAGATCCGGGACATTTGGTGAGTAGACAGTGAGTTGAATGGGTTCGTGAGAAACGCATTCGGAATCGGGAACGGCCAGGTTGAGGTCTGTAAGAGTTCTTTGGATCGAAGTAAAATCACTGATGTGCTTTAGGCCGAGCTCCGGAAACTCTCCATATTCCTCCGTGGAGCCTGGCGTGTTGACGAGAGTCAGTTCAATGGGTCTGCGTGTTACCATGTTCGAGCCTTTAGGCAGAAACTCGTGGCCAACGATTGCCTCCAGTACCGAGCTCTTGCCTGAAGATTGAGACCCGATGACAACAATCGATGGAAGCGTAAGTGTGCTCGACTGCCCAACTTTTTGAAGTATCGTCCGAATCTCAATCATCTTCTTCGTAAGAACCATCATTTGGTCATCCCTCGCATCCTCTTCGCTTGTGTTCGCGTCGTCTTCTCTCTCGTATCCATAACCAGCTGCAGCAGCTCCAACAGCGGTAGCCGCTCCAATTTTGCTGTGCTTTGGATCGTTACTACTGTTGCCGCCGCCACCGCCACTTGTAGTTTCTTGAGAAGCTTGAACAAGGTTTCTTAGCCATTCTGGAAGCCCGATTTGCTCCTTCGTATTCTCCCAACCCTGAAGTGTTTGCTCGGCAACTCCCTTGGCGCCGCCGAGAAAATTCGAAGCCGTGTTCGTGACTGCGTCTTTCGTAGAATGGAAGATATCAATGGCATAAGCGCCAGCCTCTGTATTAAGTTAGGACATCGCTCACGGATTGTATTGCAAGGCGTGACGTACGATTTGCCTGATACTGCACCCATGCAAAGGTTCCTATTGCTAGGCCACCGAACATTGCAGGGAGCCGTATAAATTTCAACATCAACTTCGGTAAGAATCGAACAAAAGAGGCGTTTCTGACGGCAACTGCATTATGAAAGGCGTTACCGCCGAGCCACATACGTCGCTGGGTTGCCCGAATCGAGCTATCCGCCTGCAGAAGGCCGCCGGTCTGGAAACGATGGATGTAACGGGTTGAAGTAACTGCGTTCGCGCGCCGCGAAACAGCGCGAAGCCGGCCTGCCAACATTTGCCCGCTCATCGTAGAAAAAAAAAGATAGGGGAATTATCAATCCGCGCGCATATGATCTTACATACGGCCTTAGAGGCTGAGCGTTAGATCCCTATCGTGGTACTTCATTGACGATGTTGACGAGTTATTCACTGGGCCTTTGGTGACTTGTTTCGGCAAAGAATACAGGGCGCGCCACATGGCGTCGGGTCGAGCCCACTATCCCAGGCAGACAAATGCCCCACAGCGACGCTATCACCACGTGAGAGCCTATCTATACTATCGATTCCCTTTCCTAGCAAAATTTCTAGTGAGAACCTGGAAAAAGCTGCCCTCGAAACATAAGGTAGGATCGTCGCCGCTGCAATGGCGATTCAAAAGAAGCACGGCAAAGGCCGTTTGGACAAGTGGTATAAGCTTGCTAAAGAAAAAGGCTATAGAGCAAGAGCTTCTTTCAAACTCGTGCAATTGAACAAGAAATATGGCTTCTTGGAAAAGAGCAAGGTCCTACTGGATCTTTGCGCTGCGCCCGGAGTAAGTGCTACATATGGTTGTCTCTCGGCGTGCTGTCCTCCATACTAATTTTTCCTTTTTTCTTTAGTCTTGGTGTCAAGTTGCTTCCGAAGTTATGCCTGTCAACAGTCTGATTGTTGGTGTTGATCTATCACCTATAAAACCAATACCGAGAGTTATCACGTTTCAGAGCGACATCACGACCGAGAAATGCCGAGCCACGATTCGGCAGCACTTGAAAACATGGAAAGCCGACACTGTTCTTCACGATGGTGCGCCCAATGTCGGTACTGCATGGGTGCAGGATTCGTTCAACCAGGCAGAACTTGCGTTGCAAGCCATGAAGCTCGCAACGGAATTCTTGGTTGAGGGCGGTACTTTTGTCACGAAAGTTTTCCGGTCGAAAGACTATAATCCGTTGTTGTGGGTTTTGAACCAACTCTTTACCTATGTCGAAGCGACGAAGCCGCCGTCCTCTCGCAACGTCTCCGCCGAAATCTTCGTTGTTTGCAGAGGTTATAAGGCCCCGAAGCGCATTGATCCTCGTCTCTTGGATCCTCGATCGGTATTCGCTGAATTGGCTGGTGCCACGCCCAACAACGAAGCCAAGGTCTATAATCCTGAAGTGAAGAAGAGAAAGCGAGACGGATACGACGAAGGCGACTATACCTTGTACAAGCAAGTACCTGCCAGTGAATTTATACAGACCATGGACCCGATTGCGATCTTGGGAAGCTCCAACAAACTCACATTTCAACAGCCTCCAAATGGAGACGTTGCGTTGGCTGCCTTGGACAAGCTTCCGGAGACAACACCAGAAATCCGGACCTGTTGCTCTGACTTGAAGATTCTGGGACGCAGAGACTTCAAGCTCCTCCTGAAATGGAGATTGAGAGTTCGAGAAATATTCGGCCTGGCTACGAAGGAGAAAGCGGTAGCTGCAGCATCAGAAGAAGTTGCCGAGGTTGAGGAAATGGACGAAGAGCTCAAAATCGAGGAAGAGCTACAAGCCATGCGAGATCGAGATGGTTCTAAGAAGAAGAGGGAAAAGAGGAGAGAAAATGAGAAGAAGCAGAAGGAAATTGTTCGCATGCAGATGAACATGATCAGCCCGATGGACATTGGCATGGAAGAAGCAGGCCCGGTTGGAGAAGGCTCGATGTTTACGCTGAAATCCGCGGATAAGACTGAAGCCATGCGTCGACTGAATCGTGGAAAGATGGCAACAATATCGGATGCCAAGCCTGTGCTCGAGCAGGGTCCTGATAGCAATGACGACGAGAGTGATTTAGAGGAAGACCGACTTGAACGAGACTTGGATTCTATGTATGAAAATTTCAAGGAGCGCAAGGCTGAATACGATGCGAAATATCGCGCCAAGAAAGCAAGAGAGCAGCGAGGCGATGAGGAATGGGAAGGTCTTTCTGCAGGCGAGGGCGAGGAGTCCGATTCCAGCGCTTTAGAAGAAGAGGACGAATATTCCTCTTCAGACGAGGATGACGGTCCAGCCGAAGGACTTCTGAAACGCTTTGAGGAAGATCAAAGAAACGCAAATGGGCTTTCTAGCCGGGCTGCTGCGTTTTTTAACCAAGATATTTTCAAGGGAATTACCGAAGCACTGCCAACGGCTGGAAAACCCGGGGAGCAGATTGTTGACGAAGACGAGGAGATCCGCAATTTGAAGCGCACAACTAGGACTTTGGAGGAGGGACAAAGCACTCTGACGAAGAGAAGCGGCTTTACTCGTCTGACTGCGAAGGAGAATGTTGACAAAATCGAAGTCGTTCCTGGCGCTGATGAGGAAGACGATTGGGAGAGAAAGGAAACGAGGCGCCCGGATGGAAACCTAGGTACGGAATTATCCGGCCAGTTCTTAAATATTCTGCTAACTTGTTCTTCATTAGATATCGATATTATCACTGCCGAAGCCATGACACTAGCACACCTGTTGGCTAGTGGAAAGAAGACCAGCCAGGATGTCATTGATGATGGCTTCAACAAGCATGCTTTCCGCGACCGCGACGGCCTGCCTGAATGGTTCATTGAAGATGAATCGAGGCATGACAAGCCTCATAAGCCCATTTCCAAAGCTGCTGCCCAAGCTATCAAGGAAAAGCTGCGTGCCTTCAACGCTCGACCAATCAAGAAGGTCCGGGAAGCGAAAGCCAGAAAGAAGATCAAGGCTGCACAGAAGTTGGAGCGCCTTAGAAAGAAGTCAGACATGTTGGCTGCCGATGAAGGCATGACGGAGAAGGAGAAGGCTGACAGTATTACAAAAATGCTGAGTAGAGCCGCCCGGAAGAAGCCTAGCCAGCCGGCTAGACTCGTCGTAGCGCGTGGTGCGAACAAGGGTATCAAGGGCCGACCTAACGGCGTTAAGGGTCGTTACAGAATTGTTGATGCGAGAATGAAGAAGGAGCTCAGGGCGCAAAAGAGAGCATCGCAAAAGAAGAAATAGAGACACAATGCATATAACGAACTCCCGTATTTCTACAGATAGAAATTTGAATTGTTGACGTGAGAATGAAGGATAAAGGAGAGTGCCACAATAGAAGAAGAACTAGAGACATGACATATGTGTAATGAGCACAAATATACTTCTGGAAATAGCAACTTGGGTTCCGTCTGGGTTATACCTGCGCTAGGGTAACTTCGCGGAGAAAGGAGGCTGTAGGGAACAGAGGACCGTTGAAACTCATGTCGTACCTGCTCAAATGTCGTTAGCTACCAATTTTGCTGCCCACTGCGAAGTTGCTCTCTCACCAGTAGTTGATTGCCACCACAAAATTATTGTCATCATTTTCCATGACGGATTGCGTGACCTTGTGGTACCTACAATTGGGTCAGCCTCTCATGTTCAAGCGAGTGCCACCCACACATACCACATCGCAGGAAGATAGAGCATATCACCCGGATTAAGAGTGACACGAACAGGCTTCGCAAGACGTGACAACGGTGTACAGTTTTTATCCGGATGATCGGGGTCCCATGTAACAAATGGAACCGGGGTTGTGTCTTGATCGAGACACAGCGACAACCGTCCCTGCGAGCCTCTGGCATACGTTGCTGGCTGAAGACGCTGCTCATTCATGCAGTGATAGTGAAGTGGCGATAGTAGGACAAAGCGTTTTCGACCCCGAATTTGAACGTAGATGTTTTCGAAGTTGTCTTTATGGGTCGCGGTTACCGACCTCGAGTTTCCTATCCACATGTTGACAGCCTCGGGCGGTCTCTGAAGCGCAATCCTGGCGAAAGGAATATCTCTTTGCGCATCATCATATAAGCGCTTATATTCTTGTCGGAGATTGTCATCTTCTTTAATTGATTGATAAAGTTAGCCTACGAGAGGGAGTCATTTTTTTTTCAAGGCAATGCGACTGACGTGTTTGCGCATAGCGGACCTCGGCATCTTGAGGGAAGTCAGGGTCCGTCTCCTGAGCAACAATGTAGTCAATAAACTCTTGGAATGGTTGGGATTCCTCATGCGGCTTTGCGAAAAGAGGATATAAATGAGGAGGGGAGAGGGTAGGAGCATCTGCATTTCTGGAAAAGTGTAAGCGTTCAAGGCAATAACTTGTTCGTGGGCAGATTCTTACCCATTCGGCGTGACAGCGACGTTTACCAATTGACCAGCTAAGCGGGAGACGAGATAATCTTTGTCCCATTTGTGGAAGGCTCTCCAAGAAGATGCACCACCACGGACAACGAATGGTGTATTGCTAGCGACATATCGCATGAACTCCAGAGGGCTCGGTTCGCAATCAAGTTCCTCGATAATAGAGCTATTGAGCTCTCCATACGTTGTTATAAGATATTCCAGTGCACTATCTGAAGATGGAGGCTCCTTTTCCAGGGCCATCCTGGTGAGATGGTACTTTTATTAGCGACCAGGGGTATTTCGTACATTCGTTCAATTGCCTTGTGAAAAGCCTGAAGGCCTGAAGGCTGCGCTGAGGTGGGGTAGTTACTAAGTTACACACAACAACGCAGTGGTTGATAACCCCTGTTAGCGGTTTAGCCGTGTCTCTCTTCGCGGCCAGATCCTGGCCCCACTACTTTTCCGGTTCCGTCTCTTGGCGACCAAAGTCACACTCGCATCTACATATGCCCTCACCCACCTCATCGTATTCTCGTTTCTTCAGAAGTCGTCTCATACAGGATATGAACAAGATGTACCCCAATCAAGTTATTGAGAGATAGGGAGCATCATTAGCAAACCCGCGTTAACCCATCCCGCTGCAAGCCGAGCAAACACTTCCGTCGCGCCGCATAGTGATGCTCCGCTGCTGACTGCGGTTGTCATTGCGTCGTCTGCTTCGCTAAATTGATCTGTATTCATACGTAATACGGATATTACTCGGCAACCATGATCTGGTACTTGCTTTATCCACTCCGAGGGTAAGAAACCAGCAACCTATCGCCACTGCGCCCTCTCAACGCTAACCAATGTTAGAACTACCGAGGCTCCGGCTCTGTCGCCGTCGAATCCGGTCCGTGTTGCATTCACTCGCTATGGCAACTACGTTGCGCGGCATGTCATTCTGGCGCTCTTGATCTCTGGTGTTGTTGCCACTATCTTGATCTACCCTATCCCCTATCTTTTTACCGACGATTTCACGAATGGCGCTTCAAATCTGCCGCATCATGTTTGGACCGTTGCGCAGCCCTTGAGCAGAGACGCTCCCGTCCTACCAGACATAATCATGAGATCCATCTGGGTGCATGGCGATTACATGAAGGCACTGGACAATGATCTGTTGAGTTACGCCTTGGAGCTCCAGGATGAGCTTCTTGGACCAACAGAAAGGTTTACCCCTGCTGCCTCTCGGGGACTTTTTACACCGGGTGACCAAGATTGGCCCATGCCAACAAAGAACAGAGACGCGATTCATATTGTTAACGGACTCACGAACCAGTCTTGGTTCTTTCACTCCCCGCTCCTCTACTGGCAATGCTCGCGCCAGAAAATCTTGGCAGACACGGATCTAATTACCACTGTCAATGAGAGAAAGACGCAGTCTACTTCGGCCAATGTCACTCTCAGACATTCAATTGTTTTCAGCGGCAAGAGGTTCGCAGAAAGAAGACTTCTGGCGGCCGATGCGCTCGTCATTACACTGCTCTATCTTCGCGATTCCCCGGTCGGCCGTCAGTGGGAGCATAATGCACCACTTCTCACTCGCAAAGCCCAAGATCAATGGGATATTTATCCACCCGATGGATCCATCGAAAGCAGCCAGTTGTATGAGTTTCAGTTCCGGCCGATGTCACTGTATGACATGATCTGCTTCGCCTTGGCATACGGCCTCATGGGCATTTATTTCCTCGCCAGCCTTTCGAAGCTTCGAGCTATCAAATCAAAAGCTGGGCTGACAGCTATGGTGATCACGCAGATATTTTTATCCATTCTGTCAAGCCTGACTGTATGCGCGGTCTTTGATGTTGACTTATCTCGCATTCCCCGAGCTGCTTATCCACTGGTGATTTTGGCTATCAGCTTGGAGAACATGTTCAGAATAATCTATGCTGTCATTCTCATGCCTGCTGAAAATAGCTCTAGCAGTCGCGTTGGATCGGCCTTTGGTCAGACGGCGCATATAGCTCTTGCAAGCACAGTACAGAATGTGGCCATCTTGGCAGGGCTCTCAACGATTGTCTCCCCCGGTGTCGCTGGATTCTGCGTTTTCGCTGCTACTGCTACATTGTTTGATTACTTCTACCTCTCGACATTTTTTCTCTCTGTTCTGAGTGTCGATGTGCGCAGAACCGAGCTCGAAGATGAATTATCAAAGATCAGCAAGCTGAGACACCGCCATACCTATGGTCAATTGAAAGAACGGCCGTGGTGGATATCCAACTTTCTGAAGGGCAGGGTGTCACTATCTACTAGAATTGCAGGCACAATTGTCATGATTGGATTCGTGATAATTGCACAATGGCACTTTTTCGCGGATGTCGGCGCATGGGAACCGACCAAACGGCTACTTGGCGCCTCAACTTGGCAATCCCAAATTGCAGAAGAGGCATCCCCACAACTTGAAGAGGTACATCAAGCAAGATCCCCTGGATCATGGCTACGTCTTCAAGATCATGAGACTGCTCGGGAGGTCATAAATGCCATCAAGCCATCAGCGTTTAGCTACACGGCCAAAGTATACGACCCTCTAGTCTTTGTGCTGAAGAATTCGAACCGAACACCGCCACAGAAGAAGAAAAACTTTCTACCAGCGGTGTATGATTTCGTGGATCACCAGTTGGCCGAATTTGTCATTTCGATAGTGTTGGTGTGCGCTTGCCTTCGACTCCTCGCAAGCTATTTACTCTTGGCGGACGAGGAAACCAGAGACAACTTTTCCGACTCTGGCGAAAACTCGTCTTTATCCGTAAAAACTCTGTCCGGGGGCCATGCTCTCGATGTTGTAATGATCGCGGCGTCAGCGGATGGCCGGGTCGTCTCTGCAGGGTTGGATCGAACCATACGGGTATGGGATGTTCGTTCAGATAGTGCGAGCTATGAGCTTCCTGGCACAAAATTATTGGATGGACGTGAAATGTTTCCTATATTGGGGATTATAGTGGATGTAGAGTCACAATGGCTGGCCATTCTGTCAATGACTCAAATCCGACTGTGGAATCTGGCAGAGTACGCTTGGCGTGAGCCTGTTCCTCTGGAGTCTGGTAATCATAATCCGGAAGTATTATGCTTCCACCCTCGGTCGACCCAGAATATTCCCAGACTGGTTATTGTGAGGAAAGACGGAACACTGACAGATGTGTCGCTCGTTGGTGATGATCGCCGACGTGGGACAACTGTCTGCGAGGGTCAGCTGCTCACAGCTCGCGCTCTTATATACAAAGGTGAGCCCCTCAGTCGCTCCACCTGCATTTTTTACTCTGCTAATAGTTGCCGGACCAGAGTCGACGACTACACGGGCGATCCGGATCTTGTCGCTCTCACGAAACGGAGAACCCTTCATATCGAGGGAGACGGAGACGGGCTGGGTACGTGAGAATCTACCATTGAGTGCCGTGAGTGACACGACACTGCATCAAGTAGTGCCACTCTCCCCCTTTCCTCTGTTTCTCATTGGGTCCGTAAGCTCTGTGTACCTAGTCAGTGCAAGCGACGGTGTGGTGCTGCATGTTTTCGCGACAGAGCCCATGGTACCACGATCGATCCAATGTGAATATCCCGACAATCGAAATAACTTGTCGCCTTCTGGAGTCGGGTTCAGCACTCTTACCCTAGGATATGTTGGAGCGGAAACCGAAGATTGTATAGTAACAAGCCACCGCCCTCGTGAAGGAAGCGAGGCGATCGCGGCCTGTGCGGCATCGGGAGGTGCTGGTGGAGGATGGTGTACGTGGAAGGAGGCAATCGAGACCAAGAAACGAATCAAGGACCCAGGCACATGGGAGATTGTCAAGGGGAGAAGCGTCATCGGTGTGCGACAAGAAGCGAACCCGTCTCGCAACACCAAGCGCGGGGACTACCGCAGGCGATCCGCCGCGCGTGAGAATCTCGGGGCACCGACGAGGTGGCAGGCTTGGACAGCTGCTACGGATGAGCATTTTGAGGCAGACGAGGTCCGACCGCTGCACAACGACGGGCATGATTCTGAGGAATTCTTGGTCGTGCCGGGGCTAGGACCAAAAGTCAAGATTGGCCTACGGTCTGTTGCCTTTTCTGTCGGCAACACCGTCAAAGTAATATCCGCAGGCGGGCCGGAGCGATTCAAGGGCGGCGATGACGATGCAGGCGCAGAATCGCTGCTGGCAACGGATAGTCGACGCGGGCGATATGCCGGCTCGATGCGAGGGAGACACTAATTCTGTTGGTCGCTTGACGACGACACGGATGGAGCTGTTTTACGTCTGTCGCATGTGTTTCGGGGTATGAGTTCGTCGGGGCTGCAGCAGGCAAGATGGCTTCGTGGCTCTCCTGGCCTGCAAAAACGTCGAAGCTCGGCTACATCTTTGAGGATAACTCTATAGTTAGCGTGGGATGGTGGACAAGGCATGTGGCGGCGCCTTCATGTGACACGGATTTCGCAGATTTTGCCATTGAGCGAGCACCCCTTCCTTGTTGTGGCAGGCGCACCGCGTTTTGAAGGGGTTCTCTGTACGCAGTGACGACGGTCTTGTAGAAAAGCAAGCTCAAGCAAGGGTAACTATTTGGCATAGATGAGGGCGTACAATTGGGTAGACAAGAGGCTGCGGGAAGTGCGAAATTGGCGAAATGGCGCAGGTAGAATTGGGCTGATGTTTGCACGTGCATTGCATCAATCTTGGACTCGTTTGGCGGTTTGGAGGATAACTAGAACATGTACTTGTAACTAGACTGTGTAATAGTACGCGCTTGATCAATATACGGATAATTACAACTATCAGAAACCTTTGCTTGCTAAACTTGGACGGGGTAACAAACCATTGAATCATGGATATATGAATGCTGTAACTATGTAATTACCTACCTAGGTTAGGACCAGATGTGTGCGAGGGCGAGGGCAGGAGACGCAGGGTTTGATTTCCTCACCGCTAATTAGAACTAGAACAAACATTGAAGCGCTGGGCAGGGGTTTTTGCACAGACGATGGTGTCCGCAGACGGAGGCTTCTAACTAGTTAACTAGTTACATATGAGTGCATGCATTGATAATTTGTATCCGTATTACTACGTAACTACTATTAGGTATTAATAGTAACTAGAAGCATTTCACGTCTGCAGGGGGTGGGCGGCACTAAGCGGCAGCGAGTTTCGTGTGTGTTTTGGCGTTGCAATTTGCGCGCCAACAGCGAGGCCTCGAGCAATGGACCACCTTAGTAGGCCAGATGACTACTAGGCATACATATATGCGGCATTATTCGTACAATTCATAGTATTGGAAGAGGCAGGAGGAGCTGGCTCTCCCGTTATCAGCTCTGTATCCAACTACCTACTTAGTTATTAACGTTGGTTAATACTTGATTATTTTATTGTTGTAGTTAGTTTGGGGTCGTTCGGTGGTTGTGCGCTGAAGAGGTTAGCGGCTGCCAAGCCACCTTGAACGGGCCAGGTACCTAGTACCTAGGTGTACGTACTAATAAGGTGTACAAATTACTGTCTTGATAATTCAATCCACTGGCCCAGCACTTCCAGGCCGTTTGTCCTTCCCCCCTTCATCCCCTAGTTATCGGGATAACTCGATCCCCTTTATCCTTGAATTTATTCCTGGTCCTGTTACTCCGTACTTAACTGCTTACTACCTAATAGTATCTACGTCCACCAAGCCCGTCAGCCCATCCCCGACGCCAAACACCAAGGCCGCCCCCCAGCCTCCCCCATCAATAATACTTTGCTTGCCACACACGCAGCCCGCTGTCATCGCCGGCGCCGCCTGTCCACTCTCATCCACATCGAATCGTACAAATTACTCGCGGCGGAGAGGTCCCCGTAACCCGGACCGCTATCATAGCACAGGCCGTATGCGAGCCATGAGTGTCCGCGACCGCCTCGTGTCACAGCTTCCATGACTGCCGTAGAGCTTCAACCCCAAGGTTAGCCTGCACACTGGTCTCCTTTTTTTTCTTCCCCCTCGCTTCCCTCTTTACCGCCTCTGTTGCTTGCTTGTCCATCCGCCCATGCCAGTTCCCCTGTTGTATTTGATCAACGCGGCCCGCAATTGCTTTTGTCGTTGTCACAGCAGCTTTGAACCCCCCCCCCAATACCTCTTCGGCCCCGTCTCGCCTCATTTCATCATCATTGGCCTCCCACAGCTGCCGCTGGTACGTCCCCGGACCCAATCACCGCCCGCCAACTGTCGTTGTTCTCCTACATACATCGCTTGCCTCTCTAGCGCCGCACTGCCAGGGCTCGGGCCGCACCTATTGGCCTTAAAAAGGCCCAAGTGTGGGAACGGCCAAACGTTGTTGACTTTCAAACCGCCCTGCTCCTCTCTCTTGCATAGCCTCATCTTACTGCTCAGTCTGTTAAATAATCGTCTTTTCCAGTGCCTCCTGGCCCTGCCAGCTCAGTTGACCCGGCGCCACAGTATCCCCAGCACCAGTCTCTGGGGAATTCGGGCACACGGCTGCCGGAACAGCTTGTATCGGGTCTTACAACTTACTGGATGGCGTCTTCCGAGGTTGATCAAAAGTTCCTTGGCAGACTGGCCAGAGCTGTCGAGCACGACAATCCCTTGTTATCCTCTATGCTCTTCAAAATTCTCGGCCTCTCACTGAACCTCGCCGAGCAACTCGTCGCTGCCAAGAAGCAGCGCAAACCCACGCCTGTTACATCACCTCTTTTCCTCCGACGTATTCTACACATCCTATGGCTCTCACGCGAGGGCCTTGTCATGCTACAGCAATATGTCATTCCTATGGTTGGCAACTATGTCGAGCTCAAGGTCCTAGCCTACAAGCTTCGTGCCAGCTTTCATCACATATTTGTTCTCTTCCACAACTCGCCACCTGTGTCAACCATTGGTAGCTGGACCCCGGAGGCGATATCTGCTGCCTTTGCACCAATCTACAAGGACAACCACGGGCTGCTTGGTGTCGATGGCGATCCCATTTCTCGCTCGTCTTCTGTTCAGCCTACCCATGCGCTAGAAGGCGGACCTGTCGGGCCACCACCCGGCTTTGAGACGCAAGTTGCGCTTCTACCCCCGTCATTTCTACTGCCCGAAAAGGACTATCTGCCAAAAGCCCACGAATACTTTCAAGAAGCGATGGATTTGGCCGACCAATTGCTCTGGGGCTCACACTCGTTGCGGCTCTCCGTTAAAACCGAATATGCCGCCTTTCTATATGAGTGCGTTCACGATGCCGAAGCGAGCCGACAACTTGCCAAAAAGACTGTTGCCGAGGTCTACGACGCGACAGAGGGCATGGACGACGACATGTTTCGAGACGCCTGTGAACTAGTTACGGTGCTCGGCAAGATGATGAAGAGAGGGTTAGGCACCACCAGCTCTGTCACAAAGGGGAAACGTGTCGAGGTCACTCCTTCCACGCCACCAACTGCGAGACTACTGCCAGGAATGGAAAACGCCATATAATCTCCCGCTCCCCTTTTATTACCCAGATCACGCCTCTGTTCTCTTCTACCTACATTACACAATGATACGCCTACGCCAATCACGGGGCATCTGGCTTTAGCATGTTGGACTTCCTATTGAGCATTGGAAGGAGTTTTGTCGGACATAGAAAAAATACCGGGAATAAGGCGTTTTCGGCGAAGGGACGCTGTATATATGCCCAAAGGATCGGGCTCGAGGTTTCGAGCACTGTTCATCTACCTTTGAATGGGTCATCGCGTCGCGATACTTACAATTCATGTTGTCCTCGATTGTCTTGGAGGATGACGAACACCTCGTACTACCATGTACGGCTCTGTGCAATATAATGTGTATAAAAGGGCCCGTCAATGACTGAAGCGAGACTGAATATATATATATATTATATATTGAATCCTAACCATGCTTCTGCTCTAACAATAACTACACCACCGTGTTTTTCGTTTACTTGTTAGAAATGCTTTTCAGCCAGCCATCAATGTCTGCCTCGGTCCTGACCGCCGCGTCCTCGCACTTTCTCCGAATCACTTCCAGCGGCACCATGCGCCCCGTCTCATTGTAGAAGCGCGCTTGCGTCTCCAGCCAGCGCGTGCTACGGTAGCGCGCGTCGGCCATTTCGAGCACGCGGCAGTCGCTCGGCGAAAAGTGCGCGTCGGGCTCGACCCGGAGGGACGCCGGGTAGAGGGGCCGCCCTATGTGCTCGTACCAGTACTGCTGCTGACGGTCACTCTCGGTTAGGTCTTCTTCTGGCGTTGAGCCTCTGTCTGCCGCTTCTTGCTCCTCGGTAGGTGCTGCAGCCTTGGTATCACTGTTCACGGCGGGGACGGCTTGTGCTTCGGTCGGCGGCTGCGTTGCGGGCTCTGCGTTACGCTTTGCGCCATTCTCGGAGAGTGCATCTGGCGAAAGCAGATTCTTGATGGCTTTCCATCGACTTTTGCATTCGTTTTTGCCTCGGCTGAGGCTGTTGCCAATGTCTTCCCAGCTCAGGCCGTCGTTGGCTTCCTTCATGGACCGGAGAAGGGCATCTTCCGAGAGCGACCACCCAGACTTGTCCTCCTTTGCTATTGCACCTTCTCGAGACTTGGGGTGATTTTTATTTTTCTTGTTGCTCTCTTCCACCTTTTCAGTTTTGGATGACTCTTCGGACGGCGTTACGTCTGTAGACGATTCTGTTGCATGGCTTTCTGTGTCCTCCGAGCTCGACACCGAGTTCGCGGCGGCGCAACATTCTGACTCGAGACAACATTTGCTGGATTCGCAAGATGAGCTCTCCGAGCAGCTAGAAGACTGCTCTTCCGAGCTCCCTGAACAGCTAGAGTCTCTTGGCTGCTTCCGTTTCAGACATACTTCTTCTGCCAAACGTGCCTCTTTGCTCGAGGCGCTGCTTGATGGATTTTGGTCGCTGGAGGAATCCACCTCGGACGAGCCTTCTGAACAGCTTTGAGAAGTGTCACTGTCTTCATTCTCATAGTTTGATGAGTTTGAGCAGGCATCAGACCCCACTTCGTTGGAAGCTTCATCCTTGGCCATGTCTGCTGCCGAGTTGAACAGGAGTCAAAAGTGACCCAGTATTGTAACGAAAGGATTAATCACACGAGATTAAGCTCAAATGTGAGGCGGGGGTGGTTTGCAGGTGGCATTACGGGAACGCTGCACGGAGAGGCATTGGCCAGGCTCCGTTTGCTTATCTGTCACGGCGCTTCTTCGCGCTTGACTGCGCTACAAGTGCATCAGTGGTTACCTGCCTATGATTACAGACTATTTCTCTTGGAGGCCCTTCTATTTTTTTGTATTTTTATATTTTTATCATTAAATGAATCAAGCCTTATGTTTCTGACCTTTTGCAGGACACGGCATGCCGAAACAGCTGAGTCATCTGGCACGAGTTGACCAATTGCCGGACGCCGATTGCGGATTGTTTAATCAACCTACTGCGTTGACAACCTGTCACCAAGGAGTCAACACGATATTATTTATACACACAGTAAGGTTTTCAAGAGCAGCAGAATGTCGCCTGTACTTCCGAAATTACCAGCCCAGTTTGCGCAGGCTCTCGAGCTCATTGACGATGCGCATGCGCAAGATAAGCGCGAGGCAAAGAATGTCGGCGACGAAAAGGTGCCCTATGAGCTACACTATGCCAAGAAAATGACCTCGTGGCTGGCAACTCGCTGTCCAGAGGCTTCCCCCGTCTTACAAGTCGCATGCCGTGCGCAACACTTTAGACGGTACGACAACTCAGAATGTCTATTTGACGGTTGGTGCCCAGGCACAGGCGTGCATGCCCTTCTGAATGATGACGGCGACACTACAACAGAGCTATAAAAATACGAGTTACTGATACAAACCCTACTCAATAGCTGGGAAATTCCACGAGATTCATTCCCCATGACCCGACCAGGGTACTTGACCTGGCGCGCAAAGCAAAAGGCACAGGCCGCCTCCCAAGTAGTAGACTTGCTCGGCACCTCTGCGATACAGCCAGCCATTCCCGAAGAAGACCGCGCTCGCGTTGCGGCGCTGATCCGAAAAGAGAAGCTCGACTCGGACCCCGAGGCGCAGGCCCTAGAGGATGTCGCCTGCCTCGTTTTTTTGGACAATCATTTTGATGACTTTGAGAAGCGCGATGACGTTGATGAAGACAAAATGATCAACATTCTGAGCAAGACTTGGGGCAAGATGAGCCCGCGAGGCAGAGAGATTGCGCTGGAAATGAAGTTGAGCGACAGGGCAAAGGTTTTGATCGGGAAAGCACTGGCAAGCGCGTAGGCAGGCTTCTTGATTCCGCCTAGTTGAATAGCCTCCCAGAATTACATTGGTCAAGTTGCATTTTTTTCCTTGCTTGGTGCAGATATCGGCCTCGTTTGCTAAGCAGCCGGTAGTTCGGAGAGCTGGGACTCAGAAGCCACGATTCTTGGCCCAGAATACTCTTGTCTGTCGTCATATGCACCATCGCGGGGCACCGCACCCTCGGACATCGAGACTCTAGCTTTCCGAAATAGTAGCGACCAAATGATGAGCAACAAAAGTAGAACAGCAGCTAAGTCGGGTTAGTCCTGGCATGACCGGCCTGCGGAGCGTCCCTCGTCTACTTACCAAGGCTGCCCACTGATATGCCGATGATAGCAGACGACGAAAGTGACGCTCCAACCGGGACGTTGTAATAATCTGGGCTGGGGGAGACTGAAACCACTCGAGTCCCTTGACTAGGTAATGTTGTCGTCGGGGTGAATGGTGACGGCGTGACGACGCCTCTGGTGTGCCGAAGAATCACCTCGGCGGCCTGATTGGTGTCGCAAATGTACAGAGAATACCCCTGCAACTCGTCATCGTCGTGGATAATGTCTGTCTTACAGTATGGAGCTTCTGTATTCGAGCTGCAGTTCAAAATGTGAGAGGGACTGGCCAGACGACATGTGCAAAATCGGTGCTTGCAAAGCCTACCAGACGAGATCCAGACGGCCAATTTTGTCCTCGGCGAGGGACTGCTTTCTGTCCAAACAGCGGGTAGATAGCTCGCACCGGCCGTTCTGGCCGACCGAACAGCAGCCGAAGAGGTTTCGATTCGTGTCGCGGGCACATCGTTGTCCGTGGTAGCAAACCAAGGGAAGTACTGTAATGATGGTTAGTCGCAAGCCTAAATTCCGCGGACTTGTTGCAAGTCGGCTCTCACATGCATCTCCGGAGACGAAACCGCATGTTTCAAACGAGGTAGCAAGAAATGTAGATGATATTGGCGTCGCGAATGCTGCAAAGGGAACGTGGCCGGCATCCCTGGTGGGCGGAGTGGTTGTGGCCATTTGCTACCAGTTTTGCAGGAATACGGACAAGCGAAAATGTTTGTTATGCAGATGGAGTCCATCTACGTATGGGATAGCACAAATCTGAAGGGCAAAAAACTCAGTTCATTATGCATCGCCAGAGTTGCACAACGATGCAGCAAACGCGCAAACAAACATGTACCTCGGCAGTGCTGGAGTAGCGACGACTTGACTTTGGAACGCGGCAAGCAAAAGAAATTACGTAGTGATGAAAAATAAAGTAGTAAAATAATTATTTAGTTCATAGGAGAAGCAGGAGATGGAGTGAATATACCTAATAAGCAGCCGCAAAGTGAGAGACAGCCAACATCGGCGCGCCAAGGCGTCCTTTGGCCGGAGCTTTTTACTTACCGGGGACTAGTTAGAGCTTCTTGGGCTTTGGCTTTGAAGGCACAACATTGGCTTAGCAACAAAAGCACAAATGTCTTGGCAGGCTGTTTTGACAGCTGTGGGCAAGATGACGAAAGCCTCGGGTTTCGGACGTGATGAATGGATTCAGCCACAGTCAAGTCTCACCTCTGTCAACCTGGAGAACCGCCAGCGACACTCGCTGCCCCTGCACAGCGCCCACGTAACTAAAGACCAGGTCACTCACCAACTGGCAATGAGATTGTCACTAGCGTGCCGCCACGTATCGCATGATGCGAGATTCTGCAGGTCAAACCACTTGGATGGTTCATTGGTTGGTTGTCCCATGGTTGTGTCCAGGGCTCTTCAGCTGAAGTGGTGCGGGGGAGGCACTTGTTCAAACAGGCCTCCCAGTGAACCGGGTGAATGTCCCGGACAACGTGTGCCAACCCTTGAACCAAGTCATAGAGGGAGCGAGACAACTCCGTGAGGGGAGGGGGAGCGCCAGTCGGCAACGCCGAGGCTGAGCGTTACGATATCACGATGACCAAGTTAAAAAGAAGACCAGCCGGGACGCGTCGGCGCGTTGTTCAACCCTGGCATCTTGGTGATGATTGGACCAACTAATTAATAGTCAACTACCTACCTACAGTAGTTATCGACAGGTAACTAACTACAGGTAGTTAGTAGCGACGGACAATGCCGGCACACCCACCCTTCCTCCCTTCTCTAACTAGTGGCGGCTCACAACGCTCAAGCTGCTGGGATGGAGTGACCAGATGCTTGGGACTTGATTAGCGACGTTTGAATAATAAAAGTCCCATGTTAAGTCACTATGTAGTTAGTGACAAACGAGATTGAAAGTTGCACACGTCTCTTCCTTCTACCTTCTAGGGTAGTGGAACCGCTTCCGAGGTGTTCATGCAAGGCTAGTTAACTAGGAAACGAAAGAGGCAGCACACCTTGAGCTGCACTCCAGAAATAGTTACATGACCCATCAGCCTTCTCTTCCTACAATTCTTCCGAGTATTAATTTACACAGGTTGCCTGCCGCTGGCAGCCGGCGTGCGAGGTGAAGGAGTGAGGCGTCCGGAGTAGCCGCACATCAGTGACACATGCCGGTCCGCTAGGCTGAAGTCTCAATGTCGCACTCTGCTGATCGATTTCAAGAGGCAGCTTTCTCAAAGCGCTTTGTGTAGTTCTGAAAGAAGTGCCAACTTGTCTCGCAGAGCACAGTGAGCACCTACGTTGCGAGAAACACCTGCCCGAGTCTGACGGCGTGCTCGTGTAGTCGCACCGTGCTTGAATGAATTGGATGGGACTCGCCGAGTATCTACAGGCTGCTGCAGCCAGATGATTTCTCTGCTTTGATTGTGGTCGGTCGGTGTACGCGAGAAAGTAATGCAGCTGGTTCTCTTTCCGGACTTGAGATGAAGAGAAAAAGCAAATACATGAATCAAAAATACAATGCCCCAACTCAGTGGTGACTACTCGATAACTAGAAAGCCACTGCGCCAGGTGCGGCACTGCTGAAAATTGCTCAAGCAAGACCAATTGATTCGCCGCCGTGAGTTGATAGTTACAAGCCGTAACTACTTGAACAACGACGGGCAGAAGGGGCCATGAGCATGAGACGTCACATTGGCTGCCGCCACGGCTCTCGAGCCAAAGTCGTAACAGAGGTCATGACCACTCGACCAGTCACATTTTCTTGGGCGAGATCGTAGCGTTGCAACGGGTTCATGCAAATCGCAAATCACGGCTGACCCCCCTCCCCCCAAACCCCTGCTCGGAGGCAAAGCCTCGGAATGGCTAAAATGAGATAAATACATATGGGAACTCAATAACTAGTTATCTGAATCCCATCCAGAGTACCTGCTCTGCCAACGGGAGGTGGACCGCCACCATGGCCATGGCATGGACAAGTCTTCATTCCTTGATGTCTCATCCCAGGTTGACAAGGGTTGAAGAGGGGCATGCAGGCATTGCATTTGGCAGGTTGCAGGTGTTATCATGACCAGAAGATGGCATGAGATCGATCTGCTTGCTCCCTTTCCCACATCCATCCAGCCACAAATGTCACTCCGGCCAGGGTAGAAGAAGCCACAAGCTACGGATGATGCTAGCATTAGTTCTTCAAGGAATCTTTTCAAGCCCATATATTGGAGGCGTGGCTGCAAATAGTTGCATGAGACCTGAAAGACCTCGACAACCCCCCCCCCCCCCCTCCTTCCACCTCATCGTCACTGTTTCTCCACCACTCGTGCCCCGCGCTGTTGCGAGATGCATGTGCTTCCTTTTCTGACCAAATTCGTAAACCAAACCCATGCAATTCGCTTGCTTCATGGGAAGAGGGGGAGCCTTGTGGCGCGCCGGCTCTCGGATTGGCCCTCGTAAGGGCGACCTGAGAAGCGCCTAGGTACAGCATACAATGTACGCACGTTACGTGCGTGATGAAAGTATATCAGGACCCTACCTGCCCTTCGCAATCAAACTAATTACTCATCATTTCATGAGCCAAGACGGACGATTCAGAATTCCACAACCTCAAAAGTACAGATATCCTACTTGTCCCTCTAGGGCCCATTGTTCTCTTGCACACTCGCATGGCCCGTTTTCAACATCACCAAAGACGCCCAAGAACACCAAAACACGTCTGTCTCTACGCTGAGTGAAATCAAGACCACTGTGAGCCGTCTAAACGACTTTGCTAGTTGTAATTGCCTCGTCTCATTCCTGCGTCCAGCGATACCAGACCAGCAGTCGCTACGCGATACCATCTCCTTCCTAGTCATACCGCCACTCCTCGGAGCATGACTAGACACTCGTAGTATACGAGCAGTCTGACCCCAACCAGCCGTGTTTGAGAAGCTACATTGTCAGGAAAATACAGAATCAAAGTCGAGAGCGCGACCAGAGGAGATCAGGTCCAATGCCGACGGCTTTTCAACATGTAAGCTGTCCAGCATCTGCCACCCTCTTGACGGCGGCTCATCGAGTTCAAGCCAAGCCAAAACTGCCGATACTAACTGCTCAACCAACCTCGTTGACATGTAGCCTTTTCAAGAATCACAATTTGACCTTTTCGACTGGTACCCCAAATTTCGAGAGTGCCAGAACCATTTCATCCGCCATGCTCAGCATACCGCCCCAGTGCAGGCAGTGGCAGCCTTTGTGAACATCCTGCTTCCCTTTCAACAAGCCCGGAGCCGCGAAACCGCGGCCGCCGAGGCCGACACGAGGCAGGCTGGGCTCTCGATCGGCCCCGTGACCCTCGTGCCCTATGTCCGCCGCCTGGTCGCCACCGGCTTCGACACGCCCGCCGTCCTGCACGGGTTTTTCGGGGACGCGTGGAGCGAGGGAGTCGGGCAGATCCACGAGATGGAGAGGAGAAATTTCTTGTTCGCTGCCAAGTCGGACAACTGGGTTACGGTCAAGTCGAGCTACGACATTGCCGGCGGTCAGAATGTCCCGTTCCTTCGGCCCCTGCAGGGCGTAACGGAGCTGGAAATCCAACGTGCCGAGTCAAACTGGAGCGAGTGGCTATCCATGTCAGACTGGATGCTAGGACCTCGCGCGCTGGATAGCGGCACCGAGTCTAAGTGAGTCCTCACGCCTAGCGGAACGAGGAGGGATAGTTGACGGAAAGCCGCCTGCCCGCATACAACTGCGGCAGAGGGATTGATTGCCGTGTATTTCATATAGAGAAACGATGCATGATACGTACAAGTCACATTCTCACCTTTGCATACATCTTTGCTCGTCATCCTTGGCAAAACTACATGATGTGATTGGTCTCTTGCAGCAGACAAGTTTAACTTGCGAGCCGCTGTCTGAGTTTCGCTTCAACTGAAATCAACTGAAATCAACTTAAATGGATACTTGTACATGTACAAAACGGCCTCGATGTAGCCAGGCCAGCCATTGATACCTCTACGAAAAGAAAAGCCCTCAAAGGAGCTCACATAAAACCGAGACAGACCCTTCCTCCCCGCATGCGCCTCTGACGCCGGGCTATAAACCACTCTAATGATGTTACCTGTCGATTTGCGTTTTTATTACCGCCCGACCAACATGTTGTTGAAAACGAAATGAACGAAGAAAGAGAAAAGATAAAAGAGCCAAACGCGGCTGGAGACGCACTCAAAAATCAAAAGATCGAATGGGAACGGAGAAATGAGAAAGGAACCAATGTTTTTGTCGCCGTATTTTGCCTCCCAAAGACCCAGCCGTTACATGCCTTGCTTGCATCCTAAACGCCGCCGAGAACAACCAAGATTCAGTCGAGGTAAATCAGATACAACGTCTTTTTGCCGTAGTTATTCCAAATTGCACAATGCCGCCCAGTATATTCCCTCCCTCCTCTTATTACAATCATGTGTTCCCAATCCCTCTCCAGCTGTGATTATGTAGGGGGCCGAGTATGGTAAAGTACAACCTGCCGCAACCGTTGCTAGGCAGAAGTGCGACGATGACAGCTAGTTGAGGAACCCCTTGCATGCTGCGGTGCCACACAGACATGGGATTCGGTCCAGGCTGCCAATCTCACGTTCGAATTTGTAGTCGTATGTCAGTTCTTCGTCTACAAGACGCTTCTGTTAGCCGTTGTTGCGTGGCAAGACCATGTTCACAAACTTACTCGTAGTGATGTCGCGAAGGGCATAGATGACAATGCGCTTGCTGCCCTCGACCTTGATGATCTTAGCTGTGCAGTTTGGCATGCAGCTGTGATTGATGAACCGCGCAATACCACCCTTCTTCGTTGCGTCAATGACAGTGTTCTCGTCGATGCGGAACAAGTAACTGCTGCCGATGCCACTCTTGAGGTATCGATTTTCGCGAATCTCCGAAATCTGCTGACGGACTTCTTCGCCCACATACTCGATAATCATGTCATCCTTATGGATGTCTTCCATGGTATACAAGCCCCAATTATGAATAGCAGATCTGGCAAACTTCACGGGCTTCTTCCGCTTCTTAAGCTGGTTGAACTTGAATACATCAGAGTCTTGTCCAAGAGTCTTCTTCTGATCGTTCAAGTCTGCGACATATCGACGATTGGTTGCTCGGTTGGCTCTTGAGTTGCCCTTTGCAATCATTTTCTCCGCTGCAATCTTCGAAGCGTCCATTGTAGTATTCACACCGTCTTTGCCATTCTTCACGCGCGCTGCCCGCTCTTCGCGCACCTTCTGGACCTTGATATGATGAGGCAGATACTTGGACTTTTCAGAGTTGAGGATCTTCTTGACGCCTTCTGTTCGTGCACAGCCTGTAGGATTTGGAACATAGTATCCACTTATCGATACCGGCTTTTGCACAGATGGGCCACCTGCGTTTAGTTCTCGGATTCGCTGCTTTTGCCAAAGCCAGATATCGGCGTTGCCAATCTCGGCGGTCTGGAACCTCCTCCCTAGCTTTGCCAGATCAGGACTGTCTTTCGCACCAAGTCGTAGAAGCTCAAGCGCAGAAATATCAGGCTTGAAGCTATCCGGCAGGCGAAGTGCTTTGGAGAGTGGCTCCGTCGAAAATATCCGCTCGTCGTACTTCTGTGGCTCTTGCGGCGCTGGGGTGGACTTTGTGGGTAGAGTTTGGACCTCTGGCGTGTCCTCGTCCTCTGCGTTCTGGGACGAGATCTCCTGCTCTTCCAGAGCCTGTCTTGCAATGGCTGACCTCGGCTTGACGGTTTTCTTCTTTGCTCCCTTGGGAACACTTGATAGCGGCGTTTGCGATCTCGAAAGACTGCTGTCATTATCATCGGCCACATCAGCTTCGGCGGCCATGTCTTCAACTAGTTCCATCGTGACATCGTCAAACTTGACGGCGAAGGAATCATCATCTAGCTTCTTCTGACGTTTCGATGCCATATCAGCGGCCGAAACGAGCTTTCGCTTCTTTGACAAAGACTTGTCGACTAATGCTAGGCTGGCTTCCGTCATGGAATCTTCTTCGCCCGGAGCCCAACTATCTTCATCCGTGCTCATGCGGCTTTGTGGGCGAGAGAGGACCCCTTCAGCCTCAACCGCCGCGAGAGTCTTTGCATCCGTATCGTCATCCGACTCAAAATCACTGTCGAAGCTCTTGAGACGGTGATGTAGAGATCTAAAGGCTGGCCTAGGAACGGAACCTCGCTTCCGCGCAAATGGGGCCATAGACGTGCTGCGATGTGCTGTTCCCTTGGTCTTGGATTTGCGGATCTTTGGCAATGACTTGACCTCAAACCTCCCAGTTCTGCGCTCGATAGGATCCGCGCGCGAGTTTGGAGTTCCCATTCTGGATGTATCAAACGCATCTGTCAAAGTGGCATCATCGTCTTCCTCAGTCATGTCAATATTGAGCTGACGACGCTTCGCGGTGTGATTGGCTGGATCAAGAAAGTCCGAGAGTGACGGAGCGGCAACTTGCGTTCGTATGTGACGAATCAAATGCTCCATCATCTCTCGTTGCACAACTTGGACGGCCTCCATGACGGGATCGAAGTTTTTAGCTCTCTGTTTCCTCTCTTCTTCAATGTCGGCTTCGTCCTCTCGTCGGCGTCGAGCAAGATCTTCTTCGGCTTTGAGCTGCTGCGCCCGGCGTGTGTTGCGTTCAGGACTCGGACTTCTTTTGCGATCCACAGGCGTCACAGCTCGTGTTCTCGGCAAGCATAGCTGCATGGACATGTTGTAGGTGAAGAACTCAGTGTGATTGACAGCTCGAAAGCAACGTTCAGCCTCCATCTTTCCAGTGAAGGAGTTCTTAAAAAGGACATAATAGCCGGTTTTGTCGATCCGAATGTCGTCGAACGCGTAGTTCTTTAATCGCTTCTTCATGTGCGGCAGAATGCTTGTAAGCAACGGGACACTTTCACAATCAATGAAGATGTAAGGATCATTCGCAAGTTGGGTAGATATGTCCTTCGGCTCGAGGTTTGTCGGAGCACGGTTTACAGCCGCAGGAGGCGGGTTAGGTTGTATTGTTGGTGGCTGTAAAGGCCGCGAAGTAGTTGGCCCTTTTGGACCTGTCGGTGGTGGCCTAGAGAAGGAGCTGGGAGGTGGCCTGGGATCTGCAGACGCTTTTGCGACAAGCGCAGCGTGTGCCAATTTTTCTCTATCAAGTTTCTCTCGGTCACGGCGTAAGTGACCCTCAAGCATTCTGCGACTTCTTCTACCCTCAGGATCATAGTCGACCTTGACCATTTCAGAGTCTACCTTGATCCCTCGAGCCTGAACGGCTCGTCGCGCTGCGTCGATAGCAGATATCGGGGGCCGATCGGCTCGCTTGGAGTCACGGTACCGGATGGTAGCAAACCCGAGGTAGCTACCGGTCTCGGGGTGCATTTTGTTGCTACTTTCGGCAATATCGCCAAATGTAGCGAATATGGCGGTGACTTTGTTGAAAGGAATCAGCGGGTTGTATCTTGTGACAACGATTTGTGTCGGAGGCCCGGGGCCAATAGAAGTCTTGGGATCGTAGGCGTATGGCTTCAGGTTTTCTGGGGCGGGACAGAAGCGCGATCGTGGTAGATAGAAATCGGTATTGATATAGCCTAAGCGGCCGCCTTTCGCTAGGCGCGGATCTTGAGGTGTAGGTGTATCATCGAGCCCAAATTCTTTGAAGACAGGCTTCGCCGTCTTGCTGACGGCTCTGTTGCGCAAACGATCGAGAATCGGGTCGTATGTGCACCTTTTGCCTTTGACAGAAGGCCACGGCTCTCGAGCAATCTCACGTTCTATACCCATCACATCGTTAGGCGGAGGGTGAGATCTCGAGCCCGACCCATTCGGTGATCTTTCAGTCTTCAAAGGTATCGGATCCTGTGCCAATGAGGTTGTTGAATGAGAGTGATGAAGAGGTGATGAGACGGAGGGCATATGAGAGACGCGGGAGGCGCTGGGGGTGGGTAGCCGAGTCGCAGCACTACTGAAAACCGACGACGACGAGCTCGCGTGTGAGCTGTTAGAGTCAACAGTGCTGGGAATATCGCCAAGCGGGGAGTCCTGGCGTGTCGGCATGGCGCCCCCCCCGTTGACTTGTGACCGCGAGGCGGCGTTCAACCCCGTGTCATGGGTTACGGCACTGGATGTAGATGAGCAGGCATCATCAGTTATTTGCCTTGTTCTATCGCGATCATTCCGGCCTTGCGCCTCGGCTCTGACTTTCGGAGCATTGGGGAAGAATTGCGCGAAGCTCACGCCTGGTGGCGGGCGAGTCATCGTGCCGATGCGCTCCTGCTATCTTTTATGGCGTGCTTCGATCATTATACCGCGGAAAGGAACGAGATGGTCGGGGAAGGTTGTTGTGTATGATGCTTGTAGTAAGAGCTTCTAATGCGAGCGCGAATGTTCAGTTCACGCGACCGACTGGGTGGAAAGAGAGCCTGAGGGAGCGAGGCGCAATGTAGCTTTGCGGCGCGGGCACAAGCGGCGCGGAGCCGAAATTTTTGATATGACAAATGAGACGTATAGCGGCACTGTGTGCGACCACTAGCGATGTGATCTCAGTCTGGGTATGGCGGTGTTGCGGCCAGGAAGCAGTGAGAGGAGTTTGGGAGAATGCTCGACTTGCGGCACGTCCAGGGATGGCGATTTCATTCTGGGTATCTCAGGCGCGTGGAAGAAACTCCACACCGCACCAGGCATCATAGTGGGACAGGACACGGGTAATAAATTGTCCGGCCCGCACTTCTCGTACCTGTGGCGCTGCCTTCAACGTCAATTAGGTCACTCTAAAGCTGTCCGCCCTTACAAAGCCAAGCGCATGATGGAAATAAACGTCGATATTTTGGAAAGGCCAAGTGCATTCAAAGAGGAGAGTACAAATGATGCAAAAACCACTCGCTCCGTTGACTACTCTCCAACTTGAGCTTTGCTGGCCGCCCACCGGGGCTTCTCCTAACTAACGTTACCGCCCACCTCTACCAGTTTTAGCCAATTTGGGGCTGCGGTGCTTTCACTTGAGGAAGAGAATATTACGAATTAATGCGTATGTACAACGTTCTTAAATCAGTATCAAGAACACCTGCCTATCATTAGTCCCCCCGTGAAGTGAGTGAGACGGCCTGTGTTTGTTTAAACGCCTGTCCATATTATCGTGCTCTCCTTTTCGAATATGAAAGCCCCCTTTGTCTTAAAAATCTAGCTTCAACTCGAACGCCTCGTCGTCATCAGAATCGACTTCTGGACCACTGAGAGTCACAGGCTCCGCATCATCCCCATCGTCGTAGAAGATGGAAGTGAACTGTGGACGCTCGGTACTCTTCACCGGGCTGTGCTCGCGCGCGCCTAGGCGGGCACGAGCAGGGGTAATCGTGAGATCCCAATTTTTGTCCGAAACCTGGCGAGCCGGCGGCTTGCTGAGGCTCTTGCTGGCTTGGTGGTGGGGGCGCATCATAGAGGATGCAGTTCTGCCCTTACTATAGCCAATAGTAGTACGTGACGCTGCTTCACCAGTCGTCGTACCGGGCGGCTCTATAGCTGATAACTTGGCTGTTCTAGGCTGAGCTGAAGGTCGTCCCGAGGGCGCCACTCGTGACGACAACGTGCTTCCAGCTCTGTCAGAGTGGATGGCCAGAGCAGATGCGGCCCTGCGAGAGCTCATTGTGTGCAGCTTGCGATCACTGGGAGCAGCCGCCTTTGGCCTTTGGGCGTCGGCCTTCAACCCTGGAATCTGAAGCGCTTGCCTTGAAGGGAATGGGACTTTGGTTTCCCGAGCATCATGTACGCCCCAGTCAAGAGCCTCGAATTCGCGATCATTTTGTTCAACAGCCTTATCCAGTGCCGACTTCATTTCGTCGTCAAACGCCTTGTCCAGGCGTGAGACACCATTATCATCGATGGGATTGTAAAAGTTCTCGTAATAGCCCTTCAGCAAATACTCCTTGCTCAACCCTCGAAACGTCAGGCCCCCTTCGGGAAGCACGTCTGATCGGTATGGTAAAGGAGTAGGGGCCGGAGGGGCGTACTCTGGTTCTTGTTCGTCCCTTCTATCCTCTAAATCGGGCTGCACTTCAAACTTTGAAGCCGCGGGTTCATGCTGTCGTACTTTGGGTCGCTGGGCGCCAGGCTTCGATTGGGAAGACTCGATTGGCTTCACCTTGCCATTAGCCGATTGGTTCGGCCTGGCTTTCGCGTTTGTTGTTTTATTGCCAAGCGGAGCTCTCGAATTGTTCCCTGAATTTGCTATAAGTATACTGAGCTATTTCATAGTGAGGACTCGTACCTAAAGGAGTCGCCAAAGCGTGCTTCTGGGTGGCTGGCTTTGCCATGGCTTTGCCATTTGCCGTATTCTTGATCGTACCAGCTCCGAAGCTCTTGTTTGCAAAAGCTGTCGGCACGTTCTCATCGTTTCTTGCAAATCGCCCCAGAGGAGTTTTCGGGTATTTTGGGCCTGGCGTCTTTGGTTGCTGTTTTGCGGAAGACTGGTGCGCGTGCACCAAATTCTCCTGATCCCGATGAGCCGCGAGCATCGTGTTTCGAAGTGAAGAGAATATTCAATTTCTACTGCAATTATTGTGAAATAGAATACGTGTGCAAGATGTTGGCAGTAACAGGATAAATGCAAGATAATAGGGGGCGGTGTTGATTTACGATACTCATTGCCTAGGGTAGAGTTCGGGGTGTTGACAAACGGTGATCAGTGCACTGTTGTCCAGGCAACGGGCGAAGCTGTGGCGCGTGTTCCGGCAAGCAGGGCGGGTGGGCAGAGGCTGAGCGGTTGCTTGTTGCTGCATGGAGGGGCAACTTCTCTCTACCCCACCCCTTTTCCCTGCTCCCAACTCCGCCTACTCAAACAACGTGATCAATCCGTCACGGTCGTATAATTTATTTGCAAAGCTCATCTGAACGGCTCGTCGGATAATCAAAAATACAAAATGGATCGCATCAAGGAGGTAAGTTTGGTCAAATCTGCTAAAGTCATAGTCGATGCCGCTAAGGTGGGGAGAGTCAGCGGTCTGGCTGACGAAGCTTTGCCTAGAAAATGAACCAGCTTCGCCTGGAGGCCGACGAGGCTGTTGGCAAGGTCGAAGAGCTTCAGGGCAAGGTCAAGACGTTGGAGCAAGAGAACCTCTCCAAGGAGCAAGACATCACCTCACTTCAGCACAAGAATAACCTTCTTGAGACTGAGGTCGAGAAACTCGAGACTGCTATCAAGGACTTCAAGAAGGCTGCCGACGAAGGCCAACAACACGGAACCCATAACGAAACTCTGCAGAGACGACTCCAGCTTCTGGAAGAGGAAGCTGAGAGCGCCGATAAGACGCTGCGAGACGCCAACGAAAAGTAAGTAGTGCACTAGCCCTGCACTAGAATGCCTGTCTCCCGGTCGTTGCTTCGCCTTGGCTAACATGAGTGACTTTAGGCTCCGCCAGACCGACGTCAAGGCCGGCCACTTCGAGCGCAAGGTGCAGGCCCTCGAGAACGAGCGTGATCAGTGGGAGCAAAAGTACGAGGAGATGGCCAAGAAGCACACCAGCCTCCAGAAGGAGTTGGAAGATCTTCAGCTCGAAATTGGCAACATCTAATCTACATAATCAGGTTGTTGCAAAATGAAGGGTCCTTGTACATGCGTTTTTGGTGTCGCTCGGGTAAGAGAAGACCCGTGACGTGGAATTTGCGTTCCGAAGTAAATTATTGCGAATTCGGCAGAATGCATAGCGACATATCAGATGTCTCGTAATAATTTAGCCAGCTCTTTCTTCGGGTATATACGCATCAATCCAATCCGTTCATATCCACATTATATCCCTCGCTTGGCTTTGTTCCTTGCTCTTTGTTTCCGATTCTCGAAATCTCTTTCCGTTTTCGATTCGTACCGAAATTGCTTCTTTTTGGGCTTCGGAGCCTTTCGGTTCTGCTTTTGCTCTTTGCTCTCTTCTGGCTCTCCGGATTCATCCCCCTCTTTTTTCTTGCTCTCGTCGTCTTCGCTCGGTAACTCGGGTTTGGATAGACCATCGCGAGATACTGATACAGTCTCGACTGTCACAGTTGTATACCGATCCTCGTCTATGTATTCCTCTTCGTGGTCGACAATGTCCAATTCCGGCTTATCGGGGAACCCATCCCACTCTTCACCTTGTTCATTCTCGGCGTTGACATCGTTCCCTTCAGTCGCAGCAAGAGATGCCTTTAACATCTCGTTGATACGGAGGACGTGGTCTTCCATTTCTTGGCGTCGCTCGTCTCGTACCTATAAGCGTTAAACCCTGTCAGTCGCGCTAAACGAAGAAAAGCGGAAGAACTTTGTAGTGGGAATGGAGGATGTACCTGTTTGCGCATATCCAATTTCTCTTGTCGCGCTCGCTTCGTTGCAACTTCTTGTGCATTCTTTTTGCGCTGCACCTTTCGCTTGTGAAAGCCAGTCAGGTACTCTTCGCGGGCGTCATTGTCGAATGAGACTTGTTCCACTTCTGAAGTATTCTTGCGCTTCCTACTAAGACGAGGAGGAATAAGCCCCTTTTTTGCTCGTGGTTTGGCGAACATGATGCCTTGCCAGTTGGCCCTATATTAAACTGAAGGTGTAGCTGTCGTGCGACAGGTCCCTCCAAAAATTATTTTGCTGCTCCCAGTCAATGGGTCGCTGAGCGCTAGGTCAGTCAGCAAGGTGTGCCATTAACGGGGAGTTGCGCTAAAGACGGCGATTACATAATCCTCCATTACAGCTTGCCCAATGCGACGAAGCTGGAGACAGGCAGTTGAGCGACGGAGCTTCAACGACAATAACCTCAGCAATATTTACCCGCAATGCGTCTGCAGGCATTTCTCGGGTCGCTCACGCTCTCCGGAGCCGCTGTGGCTTTTTCAGACACCACACCTTGGGTTCTCTACTCGACTGCATCGTATGTGATGCAACGTCTTCTCCCTCCTTGACGCGGCTCTAACGGGCGCAACTAGCTTTCCATCGATAGATTCGAAACAGCTTCAGACGAGCTCCGATGTTTTGCGAGATACAAGAGAAATTCTCTCCAGATGCCCAACCAGCCACTATATTTTTGCGACCCAGCCTGGGATGGTTGCATCTGATCTTCTGCGCAACCAGGGCTCGGATATGCCCTCACTCCGTCACTCCCTAACTCTGGATGGCCGTTTCCAAGGGAAATATATCGTTTCGGAAGTTGTTGGTGGTATAAGGGATGGAAATCTTATTAACTTTGTTAAGACTGCCTGCGCGCAGTCCGGGAAACAAGCCGTTGTTGAGCAAGTCTTGCTAGGCCAGCTGCCGCAAGAAAACAGGCAGGAGGCACTTCTTGTTAATGGTGCGAAGAATGACGATGTGTAGTTTGGCAGGAGCTAACCAGAAATTAGATCGTATTCTCAGTGAACGCATCGGCAAAGACAACGGTCATGACAGCTTCACTGTCGTCTTCTACGCCACCCGACCTGAACCCGCCTACGAGGCGCATTTCGATGAGGCCGTTCATCTAGATCTCCGAAGAGCTACACACGACACCGATGCTCCCCCCAAGAAAGATCACAGACCGCTTTTCGAAAAGTATCAGTTCTTCACACCTGGTGCGTACCCTTTTGCTGTCGGCGCAAAGCTCAATTATCTGATGGCAACTCTAGGCATCTTCATGGCTCTTATCACAGCGATTATTCTTTTCAGTATTCTCGGAGTCGGAGTCAAAGCCCTTGGTAGTCTTGAGGTGTCGTATGGTGCGTTTGAAAAGGAAATGGGGCCAGCTGCACAGAAGAAATAGTGGTTATGGCATGTAATTATTCATGTACCCCTTGATACTACACCGTATGCTGGGTATTCTGGCGCTCTGTATAATATGATGTTTGCGTTGGGATCTGCAACCTGCGTATCCATGCTAGCATACCAATAGATGAGAGACTGCTTGTAATTTCGTTGGCAGGTGATGGCCATCTGATGATTATCAGACCTTTGTTTTCTTGATTTTCGCTAATAAAAATGTATTCCCAGCGACACCATACCAGATCCCATTTTTCTAAATTCAACCCAACGCCAGTACACCAAGTGCCGAGATTCTTCATGCAAACGTCCCCCCTCGCAACTCACTGCGTCAATCTGTGATAGCTCGCGGAGGTACAGTTTTAAGCCGCTTTATTACCCGTCAAACTAGGTGGCTGGGCAAGAGAAAGTTGGCAATACCCTCCTTGATAGCATACTCGTGCCCACAGTTGCCACAAACGAGCTTGCCTTCCGAGATCTGTGTCTCGAGCAACAGATGGTGCAGATCTTTCAAAATCTTCTCATCAGCTTGGAGCTGTTCGGCTGTCGGGGCTTGCTCTGGAAGCTGGGGGAACCCAAGCTAAAATGGGATAGTTCGTTAGCGAAATAAACCGCAAACATTTCTATAGGTCAACAAGGCTACTGAAGTAGTTGAGAGATAACCTCGTTCTATTACCCGTCTCGCTGGACCATAGCATACTCTCCTCTCTTGACCCCCTCCTCCGCCCCCGTAGATACGAGTCTTACCTCTGATGAAGTTGTTCGGAGAGCTGCCCAGTCAAGTCTCGGGAGAACGTTGATGAGCATCGCTGGGTTCAGTTCAATCTCATCTTGAACAAGTTCGGCGTCCTTGGGATGGAGCGGAAAGGAATCGGAGGTCGCTTTGCAGGCCTTGGCAGCGCAGTTGACAAAATTCAGGCTGAGAACCTTCATTTTGGCGGAGCTCAAGTTCTCGAGGTGTGTAAAATTTCTTTTAAATGCAGAAATGTTCCGAGGACAACGCTGGCTGATCTGGCGGGCCAAATTGCCAGCTTACAACCCTCTTTTTTCTGGCGGGCTCTTTTCTTGGCCAGGTCTCCACGTGATGAATCGGCACCAACAGCAGTGTCCACCAGAAGCGCCCCGGGTACATCTAGATTTCATTCATGCATTGGAGCGAGTTTCAAGTAAAAGGCTTCAGCTTCATTTTATTTTCAACTATCATCTAAACCAGGGATTTTTCATGCACAACAACTCTTTTTTTTGATGCCCAGCGAACGAAGAAGACACCGATAGCGATAGCGACGAAGATTAGCAGCAGCATCGCGGAGGGAGAGCGGCCATATTGTGTTGCTGGCTCTCCGATTTTAGGTGCTGCCATGGGCTCGGTTTGTTCTGAAATGCGAAACAAGCATCAATCAGCTTGCGGGTACACAAGTGGAGAGCGAGAATGTGTTGGGTATGGTGCAGGTGCTCCTATTTAGAGCTCAACGTGAATACCTTCGGCAGGAACCTCCAGCTCGCCGCTCTTGGTAATCTTTACAGTCTCCGCGGGCTTGTCACCAGACGCAGTCTTAAAGTTCTGGATCTTGTCGACGATGTCGTAGCCCTCGAGGACTTCGCCGAAAACGACGTGACGGCCGTCCAACCAACTAGCGTGTTTTGTTAGTAATTGATCCCTCTAATCGGAAAGGACAGGTGGCCACCTACGAAGTGATGACAGTGGTGATGAAGAATTGGGAGCCGTTGGTGTCGGGTCCGGCGTTGGCCATGGAAAGAAGTCCCTTCTTGGTGTGCTTGAGCTTGAAGTTCTCATCCTTAAACTTGTTGCCGTAAACTGTGCCATTTTAGCCAATTGACCCAGACGTATTATGGGCGGTCTAGGGGGATACATACTGGACTTGCCACCGGTGCCGTCGCCCTTGGTGAAGTCGCCGCCCTGGATCATAAAGTCCTTGATGATACGGTGGAAAGTAGACCCCTCGTAACCGAAGCCTTTCTCGCCGGTGGCGAGGGCACGGAAGTTCTCAGCGGTCTCGGGGACAGTCTTTCCGTAGAGGCCAAAGGTGACGCGGCCGAGGTCCTCGTCGCCGTGCGCAATGTCGAAGTAGACCTTGTGCGTGATCTTAGGGCCCTTTGCGGCGGCGGCGGTCTGGGAAAAGAGGGCCAGACAAACGGCAAGGAGCAGCATGGCCGAGGCCATAGAGCGGCGGAGGTTGAGCATCTTGGTGGTGTTTGTCGACAACGATGCACGATGGAGAATAAAAAATAAATAAGAGGAAGAACGAGGTGGCCAAATTAAATAGAGTCGCGAGTGAGCTAGCGCTCGAGGGAGGACACCTGTAGCCATTCCGCGATCCGCGCTAAGCTGCTAGCTAATGTGGCTTCCCCGCCAGAACCCAGTCGGTTGTTCCATCACTTCCATCACTTGTTTCAGGCCCACCAACTCCTTTCTCCAAAGGACAAGTAACTTAGGTAACTAGTTAGATGTATACGAATTCGGGTTAGTAAGCAAGCCATCGTGATAATTTTGCCCGCAGTTTATCCGGCTCAACATAGGATGAGAATTAATTATCTTAACTACAGCAGGTTTGCGACAGGAGAAACAGGCCGTAGACAGCAAAGACCTTGCACTACAGCCACAATGGTACGTATTCCTGTGTAGCTTTTCCACTACACACCCAATTTACTCACTGCCTATTTCTAGGTGTTCGTTTTGGGCGTCAATTTTGCAGAGGCCAAGTTGGTTAAGGTAGGGCCCCTCGTTGATTGGCCGCGATCGAGAGGAACGTGAGCGCTGACCGATGCCTTTGAATACGCAGAAAGCACTCGAGTCTTTCTACGGCCTGGGCCCCCAACTTTCGGAACGCATAATGGCCAAATACTCGATACATAAGCTTGCGAAAATGGGCTCATTGGCCCCGCGAACCATTACATCGCTGACTGCTGAACTGGGCCAGATGCCCATCGAGAGCGACGCGAGAAAAACCTTGCAGGACAACATCAAGCGACTGAAAGATATGGGCACATATAGAGGCCGTCGTCACGCCATGGGACTGCCCGTACGAGGCCAACGAACGAGAAACCAAACCGCGACGGCGAACAAGCTGAACCGCATCAACCGAACCGGCTGAAAAACGGACAACCTGTTTGGCGCTGCTTTACTGAGGAGGAGTTCCGTGTTTGGATCGCTGTACTTTATAACCCTGGATCCGCACATTTCAAGCGTTGATTTTTGAAACTGGCCGGATAGGAGACACGACCATGTACAAATATTTACTACACATTACGATGCAATACCAGCTATCCGGAGGAACTAGGAGAAAAGAAGCCAATGAATTCCTACTTTCCTTGTTTCCATGTACATGATTGAGTTTTGCAAAACACAGCTTATATCTCGTCCTCCAAAGCTGGTTCACCAGCAGCTTGGAGCTCCGCTGCAACAGCGTCAACTGCAGCCCATACCCGCAGGAGGTTACCGCCGATAACTTTCGAGGCATCTGAATCACTGACTCCATTCTTGAGCAGCTCAACAACAAGGTCTGGATACTTGCTCACATCAGCAAACCCCTCTGGGACTGATGGAATACCGTCAAAATCTGTCCCGACGCCGACGTGATCAAAGCCAATCAGGTTGCCGATGTGCAGAATATGACGTGCTACTTGCTGGATTGAAGCATTTTCTGGATCCGGATCCGGAATACCATTTTCATTGCCATTGTCAATGCAAGAAATAAACTCCGGCGCAATGTTGACCATGACCAAGGAGTTATGTCTCTTGACGAGCTCCAGGATGCCATCATTCACATTTCGCGGGTGCGGGCAGATGCTGTACGCTGAGCTGTGTGAATGAATGACGGGAGCTTTTGACCCTTCCCAACCCTCGCCTCCGCCTAAAACGTCGCGCATTGTATCATCACTGGAAATGGTCAGTGAACTCGATGCGCTGACGGGACTCATTCAATCATAACTTGCCTCACATGAGCAAGATCAACAATCATGCCGATTCTGTTCATCTCATGAACAAGCTTGCGCCCAATGGGACTGACGCCATGCCACTTTGGCGGCGCCTTTCTGGTCGGCCCGTCCAGAATAGCAGCATCAGCGAACTTATTGTGACAGTTATGCGTGAGGGTTGCATAGCGAACGCCGAGATCATAGAACAACCTCAAATTAGATACTTTGTTTCCGATCTGGTGCAGCCCTTCAACACCAAGGGGTGAAATGAGCTTGCCGTGCTTGAAGGCACGCAAGGCGGTCTTGCTGTCAACCGCCTGGGAGAAGTCATTAGGATATAGCTTCTGCAGCCTGTTGGTGACATCAATCTGGTCAAGTGTATACTTGACACCTTTTGGGTAGTTAGACTTTGACCTTTGGGGAGCATGGCGAATTACGTACTTGTAGCGTAATTCTCGTCGGAGAAGTCACTGTCATCTTTGGGACAAGGGGCGTAGACACTCCAAAAAGCACCACCTGAGGCGCCCTGTCGCAAACGATGCAGATCCACGTGCCCCGGCAAAGTCCCATTTTCAAAAGCCTCCCGGAACGCTGAACCCTCAATCTTGTTGCCGTACACTAGACGAAGCACCAATGGGAAATCAACGTGCCCATCTACAAATCATGGTTAATTTTCTATTTGTTAACTCTGCTCGCAAGACTTACCTATCAATGGCGTGTTGGACAGAATGCAGCGTGCTCTGTCATTCAATGCATTGAAACGACTACAGTCGCGTGTCTGACGACAAGTGCGTAGCTTGTGGACAGCATCGGGCATCCCCCACAACGTATGGATGACGACAGCTGTCGCTACAGCAAGAAGAATGAACTTTGTCCAAAGCGAAGGCTTCTGTGGTCTGGCAAAGGTATGCTTGGGCTTTCCCTTGTTCTGACTATCGGCGACGCTGATTGGGAGGGGCGCCATGTTTGGGGGAGATGGTAGCGGCAGCGATCAAACAAATAGGGGTGGTGAACGGACACTCTGGGCACTTTCAACGTCGAGACTGCTTGAGACGCTGCGGCATGTATTCTCCGAGAGATATTATGCCGGCTTGTATTGAGAATGCGGACGTTGTGTGTTGTTTACTCCGCAATCACATCGGTGACTGCTAGTTACCACACCACCTTCGAGTGGCTGGTGGTGTAACTACCTACCTACCTAGGTAGTTACAGTGCACTCTTTTCTTGCGACAAGCGTGTCTGGTGAGGTACCTACCGTAAGTACTAACCTACCTTATAATTGAAGGTAGGGTACCTACTAAGGTAGAGAACCTGTCGCGATATGCCCCCACAGTGCCTCACTGTGGTTAACAGCTCTCTAGTAACTACAAAAGAATACTGAAAGTCAATGGGCACACAGTTATAGGCAAGAGTGTATCATTATGGCAGAAAAATATGCATTATATGAATCACAGTTCTTACACTTCCTTTTGACTTTGCCCCTATCCCGTAGCCTTGGCTACCCGTCGGCTGGCATGAATACGAACTGCTGCTCAGCTCGGGATCTACCTAGGTACATAACCGTTAACTAGCGCACCTCCGGAAGCGTGTGAGGCGCAGGGCACAATGGGACGGCAGGCTCGTTAGCCACCTACCTAAAAAAAGAACATCCAACGCACAGTGCCATAATTTATACCTGTTAGGTCGGTTAGTAACAGGTAGCGCTTGGCCAGGCTCCCCAATTGTCCGTCATACATCCGTCTTCTGGCGCGGTGCAACTCGTGCCTGGGATTCTTCTTTGTGCCCTTCATAACCACACCATTTCACCATCACCGACCAACTTCTCCCTCGATCCCACAGCTTTACTCCCTGTCAGCTCTCAACTACCTGCTTTGGCCGATACCATTTGACGACCAAGAAACCTGCCGTAGCGCCCTTCCCCCCCCTCTATTTCGACTGCTCTGCCACCAAAGCCAGACTCCCGCGCGTCATCCTCTAGGCACAACTCAGGAAGCTCTGCGCAGACAGCAACCTCTCTCCACCTTTTCATAGCATACAATATCTGCATTTTTGCTGTATTTCTGTGCTCAAGTCGGTCAAGATGCCGGGGTTTGCGGACTCATTCTGGTCTAATGACTATGCTGGGGGTACAATTCTCTATTCGTGCCAACCCCTGTCGTTGCTAATCAGATGAATAGGGCTGGGTGTCTTGTTTGGCAAGCTCCAGCAAGGCGTCATGGAGGACCGACAGATTTTGACTCTTGCGCGACTGCGAGCCGAAGCTGAAGACGTCTACGGCCAGCGCCTCGCTGACATTGCCCCCGCCGTTGACCGGGTCTCTGGTGGCTTCTCTCGAGATGATGGCGCTACTGTTCGCAAGGTATGTAATGCGTAATGCGAAACTATTACTATAGGCCCCAACTTGTTCGTGATACTAATCTATGACCTCCCCAAGGCCTATGATGGCATGCGAACCGAGATGCAAGATGCTGCGAAAAGCCACCAACGCATTGCGCAAAATATCCGCGACCTCGTTGTTAATCCCTTCGCTCGTTGGTGCGATGCTCACGAAGCTCGTATCCAGGATTCGCAGGACGATTTGCAAGCGCGGACCAAAGCGCACGACCGACAGGCCGAAACCGTCAAAAAACTGCGCTCCAACTACTTCAATAAATGTCGTCTGGTCGAAGATCTCGAGGAAGAGAACAAACTTGCTTTCCAGGAACCTGAGTTGAGCCCTAAGAATGGCACCCAGATCCCGGAAATCAAGGTCCAGCCTCATAAAGAGGAGGAGAGTCGTGAGGACGAGGAGGTCTTCGAGATCGGCGATGAAATCTATCAACCTGATCAACTTAGAAAGATCATCTCTCATATGCTCTCGAATATCAAGATTGGAGAGACCAAGGTGCCAATTCTCGGTACATATCTCAATACTTCAGCTGGCTCTGATATTGTTGAGTACCTTCAACGAACGATGGCTATCAGCAGCATTAGCTATGCCGAGCGCATCGGCCAAGACCTCATCTCCAACGGCCTCCTTCGTCTGATTGGAAACGTCGGAAGCACCTTTGCCAACAGTTCTAAAATGTTTTATCAATGGCGTCCAAAGTCATTCCGTTTGGCTGGCATCCCCGAGAAGAAGCAATCACTCAACCGTACATTTTCTCTACCCATTTCGGAGTCAAGCGACTCTCCAGTTGTAGGAACTGTCAGTGAATATCTGGCCAACTGGAATGTTCTCAACAATTCTCACCCCAACGAGACACCTACTCAGCGACTACAAAGAGAGGGGCGAGAATCAGACGAGAAATACAAGTCTGCCGTCAAGAAACTTGACCAGCTGAGATGCGATCTGGAGCAAGCCATCTTCCTCCACCTCAAGTTCCTCGAGCAGTGTGAGCTGGACCGCCTCAAAGCTATCAAGACTGTCATTCTTGACTTCTCTGGAACTATCAGCAACGTCATTCCCAGCCTCCAATCCACGGTGGATAAGATGATGCTGTTTCAAGAGACGGTCCAGCCTCTCGGGGATCTACGATACCTCCTGGAGACATATCGCACTGGGGGCTTTGTCCCCCGAGTAGCCGTCTATGAGAACTACTACAACAAAGTTGATGACCAGATCTTTGGTGTGGACCTTGAGGCCCGTGCCCGTGCTGATAAAAAACGCGTTCCCGTTGTGGTTACTGCGATCCTGACCTACCTTGACCACCACTATCCTGATCTTGAAGGTGACGAGGCCAGAAGAGGTGTTTGGCTTGTGGATGTTCCCCTGGCACAAACGCACCGCCTTCGAGCAAAATTAAACAACGATGGCGCTATCTCCCAAGAGGTTTTCAGCGACTTTGACATCCCCACGGTCGCCAGCCTGCTTAAGCTCTACCTCCTTGAACTCCCTGGTACGTGCTTGCTCTCTCAAGTGGCAAGCCGCATGGATACTAACATTCACAGACTCTCTCGTATCTACTCATGTCTATGAAATCGTTCGCACCATTTACACGACGCCTGCTGCCGAAGGCACCGAGGCGTCACGCGTTGCTGTCCTACAACAAACCCTGTCCCAACTTAGACTCTCCAACATTGCCACTCTCGATGCCTGCATGAACCACTTTACTCGACTGATTGACTTGACGTCAGCTGATGATGCATACGTCGCTTCACTGGCTGCTACCTTGTCGCGCTGCATCCTCCGCCCTCGTGCCGAGACTTCGCTCACCATGGAAGAAAAGCATGCCATCAGATTGGTCCGCGACTTGTTTGCGCACAAGGATGCCATCTTCAGCGAACTGAAGCGCATGTCGACACTGAGTCATTCGTCGTCCGTCGGATCCAACAACCGACCGCGCGCCGTCAGCACGGACGAGAGCAACCGCAAGAACCTGGTGGAGGAACGAAACAGGGTCATATTGGAAAAGGCGACCGCTATCCGCGGCCGCGCCACCAGTCCTGCCCCTGGGACAAACCGACACCGCCGCGATCGCAGCACCGGAGGCCCGGAGACGCGCTTCCCCATCCAGACCAGCCCGACCACTAATGACAGACACCGGAGCAGTTTGGGCAGCGGTCTGGCCAGCGCTGTCAACCGCCTGAGCCTCGAGGTCCCCGCCGACGGGACCATGACGCCGCCCGAAACCCTCAACGGCGCGCCCGTGGGCGAGAACACCCGTGAGTGCACCGACAGCCTCACTAAGGGCACCCCGACGAGATTCGTCGGCGGCCGCCGGGTGCCCAACTCGCCTCCATCTGAGGAGATTTCGCGAGGCGTCACGCTTGAGGACAAGCCCATGGACGACTAGTCACGATTGTCCTTGGACATGTTGTTGGTGCGCCAGAGTTTTTTTTTTTTTTGCCTGCTTAACTGCTCCTTGTCTATGAGCGCGTGTGTCGCTAGTGCCATTTGAAGGGTTTTCGGAGCAGTAGCTATGTTCTGTATTGCTGTATCATCATCAGAAACATGCGTAACGTTGAGATGAGACGAAGCTACGTTGGGAAAGATTTGCCATGGTAGCGAAGGAAGGAAACATGATTTTCTTTTTGCGTCTGCTTTAATATGTAAACCGAGATAGTAAGAAGAAAAATGCACGATACCTAGTATCATTTTTCATGCCTGTCACAGTTGTTCCGTGATGTTCACCATAGTAAAGGCGGTTAACCGATTCGAGCAGCAGATACAGTCGAACATGAGTCTTCATACCGAAACGCTCTTTTTCAATACCCCCATTCTATAAATGCTATGGCAAGGGACACCAAGAAACAAATAGGACTCAATGGACAGTACGGTACAGTCACGCGTCGCCCGTTTCCGCATCCGCAGCCGCAGCCGCTGGTTGCTTTTTCGTCGTCCTCTTCTTCTTCTTCGGCGCAACCACACCTACTTCGGCATCACCCGCACCTTGTTCGCCAGAGCCTTGCTCAGGAACGACCTTTTTGGGTTTCTTCTTCTTCTTCGCCACCACCGTTTCCACGCCCGGGGTACCCCCAGCATCCACGCCCGGCGCCGTCAGTGTCTTCTTCTTCCTCTTCTTGACCACGATGCCCTCGACGTCGACGCCCTGCGCGACCTGGATACGCTCGTTGGCGCGCTGCATCTCCAGGCGCAAGCGCTCCACCTCCTGCATGGCCTGCTGCATCTCCGCCTCTTCACGCTGCTGTTGCTCGTGGTCGAACCCGCCGCCCCGCGGCTCGCCCTCGAGATTGAGAGAGCCAAGGGCGCTCGAGCTCACCTGGAGGAGGGACTGCTTGAGTTTCTTCGCTTTACCCCGTGCCGCAACGGAGTCGGAGTTGTTTTCCGACTCGCAGTGGCCGGGTGAGCTGTCGCCGCCCTGGAGGGTCTCGTCGGCAGCAATCACGACGCGCTGTCGTGGCTTTGCTGGTAAGCGTTTCGAAGTCGTCGGCGATGGTGCATTTAGTTTGTCGAGGTCAAGCTGCATGACAGGAATCGCATCAAGATCGAGATCTGGCCCGTTGCTATTTTGAAGAATATTGTGAATGGAGTTTGAGGCTGGCGGAGTATTGTCACTGCCAATATAAAATGGGTCGTCCTTGTTTCGGTCTACTCTTTCCGCCTTCCGTCGAGCAACAATGTCGGCGTCCAGATAGCTATCTTCGGAAGGCTGCTGGTAGGATGCACCGACATTCGTGTCTGGTTCAGCAAGGAGGCTGATGGCAGGAGCTGAGGATGAGACACTCGTAGGTGCCGGCCTCTGATGGTAGTAAACTTCAAACTCATCCGACTCATCCGCAGCAAGAGCGATAATGTCAGCTTTGGCTAACAGATGATTGAGATTGGAATGGATTGGCTCATCCAAGTCCAGTCCGTCAGAAACTGGCACATTTGACTGAGCACCTGCTGCAACCGAATTCAGTTCACCTCCGTTAAACAGCGATGGAATAGCTTGCGTCAGCAACAGCGGCGGATCTTGTGGCTCCTCGGCCGTTGACGCAGGCTGCCCTGAAGCCGCTTCAGCGGTCAGTTTAAACAGCTCTGTGAATTCAACAGCACGCTCCTGAACTTCGAGGCTGGGGTTTGAAGTAAGGGGCTCCATGGAGTGTAGTATACGCGCTAGCAACAACAAGGTCCTCGACTTTCTCTCCGCCGCCCACAAATCCGATTCGCTTCCCGTCAAGGACGCAAAGACCTTGGCGATGGCATGAACCACAACAGCTGCAACGTCGGGCTTGGTGTTGCGTGTCGTAAGCTGTAGCAATGAGTTCATGGTATCATCTGGCGCGGACAGCATATCAGAATATTCGCCCAGCAACCAAGCAACTGACTTGAGTGCCTCAGATGCGATGGAGTGTCCCGCTGGGGTGTCCGCAATAAGCTGCGATAATATACTCTCTGAAGCCCTCAGAACAGAGTGCCGCATAATTCGGACTTTGACAGCAACGTTTCGTAGTTCGTTTCCAATCTTCTCCGATACGCCGGCAGCAGATCGTCTATTTGTAGCAGCCTCCAGATCCCCGTCGGCTAGTCGTGGTACTGGTGTCATGCGAACAAGCTGGGTTAAAACATCGATATACCATTCAAAGTCGACAATATTGGCATAGTTGTCTTTGGAAGACATAAATAGAATTCTCCCAATAACGTCGATTCTATAGTCCTCGGGAATAAGCATCGCGTTCTTGTTGGATGCTGCGCTAGCAGCATTCTGCGAGTCCTCGTCAGAGTCTGCCGATGCGTCTGCTGAGTCCACTACAGCATCGAGCTTTCCCTTTGAAGGAGTGGCAGATTTCAGCTGTTGCATCAGTCGACTGACAATAGATACCAAATTGTCGCTAGTAACCATGCCCTGAACAAGATCGAGAGCCTGGATTCGGATCGTGATGTCTGGACTGTCGATGCACTCAAGGATGACATCTTCTTGCTGGGATACAAGATATGGGTGTGTAAGGACAATCTTGTTGAATGCCAAGAGGGCGACGTATTTCACTGTATTCTAGTCAGAATGCGGTGATGTATGTAAGTGCCAGCCAAGGTAGCTCACAATTTGGATCACCATTCATGATAATCATGCCTCGCAGTTTGTTGACGCAAAGAGTAGCGATTTCTTCGGTATCTGTATCATCAGCACTCCCAAGAATTCCGCCTTGAATTATGCCATTGATGCACTCGTATAGCAGCGACATAGCTGGAGTAGTGCGTATGATATTCGTCAGTGGTGGCAGCAATTTCTTGACAAGTCGAGGCTCGAGTGGTGTCAGGGTCGCAAACTACTGAGCGTCAGTACTCAAACCACATCCTAGCGTGCTCGGATCAAAGTATACCAGCTTGATCAGTTTAATAGCCATCCAATTGTTGCCTCCGTCAACCAGGAGTTCAAATAGCCTCGGCGCGAGCGGTAAAAAGTCATGAGGCCGGCGCCAACCAAGTTCGCAGACGACATTCACAATCGCTGCCGTGACACTGGGGTCTTCCTCTGCATCCATCAGCCGCTCTTTGATCTTTGGCCATGCCGCTCTGAGCGCTTCGGGGTATACGAGAGCAAGTCGGTACAGCGTGACAAGCGTCTTCTTTCGAATGTTGGCATGACTATGGCTCAGCCGAGGTAGCAAGTCGGCAAGGGTCGAAAGCGCAAGCGAGGGCGTGATGACGTGAGGGAGCGTCGCGATCGGCAAGGACATGACGGTCGGCGCGGCAGCGTTCAAGTCCTTTATCGGTCCGTATTAGTGGCAATAGTTGCTGTGGACAACTGTGGGCAGGCGTACCTTTTTCAGAAGATTGGTAGCCAGCATGAGGACTTCGGTGTCAGTGCGAAAGCTCTGGACAGCGCCCAAGTAGCCCACACGCTTCTGGGCGTACTTGGGAGAGGACATGACCTCGAGGACATGAAACGACGCCCATGACATATCATGGCCGACCATTTCAAGGTATATAAGCTTCAACAAGGCAGTTGCCTTGACATCTGCAGGCCCCTCATCAGAAGTTATTCCCGTGTAAAACCGTCCATATATGGATGGCACGAGGTCAGCGTCTTACCCATGTCTTGACTGCGCACTTCGATGCGGCATTCTTTCAGACTCTTTTGTATGTATTCCTTCTCAGTACCCTTGTGGTTTCTGAGACCCTGGATCAGGTCATATAGCGACTTTTCGAACCTGTATCAAGCACATGTATCAGCGTATGTCGCATAGCCCGCGCCATGCCCTGGGGCAGCCAATGTCCCGAGGACGCAGAAGCTTCCTGAGCCTAGCCTAAGCTTACATCTTGTCGGTCGTCTAACCCCCACGCGGGGCTCGCCTCGCAAATGTGAACACGCGCACACGAGAGCTTGGCTCGTCAAAAAGCAGTCTGGATGGGTCGGTCGTTTGGACAGTTCATCGCGGGGTGGCCCTGTTGCCGCTCGCAGCTCGCTTGATGGCCTTGCGTGCACGTGCGGTGTATCGAGCTAGCCAGAGCCCAGCGCAGGCATTCGATTTGGCGTGCAGGACAAGACGGGGAAAAGGAGAAGTCGGAAATAGGGCGAAAATGAGGCAAGGTAAATGATGTGGTGGCGAGCTTCCACTAGTAGGTTGACCTTTAGGCACACTTGTGGGGGTTGCGATTCTGGTGGGCAGTGGGTTGCATACCGTAATAGGACCCAAGGTAATAACGGAGGCACATTTCGCCTCGCCCGTCTGCAAATACCCCATGACATGACCAAATGTTGTGATTTAATAATTTACGAGACCAAAGCTGATGTCGGCGCAAAGTCACTGACTACATTTCTCTCCACCGCAAACGTCCTCATCGTGGATCCGAGAATCAATGGGAAGTACAAGTCATTTTTACAAACATCTCCGAGAAGTCGGTTCTATTTAAGTCCCTTTCCGAGCACCCAACCTCCAGCAACCTCAATCATCGAACCTCGAACCCCCATCACACCCTCGACATGTCAATCCGAGCAGCGACGAAACGTCTACCACTATTGCCTCGCAGCCGTCCCATCGCATGCGGCCGCGCATTTCTCACACTACCCAACGGCAAGAGTCAAACGCTCACAGCGTCGCGGACGCTACCATACACCCAGGACGAACTGTACAAACTCGTCGCCGACGTCGATTCGTATTCGCAGTTTGTGCCATACTGCGCCCAGTCACGCGTGACGCAGTGGTCAGCGCCCGACGACGCAGGCCGCCAGTGGCCGACGCGGGCGGACCTACACATTGGCTGGGGTGGTCTCAACGAGCAGTTTACGAGCCGTCTGCGCTGCGTGCCCGGTGTCTCCGTCGAGGCGGTCAGCGGCGACCCGACCGGCGCGTCGTCGGCGCCCAACGCGTCGGCCGTCTTCAAGAGCCTCGTCACGCGCTGGTCGCTGCGTCCGCTCACAGCGCAGCCGTCGCCGGCCACCACCGAGGTGAACCTGAGCATCAAGTATCAGTTCACCAACCCGCTATACGCGGCCGTCAGTGCAGCCGTCTCGGACAAGGTTGCGGCTCTCATGATTGAAGCCTTTGAAAAGCGGGCAAAGGAGCAGCTCGGTCACCACCGTCGAGCGTAAGAGAAGGAACAAGTATTTAGGATCGAGAGCATATTGACATATACATATAGAAAATGCATTTGTGCTAGATAGAGCAGAAAACGGGGAGCATCATCCAGAAACTAGAAGGCAAGAAAGAAGAATGAGGAAAATAGGATGATAGACATAAAACTGTATTCATAAAACTGTAATTCATAAAACACAAATTCATACAAAACTATCCTAAATGCGTCAACATGAATCATTCAGGCAGCGGAGCATTAGCCTGTCTCTAACTGGAAGAAAGCACATGGCCAGTATTGTAAACACCTGGGCAGGGAGCTGTGCCAAACAGCACAGCATGAGATCGCCTCTGCGCCTTCTAGCTCAGTATCGCATCTTCACCAACTAATCAAGTCATGAAATGAGTCAAAAGCACCAAACACTTCTCTCCATACACCAAGAGAGCCAGAAATAGGAAAAATGCTCGCCAAAGGGAAAAGGTAGTGGCGAACGGTCATATATATCAACAGGGTGGACAAAACCCAGGGAAACAACCCCAAAATTGCGAGTCCCGCATAATTCGTTACGAAAGATTGAGACTGTGTATGGCTCGGCGCAATAATCATCATGTCTCTGACATAATGACAACGTTGCCGGATTATTTCTTCCTACAAGACGTAGTTAGTCTCGTGAGCTATTGTATTTCATAATATTCGGCATGCGTACTTCTTCTTCACTGCCTTTCCACTTAAAAAGCCAAGAAGTACAGCGGGAGGAGGGCCCTTCTTCTTTTTGTCCTTCTTGCCAGGATCGCGAACAACGTGAATGCCAGGAGGAACAGGCGTCGGCTTGTGTACTCCCCATCCCTCTGGTGGCATCATACCGCCAGGCATGCCGCCGCGACCACGTCCCAGAGGAGGCGGCGCGGGGGGGGGCGCCATACCACGACCTCTAGCCATGCCTGCCATCATTCCTGGGGGAGCACGGTCTCGCTGAATGCGCTCCGGGGGCCACATGGCCATGGAAATTGTCCACTCCGGCTCGATGGTCTTTTCCCAGAGAGATGGTAGGATGATTTGTTTCTCAGGGCCAAATAAATCATACCATCCTTCATGGACCGAATGGGCCAAGTGCTCGACGTTGTCAAATGCCTGCTTGATCAACTCCTCCATATTCTGATAGAGGGGAAGACTGTTAGCTTTCTCTGTTTTCCATGATTCACCAGCGTGCGATTTGTGATGGGGTAGGAGGGTTGTTCTGACTTACCGGCCACGTCGTACATAGACGATATGGGAAGCTGTACTTCCGGTTCAAAGCATCCTTGAATTGAATAAAGGGGCCACGATCCTTCTTGGCCGCTGCTTCGAGGTTGGCTTTCGTTTCTTCCTGAACCTTCTTCGTGTAGGCATCCTTTTCAGCCTTTGCCAAGGCTTCTAATTCAGCCTTCTTGGCGGCAGCGTCCTTTTCCGCTTGAATCCTGGCTGCGAATTCGGCGTCGGCCTTGCGCTTGGCCTCGTCTTGGATCTGCTTCACCTTTTCAGCTTCTGCGGCGGCCGCCTTCGCTGCGGCCGCCTTGGCCTCAGCATCGGCTCGCAGTGCGGCTTCGAGGCGAAGCTTGTGTGCCGCCTCAGCCTTGGCGTGTTCCTCTGCTTCCTTCTTTTTTCTAGCCTCCTCGGCTCGTCTTGCATCCTCGTACATTATCCTGACCCTCTCTTCGGCCTGCTTCACAGCCTCTGCCTTTTGCTTCTCTCGTTCTGCGGCGGCGGCAGCCTCAGCGGCAATGCCGTCTCTGGTGGCTCTTGCAGCCTCCTCTCGGGCTCTGTTCAGTTCAATCTTGGTTTGCTCCTTGAAGCGCTCCATCTCCTCTACTAGTTTTCGACTCTCCTCAGCCGCCTTTCGACGTGCTTCGGCTTCTATTTGCTTTTCGCGTTCGGCCAGCTCCTGCAGCTGCTTCGCCTTCTCGAAGGCCGCAACCTGATCCTGTAGCTGAATCTCACGCGGGGTCGGTCCTGCGGGTGCGGGCGGCGGCGCAGGCGCGACAGGGGTAGGCGCGGCAGGCGCCTCCAGATGCATGCCAGGATGAGCCATCGGGTATTGCTGATAGGGAAAGTATTGGGGATACTGTGCCAACTCGCTGCCATATCTTGGGTCTTGAGCATAGCTGGCGGGGTTGGTGTAAGGGCTGGCCGCAGGACTGAAGGGGTTTCCGTTATATGCCATTACCTGGCCTTGGGGATAATAGCCATATCCTTGTGGGGGTTGGTGGCCTGACCTTGGGTAACCACCGCGGCCATACTGACCGCCGGGGTAGCCTTGGGCATAGGGCCCGTACTCGTCGTGGTGATCCACGCTGGGCGCAGGATTCGGCACGCGGCGTGCCGGCCGGTAATGTTCTTGATGTGGTAGGGGTTGGGTGGTCCTCAGCGGGAGGCGGGCGGGGTGTGCGGCGCGCGGCGCGGGTGGTACAGCGCCGTAGGAGACTGAGGCTTCGGACTCGCTGATGTCGTCGTCGTCGGCCCAGTTGTCTTCGTCGTGGGTGACGTAACCGTAACCGTCGTGAAAAGATTCCTCGTCTGGGATGAATTCAGGGTGCGAGGGCGTAAACAATGGTGAGGGCTCGCCCGAAGAAAAATGGGCAACAGATGTTGTCGTTCTTCTTTTTGGAGGATTAGCGCGCCGATGAAGCAACAAGGGATGTGATGATGGGGAGAGAGGGGGCGAGCAGTGGTGGTCGATGAAGTTTGCGACAGCGCTGATGATACTCACCGCATAGCAGAAGTCTTGTGTGTAGGGCCTTTACGCACGTCGATCCTTCTTTGAGGGTCGGTTCCGCAAGCAAGGGCGTCACAAGGACGACTTGGTAGGCTTGAGCGGTGGCAACGCTGGAGCGCGGTGGCCGCGGTCCTGAGGGCGCGCGGTGCAATAGGTCTGAGGCGGAACGACGATGCAAAGACGGGATTGCAACGGGGACGAAGGACCGGTTGCAGAAATGGCGGCGCAAAGATATTTGTGGTAATAAAATGGATAAAATGGTGGTGCTACGGCTGGAAAAGTAGGCCGCGGCGTTGCACAAGGTGGGCGAACAATAAAAACAAGCAGCCAGTCAGGCGGCGGATTGCGAGGGGTATGTGGTGTCTGACGGTGAAGTCTTGGTGCGGGCGCCCGGGCAACTGAAGCTTGGGGCTATGCTAACGAGGGTACCAACGAGGCACACTGGTAGGCTGGCGAGCTGGTACTAACAGATTCAAATATTCTAGGAGTGGAAGACGAATCTTGGGAGGTGTCAGCCAGGATGCAAAGCAGGGAGAAGATAGCCCGAGCTAGGGGGAGGGAGGCGTGAACTAACGGCGGGTGGTGCGTGTGTTTTGGTGGTGGTTGAAGTGGTGGGTGGAGGACAGTGGTGATGAGGTGGGTGTGCCGGTTGCCACTGTGAATCGGGTGTCTGCGTCTTGTGCTTGTGCTTTTTGTTGCGGTACTGGGAATGGATACGGGTACAGAGAAGAGAGCGAAAAAAGAAAAAAAGGAAGAGAAGAGTGAGGCAAGGCAAGGCGAGGCAAGGCGGGTGTGTTGCGGGCCGATGGATGGCCGTCAAGAGCCAGTTAGCAGTGAGGTAGGTAGGTAGACCAGGATGGCGTGTCAATTCGGGAGTGTTGACAGTGAAAGACGGGAGGGTCACACGGTGAGGAAGAATCGGGTTGGAGCTCTCTCTGTCAAAGGGCGGCGACGGCGACGGCGACGGCGACGGTGAGGGCAGCAATGGGCGCGTGTGTAGTTTGGTGGCTGCGTGAGGAGCAGATGGAGAGGCGGTGAGTAAGTAATAGCGGGAAGAGAGTTACCCAAAAAGGGCAGTATGTTGATTTAGCCGCGGGAGAGGCAGCTTGGGGAAGACGAGGGGAGGGGAGCGAAAAGGCAGTTAGATACCTAGGTAGGTTGGAGGTAACCAGGTAGGTAGGCCGCCAGGGACATACCAACAAGGTGACAGGCAAACGGGGGGAGCTTGGTACCTAGCTTGGTTGCTTGGTTGTTTGGTTGTTTGGTTGTCTGGTTGGTTGCTTTGTTGCTTGGAGGGGCTCGGCTCTCTTTGTTTTGAACTGCACAGCTGGGTTCTCGTTCCTCGTTCCTCGTCGTCTGGTGGTCTTGGTGGTGCAATGTACCCGCCGCTCAAGTAGCGTGGGTAGGTACCTACCTAGGTATTCAAGCGAATTGGTACCTAGGTACTTAATAGGTAGAGGTAAATAGACAATCAATGCGCCCAATCACAACCCAGTCATCAATGGTGTGCACAACAAAAATCTCACTGGCCAGCCTGTTCGTTGCAAGCTCTTCCTCAAGTCCAAAACCCCGTGCAGGGTGGCAACTGCGCGGCCCAGAACGTTCTTCAGCCGGCGTTGACCTGAGACAGCGTCAGACAACTGGCCAGTCAACCAGTCTAGTTCAACCGCCGAGCGAGCAAGGCTTCTCCGGCACCCTTGTGCAGGTTCGGCCCAGGCACTGGGTCGACTTGTCCCAGGTTTTTTTCTTGTGATCCGATGGATGTATCGTCGCTGCAGGACACACACACTCGCACGCAACGCAACGCACGCAACACACGGGACTGGGCGGCGAATCTGCCCAGTTCCTCTGCAGCCCAAAGCTGGGGGTTTGGCTCGGTTGCGATGCCACAAGCCAGTTGCTTGCTTGCTTGCTCAGGCAATGGTACCCAATAAACAGGGCCGATGGCGCAGGCACTTGTGGTGAGGCCCAATCTTTGCTCCAGTAACGGAACTTGGTCGACAGATTCCCACTGCGTAATCGACCTGCAAGTCGTGATGGAGTGCAGTAGCAACAAAAAAACCCCTCTTTTTTTCTTATATATATATATGTATATATATATTCGATACGTCAATAGTCTGAACAGATCAGCGACGTCGTGTGTCGCGGCAGGCCCAAACTAGGCAGCCCGGGGCCGCAACTCTCGCGAGAAAAAGAGAAGGTCTATGCCGAGCGTAGGTATGTAGGTAGTTAGCCTGCAGGAAATAGATGGCAACGAGCTGCACGAAAGATGAAAGGCAACGGGGATGCTCGCGTTGCACCTTTCTATATAGAATTATTGAATTATACGTGCCCGAGCGCAGAGGGGCTGTACTCCCATTTTAAACACTTTTTGGCCCGTCACTTTCGGCCGCAAACTGGCCTCACGTACACTCGCAACCGCAAAATTTTCTTGTCAATGCCATTACGCCAGCTCTCCCGGTAACTAGGTAGCTACAGCCCGCCTTTTCGTCCTGGTCATGGGCCGGATTCGCACCTGCGCTGCCTCGTTGGGCCTCAATGCCAGGTCGCAACCAGCGCCTGATGCCGCTCGCCGCTCTTGATGCTGCCGCCCGGCTCCACATGCGCACCTTTCATAACTAATAATCTACCTAGGTAGGTCCACAGGCTGGTAAACAACTTTTTACCTTGATAAATTGATAAATAGCCGTCTCCGCCACCCTCTAGCTCTCTAGCCGTTAATACGGCCCGCAACCAGCACGGCACCTAACCGCACTGGTGGGGCATCTGGCATCAATCGCTGTCAGTCATCAAGTCTGTCTGTCATCATCACTGTCTGTCAGTCATCCCGGCCCATGTGTGTGGCAGGACACACGACATCCCCAATCTGTCACTCAACATGTCTGGCAGCCCTTGCTGTGGCTTGGCGATTCACGTATTATTAGACAGACAACGTAGCACAATTTGACCGAGAAAATCTAGAAGACGCGCGGCTACACAGGGCAACATCGCTTCTACTTGTACCACCATTCCTTCTTCTTGTGCCGCCCTCCTCTCACACGCAAACCTCTCGGGGGTTCCTTTAAGCAACTAGTTAGGTACAGCGTTTCCCTCATGACCCACGCCGCTCCTGCAGTGAGACACTTTTACTGCCCTGGCAGCCCAATCGTTGCGTGCATGAATCTTGAAACGGTCAAAAACGCCCGCCGCCTTGTAATCAACCACAATAAACATTCCAAGAGTCTGCCTACCAGGCTCTTCCCAATCTTATGCCATCTTTTCGCTTCATCCTCGCACACCCTACCTAGTCACTTGGGCTGATGTTCGGGAAAGCAATTCCCGCGCCGCAGCAACCTCGGCCGCATCGTATCCTTGCCACAGCTTTTCCTGAGCTCCATACCGGCGTACAATCTCCGCAAGCTTTGCCGTCGCCATTTCATTCAGTTTTTGTATGGTCTTGCTATCGGGAATCATGAATCCTTCGTCTTGCTGCTTCTTTCCTTTGGCGGAGCCTTCAAGCAATCTATCGGACGACTGAGTGCACAATTAGTTTGATAGGGAGCAAGCGCAAGGAGCTCGAGTCGGTACATACCAGCTTCAGGCCATAGTACCCGCGCAAGAAATCGTCACACAACTCGACACTGCGGGAGAATCGTTTCAAAGCTTCAATGACATATTGCTGCCCGTTTCCTTCGGTCGACGTCGATGCGGCCATGAGAGAAACCTCTCCGAGTCGGGCTTGCGTCTACACGAGCATGTCAGTGGCTGCCAGATCCGCCCATACTCCATGACTTACAGTCCAAGAGTTTGGCAGTAGAACCAAAACCTCCTCCAATGAATAGATAGCCTGGGCATATAGGCCTTCCTCCAGGTACAAGTCGGCCAGCTCCGCCCACGACTCGCCATCAGTAGTGTTGAATTCGAGAAGAGTATTTAAAGCGGCGATCGATTCCGAAGTCTTGCCCATTGATCGAAGAAGGGCGACTTTGCGCTTGGCAATTGGCTATCGCGTTTGTTAGCCACCCTAATTGGCCCAGTAAGAGCTCGGGGTCGAAACGTACAACATTGGCGTCATTCTCTTTCAAAACAGCATCATATTCTGTGAGTATCTTTTCGAGCTCATTATTATTTGTAGCCTTTGCTTCCTTGGTCAGGCCCTCCAGCGCCATCACGCGCTCATCCTGCGGGCCAAATCGAATGACGATTCGTTCCAGGCAGTCCGAGGCCGCCTTGTCGTCGCCAGTTCGCAGACAGGCCAGCAGGAGGTTCTCGTAGATTGTCCACACGTCGCTCGTTTCCGAGGCAGAAAAAATTGCAGCCAATGGTGACGCTGAAAACACCTTTGGGTTGCTCTTCAGCACCTCCGGCGCCAGCTGCGCCAGCTTCAGTGCCTCTGCATTCGACAGGTGGACCTGCGGGCGGAGTAGGGACGGCGCCATTTAAAATCGGGCTTCGTACCGCAACAATCGAAATATTTGTGTGGCACCAAGGTTAGGGACCAACTGTTCCGATTAGTCGAGGCTGTTTGTCGATGCTGTGATGCTGTGATGCTGAGGACGGACAGCTTGTCGCAACCTACCGGCTTGGTTAAGGCGGAGCCGGCGAATTTCCGCCCCGGCGTCCACAGACGAGCTCAGAACTCCACTTCCACGCAGCTACACCAAACTAATACAGAAGAGCAACAGGCTGCTATTGGTGGTAATACAGTAATATGCAAATATATAGGTATTTCGCCTCAAAGTTTCTAGAATTTTGACAAGTTTTTCAGTACTAGCACGCTTGACAAAGCTCCCAATTTGAGTAAACATGCTTGGTACCTGCGTAGGCACCTTGTTGGTGAGGCTAGGTAGGTACTTGTTCGGTACAGGACCGCATTATGTCAGCAGACTAATATAACCTCAGTCAGTTTTTTTCACTTTCTGTCGTGGGGGCTCCAGAAATTTTCATCCTCTTCCACTCCTCCCTCTCCGTCTGTGCCAGGACAAACGCCTACAGAGGCCTTGGGGCCGGGGATTATCTGTGTATACACTACGACTCTCTCCATCTGGGTAATACTCAACATGGAAGCGACTCTATCAAGAAATCCTTCAGTCGAGGCTGCACCTACAACGGAGCTGGAAAAGCTCACGGTTGCGGGGGACGCAGCCAACGCTGAAGTCCCTCCGCATAGGTCGCATGACTCGGCAAACAACTTGAAGAGGACCGATCCGTTTCAATTCGGCAGCCGCTTTCTAACGCAGGAGGACAACGTTTACGAGTTCAATGCCTGGGACCATGTGGAAACTGACGATGCATACAAGGAGTATACTGAGCTGCAGCTTGAGAAGCAGCGCCAGGCACCCGTTTCTGACTTTGACAAGAGTGAGTTGAATCTTTCTTCAGTTATTTTGCACAACCCTTGCCGTGATGATATCTAAGCAACACTTCATCTGAATATTCTGATGAAATCAAGTTAACTATAGTCTTTCGCTCCCATCTGAGCTCCATATCCTTCACCTTCCAAACGTACATGAATTTTTTTGGAATCGTACGCTAACACGTATTGCTCAGGCAGATTCAACAGTAATCCCGAAAAGTGGTGGAATCTCTTCTACAAAAACAACACTGCCAACTTCTTCAAGAACAGAAAGTGGCTGCTGCAAGAATTTCCCATCTTGGGCGACGTAATGGCAGAAGATGCTGGCGCCAAGGTCATTCTCGAAATCGGCGCCGGCGCCGGTAACACGGCGTTTCCGATTCTCTCCAACAACAAAAACTCCCAACTTAAGATTCACGCTTGTGACTTCTCCAAGACTGCCGTAGAAGTCATGCGCAAACATGAAGAGTACAATACCGAGCAAATTCAAGCCGACGTCTGGGACGTCGCAGGCAAAGAGCTGCCGCCCGACCTCGAAGATGGATCCGTAGACGTGGCCATTTTGATCTTCATCTTTTCGGCGCTGTCGCCGCAGGAGTGGTCCCGAGCGCTGCACAACGTCCATAGGCTGCTCAAGCCAGGCGGCACCGTCCTCTTCCGTGACTACGGGAGAGGCGATCTTGCGCAGGTGCGGTTCCGCAAGGGCCGCTATCTGGAAGAAAACTTCTACATTCGCGGCGACGGCACGCGCGTGTACTTTTTTGACCGCGACGAGCTAGGCGATATTTGGTCAGGCAAGAAAGCCGAGGACAACGGCGAGGCTGGCGTTCCTAAGTTCTCCATCGACCACCTCGGTGTTGATCGTCGCTTGCTGGTCAACCGCGCGGAACAAAAGAAAATGTACCGATGCTGGCTACAAGGACGATTTACAAAACGATAGACATGATAGATTTTTTTTTTTAAGAATACACGATCAAGCTTATTGGAAATGCTATGTTGGTGCATAGTCGTAAAGGGCTTTGAGTACTTGTATATACCTTTTATGCAGCGATGTGCATCAAACGAGGAGAGTATCGCGGACGAGTGCACGTCGAGACTGGTCGAACCCTATCGAGTCGAGGTACGGGTCAAGGCCACCGAACCTCTGATCAAGATGACTCTTCAGCCCTGACATCATCTCGCGGTGCGTATACGCCCATTCCTCGGTCAGACCGACAGATTTGACCTCGTTGATCAGCTGCTCGCGCTCAGGGTCGAGGCCCTCGTCCGTGAGGAGGTAGTCGTACTCGATGGCCGACATGGGGACTTCCAATATCATCAAGAGGAGGCAACAAATCAGTCCTACGAGCACATTGTCAGCATACTTTTCCTCAACACCCACTGTCACGCCCATCCGTACCCGTCCGATCTTTGCCCTGAGTGCAGTGCACCAAAACGGGCGTCGTCTGCGTGCTCGTGTAGAGCGTCAGCGCCGCGGCAATCTCCGCGCCCGAGTGGTCCAGCTTGTCGCGGCCGATGCCGAGCAGTCCGCGCGGCACGAGGACGTTTTCGGCCACGATGCGGATGGCCTCGTTGCGGTAGTTGAAGGCGTAGAGGAAGAGGAACTGACTGCTCTCTGTCGTTAGATCAGTTTTCCTTTGCAGGGAGCATGATGGCGGCTACATGACCTAGCTCGAGGCACGTACAGAAATTGCCACCATGTGAGAAGGCTAGCTATGTGACGCTCAAAGCTGCGACCTGTCACCTTGATCTCATGATACTGGATGCCCGGGATATGATACGTTTCTGGGATGGAGGGATTCGTGACGCGCTGCGCAGCACGCTTGGCTGCTTGGCGAGCTAGCTCAGTACTAGTTACAAAGGGCGGACAGATGATGATTAGTAAATGAAAAGAAAGACGGAGTCGGCATAAGAAATTCGCGTGGTTGCGATGGCGTACTTTGTGCGCAAGTCTATCACGGTGCGGATGCCGAGGTTGTCGGCCAGGTACGCCATGTCATCGGGTGATGCATTGTCTATGGTGATGACATGTCGGATCAGCATATACCGTAATGAATTCAACCATGTTGTTTTGTTTGAAAACAAGTCAAGTTGAGTCGAGCTTACCTGGCCTGGCAGATCTATATACGAGCCCTTCTCGAATGACCCTAACGATACGGTCGTGTTAGCGATGATGCTGAAGCATAAACAAAGAGTAACTTGGGGACCGACTTTTTGCCGAGAAACGAGTTGACAGTCTTGCCAACATCGCGAAAATTGGAGACCTCTTGGAGTGTGTGTTCTTTTTCTAGGGCCATGCTTTACAGGGCACCAGTGTGGCTTTCGTATTTAACGGGAAATGAGGCCGGTAGGTGACTGTTCCAGAGTTGGGAGGTTTGTGGAGAAATCGTAATGTGGCAGGTAGTTGTGGTTGGTGATGGCCGTTATTACTGTGAGCTAGTTGAAAGGCACGCTGGCGGTTAGAAAAACGCGACGAACAGACTACGTTGTAACTGGGTATAACTGCATTTTGCCGTCTAGTATAATTCATTATAATGAATGGTCGGTGACGGTCGTCAGAGATACGGCTATTCATGCACGTTTGCGGATGACCACAGGACTTGTATCGTTTCTTTTACTCGGGACAATATAAGATATTTTTTTTTTGGTACGATCGGCCATGCGACCAGCTCTACTCCCTCCAAGCCAAATTCCATCCGACGGCAAGAAACCGCAACAGCAGACCACCACCACCGATGTATGTATCCCTGTCGAGCGTGATGGGCGTGGACTGGTGCGAGTTCTTATTTATTAATTGGGTAGCCTTCCAAGGCGGGAAGCGCGATGCGATGGCTAACTACCTTAAAAGTACCTGCTAGTTTACTAGGTAGTTAGGTCGGGGTGAACGGGGGTGGTGAGATGGAGACGAGGGTATAGCGACGTCATCAGCCCATAACCTTTTTAGAGGGCATCTCATGGGAGTGGTAATACTAGGCTCGAAGCGGGTGGGTTTCGTTTGAGGTGGGCATTGACAAGGGCATAAGGGCATAATGATGAAGCTGGGAAGCAGGATTGGGCCGGGATATGAGGACAGTATGAGCAGTCGCGCGCAATAGCTAGCTCTGGGTGTGGTGACGGTGACTGCAACGGTTGAGGGTTGGTTATAATAAGATATGGAATGTAGGTACTAAGTCCAGTCGATTTAGAGTTTGTAGCCTGTAACTAGTTCAGTGCCCCAAAATCCGGATTGTGTGCAGAGTCTCGATGACGTCAGCATTGGCCGTACCAAAATCCAACTCAGTACTTGCCTTACTAACCGAGTAAGGAGGTACCTCAGGTACCTAGGTATCCGCCGGCCTGTCCGCAACGGACCCCCCCAAAACGGTATTAACTAACAGGTACCTTAGTGTTAGTATGTACCTACTAGTACTAATCTACCTGGTAGGTTCCACGGGCGGCAGAACCAAGCTTGGCCTCATGAGCTTGCCCAGATCCCTCTTCCTCCATCCCATCCTCGTTTCGCCTGCTCTGCCACCGAAATTGCTGCTTTTGTCGCTTTTGCTTGGAATACCCTAACTCCCCATCCTTTCTTATACAGCTCTAGTGCCGCCCGCTCCGTTCCTGCTGCTGTCTGGCTTCCCTTATCAACTGCTAACATCCCATCGTTCCCGGCGCATCGAGGTAGCTCTCTCAACCATCTTACCCAAGCCGCTTCTTGGTTGCTTCCACCCCCAGCTACAAAACCACGACCGTCAACACTCTCGATTGTGTCACAAGATATCAATAGCTCTACCATCTACTTGGAGCAAATAACCCCTGCATTGTCTCTGAGCCATGCCCAAGTCGGCTCAAGGTACGTCAGTAAACTAACTACACCTCGTAACAAACCACGAGATCGCCGCTCTTTTCTCGCAACTGCAGCAGCCACTCGATCGATCCACCAATCTCCCCCCCCTTCCTCGCGCCCCCGCAATTTGCGCATCCTAATATACACTCATGCATTCTGCACCTCGGTCCGTTGCTACAAATTTACTTACACATCCTCCTCTTGCCCAGTTTCCACGGCCGGCAGGCTCAAGTATGCCGACCCTAAAGACCTTCCCAGCTACCCGTCTGCAGGCCTCAGTGAGAATGGTGCTGCCGCCAGCGCCGCCGCCACCCTAGGATGGGCCAACCAAAAGTCCCCCGAGCCCTGGCGGCCGGACAAGACTTCCTCCGCATCGGCTGCCGCCGCTCTCGCAAAAGATTACAAGTCCTCGCCGGCGTGGGAGCCCACCAACAGCAGCGGCGCGAGCAAGGCCGCTCTCCTGGCTGTCGGCTCCGCTGGTGCCGCTCTCAAGCAACCGCCCATTGCCCCAAACAAGTCTGCCCATGACAATTGGGGCAACTCGGCAGCTACTCAGGCTTTTAATGCTACTCGCCCGGCTCCTGCCCCGGCTGTGAGTGTTGCCGGTGGCGGCACCGCTGCCACGCAAGCTTTCCAAAGCAACCGAGCCTCCACGGCCGAACCTACCGTGCACTCCTCTCCCAAAAAGCCAACCGAGCAGCGCTCACTTGCTGCTGCTAAAGGCGCTATGGCTTCGGCTAAGACCGGCTCTGCACATCCTAGCTCCACGCATAAACATCATTCTAGTCTGGAGGCCAGCGCCGCATCCAGTGCTCTCAATGGTGCTACTTTGGCCCATCGCAACTCTCTCATGGCTCAAAAGCCTACAATCAAGGAAGTCGGGGCCGTTCCTATTACCAACATGACCCGAAACATGTTTACATCTCACCCGCCAGTCAAGGTTGAGACTGACGAGGAGCGAATTCACCAGACTGCTGTCGAGATGGCCAGGAAGATGTACCAACACCAGCAGAAGAAGCTCGAACAGGCTAAAGATGCACAAAACGACCAGGAGAGCACTCCGTTCGCTGGCACCTACCTCAACCTTCAGGACGCAGCGTACAAGCAGGCCCAGGAGCGCCTGGCCAAACTTCACGATGAGCACCAGCAGAACCGTGACGCGCAAGAATACTATGGCAACTCGTCTTCGCCGCGCCGTAAATTCTCCATGACCAACAAGCTGCGCCGCCGCGCCGACAGCGATCCCGATCCCGAGGACAAGGTTCGCTCCGAAAAGATTCGCGAGCAAATGTCCATGTTCTCAAGCAAGTTGTCTCAGGTCGACACCGAGAAGCGAGCCAAGGACCGTGAGGCGCTTCTCGCTGCCGCCCAGCGCAACGTCAAGGCTCGTCTCCAAGGCATGGACGAAAAGGTCTACAATGAAACTGGCAAGCGCAACGCGTCTATGTTATCCGACTGGGAAATGAAGGCCCAACAAGCTGCGCAAGCTCGATCCGATACGCGTGCTGAGAACAAGGGCAAGATTGATATTGGTGGCGGTAAATTCATGACTCAGGAAGAAATCAATGCTATTGCTGTCAAGAGGTTGCAGCCCGTGCTGGATGACATCAACGAAAAGGCGGAGAATGAACATGCACGTGTGGCCACTTTGAAGGCAGAGGAGGACGCTAGACGCGAGGAGCTGGAAAGGATCAAAGCCGAAGAGCGTGCCGAGAAGGAAGTGGCTAGAAAAAAGAAGGGTAACTTCCACTCTATATATTTACACAATCATGCTACGAGCTAACACCTATTACAGAGCAAGAAAGAGCCGAGGAAAAGGCCAAGCGTGACGAGGAGAAGCAAGAAGCCAAGGCTAAGAAAGACGAGGAGAAGTTGGAGGCAAAATCCAAAAAGGACGAAGAAAAGGCCAAGAAAGCGCAGGAGAAGGCTGAAAAGGCAGAGCAGCAACGTTTGGCCAAGGAAGAGAGGCGCAGATCGAAGCTTGGTGGCGCAGCCGTTGCCACGGCAGGAGACGATTCCGCAGCTCACCATTCGCGCCCTTCTCACGACGCGCGTCCTGCCACCGCGGCTGAAGAAGACGACGACAGCGACGACCTTTTGGATACTGATGATGAGCATGAGGAGCACAGAGCCGCTACCGCAGCCACGCCCAACAGCCACACCGTGGAGAACACCGAAAGCACACCCCGCAAGTCGGTGGAGGGCTCCGCCTCGTCGCAAAAGTCCAAGTCGGGCGTCAAGAGCTGGCTTAAGAAGCGCTTCTCTATCTCCCACAGCAAGGACGAGCCCGTCGCCGAAAAGGAACAGCGCGAGAAGCGCCGCAGCTTCTTTGGCGGATCCGCGTCCAAGGCCGCCGACAAGCCAGAGGTTGCCAGCCACACCGCCAGCCTGGACAACCGCTCGTCCAGCATCCGCGATGTGGCGCTCGCAGGCAAGACCGACACCGAGGTAGCCACCACCCAGACGGCCGAGGACGTTGTCAAGGTTCCCGCGCTCGAGATTAAGCCGCCAGAGGCGGAAAAGGCCACTTTGTCCGCCGCCGCCGCCGCCGCCGCCGCCGCCGTTAGTGGCCACTCCGTTGTCGCGGACAAGGAGCAGCCTGCAACCGCCGAGACGGCCGACAAGGGCTTGGAAAAGGCAGACTCGCGTGGCGTCAGCCCCGTGAGCACGCCATTTGAGGACGCGGAGGAGCGAAGCCGCGCCCTGGAACTGCCCAAGCTCATTGACGAGGAACGTCGACGGAGCAGCAGCATAGCGCGCGACTCCCGGTTCAAGGAAGAGATGTAAAGAGTCTGAGCCCACCTGAATATGTCGACGTTTTTATTAATGCCCTAGTTGGAAAGAGGATACCTTTTTTTTTTTACATTTACTTGTTCTTTTTTTTTTTTTTTTTTTTTTTTTTTTAAATAGCTGCTGTTTATTGTCTTTATTTTCTTCGTTGTAAAAAGAGGTGGGAAAGCGTGACGAGTTGGGAGTCATTTTTGCAACACCATTCCAATTCGACTTTTTGATTATACCCTTACTGTATACTACTTACGTGTTATCAGATGAGAGCAAGGGTGCAGATGATGTCGCTCGTTGTGGTGCGTTCTTTTGGTTCCGAGTAGATAGTCACCATGTTCGAAATGACTTTGTTGACAACTTCACGAAAAGACTCATGCTTGCTGGTTGAAAACTCCTGTTATTAATACACCATCTATCTTACCCAGCCCATAAAGACTATTAATCATGTATCCCAATGAAAACCCCGTTATCCAAACCCGATAAAAATGACCCCGTTCTATGTCGGTTTATTCCGTGACCAATCCGGTGTGAAAACATGCGCCGTCCCAGTATGTACTATGTACAGAAACCCGCGCCCATAAAACTTTATACAGTAGGACCGGTTTCTCTCTCTCAAGATGCTCCAGTATTAATGAGGCTGTTGCCATTGACGTTGCCTTAAGTATTGTCGTTGACTTTGCCGTTGACGTTGCCGTTAACGTTAGCGTTGGCAATGCTGTTGCTGTTGCCGTTATTATTGCTGTTGACGTTGTCTTTGGCGTTGCTGTTGATGATGCCTTTAACGTTGTCATTAACACTGCCGTCGACGTTGCTGTTAACATTGTCGTTGACGTTGCTGTTAACATTGTCGTTGACATTGCTGTTGCCGTTGACATTGTCGATGACGTTGTCGTTGAAACTGCTGTTGACGTTGCCGTTGCTGTAGTGGTGTGGCGTCGTGGCACCACTGCCCTCTTCCATTTCGCGAGGGCCGCGTTTCTCAAAGCGCGCCGTATGCGGCTTGGTTGTGACTGCTGGGTAGAGGTCGATGACGAAAGACAAAATGAAAAAGGTAAAGAGAAAAGCGATGGCCCATTCGAGGATGGCGGCAACGTCGTTTTGTTTGGTGAAGTTAGTAACGACAAACGCAATAGCCATGGTCCCTTCGATCAATACGACGGCGAGCTTGGCCCAAAACGAGGCACGGAGGTCGCGGTGTTCTCTGTGCTCTGCGAGAAATCATGTTAGCATCTCCAACAGGGCTTCAAGGACGGAAAAGGAAAACACTTACTGATGCCCAGCCGCTGATATTCACAGCAGGTGCAGACAGCCGAGAGCATGTAGCCACCAAGAAAGAAGAGCAAAAACACATAGTGGAGCTTATTATAATTCTTGGTGTCAAAGACGGACAGTAAAATCAAGCCCATGGTGCCCATAACGCCAAAGACAATGGTACCGATGGCGAGCGACCTCTCGCCTCTTGACGAGTTGGGCACGAGGCGGCCCTGGTGGCGCAGCCAGCGCGCCGCCAGCATGGACAGGTCGAGGAAGACGCAGACGACGCAAGAGCCGGCGATGAAGAGCGGTTTGAGCACGTCGGCGCCGACGTTGGAAATGAAGACGACGCTAATGTCCTGATCCTGATAAGCGTAGGGCCGCGAGTGGTCGTTGATGATCCAGTGCAGGAGCATGCCGAGAAGCATGCCGACCCAGACGAGGGCCGAGATGATGGGCAGCCACTACCAGACGCGTTAGCAAAGGACGGGTTCTCATCTGGATGGATCTGTGTCTGTGTCTTGGCAGCGCACCCAGAATGAGATCCAGCCTTTGACAGCCATTGTGAATTGGAAGGTGTGATGAGCGTGACTTTCGAAGCGGGTGTTGTGTTCGGGCAGGTGCTCTCGCCAAAAATAAAACCTTGAAGACAAGTTTCCTGAAACAGGAAAGAAAAAGACAACAATGAAGATGCAAATGTGTTTGAAAATGGGAAGCGCGATGAAAGCTCTGCAAATGTCGAGAAACCAGTATTTGGATGAAGAGTCGACGATGCAGATCGACAGGCTGTCATCCATGTAATTCCAGAGGGGGGGGGGGGGTCAGGTGGGGAGGGGTACAGTGGTGACGTCAGGCCGGCAACTACAGCAACACGCGCTTCACGCGTTGTGGCTGACGCTGGTGAACGAGGGGATCATTGCCAAACAAAATTGGTGTTTTTACGTGTCTAATTTGAAAATACATACCATATTGTCTCGATTCCTTCTCGAAAGCGATCGTCCTTCCAGTACATACGCCTTTAATTTGTACTGGCTGATTAGCTCCGTGTCTGACCGTTATCTCCGCTGTGGCTTGCTGCTGTGCTGCCACAGTGGACCAGTGAACGCCTTGGCGATCACACGAGCTGAGACGACAATCATTGAGACCTGATTCAAAAACTACCTAGGTAGGTAGTCATGCCATTAACCACACACAACTACACAACATTTTCTTTCCCATCATTGACTTTTCTCTTCTTCCTCCCAGTATCTTCATCCTGCAGTGTGCGCTTCCGCCGCGTCTGCATGCATTGCCGCAATTTCGATCGAAGCGACGATGACGCTGGCAGCTCCTCCAACAACGTCGCCACGACATCCCCTCCCTCCTCCCCCTCCGTCGTTGTGTCGGTAGACGGCTCACGCGACATCAGAGTCTCGTCAGAGTCCGGCCGGCTGCTCGCGTCCGTATCGCTCGCACCCGGTGACTCTCCTTCAGCTTCCGTCTGCGATTGTTTAAAGAGTCGCACGGGCAGCATATTGCGCAGCTGCCTGCGAAAGTCCCTGGCCGGCACCTCATCCGTGCCCCTTTCCGGCCAGCGGTACCCAAAAGTGACATTGTACCCAAAGATGACGGCGCCGTCAGGCTCTGACTCTACCTCGCTGTCTGTTGGCGGTACGTGGCCCGGCGCGGCGCGCGAGGCGCTACTGGGCTGCAGAACCTGCATGGGGGCGACGTGGCAGTCGGCCCGACCCTGTTCGGACGGCGGTCGCGTGCAGGGACACGCCGCGTACGTGTCGGCGGGCGAGCGCCAGGCGATGCCGCGCGCCAGCTCCCGTGGCGCGGCGTGGGCGTCCCCGTGCTGCTCCATGATGTCGATGAGGTCCGCGACGCTGGCAGCTAGGTTGTAGTTCCCCGTCGGTAAGCTGCTCCATCGTTCGCACAGGCCGCCTGCCGCTGTCGCTGCCGCTGCGCCGCTGTTCGTCGGCTGCAGGAGCTCGCCGAATCCCCGGCCAAAGAGCGTAATAGCGCCAATGGCGCGCACAAAGTCCACCCAGCCGTACCCGAGAAATCCCAGCGTGGCGACGCGCGGCCTCAGATCGTGTTCCTTGGTCAAATCGGCAAATTCCCAACCCTCGAGGTGCTTTCGCAAGTGCATCTTGAGGTTGACACCGTCGCGGCCGGCGAGGTTCGAGTGAAAGTCGACAATCTTCTCCAGCGCGCTGAGATGCTGCTCAACGAGATCGCCAAAGAGGAAATAGCTAGATGTCTGCGTATGTGTCAATATTCCGCTGTCTGTCAACGTTGTTTGCTCTGTGGTGCGGTTTGGATAGAGACGGAGTCTCTGGTTGCCCTGATCGATGAGGACACCAATGGCCGTGTTATGTCTGTACTGGTTCTGCGGCAGGTTATTCATCTTGCTCCCGTCAAACATGAAGCAAGGGCTAAAGTCATCTTTCTCGTAGGATGCCAATGAGGCGCGTATAATATGAAGGAGCGCGCTGGTCCCGTTGACAAGCCATCCCCGCTTCGCCTCCTCATCCCAAAGCACGACATATTTCTTGGACAGCCATCGAAGGTTAGGAATTATACCGTTTCTTGTAAGATGTGGCGGCCGCTCCTTAGTGCCTGGTGTCAACATGGCCCCGCCAGCAATGGTGCTGCCCGTGGAGATGGATACCTTGTCCAAGAAAAGACCAGCAGAGGGGCGGGGTAACTGCGTGCCGCGGATGTTGTAGTTGGCATCCGGGGATCCTATCTTGAATAAGCAGGCGCATTAAGCAGCATTGAGAGTGTTCTTACCAGCGCAGTACTTGCTACTCGAGCACCAACCAACTACATGACGAAAGCCGCCAAATCTCGCCATATCCACGCTCTCAACTTGTTCCGTACAGTCCATGTACGCCACTCGCTTGCCTGGCTGAGCGTAGTAGTAGTGCCACACAAGAACGTCGGCCACTGATTTGATCGCAACCAGCATCGTCGAATATCCCTTTATGAAGATCTTGTCGTCCCATTCAGTCAGTCGACGCGATCCCGCGAGCTCTGCTACCATGTTGAGCGGCATCTCCAGCCCCAGTCCTAGAGTGGCCCGTTGCGGTATGGGGAATCCAGCTGCCAGCACGGCGCCTTGAAACATGTGCTGCCAGCATTTCCCAGGCTGTGTTGTCGGCGGTAGCGACCTCGTGAAGAAGTGCACGACAAATGGTTGAATGCCGGGTCGGACCATGGCGGCCTTGGTTCGCGCGAAAATTGGAACACACTCCCAGACGCCCTTGATGGCCGGACCGGCTCGTGCGGTACAGGCGATCCAAGTAAATGCTTGCACAACTTGAGTGATGACCTCGGTATTGCCGACTCCCCTGACAAGGATGTGGTCCTTTTCGTAGTAGACTTGGACACTTGTATCAAGGGTGACCGAAGCTACTTACAGTCAGTGTTTCTGACTCCAGTTCTATCCCAAGACACCATATCTTGGTCCCTTTTTTTTTCCAGTTTAGAAAGCTCACCTTGTCGGAGAGATATGTGGCCGAGATGTGGCTCTAACGAGGCTGGCAACAGCTGCAGGATTTTGTCTGCAATGTCGGGCCAGGTCTGCGATAGATACTCGCCCACAGTAAGGGCCTGTGCGTCAGTCGCAGAGCCGGTCAACGTGATGAGAGACCTAAATGGCTGCTTTCTAGACTCAAAGTCAACAAATTGAGTTTGCAGAAAGCGATGAAGCGGCCATTCCAGGCCCACCACAACAGACGTGTGGCCGGGCTCGGCGGCAGGCCCGATTCTCAGGCACGTTCTAATTCTCTTCATTTGATCAGGAATTCCTCGTATATTCTTGACCATGTTTAGGCCAAGGCCATACTTTTCTTTCAAGTATAGCAACAACAGATCTTGCCTTGTTTGGCTAGGGTGCTTTGGGACACCTTCGAGTACATGTAGAAATGCTTTCAGGACACCCAAGTACAGACAAGGTCGTCTCGTGGAAGCGCATCTCGCACAGACAGGTTTTGTCCCGTCACAGGCGGCATCATGCTGTCTAACTCATCATGTCAGATACGGCAACGTCTACCCCAGAATAGTTTGAACACACCTGCAGGTTATACAGCCCGTTCTGTCCCTGGGAGCAGACTTTGCCGGCCAACTCGGCGTCCGAGTTTGAGGCTCATTTGAGACCCGAAGCAACGCCCTGGGGGACTCTGTTGACAAGTTGAGGGATGAGCCAGGATTGGGGCCAAGTGATAGTCTCGGCGTCTGTCGAACACCGGTTCGAGCACCTGGCAGATCCGTACGCGCTTGTTCTTTGAGGTCATCATGAATGTTACTTTCGAGAGCTGCCGGGTTCATTTGGTTAAGAATGTCACTTTGGAGAGCTGCCAGCTTCATTCGGTCATGGTGGTTGAAACCACTTTTCTGAGTACAGAGTCTGTAGCCAACCCTTTCCGTGGTTGTCAGTTCGGAATCAGCCAGTTTGGAGACTCTTTCGAATGTGTAGGCGATTTTAGAGCATGAATTCGCGACGATTTCTTCCACATGCGGATCGATTAGATGCCGAGAGTCGGCTGTCTCCCAGCGTTCGCCGAAGTCGCAAAGAGCGACGATTGGGTGCGCTTTCGAAATATGTTTTATCATGGCTCCAGGTTGGCACCAGGCCCAGAGTACGGGGCTATTTTCGCATCTGCCATACAAACAGATGCCATGTTTGTCGGCTGTATGTCCTTTGAGATAACTTATGAGCCCGAAAATGCGGCCACATCCTGGATACAGGCACTGGTAGACGCAAGTGTGGTCTTGGGCATGTTCCCTGACAGTCAGTATTAGAAAGAGGATACCTGCACCTGATAGTTCTTGTTTTGTAGTACCTGAGTTCGGAGGTGCTGTTGAAGAGCATGCGGCACTGGGCACACTCATACCGCCGGCTAGTGCCGGAAAGCTCGTCACCGTCATTGGCGCCATCGAATTCCATGCTGAAAGGTTCTGGATTTGTGTCTGAAGTTGTGAGTCCAGATAAAGTACGGGGGTATTTGAAGTGGTTCTCGGTTTGAGAATAGATGCCGTCTCCGAGCCCAGCAAAGAGGATCATGTTGTCTGGATGGCTAACCCCAAGCGTATCAACGGAGGGCTTGCTGTCGGGCTCTCTGACCGGCTGCTCACGCAATTCAAGTTCATCGTCGGTGGTTGTGCTTCTGTATCCCCAGCTAAGGGACGGAGCATGCTCGGAGCCTTCGTAGGAAGAGTCCTCGAGCCTGTCTCTTCTACTATTGCCATCCATTCTGTGTCGTTGAGCCCTGCACAAAACAAGGCGAGATACCTATGTTGCGAGCGGTCAATAAAGCCGTACAGATGGCGACGCAAAAACAAGGCGACTTCGATGGCATATTAATGGCTACAGGAATGAAATGGCCAGAATCGATAGTCGCACATTCGAAGCAGGAAGAGGCCTCACGCTGGTTGGGGGCTGAAGGAGCGCAGCCAACTGAGACATGCACCTCGGCTTGACTACGCCTTGTTGCAAGTTGTGGTATTGCTGCACCACAATTCACAATAGGATGCAGTCTCTGCTGTTTGCGTACCTGTAGGCTCTAGGAGAGAGGCGCATGAGGCGCAGCCTTGCCCTGTCTCTGTCTATGCCTGCCTCTTCCGTCTTGCACTTGTAACTAGCTGCATTGCCTCCACAAGAGAAAGGAGGCGGGAAGCCAAATGTGGCCCCAACAGGCTTCAGGGCGTAGCAATAGTGGCCGGTGGTGTTGATCTCGATGTGATGGGGTTGACTTGTTTGCCTTGGGTAGGCGCTGGTGTAATGATGGCGATAGAAACAAGCGGGAGGAGATGTACTGTGATTCGTCTAGTCGCGCGGAAAAGGTAGAGGAAGACCTAGATGAACGAATAGTCAACCTAGATCCTTCAATAACTAGCCATGCTTGTTCGTTTCGGTGAGCTGGATGGCGGCCAGCTCGCAACGCCGCCCACCATGCGAGGCAGCACAAACCCAGAGGAACATGGACCAACCATCTCCCGACAACTGATCAACAACTCCGAGGCTGAGCCGCTTTCTTGCCCTCTACATCCGATATGCATTGGTTTATTGCATTGCTTCTTGCATGGCGAGTTCCTGCGCGCGTGATGTGATGATGACTGGGTCTGCGACGACTGGGTCTGCGGTCGCGTCATTGGCAGATGCCCGCAGTTGGAATGGGGTCTGAACTGCGTGGTCGCACACCACCCTCTGTCGGACACTCTTTTCGATTTACGTGGTACTTGAAAGTAGATGCGACATGACATGAGACCTCCATCGTCACGGCAAGCTACCGCTTTATAATGTAAGGAGTGTAGGGAGTGGGGAGGCAAAGGCGGCAAAGGCGGCGCCCAGAAGCATCCAACATCACCACCGGCTGGCAAGATCGGAATACACTCTATCATGTGTATTAGTCCCGGCCCCCCTCCTTTTTCTCGATATCCCGCAAAGTGATTCGATGCAGCAAAGGCCAAGCTATCGAGGCAGTCCTCCACTTCCAGTGCGATGGGGTCGGTGACTTGGCTTCCCCTCCTCAGGCGACTACCCAACATGACACCACTACTTGCCATGATCCCCGTCTGCCGGTGCAGAGAAACACCGGTTCGCCTTTCCCATCTTCGTTTGATGCCATGTCTTGATGTCCTTGGCCGAGAGAGCGGTATTGTATATGAAGCTGCCACTTCCCACTCCCACTGGCCTTCAACTTTGTATGAATTATTCCTTATATACCCTCTCTCACGCAAAGCACATAGACGCAACGCACTCACACTCGCATGCCTACACATACCAGCAATACAAAAATGTACTTCTCCACCACCTTCCTTGCGGCCATTAGCACCGGCCTTGGTGTTGACGCCGGCTCCATTGCCTGTACGTGCCGCCGTTCGCTTCTCGCGCATCAATTACCCAAGCTTGCTGAACCGCGACTCTTTCTAGCACCTCGGGACAATGTCCAAATAGACAGCAGTGAGTCTGTTAAAGCCACTGCAAATACCGGAAAATAAGCAGTCTCTGCATGCAAATGGACCAGGAGTGGAGGAAGACGGTCCTGAGGAGCTTGAATTTGAGTTGTATTATTATCGCCATATTTTTTTACCAAGCTGTGGTTCATTTTTTACCAAGCTGTGGTGACTTGCCCGAGTTTTTCTACCTGATTCTCTCAACTGTGACTTGGTCGGTGAACATGGACCGATTGATGATTGATTACTGGGTTCTGACCACGCGACACAGCCAGCACCCTGGCATCACACTGGAACTACCTACAGTGGGTTGCGAAAATTCCGTACGGTTCACCATACAAATTGCCTAACAAACCGTACGGAATTTATGGCCCCCCACTGTACCTATGCAAACACCGCTTTCACTGGACGCGGATTTCATGCCTTGATTCATTTATGTCAGTCTTCATGGATTGAATTCAATACTTTACCTGTAAACGCAGAACTAAGCATTGTCGTGTCCCTCCCAGAGCCAGCGCGAGCCACTGATGAGATAAAGGTACCTGTTAATATGGCGGATTTCCAGCGGCGACCCGCGCCAATCACAACCTTCCCCAGGCATTGACCCTTCACTTCATGAACCCTTCACGAACCACCTATCCGCCACCTGCAACCATTTCCCACCATTTTCCCATTGTCGTTTCCCGAGACCTACAAGCCGACTGCTTCCAGCGCAACCTTTTTTTCCTCCTTTGACCGCGCGGACGCGACGACTCGTATCGAATCCCAGCCCGTCCCCGCCGCCGCCGCCGCCGCCGCCACCATGGCTTTGTCGCCCGTCGTGACGGCGACGCAGTCTACCGACGGGACCTCGATACGCGCCATCGGATCGCCCTATAAGAACCTGGCGTCCGGCACAAACTCGTCCTCCAATGGCACGCCCAAGCCCGCGCCGCCCACCTCGGTCCCCCAGCTGCCGCCCACGCTGGACGTGGCCGAGCAGATGAACGAGGAAGAGAAGCGCAAATACGTCAAAGGTAGATAGAACCCGGCCACCGGCCTCCCCTGGCCTTCAAACCCCAACGCCAACATCTCTAACACCCTCCCTCCTCGGCAACAGGCAAGAAACTCGGCGAGGGTACCTACGCCATCGTCTTTCTCGGCCACCTGAAATCGAACCCCGCCAAGCAGGTCGCCATCAAAAAGATCAAGGTTCAGAAGGAATACACCGAGGGCATGGCGCCCGACGCCGTGCGCGAGCTCAAGCACCTGCAGGAGCTCTCCCACCCCAACATCATCTCCCTCCTCGCCGTCTTCTCCTCCAAGGACCAGAACTTGAACCTGGTGCTCGAGTTCCTGCCCCTCGGCGACCTCGAGATGCTCATCCGCGACACCGAGCACGTCCGCTACGGCGCCGCCGACATCAAGGCCTGGATGGGCATGCTCACCCGCGCCGTCTGGTTCTGCCACGCCTCCTTCGTCCTCCACCGCGACATCAAGCCCAACAACCTGCTCATCGCCGCCGACGGCGCCGTCAAGCTCGCCGATTTCGGCCTCGCCCGCTCCTTTGCCGACCCCCACCACAACATGACGTCCAACGTCATCACCCGCTGGTACCGCCCGCCCGAGCTCCTCTTTGGCGCCAAGCACTACTCGGGCGCCGTCGACGTCTGGTCCGTCGGCGCCGTCTTCGCCGAGCTCATCCTGCGCGCGCCTTACATGCCCGGCAACAACGAGCTCGACCAGGTCCGCCTCATCTGCGAGCAGATTGGCACCCCGACCGAGGACAACTGGCCCGGCGTCACCCGCCTCCCCGAGTACACCGTTCCTGCGCAGCATCCCGTCCACGCCAAGGACTGGTACCTCGCCCGCTTCGGCACCGTTGGCGCCGACGGCGTCGACCTCCTGGTCAAGACCCTCCTACTCGACCCCAAGAAGCGCATCACCGCCCGCGAGATGCTCGACCACCCCTGGTGGCACTCCGACCCCAAGCCCACCCGCACCGTGGACCTGCCCCGCAAGGGCGGCGACGGCGCCGAGGCGCAGGTCGGCGCTGATCTCAAGCGCCGGCCCGGCGTCGTCGACGAGGATCGCGGCGGCAAGGTGGCGCGGAAGCTGGATTTCGGACAGAAGAAGTAGTTAGTGGGGGTGGGATCTCGTTTCATTCCGGCGTTTTGGGGGCAATACTAGTCAAATGAGCTTTGGGAATAGTGGGAAACACATGACATGAACTCGGCGTTGCTAAAAAGCAAAATGGTCACTTGCAATTTTTCAAGGCATTTAAATAAGAAATTAAGACGCTCCTCCAACATGCAAAGTGGACTCGATTGATATGCCGAGCCATGGCGGCTACGGAGTGAAAAATGAACAGATGCAGTAGACCTTGTAAGAAGACTATTCCCGCCTCTTTCCCTACCTACCCAATCTACAACGGCCTCCCTTAACACGTCCGCCTACATGACGCAGCATTCCAAACCATACATGGCCCTCTCCACATCCTTGCGGACCTGGTACCAGTCCGCGCGGCGCTGCGCATACTCGTACACCTCTTCGGCGCGAAACACGCCGCCGAAGCGGTCCCCGTCGGCAATCACCGTCGCCATCTCCTTGGCGTGCGCCGGGTCAATCAGGTACACCTGGCTGAGCTCGCGCAGCGCACGAAAGTACGGCAGCAAATCGTGGATGCGCAGCGTACGAATGTACTCAAAGTACAGATTCATGTCGGCAATGAGCGTCACGGCGCCGTCGACGCTGACGCGCTGCCGCTTGAGGTGCTTGCAGATGGCGGTGAACAGGCGCTGGCCGACCTCGCCGTTGAAGACGTCGAGCATCGACTTGTCCGTGGTGCCGACCAGCATGCCCGTGTGGCCCGACACGAGCGCGACGATGCGCGTCGCCGTCCCGCTGGGGCCGATGTCCAGGCCCCCGCCGAGCATGCTCGCCGTCTTGTCCGACGGCGGCGTCGGCAGCGGGTTGTAGTCGGTCGGCGCCTGCGTCGTCGCCTGCAGGTACTCGACCTCGTCCATGAGCACGTCGATGCCCTTGTTGAGGCCCGCCGCGACCGATTCGTCGAGCATCTGCTCAAACTTCTTCTTGGCCATGTTGGCCGGATCGAGAAAGTCGTTGCGATCCGCGATCTTGGGCGTCGCCAGCTGCTGCTCGTAAAACACGTCGATCATTTGCGAAATGAGGTCGCCAACATTGACCAGCTCGATAAACATGACCAGCGGCGCCACACCACCACTGCTGCCCGTCTTTTCGTGGCTCCCAGGGCTTACATCTCTCGGGTTGTACTCCGACAGGTGCCCGACGGCCAGGTCGAAGCCGTGCTTGACGTGTCGCTGGCCGAGTATCCGCAGCAGCACGACGAAAATGGTCGAGCACTGCTCCTTGGCCTCGCCGCCCACCTGCCCGCCCAGCGGCACCAGTAGCGCCGCCCGGCCCAGGCTCGTCTTGGCCGCCTGCACCAGGCTCAATGCCACCTCGATGCTGCACAGCGACTTGATGCCCTCGAGTTTCGACGCCATCAGCGCCGCCTTGGCCGCGAGCTCGTCCGTCGGCGCCTTGCCGCCACCGGGCACCGGGCTGCTGCGGCCGAGACTCGGTGTCTCTGGCCGCGACGGCGCCGCCGAGCCCGACGAGAAGCTCATGCCGGGGAGCGCCGTCACAGGCATCATGACGACTTTGCGAAAGGAGCTCAGAAAGTCTTTCTTTTCCGCGGAGCGATTAATGTTGGACATGTAGTACGACTCGAGCGATGAGTCCTGCGCCGAGAGCTTCTTCTCCCACAGCGAGACGAATTCTTCCGCCTGTTTTGTAAAGTACTCGAGCTCTTCCTGGAGATACAGGTCGAGATGCGGCTCAAAAACCCGCAGCACCATCACCTTGGCCATCTCACGAATCTTTTCCTCTTTTGCGCCTGGCGGTTTTAGCGACCGGAAGAAGCGCATAGTCTGCTCAAATATGCCAGACACGGCCTTGAGGTACATGCCCAGCGACCGTTCATGGCTCTCATCAAACAACGGCGTAGTGTACTCCATGATGATGTCTTCACGGACCTTGTCCACAAACTCCCAAAACACGTGCTCGGCGTCGGGAAAGATGCGCTCAATCACGCCGGCCTGCTCGTTGACTTTTAACAGCAGCCTGTCGAAAAAATGTTGCGAGGGCGTGAGCGACACATCATCGGCCCCTTGTCCGCGGTTGATGCACTCTATGGGGTTAAAGTTCATATCTGTATCGTTGAGGATGGGATGTTTGCGGATAAAGACGTCAATGGCGCTCGTGGCTCCATTGAGCGCGTGCAGCACATGTCCAAAACGGCGCATCCTACCGTCCACATCCCAGAACTCGTAGCCCTGCTCAAATTCCCGCATGACGGCGCTTTCGAAAATCGTCATCATGGAGTTTAGCTTGGCCTCTCGCGCCATGCATCCAGATGACCAGTCGCTCATGGCAAACTTGTGCAGGTTGGCCAGCATCTGCGCCTGTGTCTCGGGGTCCCGGAACGCTTTAAAGACGATGGGCTCCGTGTGCGTCCTGGCCTTGACAATGTCAAAGTAGAAGGGTGCCAGCGCGCCGTATATCTTGCCGTATTCCTGTCTGGCTCCGCCTCGGATGCTCTTGGCGTTCTTGAAGACCTCGAGGTAGGTGGCCTGTCCCTCGAGGCTGGTGGTATTGGCGGCTGGCCCGCCGACCGTCATGGTCTCGAAGCCGTCTCGCAGCTCCGACGTTGCTCGTTTCCGCCGTTGTTCTTCGGTCGAGGCGTCGAATATGGTGGTGGTTGTCTGCTTGTTGGCGCTATTTTGCGTGGCGGCCTGCGTGGCGGCCTGCTCTCGGCGGCGACGGACGGCGTCTTCGAACCGCTGTCTCGCTTCTCGCTCGTCCCAGCAGCCCATGCTCTTCAAGCGAGACACCCACCGGGGATCCTCGTATACCATGTCTTGCATACGGCGGGATGTTCGAGCGACTCGCATCTGATCGGCGACGGGTAGATAGTCGAGCACGGCAACTAGGAGTTCTGCAACAAAGGCGGCCTGGTTAGCTTTGCTCGGAGACAAATCTGACATCCCACTCCCGTCTCAGTAGGACTCGTACCTGCTGGCAGCTTTGACTGGCCGTCAAGTATCTCCGTCGCCGCCAAGGCGCTCAGGATGCTGCGACTGCGCGAGCCGCCATTTGCACTGTTGGCCGCCATTCTGTCGCGGGGGTGGTATCAATGGCGGTAGCCGCGAGGGTGGGCTGGTCTTGCGGCAATCGTGTAATCATGAGCTTCCCGGGCAGCAGTGGAAAGTATCTGCTATCGTCATTCTGTCTGAGATATTTTGCTATGTTCGTGTTTTGGGGAATCTGTCCAAAATGCGGAGAGGTGGGCGCGGTCTGGCTGGCTGCCGCCCCCCCCCCCCTGTTACATGCGTCACAGGCGCTAGAGATCCTTGAAGTCTGGACCAGGGTCCAGATCCAGATATTGGACGAACCACGACATCATTTTCCCTCCGTGTATTGGCATGTGCGATTCCAAATGGAGTTTTCAGCGGAACGCTATGACTAGAAAGTGGGCAATTATTGGGTGACTTAGCATCTCTTTGGTGGATGTTAAGCTACACGTCGTGACCTAGAAGCCTTGTCCCAACAGTACCCTGTATGATAGAGATAAAAAGGAAGCGATGGCATCCTTTTCTGCAACTCGAATAAGAAGCATTGCCCTCAGTGCTATACTCGACAAGAAGCAGATATTTTTATTCCCCCTCATAGCTGGGGTCTATGTGCGTGTGAATTATATCTATGTAACGCTAGTAATCGTGCCAGGACGACTGCACAAAGTATGTCGAAAGTGTGTAACCCAGTTTATCCCATATAACTCTTCGAAATGCGTCGATGGCGCAGTCCGCGATAGTAGACGCGTCAAGTCGCGTCTGCATCCCCGCCCTGGCCCGTAGAAACTGCCTCTCTAGTCTAAGAATGTAAAAAGATGCGTATGCAACACATTCATTGCCCGGGTGGCGTCACGGGCATCAATAACGCATGAGATATTGATTTCGCTCGCACCTATCAAGGTATCAGCTCATGTCCTCAAGATCGACCGGCGTTCCAGTGTCTACAACACATACCTTGAGAAATCATTTCCAAGTTGACATTGTGCTCGCCCAGCGTGGAAAACATCTTGCCGGCGACGCCGACCATGTTCTTCATATCAGCGCCGACCAGACTGAGAATGGCCATGTCCGAGAGCACGCTCACGTCGCCGCATTCCTCCAGGCTCTGCTTGGCGCTCGAAAAGGCCTCGATGCGGGTGCTGGCCGAGTGGATGGCGAGCGAGACGTGCACCTCGGACGTGGAGATAAGGTCGACCGAGATGCTGTGCTTGTTGAGGATGGAAAAGACGCGCGCAAAGAAGCCGTGCGAGATGGAGCGCTTGTTGGAGTGCACGTTGATGACGCTGATATTGTCCTTGATGGTCACGGCCGTCGGCCGTTTCGGCGGCTTGGGCAGCCCCCCGTCGCCGCGCGCGGCGGCGAGGTGCGCCAGCGACCGCGAGCGGTGTAGCTGGTGCGAGGCGGACAGGATCGGGTCCGGGATGACCACGGTGCCGGTGCCGCGCGGGTTCTTGACGTTTTTGATGCGAATCGGGATCGGCGGCGTGGCGCGGATGACCTGGTCCATGGTGAGGTGGTGGATGACCTCGGAGCCGTAAAAAGTCAGCTCGGCGGCTTCCGATGGCGTGATGGAGGTGAGAAGGCGCGCCGTGGGCACCTTGGATGGATCGGCCGTGAAGATGCCGTCGACTTCCTTCCAGATTTGCAGCTCCTCCGCTTTGAGGCTAACGGCGCAGAGGGCAGCGCACAGGTCCGTGTAGCCACGGCCAATGTCGCCGTCGATTAGGCTGCCGGGTACGTTGCCAAAGAAGCCGGTGACGACGGGTACCTTTGTGCCGCAGGTGCTGAGCTTCTTGTGAAAGGCGTCCACTGCGGTCTTGTAGAAGTTGGCATCGAGAGGGTCCGCGGCCTCACAGTGCAACACGTCGCTGAGATCTACGTATTCCGCGTCGACACCCTGCCGGTTGAATTAGTCGCTGATCCTCTTTAGCATACGGACACGTCAACATACGCCGTTTTGCAGCACCGCCGTCATGGAGAGACAGGCCAGTTTCTCGCCAAAGCTAATGACGCGGTCCTTGGAGCGCGCATTGATCTCGAGGTTGAATCTCTTAGTCGCAATGATATACTCAATGAGCTCCTGGCACTCCACCTCTATACGGGCCACGAGCTTCTGGCGTAGTGCGGGTTCGCTGACGTATGCTTCCGCGGCGGCGATGTGGTCTTTGCAAATGTCGTTGATGAGCATCTTGGCATCGTCAATGTGGGCAATCTGCTCCTCCTCGGCGTTTGTGGCGGCGCCGACGGCCTTGAGCATGGCATACACGCCAAGTAAACTGATTGGCAAGTCAGGACCGGGGGACATTGTCGATTTCGATGGATAATACAGATCTGACTCACCGGCTGGTGGTGCCCTCGGCCTTTTTCCCCGTGCTTCGCGCAGAACATACTACCACTACTCGATTCCATGACAGGGTTGCCCTGTACAAGACTGAGTTAGTACGTGTTCTCGTCATTGCATGCATGTGGTTGAGGTCTCACCTGACAATATCATGCGCAATCTTTTGCGTCGAGAATGAGTTAGCGTCGAGGTTCTCCTGCTCACAGGCGATGTGGTTCTCACTCGAACCTCGAACCTGCATGACCGCATCGTGGTTATACCACAATACTCCGACATACCTTGTCAGGGAATTTCCCAACACTTGTCCCGCCGAATTTTTGTACAACCCAGCCCAGCTCGGGCGAGTTGAAGTGTGAGTAGCCGCTCATGGCTCTTCCGTGCCCTCGGGCAGTGCCTAATCCCGGAAATGACAGCAGTCGAGGCAAAGAATCGGATCGTTGGAAGCCGGGGCAACCCAGAGAGTGCAAATAGGCCCTCTGCTGTTGCTTTGCGTCGGCCCGTTGATGAATTGAGCCTGCCCGTTGGTGCCGACTTGCTTGCGGCTCGTCGCTGCAGTTTTTTTTCTTTGCAGCAGCACGAGTTCACACACAGTGGTCTCTACTCGAAGCCCCGCCAAAGTGGTGACGACCGAGGAAGCTTCACAGAAGGGCCGAGGTTGGGAGTAGAGAGGAATTGCGATGCAATGAATGATGGGGAATAAGAATTGAAAAATGCTGTCATGTGCAGAAACAAACGGGGTCAAGAATATTGATAGCCAGAAATGGAAATCGAGTGTCGACTCACAGACACCAGGTAATAATATGAGTGAAAAAAAGATCGGGTCTCCGGAGCCGGAGGTTGAGCGCCGGGTGGTATTCCTAGCAGTACCTAGGTACCTTCGGTTGGTAGGTACTAAGGTACAGGTAGGAGGTAGTAACTACCTACCTATGTACCTACCCAGATATCTATTAGTACCTATAGTGGGGTAACAGAAGTCACGCCTATTTTATAAAATACGCTATATCGTTAATATTAATACTCCTTTTCTAATATACTATTTTATAGCTAAATTACGCCTTTTTTTAATATAATATTAGTTAAGCCTATATAATTAATATAAGATATAGTTTTTCTATTTTAATACTTTATATACTATTTATTATTATTAATAACTACCTAAAGATAATAAGGTATTAAATTAATTAAGTAATTAATAGCCTTTTAATTATAATCCTCTTAGTACTTAATAATAGCCTTTATAAGGTATTATAAAAAGGCTATATTCTTCTTAAGTAACTTTAGCCTTAAGTATTACTTATTAATTATATATTTAAGTATATATTATATATTTTTAATAGGATTAAGATTAGGTAAGTATACTAACTACTATACTAAACTAATACTATTACTATTAGCCTACTTAATTAGTAATTTTTTTACTATTTAAGCTATATAAGTTAGTATATTATTTTAAGTGAATATATAACCTAATTTTATAATAGTAGGTAAATTTTCTTTTAAGTGTTATATAAATTACGTGTTATATAACTTATTCCCCTAAAAAAGGCGTGACTTTTGTCCCCCCACTGTAGTTAGGTTTGTAGACGCTGTGGGTACCAGGACAGTTCTGACCGAACCGTCACGATACAACCCCTCTGCCCGTTGTCAACTGTCAACATGTGCACAAGAGGGGTGCATTCCGTTATTGCATTGATGAATTGTCGCGGTGCGTGTAGCAATCACAAGCCACTCGTGCTCTGACTACCTACCTAGGTACCTTAGTAGTCTTGGGCACAAGTACGATGGCGCAATTGCTCTGGGCTCCCCCCGAGTTTTTCCCGCCCGCAATGTCTCTTCATAGAACTCACCCACCACCTTACCCCGCGCCTCCTCCTCTCTCGAGCACCGTTAACAAAAGTATGCCAGCTGCGCCAAAGATCCATCTTTGTTCGGGGACGACGATCGGCCTCTCTATACCTTTTTGAGCACCTTTTACAGTAACGACGTCGCAGCTCTAGTCATTGGCATCGGCTCTGTTGAAATCCCCGTCAAACTCGGGCTGCTGGGACCGTTCCCATTTGATCGCGATGAGGCATGAGGCATGAGGCATCACGAGTGAATATAATTCGTTAGCATCAGCAAGATGTGAAGCTGTGAGATGGCAATAAGCAATAGGGGGGTCGTCATCGCCATCCTTCATCAGACGCCGATGGGCCGACTCTCCTTCGCTCGAACGCATGAGAACCAACCAATCAATAGATCCCAGGAAAGGTAGCGTTGTGAGACTAGTCCAAACCATTCATAGACGCAGCTCTTCCCTTCGTTTGTTTCCCAGAGGCGGTCAAGGCAATGTTTCATGGCTTGCGTAGCAGGCTGCCGTACAACATCCTGTCGTGCCACCAGATCAGTCTAGCGAAAATCCAATTCAGGCCATCGCTGCGAAATACAAAGCAACCTTCTCTGAGACACGAGGTAATATTGGTGTGACAACAGTATCAGGTACGTCAGCCGTGGTACCAGGCGCCACTTCTGTACACCTTCTTATGAGCCAGTCATCTTATGAGCCAGTGATGCTGGTCACCAGCTTCACCCGCTGTGATACGAGACGCACTATAAGTCATCAGATAGTCCCATCCCAAGTTCTCCCTCATTCTTTAATCATTCACAATTTTAACTGAAAAGCGAGACCCAGACAGCTTTGACTTTCTCAATCCTTCACAACGTTACAATGTCCAACATGAAGACCACTCTACCATGTCCCGCTTGGATCTACTCGATCGATTCCAACGTACAGTACGTTCACTACCCTCTATCACCACCAGCTCCTCCCAGTCATGCAGCTTGTCATGCCACAAATTGATTCTAACAAGAGCTTCCTCTAGCCGTGCCAAGGATCGATCGTGGTTTGGTGACGACTACCAGACCATCAGCAGCGTCCTGGGCGTCAAGTATGCCAGCACGACGCTGAACAGCGCCGTCATCGGCATCGGCACGGTCGATCTGCCCGTCAAACGCCGACCGGACGCGCGCGGTAAGCAGTCACACGCGGTGCTGCGGTTGCGCAACGTCCTCCACGTGCCGAGCTGCCTCTGCAACGTGATCGGGACGTCTCTCGGCGACAACTACGTCCTGCGGCCCGGCCGCGACGGCACCCGCGAAATCACGGACAGCAAGGGCCGTTCGGTCGCATACTTGCAGCCGTCACCGCAGCAGGCCCCGTGCGGCAACACGCTACTTCAGCTGCGCCTGAGCGGACCCCCCATCGGCCCCCGCGTCGGTCCGTCGCCCTTTAAGCCCGCGACATCGTACAAGATAAGCGCGTGGTGGCACGACGATGAACGCGAAAGGGTGCTGCGCCTGCTGGGCACCGCCGGCAGCACCAAGTCACTGGTCACGCGGTCCGCCGCCGCCTCCTTTAACGCGGAGGAGCGCGCGTGGATCAAGAAGGCGCACGGCAGCATCTGGGCCTTTATGCGGGCTCACAAGCTCCGCGGCGGTAGCGAGGATGACGCCGCCACGGCGCGGCACATTATTCGGTCATTTACAGAGCCGGCCAAGGTGGCCGCCGCCGCTGCCGCCGCCGCGCAAAGCAGTGTCGACAGCGGGCTGGGTATGGACGGGTCGGTGGTGGGGAGAGGCATCGTTGCCGAGGCTGACAAGCACTTTGGGCCGGCGGAACTCGCCTGGGTCCGGGAGAGATACGGTGACGGGCTCTCCTTCATGGTGAGTCTGCGACTGAGGTTCTTGGAGGCCGGTGACGGGCGCAAGGCCAACAAAGTCGCTGCGATCCTTATGTCAACCACCTCCGACACGGGATAATAAGGCGGGGGAGGGGGGGGGACAGGGTAAGTTTCTCTTTGTTTTTGTAACTTTGCTACAGCCATAAATATAAAAACTCCTTTGAAAAACATATCGACCAAGACTAGTAAGCAAGTACGAATCTATATCTCAACTTGGTGAAAGTCTGCTTCGCGAACAAGCTAACTAGGTGTTCGTAGTAATATACATCTTAAGAGAAAATATCCATCAAGCAACAAAGTTTCGACCCCTCCCCAAAGAAGGACAAAGTACCTAGGTATAGAACCGATAACTGCTTTTGCCTTTCTTTTACGGGAGATATCTATGCTAGGTTGGTGTATTTACTCCAGTAACGAACGCACTGGCAAAAAAATGGTGGGCACCCACACCTGTCTGTCTGTACGTGGTGCTCTAGCACGTCTGTTCGAAACACATCCCCCAGCTCATAAGAAGATCTTTGCTTCAGCGGCGGTCTTTGAATTTTTTCATAAGAGATGAAGGTGGCTTCGAAGCAATCCATTGAAAGGCGTCACTCGCCTACTGTCGTTTGGCAGCGGCCCAACCTTCGCCTTCACCGGGAGTTGACCATGGCACTAGAGCAATAGCAATTTGGCAGCAGAAGTCTTTTAAAACTGGCAGGCCCCCACACATGGGCGAACTGGGCTATTTTGCGCTATAATATGCTGTTACAGAAAGTGTTCGTCCTCATCTGGCTCTGGGCCAATTGTAGGCTGAGGTGGCTGGGGCTTTTGCTGTGACCGTATTACTTCTTCACCCGCGTTTTCGTGTATTGATCAATTGCCTGTTTCCCATCCCAGTGCCAATACCTAGTGAGCATCACCTTTCGCCCGTCAACACCAAGCACAGAGCTCCGCACACTCTCGTAGAACTTTCTCAGACCCGATTTCCAGTCCGCCTTTCGGACAAAGAGAAGGAGGGGCTGAAAGAACACTACCGTGACGAGTTCCATTTCCTACGCGGCCACGGACTCAGCATCTACAAGGATGAGGATCGCAAAAGAGGGCTGGCAGATCATACGCCCGATGATGATGCATGATGAGTACGAAGCGAGTGGATTTATCGGCTCGGCGTAACTGGGTAACTAGTATGCCACATTGACGCCGATAGCGCAATGTTTCCCTTGTCTTGAAAGCTGACAACAGTGTTTCAAGCGATCCGCTTCCGCATTTCTCAAGCACGACGAATCAGTCGGTCTGATTCAAGCTCGTCATTGCCAGGAATCATAAACACAACTCCATCTCGCGGCCCGCATTCCTTTGTAGCAGCTTGGCAGCCCTATCGGCAAGCAGGAACCACTATGGCGTCCTACTTGAATGGTATTCCCATGTGGCAGTAAGACAAAACAAAGGCGAGTCTACGCATGCAGATCTTCACGTCAACCGTCGTGCTCTTTTAATAATGTGACTGGTCACCCAACATCTAGTCCTCTCCACAATGTATAAATCCAAAAGACGAAGTATTTTGGTATTGAATCAACTGCTGCTGGTCTGAGGACCAGTCTCGACGCCTCTAATCATTAGACAAGATACTTTCACAACATAGACAGACACCCGAAGATAAAGTCAGCCACCACAAAGACTCCTCCCAAAAAAAAACAAATATCCAGTCGCCGATTAATACACAAGTATCCCGAGGCTGCACGGGTACCATAGCCAACAACTCATCCGAAAAGACCCGTCGCGCGTCAAATTGACCGCACATGTAGAATTCGTCATGTAGCTTCGTGCCCTCGTTAAGTCATCTTCCCAATTACCTGCCTATAAGTGCATAGTTGGGGTATTCATTCAACCAGCCATAAACGCCAACCCCAATGCCGAAACCATGCGCCAACCGTATATTTGTTCCATCCCCCCTCTAGGCTGTAAGCTCGCCGGCCCCCATCAATGTCGGTGCTTCAGATTCGGCAAATGTGAATTTGTGCATAGGAAAGTCCTCCTCTGGTGTTCGGATGCCGATTCCGCTGTCGTCGTGCGCGTCGTTGTCTGCTGGCGGTTGAGACAATGCGCTAATGGTCTTGCCATTTGCGCCATTATTCGCAGGCGGAGGGAACGGCGCACGGCCGGGCTGCGATTGCGACAGGTTTAGTTCTTCACTGGCGTGACTGTATCGAGAGTTCTGGCAGCTGGCCTCCGTGCCAGCTGCCCCGGCGTTTGGGATAGCATGAGCGCTAGGGGAAGCCTTCTGCTTCATGAAGCCTCCCTGCTCCGCAATGAAACACACCATTTCATCAACCCACGTCTTTGTTACCCACCATGACCCGAAGCTCTTGCCTTGTGATAGTGTGAAGTCGCGCATCACGGCGGTGCCGACACGCTCTACACACCACACAATATCGGCATGAGATGCGTAGGGAAACTTGGATGGTAGTACTCTCAGGAAGTTGACCCATCTATCCAACACGTTCTGACCTGTGGAAGCTGCTCCACCCTCGTTCTCTTGACGAGGGTTGCGGCTAGCCGCGTCACCATAGATAGTGAGCACCTCAACCTCCCAAGGGACGTTCACAGGATCCAAGAGATCACGCATTTCGTGAACAAGCAAGTCGACAACATCGTCCATGCCGCGTGTGGGCACACACTCCGCCACCTTGCGAGCGCGTATCATGGTGATCCAATCAACATACATCTGGTCGCGGTTGGCAGGGTTGGAAAGCATGTTGGCGGCAGCGTGGGCTGTCAAGTTGACTCGTAGAGCGCGGTCAATCAGACCAGCAAAGAGAGCAGCAGGCGCCTCCTTGGCGGAAATAACGTGCTGTGGTTGACCCTGGAAAGATTCACGAATGTGTGGCACAATACGTTCCGAGATATTTCTCAAAGTATCAAGGACTGGCTTAGGCACCACCTGCAAGGTCAAACCAGAGATAATGCGCATCATGCGTTGATATAGAACATAGTCGCAACCCTCAATCCAAGGGGCAATCGCCTCATGGCTAAACAGCTTCTGTACGGGCATAGTAAGTGTGCCCTGGAACGATGTATAAAGGTGAAAGAAGGTCTTTTCCCTGCAGTATCGAATACATTCGACAAGAGAGGTGCAGTGAGATCTGTACAGTGCGGAGAGCGATTTGGCGGCGTCGGGGTCGGTTCCCTGAGGAAGGAATGCCTCGATGACAGGAAGGCCGAGGGCTTCAGACTGCTCAAAGTCATCTTGGTTCATGGGAGGGAATTCAAGCTCCAAACGGGTCTTGGTTGAAGTGGATTGAATGTTGTCAATGCTGGCGAGGTCCGGGTGGTTGTATAAGCTGTGCGATCTATCGGCAACCTGGGTGATCGTCTGCTTCTTTTGGAGCTCCTCTGAAGGTTGCGAAAGCATTTCCCCACGTTTCGAAATGGTCGATGGCTGTGACACCGTGTTTTGAATCTGGGGGAAGCTCTTGGCTTCGGGAAGGGCTCGAGGGGGTTGGGGAACTTCGATCAGGTCGAGCTGGTCCTCAGCAAGAGCGAAATTTACGTAGTGATATTTGGACTCTCCGCGAACACCTAGACGACGAGTCTTGAGCCCCGGGAATAAGACGCGGACGAGTTTTCCGAAGCTGGCGGGGTTCAGAACCGTGATTCTCTCGGTTGCGCAACGGGAAGCATAGTTTGCGTAGACTCGGCCGCGGGGTACGGAGCCTTTGCCCTTGGTACAGACAGAATTAATCCTAAACAAGGTCAGTACAATTGGCTAGTGAAAGATGAGAACAATGTTGTTACCAAAGCATGGCAAACACCTGGCGAGTCCTCTCCGAGTTGGGGCCGCGCTCGTTGCCATGAAGTTCCGAGGCAACATCTTGTAGACCCCGATGTCTGTTGGCACTAAAGAGCTGCCGCATCTCAAGCTCGTTGTTTGCGCTCGATCGAGCGGGCTTGGGCACGCCAGCCGCGAGAGCCATGGGGTCGGCATCATCACCATCGTCACGATCGAGCATCTGGCTGTCGCCTTCGGTAAAGCTGGCATTGGGCCCAAAGTGGTCGGCAGGGAGGGGATTTCTGGGTATCCCGTGAGTATGTTGGTGCTGATAAGCCATGTGGTGCATATGCGCAGCCATGGAACCGTCCATGGAAAAGTCATGGTTGGCCGACTGCATGTGCGTTGCAGCTTGAAGAATCATGTCCTCGGGGGACATTTGCGGAGCAGACATGTCTTTGGGGTGGGGGTGCTCGTTATGCATCCACTGGCCACCATACATGGCGGCGGCATCGGTGAAGCCAGAGCCGTCCATGTTGTGTTGAGTCGTGACACTGTGAACGGAGGCAGTGGAAGCTCGGGATTGTGGTCGCTTCCGGGATTTAGCAGCGCGCGCTGCGAGGGTTTCTAGAAAAATACAAGTAAAATTAGACTGCATTCTATTTTATGTTTTGCAACTTCTTTGGAAGAGGAAAGTGGCAGACATACCTTGGTCCATGCCGGGACGTTGTATGCTGGTGTTGATGGATAGGCAAGCTAGCGTGGGACAATAAACATTGGCCGGTTGTTGTTTTTTTCAGGGTGCCCGACAGGAAAATGGCCGGTGAAAAAAGCAGGGACGGCAAGTAGACAAAGAAAGAAAGAATCGCAGAAGCGTCTGCAGCGCTTCAAGAGTCTCTTGCAGGGGTCACCGGCAGTCTAGGCGCGCAGACGGGTGGTAGATATCGTCAACTGCGAGTGTTGTTGTGGTTGTTTCTGTTGCGAGGCCAACGAGAGGAGAAAAGGCAATGAGCGGGCACGGTTGAGGCAGGCGGTGGCGGGCAGGCAAGGCAAGGCAAGGCAGGCAGGGCTGGGGGCCGAATTGGCCTTTGGTCACTGGCCAGTAATAATGTACTATAACTAAATAATAGCGGGCTGGCTGTGACCTCGAGGCCGGCTGACTGGCTGGCTGGCTTGCTGCAAGTGGACCAGACAAAGCAAAGGCCCAAAACAAAACAATCCTAAGAGCTGGTTAGGTAAGCAGGTAAGCCGTCCAATACATGCATTTAATTTGCCAGAATTCCGCGCAATGGCATTCAGCACTATTCAGCAGGCAATGACTGCCGCTTGTTTTGTTGTGATTCACCGAGCCCAGGCGGGCTCTAGCCCCTGTAACCAAGACCAAGGTATCCGTAGATGTAAACAATCGGCAGGCATTCGAATAGTTATAGATCGCTGGGCTCATAGGTAGCAGCTCATCTCCTCAGGTTACCTAACTTGGTGCCGAGTTCATGACACGTCCTACATATGTATGTACCGTACTAAGCAGCAAGATAAACCCCGAAAAGGAAAAAGACAGAAGATGTTTTAACAAGTAGTAGCAGCTGATTCTAACTACAAGCACACCGGCACAGTTGTGGGGGATACTGGAGCGGTAGCCGCCCAACACTGAAAGCGTTTTACACGCCCATTAGTTTTAAGAGTGGACCGTAATAGACGCCTTAAATCTGCCCTTTTCTTCTTGTCCAACATCGCTCTGATCAGAAACACGAGGCCTTATTAAATCAGAGGTAGAGCAGCAATATCAGCGATACGACTTCTCCAACCTTGCTGGGATACCGTGCGGGGCTGTTGTCGGGAGCTACTGGACGGGAAATTTTGAATCTGCTGCTGCCGTTGTTACTCTCCTCCGTGCGGAGTTACAATCGCAAGTAGCTGAACGTGCCGGCACTGGGCCTCCGGTGAAAGCAAGCCCAAACCGTTCGGAACGGCGACAACACGGTACGGTCGCTCGACGGCGCAAGTGGAGTCATGGTATAGTTCTCGGCAAAATATCGGCTAATAGTCGTTCCATCGCGCAAGAGCAGACGCCACAGAAATACCCACCTTGTCGCATGCCCAATCCCTCCGTTAAGCTTTGTGTAGTCTATACCTTGATGCCACTCTTTTTAGCGTGCCGCCTAGACTTTCCAACGTGTACTACCCCTGCAGAAGTACTTACCCTCCATCAGATCACTGACGTGCGCACAACTGCAAGGCCCCGTTTCAAACCAAGATTGCTTAAGCACACGTCAGTACCTACCTAACCCGGCTTCCCTCAATCGCCATTCTTGAGCGAAGCCACCTACGCTACCCTTTTCGCTCCCACAAACTACCGCTGCTTCGCTTCAACATCGTCGCATCAACCCGCCCCAACCGTCCCGCACCCGTTTGACTCCAGGTACGCCCAGAACATCTCGTCTCGGCCCGAACAAGCTTCAACTGAAGCTCCCATAGCTTTATCCACGCAGCTACCTCCCGCCACCGCGCCAACTGCGAAAATGTCTTCCGCTCAGGAAAAAGCTCAAAACTACCTCAGCACCCTCGATAGAGAGGTCAGTCTCCATCGCTAAAATCATTCAATTCGCTCAGTTGACCTCCTAACCCGTAATTCCAGCTGTCCAAGTATCCCGCGCTGAACAACCTCGAGAGGCAAGCCGGCGTTCCCAAGGCTTATGCCGTCATCGGTGTCGGCGCCCTGTACTTCTTCCTCATTATCTTCAACCTCGGTGGCCAGCTCCTCACCAACTTTGCTGGCTTCGTTATCCCCGGCTACTACTCTCTTGCCGCTCTCTTCACCGACACCAAGGATGACGACACGCAGTGGCTGACCGTACGTTTTTCCCCTCCCCCGCCCTTGAGATCTTCTGATGAGGCATCACGAGATCTGCTTCCGCTAACATGTTGCAGTACTGGGTTGTCTTTGCTTTCTTCAGCGTCGTCGAGAGCTTCTTCAATATCGTCTACTGGTTCCCCTTCTACTTTGTCTTCAAGTTTGTCTTCCTCCTGTGGCTCTCTCTCCCCATGTTCCGGTAAGTTGCAAGGCCACCCCCGATCGATCATGATGATTCAGTGCTGATCTTGACTCTAGTGGTGCCGAGATTATCTTCCGCTCTTTCCTTGCCCCTACCCTTGGTCGATACTTCAAGGGCAACTCTCCCAGTGCCAACCTCCGCTCCAAGGTTGACGCCGCTGTCAACAAGTCCGACTAAAGGAACTTCGCAATGGTGGCATGGTCGCAAATACAATAATCCGTTCGCTGTTCCCGGACCATTGCCATGATGGCAGGCTGTGCACAAGGATAATGATGACGCGGGCGCCTACTGTGCCTACACCCGGAACGCCGGCAACAATGATGGATGAGAGAGTAAAAGCGGAAAGGCTGCATAGTCCCAAAGCCTAATGATTGGAAATGTGTAAAATGAATTTGTACTTTTCTCTCAAATGCAGTTTTGTACCGGATAATGAGCATCAATTTATTTTTTTGGTTAAACGTACCTTCCCTTACACTGGTAATAATACCATGTGAAGGTGCTGAATATGCGCAGGTATGGATCATGCGCAACCATGGTAAGCGAGGAGGTTTGCCTGTAGTACTCCGTACTGTGGCCCGAGCCAGAATTCGTGGAATCATTTGTTCACTGGCACGCACAATCAGTCCATCGGCGATGGATTTTGATAATCTGACAGATACACTGCAACTGCAAGCATATGGGCCGTAGCCCACTGGTTGATTTGCGTATTTCCAGAAGGCTTGGAGGTTGAAGGGAGAGCCAGGAGAGATCCTGGCTCTCCCTTCAAACCTGAACAAGAACGAGCCCGCCAGTTTTTGATAGTCATGTGCCAAAACTGTGTTTAAGAGGCACTTTGTGATTTCTACATTTTATGTTGAATATTAACGACTGAAAACGTTTTCAAATGAAAACAAAGTCGAGACGACTGTCAAATGTCAGGCCGTACGCAAGTAGATGTCGCAGCTTGCTTCAGGGGGCTTCTACAGAACGGCTGGGTGGTGGACCCACGTTGGTAGGTAGGTACCTACCTGGTAGGCAGTTAACCGTCATCCGCATTGTGAAACGGCCAGACTCTTTGCTGAGACCCTATCTCCTCTCCGTCACCCGACTGAACTCGTCGCAGACTATCCAAAGTCATGATGTTCCATCAGGCCTCTCGCTCCGGCCGCCGTTGATCACCCAGCGCGCCTCGCAATCCTCCAGTGGCACTCCCTCCCTTCGAGCCGCTGGCGGCAGCCCACCATGCCACTCGGGCTCTCGCATTCGCGGCCGGCGCCTTCGCTGGTCGCGACGATATTCACCATACTCCATATTCTCGCATTATCGCCGGCTGCGTTTGCTGCCGAGACACCCACCAGCATAGACCCGAACAATCTCGGCGGGTACGACCTCGATCGCGGCGACACGTACGAGCCCAGTTTTGCGCCATTCGATCGCAGTTATCTTGGCAAGCGAGCCAGCGTCATCGCACCGCTCGTGAATAATATTCCTGCCAAGTCAAATCTCAAGCCAGGCGAAACAGCATGCTATCAACTCAAAAAAACCATCGCGAGCGACAGCCAGGGCAGCGGAACGACTGCTCGCAGTCTCGACCTCAGCACTGCCGAGGTAGCCATAAATTCTAGCTCCGGTGCCAGCGTTTTGGCTCGTGACGACAGCCAGAAGCTGCAGGTCTTTCTGTCTGCAAATACATGCCTTCAGCCGTACCGCGTCCCTGGCGACGACAAGGCTGATATTGAGCCACCCCAGCTCACGCTGCTCATATCGAATTTGAGCCAGTTGGGGTGCCCTGACATGTCTATGCAAGACACGTCCAACATACAGAAAAGGGCTTTTGAGAGTGGTGCAGTTATGTTCAACATGAACATTACAGAAGACTTGTACATTACCGTCCAGGCCCCGAATGTGTCGTCCAGCTACCAAGGCGTTTACTTCTTTGAGCTGGCTGGCTCTACTCAGGATTACTATCACAGATACGTGAACAAGGACGGCCAATTGTTATGGCTCGATAGTGATGCCAGCTCGGCTCTGCTAGTCAGCAAGAATCTGACCACAGATCCCGACGAAACGAAGCAAATCATGGACGGCGGCATGCGGTACCGGTTTTACATTGATAACGAGCTCTATCCTAGACTACATGGGCTTCAACACTCTACCTGTGGCCTCCAGACAAATGCACAGATCTACGCCACTCCAAACGGGACGGGAAATTTGAATCAGCTGGTCCACATGACCATGACGACACGCGGACCCGGTGGCTTTCCGAAGCAGCAATTCTTTGTCACCGGGCTCAATGATACAACAGGATATCAAGGTTTCATTGTCAGGACTCCAAACGCGACGGTAATCAAACGCGATGGAGAGGGAGTCGTCGGGGGCGGTGGCACTGTTTTCGCGTCCACGGCCTTCAACACTGTATCAGGTACAAGCTGCAAGATGGTGACGGACCTCGAGTTTTGCGACGATATACAATACGCTGTACCCGGCAACCCCGACAAGTTCAAGGCCGACGACAGCCTAGGACAAAAGTACGATGACTACGCCAGGGACATGTACGCCAACTTTGAAAAGGCACTCATGCAGGTGCAGTGCGAGGCGCCCTCAACCAAGATGTACTCGCTCCTGAAAAACTGCGACGACTGCAGGCGGACGTACAAGAAGTGGTTGTGCACCGTCGTCATGCCGCGCTGCGAGGACTACAACCTCGATAGCCCGCACTCGGTCGTGCGCAACGCCGGGCAGCCGTTCCCGAACGGCACGCGGCTGCCCGCCGCGGACCTGGCCCTATACGCCGCGCCCGCGCACAACAGGTCGCGCAACAGCTTTATCGACGACCAGATCGCGCCGGGCCCGTACAGGGAGCTCCTGCCCTGCGACGACCTCTGCTATGAGGTGGTGCAAAGTTGCCCGTCAGCGCTACAGCTCGCGTGCCCACTGCGCAAGTTTCGCGAGTACAACTCGAGCTACGCGAAGCGCGACCCGGATAATAAGGAGGTAACGTGCAATTACCCGGGCGAGCCGCGTACGCGCGTAAGCGCCGCGGTGGGTGTCGTCTTGCACACGACTTTTCTGTGCGGCATGGCGCTGCTGAGTATGGGGTTGTTGTATTAAGTGGTACGACTGGCAATCTGCGGGAAGCTGGGTCTTTCTGTAGTTGTGACAGGTTAGATGGATACGTTCCGCATTGCATTGCATCTGGAGTTTGGCATTGGCCAGTTAATACTATACAGAAAATAGAATACATAATTTCTATGTTGCGCAATTAGTCACGCAAGCATACTGCTCCCTTTGTGTGATGGGCTTGTTTCATGATATACGATTAGATTGTACACTATAGTTACAGTATCCCAACGTTACTCGATGCGTGTTGCTGATGAACAGCCTTCCTCTCCAGAGCTCACTTGGAACCCATCGGACCCGTCTCAGCAGCAGCCTTGGACTCCTTGTACTCAGTTACCGTCTTTTCTAGCGTCTCAATCTCGGCTACCCAACAGCGTCAGCATAGAGTCACGATTCGCGCCTTGGCAGCGGTGCATCAATTGCCCGCGGCCATTGCAGGGTAGCGTGCTACGCACCATCAACCTTGGCACGCGCCTCGTCGGCTTCCAGCTTGATCCAGGACCAATACGCGACTTGGTACGTAAAGACGGCGAGGATCATGACCTTTGCAATGGGCCGCGAAAAAGTCTTGTAGAAGCTTGCCTGCGGGGGTTGCACGGTTAGCAGGAGTATACGGGCTGCAAAACTCTCGGCTGATCGACACGGGGTAAGGAGATCCAAAGCAAGGAAACCGCCGTCGCGCAACGGCTATCCATGGAGCAAAGTAAGAAGGTGGTCTTACTGTAGGGTTGTTGGACTTCTCTGTGGCATATGTTCTGGTAGTGGCGAGTTGGCGCCGTACTGTAGACACCCGACGAGCGACAACCGCAGCGCGTATTGAGAACATTCTGAAGGCCGTGGTTTGGCGTACCCAAGGTGCGTCTGTGATAAACTCCTCAAAATCCCAACAAATATCTCCAATGCTAAATCCTTGGTCGTCTTTGCGGGCTGGATGAGCAAAGCCTGCGTGATAGGAGGCTATTCTCAGAATGAAAGCCAAGTGTGGCGCTTGCACCGCCACAAGGGAGCCCGCCTTTTGGCCCCCCCACCGTGCGGCGTTGTGGGGAACAAGCTAGGGGCAGCTTCAGGCCACCTTCCTTCCCTTCTGAGTGGGTGATGGGTCGACTCCCTGGGTTGACGACACATGTCCAAACCCAAACCCTGACTCTCATCTCGGAAAAGTGAACAGCTTGCTCGTTCCCCCCTGTGTCAATTGCAAATACAGTCATACCAACGATTCGACTCGATTCCAACAGAATCTCCAAACACCGTTGCGTCTTCTTAAAAGGTGTACTTGTTCAGATCCCGCGTCACCAGGGAGCTACTCTAGTCCCGTTAAATTCCAAACGTCCCCCCTCCCTCGATCGCGACGAACAGCCCGCATCTCGTCTTCCTTGGACCGATCCGCTTCCCAGTACATATATACTCACAATGGTATGTCACACGAAGCGAACAAATTCTTGCTGCCTGGTTTAAATCCCGTCAAATCATCTGTCGCGCAACCTGGCCAAGGGCTTTCAGGCTAATCAAAGGGGGCACCACCCCTCCGCAGGCGCAAACTCTCGAACAGCGACGTGGCAACGCCAAATTCGCCAGGGACCAGGAGGCTCGCATGGGCAAGTCTGGCTCGCAAATCAAGAAGCGCGAAAAGGCCGCCCAGAAGGCCACCATCTCTCCCTTTTGGCTTGGTACGTGAACACAAACTCGCCGATTCACTCTCCCGATCCGCCTCTGCCTGTGTGCAATTGAAGACGGTCTCCATGTCATCGACAGAGCCGCAAATAACCATTTCATGCCCTGCCCTCGACGCGCTCCACGGGCCAGCCAAATCGCATGCTCATGCGGATCCCACGGAGATGGGGCCGATGTGCCGTGCCGATCTCTCAGTCACCTACACTGCCTGATTACGAACGAAACAAGTTAACACTGCCTCTTACTAGTTCTGCTCGCCTTCGTCGTATTTGGCGGTCTATTCTTCGAGGTGCTCGCCCGCTGGTGGGGTCAATAAACGATAAACGCAATATACAAGCGATGAGGGGATACAGGCGACCAAAACGCAATGCACCTTAGGCCTGCGAGTGGATAATAAAAGAATGGTTCTGCGCTGCCATATTTGAGGAGACTCATGATGCACTGCAACGTCTTGTGGCCGGCTGTGTGGCGCGTTGCTAGCCGTCAAGGACACGAATAAGGTTGCTGTTTTGTATGGCAGGTTGATAGCATGTCCTGTGGTCAGCTGGGAAACAGCAACAGGAGAAGAAACACTTGCCACTGTTGAGCTGGAGACAGGGTCGAGCGAGCGCGAGCACCATGTACCATCAGCCATGTATTCGAGATGATGTTGGGCGTCGTAGAGCCGAAGCGATACAACCTCAAAATGTTACATTCAATTTCCTTGATTTCACGTTGTCGGGCACGACGGTATGTCGTGAAAGTCCGCATCTGTGCAAAAGTGACCTAGTAGACTAATGTCGAGTTATACAGCAAAAGTTATACAAACTGGCTCCATATCAATCTCTGCGCCGCCTCCCGGTTAAAAATATGTACAAGTGGAAAAGTGAAAATTAGAGAAATTGCTGCCATCAGGCGCAAGAGCGTACACGGGTCAAAAAAAAAAGGTCACCCACTCATGCCGAGACCGCGGCGGTGGCTGCCGCCGTCATTCTTCATGCGCATGCCCTCTTCAAACTGGCGCTGAATGTCGGCCTCGGCGCGCGCCGACTCGGACGCGCTCTTGCTGCTGCTCCCGGCCTCGGGCACACGCACGCCCTGCTTCTTGCCGCCGAGGAGCCGCAGGAACTTGCTCTGCCGGGCCGGGCCGCCGTCGAGGTTGGTGACGTGCCAGCCCTCAGGCCGACCGGCCGCGGACGTCTCCTTGCCGTCGCTGTCGCTGCCCGCGTCCTTGACCTTGTTTCTCTGTTTGGCATTTTTCTTGCTGTTCCTTTTGTCTTTGCGCTTGCTCTTGTTGTCCTTGGTTGACTTTTTCTGGGCCGCTTTCTGGTCTGCGTCGCTGTCGGACGAGTCGCTGCTGCTGGTGTCGTCGTCGTCAGAGGAGGAAGGGGACACGCGCTTTCGCTTGCGCTCCGGCGTTTGCTTGTCCTTGATGCACTTCCTTCTGGGTGTGGCTTTGGGTGCGGGGATGGCGGCGCCGCCTTCGGAGCTGGAATCGGAGGAGGAGCTCGTGGATTCCGACGAGGATGTGAGGACGTCTTCGTCCGAGTCGCCCTGTTGCCACGCGTCAGTCAATACCGCCGTCATGAACTGGGTCAGGTACCAGGATCACCCACCTCTGATGACGTGTCGTCGTCTTGCTCTTCAAGGAATTTGGTCAATTCTGCATACGCGTCCGCAGCCTTCTTGGCCTCGGCCAGGAGCCTGTGCGCCTCCTTCTCCAGCTCTTGTGAGCGGGCCAGCAGCTTTGCTCTCTTCTTCTCAATCTTGGCAGTATCTTGATGAACAGCCATATTTCCCGGCTTGGCCTTGCCTTTGCTCCTTTGAGCGACCTTGTTCGTCTTTGGCTTAGTCCCGGCCATGGTGGTCAAGAACCTACGCTGCTCATGTACGTTGGCGAGATCTCTAGCCCCTAGCCACTCTTGGGACCGACGATCCGCGGCAATACCTCTATGAACGAAAGAAGGACTCGTTAGCTTGAGGTGCCGCGTGATGTCGCACAGTGAGGGGCACGAGTAGTTCACAGTATCAATGTACCTTTTTTACAAGGGATCGTCCAGAGCGTTATCGGAGTTGAACGATGAAATGAGCACAGGCAGGGAGGGCTACCACCTGTGACGCAATGCTACCAAGGTCAAATAAACGAGAGTAAAGTTCCAGCGTGTAGTGAAAACAAAATGCAATCTTGAGAATGGCTTGAGGATATTAGGATATTAGTTGAACAGACGGATTCTTTTTTTCCCAGCCTGACGACACCAGTGTGGGGCAGGTTCTGGGGGCATTTCTGCCAGGCGGTGGAGGAGTGTGAGTTGAGGCACACGACAACAATCACGATGCGCAGAGCGAAATTATTAATGCCTTTTTCTATCTGATGATAGGAATTTGGAAATTAAAGTCAATGGGGAAACAGTTGATAGGGGCGGCGAGAGTCTGAGATTTTAGCTGTCTTTAGCTGTTGATATTCGTTTCTTGCCGCCGGCCCGGTGTAAGTCGCGGCACGGGAACCAAGCCAAGGTATGTAAACCATGGTACAAGTCTGTATATGTCCGATAATATTTCATTAGAATTCTTGGTTTGACTAAGCTCTCTAGACTGGCCATGCATTTTGTAAATGGTTGGTTGATGACAAAAGGAAGGACCACGATAATTTACTTGACTCGAGCTATCAAGGCTGTATAACAACACCCACAAGTTGGACATGAATACACAGAGCCGGGCCTGTGCTTGAGCGCGCAATTGCAAATAGTCCCCATGACAAGCAACGGAATTCTGCAACGTATTCCCAGACTGGATTGGTCAATGGCAAGTACGGGGGCGTAGTGCCCGAAGCTAGTTGAGGCTGGCACTAAAATGAGCCAGCTGTGCGAGCTGAATGCAAGCCAAGCAAAGCAGGGCAAACGAGTGGAGGGTTTATGGAAAGACGACGATTGGGATAGAAGGAAAAGATGGAAATCGAGTCACGTTATGCGAGACGCAGGAGCATCGTAGATGGGGACGTCAGAGGCTGAGACTTTGCAACGTCTCCATTAATCGTGGTTCAACAAGGTGAACGAAGCTCTCCTCTGCGGATCTTCTTGGTTTAATATCCACCTCGAATATGTGCACCCTTTATAGTTTACGGAGTAATTACTACCTACAAATGCAGAGAGACTTGAGGCAACTGATACATCTCTCTAGGCTGCAACTCGACTCGAAATTTGACTCGCCAATGATGTTGCTGTGCGACTGTGCTCGCTCTGCAAGATTCGGAGGGTTAGAATGATGAAATATTTAGTAGAACTTTGGAGCATATCCTGTTCAACTGGCATTAATATAGCTCGCTCCTCAATGTCTGGGGAATAGATGATGTTGCACAACAACGGTCGGCTAATTGCACAACTGTTCTCCATTCGTGCACACGATGACGGGTGTAATGTAAGCCCCATTCGGTATGTAACTTTTTGTTATATTCGCCGGGGAGGGGGCGTGTGAGCACCACGGTTCCAGGATCGCTAGTTGACGACAGCCTAGATAGCCCCAGCCTTGCCTAGGAAAATTATTCGAGGGTCATGTCTGCATCTCGAAATGATGACACGCCATCAAACAAACAGAGAAAAATAGCGCCAAAGGAATGAATGACTGAGCTTTGCCAAGGCTTGTGGCCGCCCTCGTATGTGGCACACAGGAGGCGCCATGGGATATGAGAGCGAGCTGTCTCCCCGCCGCTGCGTGGAGGGCTGAAGAGCTGAGCATGACGGCGTATGCATCGGGGTATTAATGAGAGCCTTCCGTGTGCGGGATACTGCAGCACATTTCCACCCTGGCGTCGAGTCATCACGTATGCATAGTTACTATCGGATTGCCATTGGCGCAAGCCACGCAGACATATTCTGCATCGTTCTCTATGTACTCTATGTTTTGCTTCGCAACAGTCTACATCTGCCGGGGGCAAAGAAGAAAAAAAAGAAGAAAAAAGAAGAAAAAAAAGAAGAAGAAATAGAAAATAGAAAACAAGTGCAACAAAGTGGAAATAGCCACCGCTCAACGACCAGAAGGAAAATACACACTGCTACTCCGTTTCCTCCTGAAACCGCAGACGCCAAAGAAATCACGCGCTCTTTACCATCTCTCTCAATGAGATGGCCGAGTCGTCATGGCGTAAAAAACGCGGGCATGGGCGGCGAGCCAATGCCGTACAGGTAGGGCGAATCGTCCATGCCCTGGTCTTCGGCGGCACCGCCGTAGCCAAAGGGCTGCGGCACGGTCCGGCCGTACGGCGCGAGCGAGTAGTTGGTGCTCGACGGGTTGCTGCTGTCGTCGCCCGTGTACGTGTTGCGCCCGCTGCTGCGCTTGCTCTCGGCCTCGTGGCCTCGGGAGACGACGTGGCCCAGGTTGACGCTGCCCCATGGCAGGCCGTTGAGCGTGTCGTCGCCCGCAATGTCGAGCCCGCTGGGGATGCGATAGCTGTTACCGGCATGCTCCAGATTCCGCGAGTCACGCTCTGCCTTTTCTTTGCCTTCTCTGGCTTTCTCGCCTGGACGCATAGAGAACAAAGTCTCCGAGTCAGTAACGCAATGCCTGCTGTGAGTGTTGGTTCATGTATGCGTACGAAATTTGCGCTGCGCAATGCGGTTCTGGATCCGTCGACGTTCTTCCGGATCTGTCACGCCGGCCCAGTCTGCATCTTTCAGGCTGGTCTTGGTCTTTTTGAGAGGAGAGCAGGGCGAGCTTCTGCTCTGGGAGCCGCCTCTTGCCGTGCGGGACGACATTGATGCTTGGACAAGAGTCTGGTCGAGGAGGGCTTGGGCGTACGATTGGCGGGAGCTGTTCAAGGGCGTTGGTGATGTGCAGCTTTGCAACGAAGAAGAAATTCCACAACAAGACGGATGGATATCGTGGTCTAGAATGCGATTGTAGACTTATAGCTGGGCGTCCATGTATTGGTAGCGTAGTCGAGGGTCGTGTAATTGGGCGACGTCAATGGATGGTTGACTCTCAAATCAGGTGTATGCGTGGAGGGACGAAAATGACGAGTGTTTCAATACAAGGTCGCGAGTTGTAATGTAAATTATAAGAAAAAAGGTCAGGAAGCCGCTCTCGCGAAAAAAAAAGAGCAAGACCGCCTGTCTAATAACGAACATCTCAGCATCTGACATGGCATGGCACGGGGAGCATCATGTCTAGGGGGGGGGCGCCCACGAGCCCATTCCCATGTATCTTTCCTCACACCCCCCTTGGCCGGTCAGGACAAGAGATGTACCAAAAACCAAAAGGCTAGGAGTTCGCTAGGCAGACTATTAGGACCATTCTCGCTGGTAGGGCAGAGGAGCAGGCAGACGTGATGGAGGGGCGACGTTCAGCTGGGGCCGTGAACCGTCGTAACAATTCACATGCGGCGGCCGCCAGGTAATCGGAGGACGGGCTGCAGGAAAGGGTGTGCATGGAGATGGGACCCGGGCTGAGACATTCGGTCGGGGGCAGGGACTTTGCGATGTACATACCTGTCGTCCCAGCGCATCCGAATCCATGTCAGGTACGGCAACTCGAGGGCAGAGTGGCGATAGTAAAACGGTCAGCCCTCGTACAGGGTCTCCCTGGAAATTTTGGAGCCCATTTGATCGGGTCAACTATCACAAGGCCATGTCATGAAACAGCATCTGCTATTGGCCGACAGAAGTCGTACCTAGCTACTCCGTAGAGAAAACCATATCTACGTCGCCGGATTTTCCAGGATTGTACGATTGCCAGGCGACGACCGATTCGGACATGATGGAGCTTTCGAGATTGAGGTTGTTCCACGACAAGATAAACGCTAACTAGTTACACAGATGCACAAGCTTTCGTCCATGGGGGCCGTGGATCTTGTACCCGCCTCCACGCCTCTATCGCCTCAAATAAATAAATAGTATTTTATTTAGTTATTGACTAATAATAGTTAGTTCTTCCACGTCAATGTGGCTTTGTGGCAACACCACCACTTCCTTTGCGTCATCGCGTTCATCTCGGAGGCGAAAGCAAGGAAAGGAAATGGTGGAAAAGCGCCCTGGAAAACGAAATTTGCGTTGCCCAGGCTGAGGCTGGCAAATCTCACCGACAAAGGCCGGCACCGACCGACATTATTTATGCTGTGGTTTGGAAGGAAGCGGCTGAACTCTGCACAGCGAATCGGATGCCTGGATTGTCGGTCCTGGCCACACCTGAAGAATCCAAATCAATGGATTAGAGGAGTGAATGGACGACATTCTGGTTCGCCGGCCGATAACTATGTAGGTACCTAGGCAGCACCAGACTTTGTTCCGCATAGGTAGGTGTGGGTGGCTAATAACTAACTACATACGCGAGTGAGGCCTGTTTTTAGACAGGGTACTAGACAGGTCTCTTTTTTAACAGCTAATTTTCCCCTGTCACAACGCTGTCAGGCGTCTAACACGGCTTCTAAAAAAACATAAAAGATCTTTAACACGTAGCAGCAGCCTGACAGCGTTGTGACAGGGGAAAAAAACATGTTGAGTGGAAATTGTGTCCAGTGCCCTGTCAGAAAACAGGCCTCACGCGCGTAGGTAGTTAGAGGGACTTGTGAAACGGCGATCCGCCGAGCCAGGACTGGATCGTGGCGGCCAACGATTTCGCTGGTCGTTAACTGGGGATAACTAACGTTGACTAAATTAATAAAATAGAATACATAGCTTGGGAGTGTATCCAGGTCCGTCACCGCGGTCCAAGGCAGGGATGTGAATTGTCCGGAACGACGGATGGTGGGAATACATATATATCCCTTGCGATTTGCCTTTCCAGGCGACATTCTCACACTTAATAAAGCACAATGCCTGTTTCTGGGGCCTCGTTGTATGAGCAATCGGACAACTGTAAGAAAAGACCCTAGTGATCCTGGCCAGCCACAAGTGTCGCCAGCACACCACATTCTACACCGGTTCCCTCCATTGACAAGCCACTACCGGTACGGCCGTACCCCCTGTCGTCGTGGCGCTAGAAGCTGCAGGCATCGATACTGCCAACGTCTCGAAGCCCTTGCGATATTGCGATAAGTATCCGTAAACGGGACGGCCAGCCACAGCATGTGGGCTTTGTTGCTATCACAAAGAAGCCGTATGCTAGTTCAGTACTGAAATAAGCTTTTACGAAACGTCTGGGATCTTCACGTGCGAGCCGGATTTGTGAGGTTTGCGCGATAACTACTAGAAGGTATAGTTGCATATACCGCGATGGTGTGATCCCGGCCCTGGGCAGGCAGGCAACTTTGCTAACTAGCGACAGCCGAGCGTCGTGCAACGAACTAGTTAGTTTGGGGAATTGGGCGCGCCTTGATGAACGGATTCTTCAGGGCAATGGTAGTTACGAATGTACAAGAATATGCGACTGCGCTAGCCAATGCGAGAAATACGATGCAACCCTGGAGAGCCGCATTTTCCCGATTGACTGGTGGGATTGAGGACAATGGGAAAGTGAACAAGATCCTGCCCCTTATTTCAGCCCCCAGATGGCGAAAACAGAGATGCTGCTGAAGGCTGAAGTAACTAGAGCATTCCAACCACCATTCTGAGTATACTCAGTCGTCCATCAGGTGGCTCATGTCAACAGCGGGCGGCACAGTGCAAGATCAACGCTACACGGGAAGAAACCCAGGCAATGTCTGAAAATGTATTCTAAGCAATTGGCTTATTACAAAATGAACTTGAACCAACTCGGTAGTTCGCCTACTGGCTTGACAGCTACGCCAACTAACAAGGCCTACCTAGGCTAGCAAGCACGTTCAAACGTCAGCAACTTGGCCGCACTCGTCGAGACAAGAACTACCATGCATATCTGCCTCTTGTACCCGAAACAGATGGCAACGAGTTCATCGCATACTTCGCCGCATATCCTCAAGGCCACATGGCAAGCTGCCTCGAATCCTGTTAGGCTGCTCAGCTTGTGAGCAAAACACAAGCATTCTTTTTAGCGTCACCTCGTGGTGGTGGGGGGCATGTCCTCTGGAGCTTTCATCATTGCTTGCCTCGGACGCCAAGACAGCGGTGATGGCTGGTACGGCGTTGAGTTGCCTGCCGGCAAGTTGAGCTTGCACACATGCCATGCCGAGAGTCGTGCTATCCTGTTGGCGTATGACTACACCTGGGCGTGCATATGTACGATTGTGTGATCAATTTTGGCGTCAATGTAACGGTTCTACCTTTACATATCCCTTCCAATCGGTTTACTTTTATCCATGAACACTATCAGCACACTAGCTTTCGCTCTACGTACCTGCTGTAGTGCCTAGTCTGAGGCGCTCAGCTGAAAGTGTTGACATATTCGGAGCCGGAGAGATGAGGTAGCAACGAAAGAGGCTCACGTTTCCTCTTCCTTTATGCCGACAGACCCTAAACTAAGTCCATCAGTGCACTGTAGACAGTGAGTTTGTAGAGCCCTTTCTGGGAACAAGCGTCTAAGTCAAGCTCGTACGCTAGTACCAGCGGCCTGCAGAGGGTGGATTGTTTTACAGCAAACTGCAATGATAAAATATGCAAGTGAACTTAACCGAACCGGAGTCATCTCCGCTGCTGGCGGTTCGTGAGGTGTGGACTGCGAATGCCGTCGGCCGAGACAAGTCCCGATGTACGTCTTTCCGAATCGGGCTGACACCACATTGTTTTGCGACAAGTTCTCCTAGCTATTCACGTCACACACTCTAGCTTCGTGCCGGTGAGAATTCATGCGACTTTGCCCAATGACAAGCTTTGAGAAGGGCACACATATCTGTAGAGATTGAGCTTTGTTTCGTCTCCTGATTAGCTAGAAACAACTCATCGGAATTGAGCAAAGTTCTGGCTAGAAGAGGTGGAGCTGCTTGTTCAGCTGTAGCGATGGACGCAGCCATTGGTGGCTAGGGAAGGAACCAATTTGTTAGCCAAGCCCAAGATGGAAATATTATGAGCGGAATTATCGGAGACCTGGAGGAGATAACTAGGTAACGTTAGTCTGGTACAATATAATGAACGTGGGATCAGAACAAGGATATCGCGAGTTGTGGGAGAGGTTGGATGGAGATGTGAGAAGCAACTATGCCTGACAATGACAATGAGTGGTGTCAAAGAATTGCTTACACAAGAAGGAATAGGTCGAGTATTTACATCGGCAACAGGCCGTCAATGAGACAATCCTATAGTTTTGTAGAAGGATTTGAGCAGTGGCTGTAGATAGTCAAACCGCAATGCAGAGGCATTGGGCTCTTTGCGAAACGTAGACCATTTCCATGACTGAAAGGTATGTCAAGCTCATACATATCCGACGGCACATGGCAAGAAAAAAAGTAGAACAAGGGGCGTGAAGTTAACAATATGAGGCGAAACACTTCCGCAGCCCCTGTCAACAATGCCGGGAACTAGGCGGCGATCTCGTCCCCATCTAGCGACCCTCGCGTCTTGTACCAACGATGTTGAGCCGGCTGCCGCGGAGGTGGTCCTGTGAATGCACGAGATTCTGCGTCTCACCTCACTGCTGCCTCCATGCTACTGAAACCTATCTGGTCAAGGTACAAGTACTCTCTGCGCGGGAACAATGCCAAGCGAGCTTGTCAAACTTGCAGCTTCCAGTCCTCGACCTCAGTGTTGGCATCACGACGTGCGCAGACTTGTTCACGCTCGGGCGGGAAAATAGCTAGTTTAAGCGTATTTCCGCGCCCCCCGCCTTCGCGTATTCTCTCAATGTAGACGTGATATCTCCAGCCGCCAGATTCCGCCAACACCACACGTGCGAGAAGCGGTGGCGGTGGCGGGCAACGGGCTTGCCATTTACCCAAACCAAGTTGCAGGCAAAGAATCTCGTCATCGCCCAGACGCCCACGTCCAAGCAAGCCCGGAACGCCTCGTCTCCTCGGCACGGAGAGAAAGCCATGCCCCGTCCATCAACCGCCGCGGCCGCCGCCCCCGACATCATCGGTGCGTTCCCTGAGGATCCTGGAAATCGACGATTGCAGAGACCGAGAGGGCGCATTGACACATGACAGCAAGGGGGCGCGATAAGGAACGCCAAGCCGAAAGCCCGCGATGCGCGGCGGACGCTAGGTAGGAGTGAGGCCACAGGGCCCTGTGCCAATCTTGACGCCTCTCATCAACCATCCCACCATTGGCCATGCGAATGACGTTGTGCAATGGCGTTCTGGAAATTAAGAAGAGCGAAAGCGATGCTCTCCGTTGTAAAGACAACCGAGACGACATGTCGTTTGCTGGAATCGAAAGTGGGCTGAGCTGAAAATGGCTGGTTGGAGGGGGGGGCTGCCGCCTCGCCTGAGAGCCAAGTTCCGTGCGGCGATCAACTCATGCGCATACTCAATGACGATGAGGGGTTATCTGTGAGAAAAGTCTGACGTGAGAGGAGACAGGTAGTAGTTGATGAGCGCTGTAGGTGGGAGGGTTTGTGGTGGAGGGGCGCAGCCATACTGTCCTCGCATGGAAGTCGACACTCATGCCACGGCCGCCACCGACTTGGTATGATTCTATACACTGAATCATCAAACAAGTGAAAGAAGAACCAGAAAAGGGGATGGGCGAGGTGCCAATGACGAGACTTATATATTGAGATCAGGCTAGCCTCGTCACATCTCTGGGCATGCTTTGCTAACCGTCAGGATTCGAGACGGCCCGAATAGCTGCGCCCAATCCGTGGGGTCTTTTGGGCGTGCACAGGGTGAATCAGCCCCGGGTAACATATGTACATATCTAGGTGAATCAGCCCCGGGTAACATGCGTATCTAGAGCCGGGGAGATCTTGGCGGGTCAAGTCCAGATCTCAGGTAAGGAGTCGAGTGTCGAGTGCTCACATGCACAATGGAGCAAAGGGTCAGAATTCAAGGCAAGTTGAATGCATCTCACACTAGGACAGACCATTGGGAATCATGCTCTAATACATGTTCCAGGCAGACATGTGCTGTTTGGCAAAGATCGACCCCATGGGAAACAGTCATGACCTGTGGACAAGGCGTCAAATCAAGCATCTCGGACATGGTTCGGGATCGTGAGGGCGGTAGTGGCACGCCATCGGTTCTCTCCGACGCGGGCCGTCTTCTGCTGCCCCAAAGCGCACGCCGTTGCACTGCGGTATGTAACCCCTCGCCCGCAGTGCTGTTGCTGCCTTGTCTATACCCGTCATGCAGGGCCCAGGTTAGACCAGGCCAAGCAGCAAGGCTGTTAAAAACGCAGCCAGTCCCTAGAATCACGGGACCAGTAGTCCACAAGTATCATCGCCCGGCGTATGTATAAGAAATGAACCCTGATGAGCATAATATGACAGTGTAATTGGTACAAGTTATGGTGTGTTCAATGCCAAGCGCTCGCAGCATCTTCCCCCTTTTGTTATAATTTACAGGTGCTTCATCAAATCGGCCTCACGCTCCGCGCGACGCTCCAGCTTGCGCCTCTTGAAGCGCGTCTCCGCCCTTCTGCGCTCGCCGCCATCAATCTTCCTCCCCTGTTTCTTCTCCCACATGCCTTCCGTAATCTTGACCACGGCGCCACCCTTGCCCGGCAACTCAGTGGCGTAGCTGCCCGCAATCGTCTTGAGGCCGCGCACCGAGTAGCCCTTGGGCCGGGGGTACGTCTCAGGCGCGCTGTCCTCGCCGTGCGGCACGTTGACGACCCAGCGCGCGTCTGTCGCCGCGCCCGATGGCGGCGTCGCGATGCGGAGGTGCGCCTCGCCGTCGTGCACAAACTGAAAGTCACCGCCGGGCCCCACGACGCCCTTGCGGTAGCGCTGCATCCACTGAAGCAGATAGCGGCGCGCGCGCGGCGGCTCCACGCCGAGCTCCTTGAGCTGCGGCGAGGTCATGGTGAAGAGCGCCTCCCAGGAGGGGAACTTGCTCGCGTGCCGGCTCAGGCCGCGGCCGATGAGCTTGAGGAACGTCTCGGCATCGGGGACAAACGGCCGGGGGCGGGGGATCGTGGGAGGAGGTCGTGTTTTGTGCAGGCATCGTATTTGGCTGCTGAATATACTGGTCGGAGGCGCTGATACGAGCGGCCGTAGCGACGACCAGAGCGTTTGGGCTCTCATGTTCGACATTGTCTGTCAAGGTAGGGGGTTAGCGATCGGGCCGTCACAGAGACAAGCGCCTGGTGGACAGCAGGACCGAATTGCCGTACCTGCAGAGAAGAATAGAAAAGAAATCCGGCGCCCGGTGCATCAAGGGAATGCGCCGCAGTCCGCTAGAATGAAGAACGACTGGCTGGCTTGTCTGTTGCAATTGAGGCAAGCTCGAAATTTGACGCCAATTAGACTGTGTTAGGTAAGCGAGGCTATGACGGCCCCAGTGGACCCATCGCGAGGCTCCTACATATTCAACTGGGAAGATCTGTATGGATGGCGATACCAATGATCAGTCTGACTGAATGATAGACTCACGTTCATGGAAACGGCTATCATTATCGTCCAGTAAATCATCTTCCACTGGCTTAGAACGCGCTGCCCATGTGCCTGTCGCCCCGAAGATCACGCCCGTCGACGAGACGAACACGAACACGGTAGCGCCACTGGGTCGCCCAATTTTTGGTTATTATCGCGTCTTCTTTCAGAAGTCTTTCTTTCAGAAGCAGGTATACTATTGCCTAAAGAAGGAGCCCGGAATGAATGTGTGCCTGAACTACGTTTGCCTTGTTGATCTGGTTCGCACATCTCTTACCCCGGCGTGAAAAGGCGAACGCGGTGGATCCACCAGGCAGAAGTCCGACAAGGATGGAGGATGCTCGTGTACACGCTTCTTTTCCCCGCCATCCATGATACATCCATTCACTATCCATTCATGCCGATTTATCCCAATTCACCTCGACGGAACTCCTTATAAATGCATCTTTTACCACCCTCCGGGCTCTGAGCTCGTGCAAACCCCTCGACACACCCACCATGGCACGTGTGCCCATACGCAGCGTTGCTGTAGACCACCAATTTGGTTTCAATGGTATGATGCTGTCATATGAGATGGACAAAAGAACACGGAGCTGATAGCAAGCTTCAGATACTCTGCCTTCCAATATCGTCGATGCGCTCCTTGCGCTGCCGTCTGGCCCCGAGCGCCACATTCCCAATGGCATCAACGGTGGAAGCTCTGCGAAGCGTCGCAAGACTACCGAAGCGCCTCCGAACGACTCTATATGTGTGAAGAAAGGCTCGATATTCTTTACCCGTGCGATTGAGCACCCCGATCCGGCCGATCAGATTTCCGTCAAGCCTGACATCGGACCCCACGTTCTCCTACAATACAATGGCAACCTGCTTGGTCTCGGAGCCCGTAACAAGGCTCTTGGTCTTCCCGAGTTTTCTGTCTTGATAGAAAATGATCATGTTGAATCCGGAATGGACCATGTGTTCAAAGTTATGCCCCGGCGAGCACTACGGAACGCTCATGGAGCGCTGTGGACCAAGGTCGACGTTCGCCTCGAGATTGCCCAACGCATGCTTACCTGTACTATTACGCTCAGCATAATGTGGAACGAAACTCCGTCGCCATACTATACCATGCGAACATGTGCTGAGCGAAAAGAGAGCCATGCGATTATCGATGCTTTTTTTCCTCGTTCAGACATCAACTCTTCTGCTTGCTCCCCGATGGACTTCTACGAAGCGGCTTACGTCCCCCCTGAAGATAACCTAGAGCCAGCGTATCTCGAGGTTCCATCATTAGCAGCAACACTTTTCCTATATCAGAAACGGACCCTCAAGTGGATGTTGCATCGCGAAGGCATCAAATGCACGCCTTCTGGCCTGGAACCTATCCCAGATACCGTCGCACAGCCAGATTGTGATACTTTTCGCCAAGTCAAGGACGCAGAAGGGAATTTATTCTACCTGAGTGATGTGTTGCATGCAGTCACGCGAAACAAGGCACCCTATCACCTTGCCGATAGATTTATGAAGGGGGGGATTCTGGCCGAAGAAATGGGTCTTGGAAAGACACTTGAGGTTATCGGACTCATCCTTTTGAATCAGCGCCAAGACATCTCTTCTCTGGACTCCCGGGAAGATTCTGATGGACTCTTGAAAACAAATGCTACTCTGATTGTCACGCCCGGATCTCTCCGACAACAGTGGATGGCAGAGATTGCACGCCATGCGCCGTCTCTCCGAGTCACCCACTACCAAGGATGCAGGAAGCTTGAGGAAGGTGAAGAAAGTGCAGCAGTGGCCGAGCTTGCTTCGTTTGATGTCGTTATTACAACATATTCCGTTCTCTCCCAAGAGCTTCACTTTGCTACTGACCCGCCTGAACGTTCACGTCGCTTCGAACGAGCATACACACGCCCTAAATCTCCCCTGGTACAAATATCCTGGTGGAGAGTCTGTCTTGACGAAGCACAGATGATTGAAAGCGGTGTGAGCCAAGCTGCTTCAGTTGCCCGCGTTATCCCGCGAATAAATGCATGGGGCATTACAGGAACCCCAGTGAAGGATGATGTCAAAGATTTGTTTGGGCTGCTCTTGTTTCTTCGGTATCAACCATACTGCTATGCAAATCAAGTCTGGACTGCGCTCATTTCATCTCACAAGCCCCTGTTCCAGAAGCTGTTCCGATCGCTCGCGCTGCGACACACAAAGGCACTCGTGCGCGATGAGATTCTTCTGCCACCTCAGAAACGCTATGTTATTAGTATACCCTTCAGTGCCGTGGAGGAACAACATTATCAAAGCTTGTTCAAGGAAATGACAGAAGACTGTGACTTGAGTTTAACTGGGGCGCCAATGCTCGATGGCTGGGTCCCCGAGGTATACGAGGCGCGAATGCGAACATGGCTAACTAGATTACGCCAAACCGCCCTTCATCCGGAAGTCGGCGTGTATAGTCGGCGTGTCCTCGGATACAATAAAGAACGACCAATGCGTACAATCGAGGAAGTGTTGAATGCCATGCTGGAGCAGAGCGAAACAGCTATTCGCAATGAAGAGAGGGCTTACTTGTCAGCGAAACTGACGCGCGGTCAGCTATTGGAGAATGGCCCAAGAGTAAAGGAAGCTCTCGCCCTATGGGAAGAAGTCTATGGGGAAACAGTGAGGCTTGTTAAGGATGCCAGAGCTAAACTCGCCAACGGCATAGCAGAACTGAAGAAAATCCACGAGTCACAGCCAGAACCTGCTGTTCAGAAGGTACGCGACTCTGATTCGGAATATCAGAGTGACACTGATGTCATTGATTCGAGAGGAAATATCTCGGAATTGCAACGACGCCTACGTTCTGCCCTGGAAATACACCACAAGGCGGTTTTCTTCTGTGCCAACGCCAACTTTCAGATGCGTGACAACGCTGAAATGACAGAGCCAGACTCGGAAGAATTTCACCGCCTCAAGAAGCTCGAAGATGACGGCTACGAAAGCGCCAAGGCGCTGCGACGAGAAATTTTGCAAGAAAGCTATCGCAAAGCAAACCGCCATATGACTAGCATCAAGAAAAAGGCCGCTAGCCAGACATTTGTGGAGGTACCTGAGCTTGATGTTAAACCGGGGAAGGGCATAGAGAGCGGCAGGGTCATTGACCGACTGGAAGTGCTCTACGGAGAGCTCAACGAGCAAGCAAACATCATGGATGAATGGCGAGAGCAGGTGGTGCAGCTACTTCTTCAGCCTTTACTCGATGAAGAGGATGACGTCGAGCTTACTGGTGAAGAGCTTGTGGATTCTGCAAAGTTTCAAGACGATTTGATGGTCTATGTGCAGGCTTTGCGAAGCGTCATTGCAGATCGTCAAGATGCTATATCTGGGCAAACAAACGAGCTGGTCAAGCACGAGACTGAGACAAGTATCAAACTGGCGCAAAATGGTGGCGGTCCCGCCCCAGTGAAGCTGCTCACCTTGCTCCAAGTCAGAAAGCAGATGAAGCCTCATCGCTCAGAGATATCGATGCGCGGCGCCATCGGCGAGCTTCGTGGCCTGCAAAGTCGTCTGAACCGAGATGCCCCTAGCAGCAGCCGTGAAGCCGTGGAGCTGCAGATTGTCTCGGATCATCTCAAGCACACGCAAGCGCTGCTGACCCGGCAAAACAAGGCAGCGACGGCGCTTGAGTCCGAGATTGAGAGCTTCAAAGACGCCATGAATGCGCGCCTCGAGTACTACCGCCAGCTGCAGGTCGTGTCCGACGCGGTTCTGCCCTACCAAGGCGAGAAGACGGCGCACGTCGAGGAGCGCGTGCACAAGCTGGAGCAGGACGCGCACAAGAAACTCCTCTCCAGCGAGGCCAAGCAACGGTACCTGATGAACCTCAAGGAAGCGGGTGAAGGTGGTGGTGGCGGACCCGGCGGCAGCAAGTCCAACGAGCCGCGCATGTGCATCATCTGCCAGTCGCCGTTTGTGACGGGCGTGCTGACCGTATGCGGGCACCAGTTCTGCAAGGCGTGCATGATGATGTGGTACAAATCGCACCGCAACTGCCCCGTGTGTAAGAAGCAGCTCAAGCCCGAGCAGCTGCACGACATTGCCATTAAGCCGCAGCAGCTGCAGATCCTGAGCGAGGGCAGCCGCACCAGCAGCGCCGACAAGCCCCGGGCGGAGCGCCAGCCAGCCAACAGCGCCAGCGGCCTGCGCAACGGCATCATTTACAGAGAGTTCAACGCCGACAAGCTCGCCGAGATCAAAAACGTTGACCTCGACGGGCCGTCCTTCACCACAAAGGTGGACACGCTCGTGCGGCACCTGCTATGGCTGCGCGAGTCCGACGCGGGCGCCAAGTCGATTATATTTTCGCAGTACCGCGACTTTCTCGCTGTGCTGCACAATGCGCTGCGGCGGTTCCGCATCGGCTACGCCTCCGTCGACGAGCCCAGCGGCATCGCGCGCTTCAAGAGTGACCCGGCCGCCGAGTGCTTCCTGCTGCACGCGCGCGCGCACGCGTCCGGGCTCAACCTCGTCAATGCCAGCCACGTCTTCTTGTGTGAGCCGCTGCTGCACACGGCGCTCGAGCTGCAGGCCATTGCGCGCGTCGACCGCATCGGCCAGCAGCACGAGACGACCGTCTGGCTGTACCTCGTCTCGGGTACCGTTGAGGAGTCCATCTACAACCTGTCAGTGCGGCGCCGCATGGAACACATGGGTCGGGCGGTGACGATGGCGGCCAACGGCAGCGGCAGCGGTGGGAGTGGTGGGAGTGGTGGGATCAAAGGTAGGAAGACGGCGGCGGCCGCCAAGGCGGCCACGCCGGAACCGCTCGATGCGAGCATCGACGAGGCCAACACGCTGGAGCTGGAGCATGCGGCGCTGTCCAAGCTGATGAGCAAGGACAAGACGGCGGGCGAAATGGTCGACAAGGGGGATTTGTGGGAGTGTTTGTTTGGCAACGTGCAGGACGCCGAGGACACTGCCGAGGCAAACGGTAGTGCCGGGACCAGCGACGAGCGCTTCGAGAAACGCGCTATCATGTCGTACCTGGCTGCGGAGGCCGCAGGGTCGCGAAGTAACGAGTAATGAATACCGCGGTTGTGAGCCATGATTATATGGAGACGGAGGAATATATTCTGAGCGGCCGAATATCACCATGTCATTAGTACACTTGTTTGTACTCTTGTGTGTAAATCTATACCTTTGTTGGTTCCTTTGTACTAGTTGACCCCTTTCCATCGTTCAATAGGGGTTTCGCAACCCCTCCCCCCTGAGTCTTTGGGCAGCTGAGAAGTTGATGGTCTCTGCTTTAGGGCAGTGAAATGTGCGGTTAGCTTACCAGTACCAGTCATTCAGAACTTTGTGGTTGGATAAATACCTCGACTACTATTTCCACCGTTCGACAACCGAGAAGATTTCCCTGCGCCAACGGAACATGTCGAGGAAGCCATCGCAGAAGCCTGCGGGATCGGTCTTTGGCTAAGCATCGGCCTTGGTTGGGACGTAGAGGGCGACTAAGCATGATTCAGTTGGAGTCGGCGCCTTGTCAAATGGGGTAACCGGGGTTCCTTCCTGGCCAGTCAACGTGTAGAAGGTTTCGCAGGATGGTAGGAGCTTGCGTGTGAGGATGATACATGCAAGGTGTAAAGGATGAGTGTTGCTCTCTACGAAAACTGTTCGAAAATTGAACGAGACAAGAGAAACATCGGTGTTGCAGAATTGCTTCCACGATGAAATTGTGTGGACAGATTTTAGAAGTTCAAAAGCTCAATTCAGACTCCGGTACTATGAGTGGCCTCTTTGGACAAATCTTGCTTTTGGTAATCCTACATTACCCCCGCCTTCGTCATTATCATCCCCGAGCCGAGTTGGCATATGCAAAAGCACCCTGGCCCTCCTTTTCTGACCCAACTCGTGCTCGCATGCATTCTGCACTGACTTCGAGCATGGTCCGATTTGCGGCTCTGCTTTACACAACGAACGCAGGAAGGGCTACTTGTTACAAACCTCCCAACACACCAATAGTCAGCAACCAACCCTTATTTGGCCTTGGGGGTGCCCGACTTGGAGCGCTTGCCAGCCGGGCGGGCAATGTGGTGGTCGGGGATCCAGCTCTCGTCGTACTTGCTGCTGCCCGAAGCGGTAGCCGCCGACTCGGAGCCGGAGAGGGCAGCGTCGATCTCGGTCTTCCTGACTTTCTTGGGTGTGCGCGCTGCCTTCTTGGCGGGCGGGAAGAGGGCCTCGATCCACGTCTTGTAGACAAAGTAGAGGGCTCCAGCAAAGGCGGCGGAGAGGACGAGGTACAGGAAGATGCTAGAAGAGACAGGTCAGCAACGGAAACCAAGATCCCATCGATACCGACTTGGCTCACATCTGAGGGTCGAGGAAGCTAGTGGGCGCCTCGACAATGGACGCGGTGCCATTGTACGCCGTCACAGGAAAGATGCCGCCCTTGGCGTCGGTGACGAGGGCCGTGAGCTGCACGCGCACGTCCTGCGGCTGCAGGTCGAGCGCAAACGCGTAGGGCACCTGCGCCGACTCGCCCGCGGCCACGGCCAGGTTGTACTCGGACGCCGTCAGGTTATGCACGATGCTGCGGTAGGCCGGCGCGTCCGGGGGCAGCGCCTTGTCCGAGGACAGCGCGCCCGAGACGAATGCGACCTGAATAGGGCCCTCGTCGTGGTTGGTCACCTCGAGCACGGCGCGCGTCGGCTTGCCGTTGACGAGGCGCAGACCGAGGAGCTCGGCGTCGGGAAACGTGGCCCTGATGGTGGCCTTGAGCGGCGCGGGGGCGGCGGCTTCTTCCTCAGTGTCCTGGGAGACATGACAGGTCAGTAGTGACCCGGATATGGATGGCAAATGGCTTTGCAAGGAGATGTGGTCTTGTTTCTCGCATGCGACGAGCTTCGATTGGGGGGGGGCTTACTTACCTTGGCTGGCGCACCAAAGACCTGAACGGCCAGGAGGGCGAGAAGGGACGACTTAAAGAGCATGACGGGCAGACAAGAGAGGAAAAATGAAAAGCGATGCGCTTTCAATTTTTGCACTCTGGGAGAGGGAAGCGGAAAGAATGCAAAGGGAAAGGATGATGAAGAGGTGATGAGTTAGTGTGGAAGGGAAGCGAAGGTCTGGCCTCAATAGTTAGAAGCGAGAGACAGTACGGGGGCCGCTATGGGGCTACTACCGCGCAGCAGACCAGGCCACGTTCTCAGTGCAGATTCTCATTAATAGTGCCTAGGTACTGGGTGTCATTAGATTATTAGGTAGTATCCAGTTAATTAATGCCTAGGTACCTAGCTCTCTGGAAGTCCGAAATAACGGCTTTATTTATTATCGGGCAAGGTGGCTTCTTGTCGCGTGGCCATGTCGATTGCGCTTGAGTACATTCTACATGAGTTGGCCCACGGAATGCCACCGCACAATCATGTCGCAGGTACTTGACCCCAGCTATAACATAACTTCAGGTTGAGTCAAGCCTCACAGCCTCGCTCTAACGATAATCTGCTTTCAACCCGCAATAAGTTACGACACAAGTAGTTACGGAACTTGGTGATGAACGTCTGTTGATTCTCCATCGTAGTTACCATTTATACACAGGCCTTGCGTCAAAATCACTGGCGCATCAAAACAGGCCTTTCCGATTCACTACTCCTTCGCACAAAAACAACAAAAAGACCATCAGAATCTAAAAACAACATGACAACCCCGAAAGACAACTAATTGACTCCCATATCCATGCTGTCCCACCCGTCAAACATGTCCAGGCTCGTATCCAGCCCGCCAAACAAGTCCGCATCACCCGCGCCCCCCGAAAGATCCAAGTCCGCGCCGAGGCCCATATCCAGCCCATCCACCGACATCGGGTCCGCGCCGACCGCCGCCATGGCCGCCGCCGCCGCCGCGTCCGCGTCCGCGTCCCCGAGATCCAGTGCCGGCAGAATCGCCTGCGCTTGCGGCACCACCACCACAACCAGCAGCAGCCCCTCGACGCGACGATGCAGCCGCACCGTCGCCTCAGCCAAGAACGGGTCATGCTTCTGCAGCCGCTTGTAGCCTTCCGCCGCCGTCTTGAGCGCGTCGCGCAAGCCCCGCCGCCGCACCTGCATCGTGCCCGCCGTGTCCAGCAAGTGTTGCGTGGAGGCGGGCGCCTCATTGGTCGAGTCCGTGGCCGCAATCAGCGCCGCAGCCACATCATACACGACACTCGCGTTGCCCAGCTCGCTCTGCTGCCGTATCTCCTCCATGACGAGGCGCAGCAGTCGGCTCGGTCCGATGATGCGCAGCCCGGCAATCAGCTGGCGGTGCGTGTACGACGCCGGCATCACGTTGACGCCCGGCTGCGCGCTCCACTGCACGAGCCCTTGGATTGTGTGGCGGATTGCCCCCGACAGCCCGCTGCTCGAGCTGTTGGCCCACAACTCCATCTCGTGGTGCGCCGCGCCCCCGGAGCGGCGTGATAGCGGCAGGTTCTCCTTTAGCGACCGCAGCAGCGGCTCAATGTCCTGGTTGCGCGGGTCCTGCCGCTGGTATGTGCGGAGGGCGTGCTCTAGCGGCTGCGCCACGAGGTTCTTCACCGCTGACAGCACCGTGCTTGCTTCCCCAGATATGGAGCTTGGCGTGAGTAGCAGCTGCAGCGCCTTGACAATCGACTTTTGCTCCTTTTGGTCGATCCATATGTAGTCGGACAAGAAACGAATGGCCGGCACGAGCGACGGCAACAGAAATGTGTCAACCAAGTCTAGAAGAGATTAGTTTCGTTACACTTGTACTTTATACTGGGAGTCAACGTACATTCGACACCACCTTTCAGGCTCTCATCGTTAATGTAGCCATACGTATAGGCAGTGATGATGCTCTGGAAAATCGGCGCCACCAGCAGGTAAAACTCGTGCGGCGGGCACGAGGACATGAGGTCGTCTCCCAGGCCACCCGCTTCGTTATCAAAGAGTCCATTGATCCAACCCGTCACGTGTTCCGACTCTTGCTCGCTTAGCTCGTCCAGTGGCCGCAGAATATGCGACTTGGTGATGATTCTGGCCACGTGCGAGTCGGCCGAGTGGATGCCAATGTCCAGCGGCGACAGGTTGTAGCGATAGGAAAAGGCGAACACAAGCAGCAGTATAGCACCGTATTCCTCGTACACCGGCTGGTACTCGCCTTGGTCCTCCTCATATCGCCAGTTGTCGAGAAGGCTGCACACAGGTTCGAGAATGGAGGTGACCTTGTCGAAGAGGAGAATAATGTCGAGTGACTGAGGCTTTTGCGCCAACTGGGTACAAAGAAGCTTCAACGACATTGTATCCTTGCTTATACAGAGTTGCCGAATTAACTAGCAAGTTAGCACTTGACGGTACACAGTTACGGGTTATCCGTACCTCGACTACGGCATGCGCCACAGCTCCCACATTGCCATCCACTCTATCTAGCTGCGAGATGATGCTTTGAATCTTAGCCGAGTCCGACAAGCAGTCGCCCACGAGCCGGTCCCGGTTGACCCGTTCCAACGACGGGTCATACGACATGGACGTCTCGCCCAGGATGCGGTCGACGTGGTCTCTCTCAATGAGTCCGTGCAGGGCGCACGCCGCACAAAACTCCTCTCGCACGCTGTCCATGTAGGGATTGTTATTCCGCGACTCGTCAAACATAAGAGAGGCTGTGGGGAAGATGCCCGTGTCGACGCGACTGAGCGCTTCCGTAATGCAAAACTCGGCCGATGTGGCCGAGAACTCTGGATGGCACAGTTGACAGAGTAGAAGCGGCAGCTTATTCACCACAAAGGATCGGAGGAGGTGCGCGTCCTTGGGGCCTTCGTTTCGGAAGACGGCGTTGGCGAGCACGTCAAAGGAGGCGACAATCAAATCGACCGCACTTGCCTGTTGGTTTTCCTGGTATTTGTTATTTAAAAAGGCATAGAGCATGGAATCATCCAGCACAGGCCGTCCGACGAGCTTCGAAGTGTTAGTAATGGTGCGGCAAACTTGTGAGGGTAGACGTACCGCCGCATTGAGGTAGATGTAGAGCGCCGCTCTCGAGTTGGCAATGGGAATATCCGCCACGACAAAGCTTTCCAGACCGACAGTTGAGTCGAGCAGCTCATCCATGGCCGCATTGGCGGCCTGCTTCTTCTCATCGACGGGATCCAGCTGCGCAAGCGTCTGCGTGCGGAAAATCTCCAACCTCTCCAAGTACAAAGGAGCAGGCTGAAACGTTTGAATAAAGTGGCCGAGGCTGTCCGACAAATGCTTGCGGAGACCTGTTGCGTAATTAGCTTCTCAATTCACGCCGTGACCATTCGCCTTTCCTACCCTTTGCAGGCGGCCTACTGATGATGCGCAGCAGGGCCTCATTATCCACCAGTCGCAAGAGTAGCGGTGCCAGAGCGGCGCGCACCGTCACCATCTCTTCGCGCGCCTGCCTGTCATGCGTACCGACCAGCGCCTCGGCCGCAAACGTCTGCACGAATAGGTCCATCCACTTGCAAGTGATGCCGACCAGCTCGAGTCCCGTCTTGGCGTCGGTAAAGGCCGTGCCCTCAAACATAGTCTTGATAACGTGATAAAACATGACCTCTTCCGCCCACGACGACTCTTGCCAGCGCACCGTCTTGTCCCCCGCCTCCTCCGTCTTCACTTCGGGTGACGGCTTGGCGAGCGCATGCAGCGCCGAGTACTTGTACATGACGCGCAGAATCGACGGCGCGTCCATGTAGCCGAGCTGGGTCAGGACGCGGACATAGGGCGGCACGCGCGGGTCGAGGCTCACGCGGTTCGACGGCTGCGGACGCAGAAACAGGTCGGCGACGAGGATGGGGGGCAGCGGGTGCTGTGCGTGGACGAGACGCACAAAGTCGTGGAAGCGCTCGCTACCGAGCCGCTGCGCGATGCACCGCGCGACAAAGTCGGACCAGTACTGCACCGCCTCCTGCAGCGGGCTGCGCGCGGCTGCCGCCGGCTGGCTGTCCATGGTTGGGTCGTCGTCGCGCGCGCAGGAATGAAAGGTGGTTGGTCGGTCGGTCGGTCGCTTGTTCGTTCGTTCGTTCGCTATGGGTAGTGCAGGAGAAGGCCGGCCATGTGAGCGCACAAGGGCTGCTGTGGCAGCCTGTGCGGATAAAGCTACAATTGGCGACGTATATAGATGTATATAGATGTCCGTGATGTCGGTACACGTTGGTCGGATGTAGGTGAGCGGGAAGCGTTGTGCGACAGATGCGAGATGCAAGGTTCAAGCTGCTGTTGTCGCGATGGTTGCAGGAGTGTGGGTCGATGTCGTGTGGGCCAAATTTGCACAACGTCAGTCTGTCATTCCATGTAACTGTTTAGCATGGTAAAGAAAAGTATTGAATAGTAAACTAGAATATCCTACTCTATTATCCAATCTTCTAACTTGGCCTATAATGTAAAATGCACCGTCAACCGCTGTTTGTCGGTCAACCTTACAAACTCGATGCAAACGCCCCAAGATGCGATGCACCTTCAAACACAACGAACCATCCCCTCCCCGTGACCCTCCCTACTCAAACTTGGTCGTCAGCGTCCTCTTACCCGCCGCCACATGCTCCGCATAATCCGTCCCCAAGAACCGTCCTTTGAGGAACCACACCAAAAAGCTGAGAAGCTTCCATCTCCCCATCTGCCCGGTGCCACGACCCCGTCCCAGCGTCACGGCAAACACCTCCTTGTCCGCCGGCGTGTACTCTGGCAACGTCTTTCCCTCCAAATACACCGGCAGTGCCGCAATCAGGTGCCGAGCCTGCGCGTCCGCCACCGCCGCCTTGTTGGCCTCGAGGCTGCCCGCATCGCCAATGACAAACACGGCCGCATGACCTTGGGCCTGCAGCGTCGTCGTCTGCTTCACGTAGCCGCCCTTGTCCAGCATGTGGTCGGGCACAAACGCCGTGTTGGGCACGACGCCGAGCGCGGGCACGTACGCCTGCGTCACGAGACTGCTCTTGCTGCCGTCCGCCGCTGTGAGCTCCAGCACCGTGTCGTCCCCCGACCTGGTCACCTTGGTCACCTTGCTGTTGGGCACCATCCGGACCTTGAGCTTCTCCAGCTCTACCCGCGTCTGCTTCCGCACCGAAGGCAGCGCAGACGCCGACAGCGGGAGCGCGCCATCGTGAACAAGATACACCTTCTTCCTGCCGCTGCGCGCATATTCATACCCCAGCTCCCCCGCCGCTTCCACGCCGGTCGTGCCTCCGCCGGCCACCACAATCGTCTCCGCCGCCGCAATTTGCGCCTGCACACGGCGGAGTTCCGCCACCGTGCTCTCCGTCGTCGCGAGCGGCTTCCACGGCATGTCGTCGCGTGAGGCGGTGCCGGTCGCCACCACCAGCACGTCGTACGCCACGGCTCGCACGCCGCCGTCGTTTTCGAGGGCGACCTGGACCGTCCAGGCGTCCGGGTCGAGGGCGCTGGCGGTACCGAGGACGAATTCGAACTGGTCGGCGGGGTAGCCAGCGAACGTGGGCGGCAGGGGAAAAAGGAACTTGTCGTCGGTAAACTGCCCAGGAACAATGGCGCGGGGCATGGCAATCGGCCAGAGGAAGTGTGTGCTAGGGCTGACAACGATCATGCGGGTGTCGCGGCGCGGCAGCACCGACGACTTCATAGTCTGCCGGATAACGGCGGCGGCGGCAACGCCGGTACCGAGGATGACAATGGTCTTCATGGATATGAATTTCTTGATGAGAAGGCGTAGAGATCAATGCGCGTGTATCGGCAGTAGCTGATATTAGATAGGCAATTTGTAATAAGCGGCCTGGATTGAGAGTCAATGAGGGAACGACCAAGTTATATACTTGGCCATCACCATCCCACTTGCCAGATCAGATCTGAGGCGCTGCCACCCTCATCTTCTTCAGCTCCTCATCCGCGCTACGGTAAACGGGAAATTATTTTCCTAGTGATATTATTAATCTCAGAGCCGTCATCCGTAATCAGACAGGATGCTGACAAAGTGCCTGGGCACTTAGACGAGCCACTTAGAACGAGGCAGCATTGCTCATCCGCGCGCGCGGGTGTCGGGATGTTGCATAAACCCGGCGACGGCGGCTAGTGGATCTGTGCGGGATTGTGATAGACCTGTCTACTGATTGTTGCATTTAACACAGGATTTACTTATTCCCAAATATGCTGCTGGACGGAGCACGTGCTCCATCTCAACTTGCATGCATGACATGCAAGATATAGTATTCGTGCTCCCCTACATTAATTCACCGATAAACCATTACTGCTTCAATTCCTTTCAATTCAATAATGTCTTTTTTCCTCTCTTTTTTGTGTCAATATTTGTTGCGCAACACTGCCGGACTAGGACTGCCGCGCGCGATCACCTTCAGTTCACTGGTCCGCACAGCCAATCACAAGCCATACCGCCAGTCATCGGGCGCGTCCCGGCGGTACGCGGAGACGGGCCTAGCTGCGGAGTTGGCGGAGCGGACAATTGTTGCTGCTGAGCAATGCGGCCTAGGAATTGTGAATGGATTATAGATTCTTGGAAATGTATTTTTATTTGCTATTTCTACCGGGGGCGGCGCGGGAGTCTTGGCCGTATGACAGGTCCGCCATGACAGCCGTATATCGGGGATGAAAGGCAGTTACGAGTAGCTTGTCTGGTGGCCATTGCTGTGGCAGTTGGTTGTCGAGACGTTTGAAAGTTTTGGAGGTGCTGGGAACGGGGAGCTACTGTGGTGCACCTACATCAAGCCGGGAAGATCTGGCGCGGAGAGCTAAGCAGAATTTACATTCGACAAAGCTGTGAACAGGGTAAGAAATTTGTTCAAGCCAAAGCCGAAACGTGCACCGCGGGAAATAAGCTTGGCTATTCTTCGGCGAGTCATTTAGCCACTTGTCAACGGGTATAATCAACAAGTTCAAGCCAACCAAGTGACGGTCTGTGTTGAGCAAATCATTCAATCTGGGTATTGTATAGTACCAATTGCTTGTGAGTAAAACTACACTGTTTCTATGCCCAACGAGATTGCCTTTGACCTGTTTCGCGGGCTGCACGGACTGGTAAGCCCATTTTGCTCTCCTTGAAATGCATATAATCGGGCATCTTGGAAGGCCAGGCTTGTGAGCGCTCGGTACAGTGGCGATCTCGTGCGGCATCAGCAAGGAGAACAAGTAGCTACGGCACTGTGGTGACTATTTTTTGACTATGTCAAAAAATGAAATCAAGGAATCTTACTGTGTGCAGTCATGGTTTGAGATGGGAACTTTCTAGGTGCTCTCAACAATCGGCGTCACACGGCCAGGGCACATCACAGATGATCAGCGTCATTGTCCCACCAGGCCTCAGCCTCTCTCTACAGGACAGCTTTCGCCCGGGGGTATCTCAGGCCTCTGTGGTATGATGTAAGAGACCGATGAACGTTGTCTGCAGCGTTATTACAGACATGAGAGTCTATACCAAGAAGAAACTGGCGGAAGAGCTACCCTGTTCGCCTGCGTCATGTGGTGACTGGAGAGCGGAAGCGTCCCCTGCCATGAAGCCATTGACATCATACGCGCATCCAGTAGCAGGCATCCTGAACCAAGTTATGTTGACGTGTGGTGGTATTGCTCTGCAGTGGCGACGGCGTGCATCGAAAATGCTTGTTTCGCCACCTAGCGACATGTATCCCGTACTTTGAACATTGTCAAAACCCAGGCAGATACAACAAGGGGCTGGTGCTTCTCGAAGCGGCAATAGTTGGAATATGCACTTTATTACCTCGGGGATCGGCATCGGGAAGCTGCCACAGTCGCTCAACGTCCCGAGCAAATGACAAGGGTATCGCACTCCGATGCGGATGGCAGAGGGGCCACCCTCAAGATCGTAAGGGCTTAAACAATAATGAAAGGTGGTTCGGTAATGTGCAGTACCCTTTCGCGCGCAGGGTCCCTGAGAGTGACATTTGAAAGAAGCCGGATCGAGCCGCGTTGAAGATAGTGTGATGCCGTCATTAGACAATAGGGCGGCAAGGAGTGCAGCTTTCAGGTTTTTGGCAGGCTTTTGTGGAGTGGTTGCACACACGCCCGCGCCGGGCAAATGACGGGTGCAAGTGAGGCGATCTGTTGCAGCCAGGAGCGTGTTTGCTCTAGGGCTGAGGTGATTGCCAAGTGTGTTGGCTGCAACTGGCGTTGAAGTGTGACGGTGAAGCAACGGCGAGGATGTGTTCCGGTCCCACGTACTAGTAGATATGACAGGCACAACAGGCCACAAGTTGGCTTTTGGCAGGCAAGCCAGCAAGTAGGTCTGACTGTGATTCAACAATCTCGTATGTAGGTGGCCAGTTGTCAAGGAGAGAAGGAATAAAAACGGAGCTGAAAGCGTGCTGTCTCCGTTCAAAATGGTAGAGTGGGGTCTTGTGACGGCAGAGATGACCTCATTGGATCGCAGCGGAGTACTGGAGCACAAGCGCACAAACGTCACTGGCGACGGACGCCTTGGGGCATGTATTTTTTTTCATGGCTGGCGGGTTGGCTGCTTTGTTGGGACTGTCTCTATGGTTCTGATCTGCAGAGTTGACCTGCAGAGCGGTACTATATTTTTATTTTGTGGTTCATCTCGCAGACAGCTGTTGTCGCTTATTCCCACAGATTGTGTATCCCGACTTGTGCTTGTGCAAGCGGTGGTTTTTCTCTCCTGTATTATCAAAACAGCTAAACTATTATTACTCTTTCTTGGCAAGGGTGGTCCGGAGCAAGCCCCGGGCAACAACGCAGAGTGGCCTGATTAATGACGAACGGGGCAGCCGGTAGATACCTCTGGGAAAAATATCAAGTTATACCTAACTAGGTAGTGTGTTACAATAAAAGAGAAGCAGGTATTCTTCGGCGGGGGTGGAGGAGGACCAGCCAGTAAATTTCGGTGGCGCTGATGAGGGTTTTTGGTCAGACCCCGCCGACGCAGGCGAAGCCGCTAGAGGGGAGGCCTCGAGGCGAGGTTAATAATAAAAGGGATGATGACCAGCAGCAGAGATGTTGGCAGAAGGAGCCAATTTCGGTTCTCTGATGAAGCGCGTCGCATGTTCTGACGATAACATCCCAAGCATTTTGTTACTTGGCAAAGTATCTCGAATCGAGAGGTTAGGTACATCGGTACTAGGTACAGGTAGGTAAGTTAGTCCGCTAATAAAACCCCCAGTCGCAGCCACTCGCTAAAAATCACATCAGCCCACTACCACTACCTCTAACCCACCCAGCCAGTGACATCATGGTGGTTTTTTACTCTGCTTCCTTTGTTTCGAATTCCAACTCTTCACAAAAACCCAAAGACTAACTACAAACTTCGTAGTTATTAGGTAGCCCTCAACCAGCGCCGATCAATCCTCACCTTTATTCTTCTTCCTTGCTTCTTCTTTTTTTTTTTACACCAGGTTGTATTCATATCCACCATTTACCCTCTCGCGTTCTAGAACCTGAGTTGTATCACCTCTCCCATTCAGCCTACTTGCTAGTTACTCTCAGCTGTTGCTTCGCCCAGTCTTGTGACCATCCGAGCTCTTTTTTCTTCGGCGGAGGGACATTCGACAAGTCAACTATGCCCGTGAAATGCCCAGTATACCAGACCTGGACAATAGCAGAGCGCCTCGTTATTAAGGGGTCTGGCCCCCAACTGGAAACAATAAACAACACTTGCCACCAGGGGAAAAAACTATCTGAGTCAATGCCAGTTTCCCATCGTCATCATGCCTCACACCTTTTTCTCTATTCTGACTCGTTGTCAAAAACCAAGCTTTGGGTCGGTGGCGTTGGACCCTGAGCTCATGCAAGCGGGGCCGATGCAGGGTGTTGTTTCTTCATTTCGTGGGGGAATGAATGTATTTGCCTTTTTCTAGTTACGGGGATCAAACAGATCTACGAATTAGTTATCGAGGAGTTACATGCCGTGCTTGCTATTGTTCCTGGAGTGCAGCAGACAGTTCATTGCTGGACTTGCCTCCCATTGGTGCCTATCCCACGGGCTGGGTCTGGGTCCGTTTCGGACGTGATCAATTTCCTGCATTGCCATTATTTACCACGATTACGGGCTGCGTATCGCACCTAACTACCTACCTATGCAAACCGGTTTACCTCGCACGGCAGCTCGTCTACCTGTATTCGTATGGTGGCGTGGGTGCTGGTCATGTACCTATCAGTATGATGGGGCGAATGACGAAAAGAAACCGACAGTCCGTCATGAGCAAAACAGGGACCCAATCGTTTTTGGCGTCGCGAGCTTGTTTTTTTGGTTCTCAAAGTTCTTTCTGCGACAAGCACCGCAGCTGACAGGCACCTACCTCCTAACCCTAACTAACTAGGTAGGTACCTTAGTAGGTACGGTAGGTAGGCACATAGGGTGCACATAGGGTACCTAGGTACACCTCTGGGCCCGGGGGTGGTTGAAGTTGTGTGTGTGCAGTCTTATTTTCATTACCGGGGCCGTCAGTAGTGAAAGTCCCACACCCCCCCCCTCCCCCAAAGAGGTCAGTTTGTTCAACCTGTAGGCCGACCCCCAGCCAACCAGCCCGCCAACCAGCCAAACAAGCCTCTTTTTCGCAACTCTCCAGTCTGCCTTTCTGCTATTGGCCTGCTGCTTCCCAGTCTGCCTTTCTTACAGTCTCGTGTATCCGCCCACCCCCCATCGTGCCCAGGCTCATCCTCTTCCTTCATCTTGATTTATAAAGACCCTGAAGCCCCGCCCAATCCTTTTCTATCTCTACCCTTTCTTTCCCCCATCGAACCAACATTCCGACCAGCTTCCACAGCATTGTCGCATCTGCCAGACTCTTTTTCGCCTCTTTTTATTCCACTGAACTGCACGTTTCGAGCATCCTCTCACCGTTCGCAACAACTCCCACACGTCGAACAAACCCTCTCGCACACAAAATAGCCGCCCATCATGCCCGCCACGCAATCCGCCAGCGCCAGCGCCATGCCCTCCTCCTCGCCTCCCGTCAGCATCAGCAGCTACGCCCGCTTCATGCACGAGCACACCAAGCGCCAGATGGAGGCTTCGCGATCCTCAGCACCCCAGAGCTCCGGCAGCAGCCAGTCCTCGACGTCGAGCTCCATGAGCAACGGTGTTAGCAGTACCTAGTTGCTCGCCAACAATACAGAAAAGCAATACAGTGCGAGCCTTTGGGCTTACAACACAAATGTTCCCATTGTCGCTTTTCTTGGATTGGTGATTCAATAATACGCATCGGGCTTCCTCTCGAAACCGTTCGCTGATCAGTCATGTCATCGCATCGGTCAAGATGGATCTTCAAGGGTGCACTTCTTTTATTGTCATGGACCCAAAGAAATCGTTCTACTACTTGACGACTCGTTCATCGAATCGTCCCCTTTTTCTTTTATAGCAGGAGACACCGGGTTCGACAGCACGGCTCCACGTCTTTCTGCTACTTTTTGTCTATTTTCTACATGACGAACGGAACGATACACGCAAACATGCCACGGCGTTGGGGGTGTAATTTTGGCTTTGGCCTATTTCTTTTTTTTTTCGGTTCTATGCTGCTTCCCACGCTTGTCAATCCTAATTTAAGCATTCTCACAGCGGCGGTGGGGTGTCAATTTGTTATGCGAATGGAAATAGTTGGCTCAATACCTGGTAACATGGGAAGGACTCTTTCTCTTCTCTCTGGTTAACAAATTGATTCCACCACTCCGTTATAAGGATTTCGCATATGCAATGACTCGTAATGGCAATAGTGATGACTCGTAATGGCGATAGTGACGACTCGAAACACAAACAATTGGTAGGCGGCCGGATCTTTGATGTGGTTGTATGCTCAGATGACCGCTCGACAATTACTATTCCACCACGCTCACAACCATGGCAGCTCACCTCCTCCCGATTGCACATCAACCTTTGAGAACTCGCTCTGACAAGAGCTTCCTCACAAGACTTCCTGAAATGATGGCGGTGTCTGCGGCTGTTGTAAAGTGAACCGTCCTCCATGATTCAACGGCAGTTTGTATGATGCCAAGTGTCTCGTACACTTTAGACACCCACGAACCGGCCGGCCGGCGGTATGCTAAGCAGCTTTCGAGGAAACAAGACGAAACCATAGGCCCATCTCACTAAAGGGACAAATGAGGATTGCTCAAAGTCATCTTCATGTATAATTAGATCGATTTATTGTGACTATGCACATAAACGCACCCAAAACGCCGCGTATTATCATACAACAAAAGTAATGTCCCAGCCGTATAACCGTACCATAAACCTATTACACCAGAGCCGGCTTCTTCTTGATACCCAAAAGCGCCGAGTGGTCTTTCTTCTTCTTCACCGTCCTCTTGAACGACGGCACCGTCATCGCCGGCGGTGGCATCTCGCTCACCACCTTCGTGGGCCTATTGACCGCTGGCGACTCATCCTCCTCCTCTACCACCGCATCCAACGCCACCACATCCAACACCACCGGGTCAAACACCATCGCATCAAGCACGACCGGGAGCGGCTGCCGCTTCTCCTCCACACGGATCAAGGGTCGCGCAAACGCCCGCCGCGCCGCCTCTGTATCTTCCGCATCCTGCCTCACGCGCTCCTCATCTTCCCCGCGCACGACCGCGTCCGCATAGTCCACCCCATCCTTTTCCGAGCGGTGGATGCGGGCGTTGCGCTGGCGAATCTCATCGAGCGCGTCGGCGGCGGCCATTTCGCGGCGGGCATCGGCATTCTTGACCTCGAGCTCCTCCATGGCGTTGCGCCCTTCGGCCTCCTCGCCGGCGGCCTCGGCCTCTTCCAGCTCCAGGCGGTCGAGGCGGTCTTCGAGGCTCTCGTTGGCGGCGGCACGGTCGCGCCAGGGCTCCATGTTGCGCATCGCGCCGCTCACCATGGCGTAGTCGTTATTCTTAGGGTCCGTGCGGAAGGTAATTTCGGCGCTGCAGCGCGTGCACTTGATATGAAAGGAGTAGATCTGGATATTGAGGTACCTGTGCGCCTGGTCGGTCACCTTGCGCGAGTTAAACTTGCGCCCGCGATAGATGAATTCGCCGCACGTCAGGCACTTCATGGAGAAAGGCGCCATGAGACGCACTGTCTGGATCTTCGGGCCCGTCTTCTTGGGGCCTGACTTGCCAGTAATGGTCCGCGGATCAAAGTCCGGGGGGTACCATTTCTGGTTGGGCAAATGTTAGCATATGTCGACAGATTCTGGATGCTGGAGAGTTTGTTGCCACATACCTGAAGGACTTTTCGCTCAGACATGATGGGCCGAGGACCTTAGTACAAATTGTGTAATGATGGGGTGTAAATCATACAGCCGTGGAGTATAAATCTTCAAGCCGTGATCGACTGCCGTGGCTGATGAAAGATGCTGGAGAGAGATGAAGTCGATGGACGATGATGATGGATGTTTTGGTTGTGGGGCAGATTTTAAAAGCCGGGGCCGGGGTTGCTGCCTGTGTACCTAGGTACCTTACATGTACATACATGACCTACCTGTACTTTTGGGTCGCCGCTACGGAGTACTTGATGGTACCTAGAGCATCATTCATTTACTGCCCATCAGGGAGACAAAATAGACAAAATAGACCGCGGGTTAGGAATATACAGTTTCTTATCGTTTATCAACTTCTCTATCTTTCTAATTCTACTTCTCTTTCTCATCCTTCGAACTGATTGTTTCCAATTCCCTTTCCTTTTATTAGCAAACCTTGTTGCTGATATGTACATAGAGTGAAGACTTATCTGTGGGCCTCACCTGCATGCTGCCCATCCATCAACGACTCAACTATTTCAATCTCTTTTATCGACGCCCTTTCGCAACCGAAACCCAACTACAATTCCTCGCCGCGACACCGAGTCCCTACCCAGATCTGAACTCACGCGCCTCATTCCAGTCCGCCCACTATGCCCAAGGCAGAGGCCGGCTCGGTCAAGCACCTCAACAACAAGCTCAAGTCCAAGGGCCTGCAGCGGCTGCGATGGTTCTGCCAGGTTTGCGAGAAGCAGTGCCGCGACGCCAACGGCTTCAAGATGCACACGCAGTCCGAGAGCCACGTGCGGCAGATGCTGGTCGTCGGCGCGGACCCCAAAAAGTTCATCAACGACTTTAGCAACCAGTTCTTCTCGGACTTTATCAGCCTCCTCAAGACGGGCCACGGCGAGAAGCAGGTGCAGATCAACCACTTTTACCAAGAGTACATTGCCAACAAGGAGCACGTCCACATGAACGCCACCAAGTGGCCGTCGCTGACCGAGTTTGCCAAGCACCTTGGCCGCGAGGGCATCTGCCGCGTCGAGGAGAACGACAAGGGGATACACATATCGTGGATCGACAACTCGCCGGATGCGCTGAAGCGGCAGGAGGCGCTGCGCAGAAAGGAAGCGCAGAACCAGGGCGACGAGCAGATTGAGCAGCGCATCATCCGGGAGCAGATTAAGCGCGCACAGGCCAATGCGACAGCGCGCGAGCAGGACGTGCCCCAGGACGTCGAGGACCGCGGACTGAAGAAGCAAGAGGGCGAAAAGATTACGCTCTCGTTTAGCGGAAACAAGGCCAAGACGTCGGCCGACGATGCTGCCAGCAAGGCCGAGACAGAAGCCGGCGCGAGCACGACGGAGGATGCTGCGGCTGACGCAAAGAAGCCCAGCGGCGGCTTCTCCTTCAAGGCCAAGGCGCCTGTCAAGAATGTATTTGCGCAGGCCAAGAAGAATGCGCTGTCTGGCGGCAGCGGCGTCAAGAAGACGTCGGTGTTTGAAGCGCCCAAGAAGATGAGCGAGGCGGAGCGCATCATGCGCCAGGAAATGGATCGCAAGCGTCCGCGGGACGGGACCGGCTCGGGCAACCCGCTGAAGAAGCAAAGGAGCAGTTAGCCACGGCGCAGGCTTCGCGGCATGGCTATTCCACTTTCACAGCGTCGGTGCATAAAAACGCAGCATATAGAAATATACACAAGGGACATGGAGTTTGGGGAATGATTTTTTTTAGATACCACAAATGGCAGCATATTCTATTCTTCTCGTCGACGAGACTTGCTCATTTTCACTTCTTCGTAGATGCCTAATAATTTCAAAAGCAAAACGCCTCGAGCGCCCCAAGATTCAGATTCCCACTACTCCTCTCACTCTCTCGCCCCAAACCGCCGTCTTCGTTCTTCGGTCCGCCGTTTCCTTTTCTTATTCCACCTCGGCTTCGGTCCCGTCTCGACTAACATACAAAAAGACGTTAGTTGACTCTCTTAGCATGACAGACAAACTTTCACAAAAGGGGCACGCACGGAATGTACTGTATCCTGTACTCGTCCTCGAGCGCCGACCGCATCTCGTCGGGCAGCTGGCCCGAGACCTTGATGGCGTAGACGCCGGGCACGTAGCCGTCAAGGCGCTGCCACTTGGCGACCCACGACTTGGCCGGGTCGGCGAGCGTGATGAGGCCCTCGAAGACCTGCGACGTGCAGCTCTCAATCTGGTCCTGCGAGCCAGCCAGGTGCAGAAACTCTTCGCAGTTGGGGCACCCTTCGTCGCGGAAACGCTGCGAATTTCCTCCGTTAGCTTACAAGATCTCAATTTGTTCGTCTTCGTTTTTCCCAGTCCCTGCATGCGCCGGTCTGACTCCATGAGCCATGTGTGGGTATCAGAGGGTGCAGGAGCTCGTTTTTTTTTTTTTCCTTCGCGGGGGGCGTGGTTATTCAGAGGGCGGGAGATGGCGTACGCTGAAGGTCATGACGACGGAGCAGACCATGCATGCGCGCAGGTAGCGCGCCTGGCCGGGGGCGACAAAGTTGGCCGACGCGGACATGATTTCGACAATCGCGGCAGATTTCTATCGTTTCCTTTTCGTACAATTCCACCGATTGGTAATAGCGGCAAACGCTGGCGAATACCAACGGTCGTGTGTGGTTTGCTGGACCTGAAAGCTCCAGGTTGCGAACGCGATGTTTGACCCTTACATAGCAGACCCGATAAATGCATATCTTGAACCAGCGCGGCGGCCTCTTTTGCAGAGACCTCTCTACCGCCGCGATATTTCTCATACCATAATTAGCCGCAACGACATTCTCTCTGTTTTGGCTTTGGTGTCTTTTTTTTCTTTGCCTCATTGAATCTTCGCAAAGTCACTATTTTCATCTTGTCGGACAGAAACGGATGAACCAGACACACAGAATCAAAATGGCATCCCACACCGCACACTGCGAGTTCACCATCAAGGCGCCCGAGTTCGCCTACGCCCATCTAGAGCAGCACATCGACGACAGCGGCCAGCCCGTCGCGCTCGACGAGCTCCTCGCGCGGTCGTACTGCGCCAGCGCTCTGCAGCAGTACCTAGGTGACACGGGCGCCGGAATCCCGCTCGACATCCTCAAAGTCGAGGGAAGGCAGTGCTGGGTGCGCATGCCGCGCGACGACCTCCGCGCGTTCGCGGCGGCTCTGACGGCGTACCGCGGGAGTGTGGCCGAGGGCGACGGCACGCCGTTTTTGTTGCGCATTAAACAGTGCTCCGACTGGCTGGGCACCTTGCTCGGCAGCGACGCGCTCGACAACCTTTGGCAGGGCTGAGAGAGACCGCTCTCTCATTCTCAACGTGTACCTTCGCCGGCACCCTCTACTGCTTGGGCAACGGGCCAAGTTTTTGTCGTCCTCGCCGGGACAGCATTCTTGGACATTGCGAATTGGCATCAGAAAGGCATGTGTTTCGATCGCATATATACATCTCATCCACGCTGGGTATCCTATATACATCGTCCGAAAATGCCCGCCCTCACCGCAAACCCCAAAGAAAAGACTGTTCCACCATTGTCCAAATTCGTTTTCTGCCTGACTGATATCATGCTGCTGCCAAATGTCACATTCTAAAACCCCTTTACTGCCAAAGATGTTGACCCTTGACTACCGAAATATTGTGTCCCTTTTTGACTCGTCATTCAATACATCTCTGTGCTCACGCTAGCGATGACATGAGCGAGTTTTGGGCATACGCCTGAAAAGGTAGTCAGCTACAGGATCAAACGGGCGTTATGAAGGGCATCTTACCATGGGCCGGATATCCGGGTGGGGAACGGCATCAAATTGCTCATACTGCAGCTTGTAATCCGAGCGGATGTTGATGTAAGCGCCGCGGTTCTCGGTAGAATCGCAATATCTGGGGGCGGAGAAAACTGGGAACAGTAAGTCGGGCTGTCTGTCAACGAGTACCCTACCCTTTCAACGTACCAGTGATGCATCGGCCGTCATGCTGGACTTCATAACCGTCCATGCGAACTTCGTGGCTTCGAATAATGGCCTCGAGACCGTTGTTCTCACAAAAGCGCTTGGTGATATCAGGGCCAAACTGCATGCCCACACCGCGCTTGCTGGGTCCGCGTCCCTGCTCTTCTTGTGGATCTGTCCAGAGCATCTCCATCATCAAGCCAGCTTGGCCGGGCTGCTTCTGGTTGTGTCTGTTGAGCTTGCGGATGTCGTCAAGTGTAACCTTGTCGTCGGAGAAGAGACCACCGTGGAGCACCAGGTACTTGCTGCCAATAAGAGTTGCCAGGGGCAAGGCGGAGAAGCTTTCGGAGAAGATCTTGAAGATTCTAAATGGTATCAGCAAAGATCATTCTAGCCATTGACCAGAAGAAAGCATACCTCTCGTTGTACTTTGCCTTGCATTCTCCCTCAAAGCCGTAGACCTTGTTCATGTCATCTGTCTCGTGGTTGCCACGGTTAAGGAAGAAGCCATTGGGTCGCAGCCACTTGTAAGCGTAGAGTAGTAGGGCAATCTCGCAAGACCACGATCCACGATCCACAAAGTCACCGTTAAACAAGTACCAGTGCTTCTCAGCGGGCTTGCCATTTTTGCGGAACAGCTCCAGGAGATCAAAGTATTGACCTTAAATCGTTAGTACAACGGAAACCTGGCAAGTTCGAAGAGGACGTACCATGTGTATCGCCGCAGACAGTAAGCTTGACATCGTCGGGAATTTTCATCTCCACCATAGTTGCCTCATCGTAGATGATATTCTTGACAGCGACGAGGATTTGGTAGACGTATTTCTTGGCAAGCTTCTTGCCATTCTTGAATCTCTCAATCATGTCGTCGATAAATTCTTGTGTCATCTCGTCACCAAGCTCGACGCCGTCGTAGTTGTCCTCGACAAACATGGAAGCAATATCCAGACCTTCGATGGCCGACGGCTCATCGCCGACCTCGATGGCAGCATAGAACGCAAGTTGCCGCACAAGCTTCTTGCACTCCTCCAGCTTCAATCGCGCATCCTTGTTGGTGGGGTCGAGACGGACGCATTCCTTGAAGTCATCCACAGCTTCCTTGGGACGCAGGATGGCGGTTAGGGCAAGACCTCGGCGGTAGTAAGCCTAGTGGTAGGTAGTGAGTTAGCAGGGTGGACCATGGCGCGCTGTGAGCTGGTACATACCTTGACAAGCTTCGGGTTGAGCTCAATAGCCTTGCCAGCGTCTAGAATTGCATATCCAAAGGCTTCTGTTTTGATGTACGCCTGCAAACAAGACCCAAATATCAGTCACACGATCAGGCAGCGATGTGCGAGATTGGATGGGCATATGTACCTGGGCACGATTGGTAAAAAAGGTAGGCTCCTTGTCATTGAGATCGATGGCCTGTGAGTACAGCTTGGCCGCAGCGGGAAAGTCACCGGCGGCAAAGGCATTGTTGCCCTGGTTTTTTAAGTCGACAGCTTCCGACATCGTGGGGTTCGTGCTGTTCGTGCTATTACGGCCGGGGTTGAGTGCCGGGTTCGGAGATTGGAGACGAACAGCTTGGGGTTTGGCTTCAAAGGCGTGGAGAGAAGATTGAGTCGTGACGACCAAAGTACACCGTGGAGAAGGCAAGGTGATAACCCGAATAGGTGTCGCAGCAGATGCGTGGGGTGGGATTTGAAGAAGATGTACGGGTTCAATTGTTTTGGCCGTCGACCAAGAGCAAGGATTTGGTGCGGTCTGCGGGGCGAGCCGCTGGGCCCTGGAAGGTTCCACTTGAAGTGATGCATCTACAAGGCTCAGCAGCCACTAACCTGACCCATGCAGCCACTGTAAATTGCACTACCTGCGCGAGCCGGGGGTGTTTTCCACGATGCCTATATTGACCAGCCTGCGTTTGCACATATATTTTTTTGATATTATACAGAAATATCAGCCAGCTTCCACCACAATTTCCAATTCTCGACTATATACAACTACCTAGCTAGCACAATGACCAAGGATACAACTCGTTGGTTGTCGCCTCGTGCCTTAAGCGGGTGCAAGGTGTTTTCTGGCATAACCTCTAGGGGAGTTCTGTAGAATATAATATTTTCAAGGCATGACGACAGAAAATACATTTTTGAAATGGTTTAAAGATATATCAGAAATGCACCATGGTGTGACGGTGCAGGCTGCAGCATGTGTTGGTCTGGTCGCAGTCACTGTAGTCCTAAAGGCATACGGCCTTTCCCCACAGGCGAGAGCAGACTTTAGTAGTACCAGGTAGACCAGGTAGGTACCTAGGTAGTAGGTAGGTAGGTAGGTAGGTACCTACCTACTAACCTGTACAGTGGGGGAACAAAAGTTGTAGAATGTTGCCTCTGCTGGCGTTTCCCCGTGCCGAGGACTGGAGGAAGTCAGTACCAATCTTCAGTTTTAGCCTGGTGCCTGTACTATGTTGGTTCGGATAAATGCATATTTCTTTGTCGCCATTTACCATCATACCCCCCCATCCACCTTCCGACATCACATCACATCGCACCCATGCACCGTGACTATTTTTTAATACCCTCCTACCGATGCAAATATGTCTGCATCTCGATAATATCCACAACATACATCACCAGCATCATGGCCGAGTCTAGCCAGTCCCACGCCCTGGTCCGGAAGAGGCAAGACACAGAGCTGATGGCTCCTCCGCCACCTATCAAGAAGATCAAGAGACCAAAACAGGTACTTGATGAAGACAGTTACACCGAGTCTCTTTCACAAATCATAGCCAGAGACTTCTTTCCTGGCTTGCTAGAGACGGAAATCCAGCAGGAGTATTTGGACGCCCTCGACTCAAAGGATACCGCCTGGATATCAAGTGCCGGCCAACGCTTGCGCCACGTTAATATGTTGAAGAAGACGGGGAAATCTATTAGTCTGCGCCCGTCTGTAGACGCTGGGAAAACACCAATGACATTTACAGGCGATACACCGGCGTCCATTGTGACACAGGCCGTGGAGGAAGGCCTGGCAGTCGGAGCTCACATGAGCCTCACCAAATTTCAAGAAACATACACTAGCGAAGACAACGAAAGCTTCTACAAGCTCGTTGACAAGCAAAATCAGAAAAAGGCCGACAAATATGACTGGTTATGGCGCGGCAACAAGATGCCTTCAAAGCAAATGATTGCGCAGAAAGCAGTCACAGATCGCTTGGCGCAGGATGGAAAACTCATCGACGACGGCTTCATGAAACGCGATAGGCTGGCAATCAAAGATAGCGATGATCGGCCGGCACGTCCAGACGGCTGGAAATCGGAACCCCGAAACAGCCTGATGTTCGGGCCCAGGGATCTGGACGATGGCATAGAGACCAGGGCGCAAGCCGCAGACGCTGCCTCTAGATCTGGACCAAAAACAGTTGTATATGCCAATACCCGCGTTCCACAGCCTCATCTCCCACAGCGTCCGCCATCGCCGACGATGTCTTCTATAAGAGACGCTATTTCTGGAAGGCCTCGTGCTAAAGACTCGTTTTCCAGCGCAGCCGGTGGTGGCGAAACGCCGCGGGTCAATGGCTACGCCTTTGTGGATGATGAAGACGACGACGACGCGCTGGCGAAGGAGGAGCCCGTCATTGACCTGGGTCCTGGTGACTCAAACAACCCATTCAAAATTCAGGATCGTGGAAAAGGGGATGTTTTGCACGAAAAGATAGTGGATCGAATAGCCAAGTCGAATCGAGAGTCTTCCCGCAATGGCTTCACCGGCCGCTCCGAGCACTTGGATGTTCCCACGTTTCCTAGCAGCCCTCGGGTTTCGTCGGACTTGACGCCCGCAGCGCGGCGTCTTTGGAGCAAAATGGGAACACCAAAGGGGAGAACACCAAGCACCTCGTTTGGTCAGTCGTGGCAAGAAACGCCACTACGGCGGCGAGGCTCCTCATTACGGAACGCCAGCAAGCCTAACAGCAAGCCCAAATAGCACAACGACCTTGCAATGAACATGTACTCTCTAGAAATTACGAATGGATAAACTAATTCATTTTCGGCTATAGTTGTCCGAAAGGTGAACGAAATGTGTCTGAAATCGCTTAACTGCATAGGTAGCCGCTTGCCCTACCTTCTCGGGGTCCACTGGCCGTAAGCTATGGAAGCTTCCCAAAAAGTTGGGACCTCACCACTTGTTGATGAGGACCAACTCTCGCGCCACCGCAACACACGCGACATGAGGCTCACGGATCTGGCCATCGATCTGGCCGCAGTGCTGAGCGTCTCGCGGTCCGTTGCCACCAAGCATGTTGCCCTACGGGGGCGGCAGCTGCAGCGATACCGCGGCGTCGTCGACCTGAAGAACAAGGCCGAGGCCGCGGGCGCAGAAGTGTCCGACCAGGTCAACACCCAATTGAACTCGATCAAGGTCGACACCACCAACCCCCATAACATCGCCCCGAGAACAAAGCCCCGGCCAGCAGCTCCGCCAACGCCGGAGCCGGCGAGCCCCTCGGCGGAGAGCAGATATGCGCAAGCGTCGCGCGAGTTCAATGCCGCGGCCAAGCCCAATGTGGAAGAGTTGGGTCTTCCTCGCGGCGTCGATGTCAATATATTCCATACAACCCGGGGCTCACAGATCCTGGACTCAGTGCGCAAGCAGCGTCATCAGCAGGCCGCCGCTTCGGCTGGGGGTCCTGCAAAGGAACACCCGCTACGGCACTGGGGAAGCTCGCCTCCCATTCCCCAGGGGCCAGTCGCTGTCAAGACCGAGCCGTTAGTAAACGAGAAGCCGATTGAGCCAGAGAAGCCCGAATCGATCAAGACAAGTGTGGCAGCAGCTACCGCATCCGAGCAACCCATCATCGAGGCAATTGCACAGGCCGCCAAGGGCGACTCTAGACCAGCCTATCAACTCCGAGAATCAAGCGTCCCTTCCTCTCGTATGAGCCGTTTATGGAACTACGGTGGTCTAGCCGCCGGCATGTTCGGCGGTGCCATCTCCGAGAGCGTGAGCAGAGCATTTGGCGGTGGGGGGGAAGGCAGCGTCCTACTCAGCGGCGGCAACATGGAACGCCTCGTCTCTAAGCTGTCCCGCATGCGCGGCGCCGCGCTCAAGCTCGGTCAGATGATGAGCTTCCAGGACGCCAAGATGCTACCCGCGCCGCTGCAAGAAGTACTGCAGCGCGTGCAGGACCGCGCCGACTACATGCCCGCGTGGCAGCGCGACCGCGTGCTCACGGCCAACCTCGGTCCCGCGTGGCGCGACCTCTATTCCGAGTTTGACGAGAAGCCCATCGCCGCCGCCTCCATCGGGCAGGTCCATAAGGCGCGGCTCGCTGCCAACAGCCGCCGTGTCGCCGTCAAGATCCAGTTCCCCGGCGTCGCCGACTCCATCAACTCGGACCTCGACAACCTCGGCGTCCTACTCGCCGCCACCAAGCTCCTCCCGCGCGGTCTGTACCTCGACAGGACGATTGCCAACGCGCGGCTCGAGCTCGGCTGGGAGTGCGACTATGAGCGCGAGGCCGCGTGTGCCGCGCGCTACCAGGCCCTGCTCGCCGGTGAGGCAGACGTCTTTGTGGCACCAACCGTATACCCCGAGGCCTCGGGCAAGCAGGTGCTCACCATGGACTTTCTCGACGGCGTCGGCGTCACGCGCGTCGCTTCGTTCACGCAGGCCCAGCGCGACTGGATCGGCACGCAGATTCTGCGGCTGTGCCTCCGCGAAATCACCGAGTTCCGCTTCATGCAGACGGACCCCAACTGGACCAACTTCTTGTACAATGCCGACACCAGCAAGCTCGAGCTGCTCGACTTTGGGGCCTCGCGCGAGTACCCCGAGGAGTTTGTCCGGCAGTACGTGCAGCTGCTGGCCGCGGCGTCGCGGACCGACCGCGACGAGGTCCGGCGTCTGTCGGAGGGCCTGGGCTACCTGACGGGCCACGAGAGCCGGGCCATGGTGGACGCGCACGTCCAGTCGGTGCTGACGCTCGCGGAGCCGTTTCTGGCCTCGGCGCCTGAAGTCTACGACTTCCACGACCAGACCATTACGGAGCGCGTCAAGGCTCTGATCCCCGTAATGCTCCAGGAGCGTCTCGCGCCGCCGCCAGAGGAGACATACAGCCTGCACCGCAAGCTGAGCGGCGCGTTTCTGCTCTGCGCCAAGCTCGGCAGCAAGGTGCGCTGCCGGGACATGTTTGACAAGGCCGTGGCCAAGTCCGGCTACGTCTAGAGAACCTTGAGAAGAGAAAACGGGCGTTTTGTACAACATTTACTTGTATGTAATAGCTGGGAAAACTCACGGAGTGAAGAAAAGGCCATCACAGGCCATTTGTTTGTATATAGGTAGTTTATAGATTTCGGTAGTATGGAGTACCGGGTATCAATCTCATCATGATTTTTGCCACGTTTTAACGGGCACTCTTTCAACACTCACGCACGATCTCGCACCCGCACCAGGCTGTCCAGCTCCTTCCTCTCCTTGCCCGCCACCTTTTTCCGTTTACGCTCAATGGCGCGATCCACCTCGCCCTTGCTCATATCCGCGAAGCGGTTCGTCAGGATCTGCGTCTTTTGCGCGCTCTTCTTGAGGTAGAACGGCTGCTTGCCCTGGGCCACCAGCTCCTTCTCCTTGGTCCTGTGCTCCTTGATCAGCGCCCCGGCCTCGTCGGCCTTTTTCTGCGCCTTCTTCCTCGACTCCATCGACAGCAGCTGCCGCTTCAGCGCGTCCCTGTCCGCCGGACGCTTCGCCTTTCTGATCTGCGCCCTGAGGTCTGCCATCTCGCTCTCGCGGTACTCGTCCAGGAAGGCGTACGCGCGCCGCGTCTTGCCCTCGTCGACGGGCCCCAGGAACGAGTCGAAGCGCGGGTCGCGCGCCTTGCGTCGGGGGTCTGCGAGGATCTCGCGCCGCCGCGAGACGGGCTTCTTGGAGGTCTGCTCCTGCGGGGCGTGCTTGGAGGAGCGGCCGGGCCGGGCGCCCGCGTTCTGGTTGCTGCGCCGGCGCGCTTCGGCTTGCTCGCGGAGGGACAGGGTGGGTTCTGCGGCGTCGAAGTCGGGGTCTGATTTTCGGCTCTTCTTGGCTCGTCGGTTTGTGGCGGGCATGGAGGCCTGCGCGCGGGCTAGGGCGCCAAAGGTGACCGCGGAGAGGTCTACCTTGGGAGGCGCTTCGTCTTCTGACTCGGACTGTATGGATTATTAGTGACATGGGTATCTAGCATGGCACTATGACAGCTCCTACCTCTGACTCCTCATCATGTGCAGCTTCTGACAGATCCTCGTCCTCACTGTCCTGCTTGCCAACGTCTTCCTCCGATCCGTCGTCGTTGGATTGCTCGTTGTCGGACTCTGGCTCCAGGTTCCACTTTTCGTCATGACGAGGGCGGACTCGTCTATCTAGCCCAAGGGACTGGACTTTTCTTTTCGGCGGCATTGTGGTGGAACGTAATGTGTATTAACAGAGATCGCAAAAAGGCAGTTGGGATTTTTTTCGAGGTCCAGGCTGCTATGTGACCGCAGGGATCTTTGCTATCGATAAGATGCTGTGGAGGGGAAGGAACCCGCCGCTGTGAATGTTGCGGTAGTTATCCGGTTTCAAGCACGCTAACTACCTACCTAAAACAAATATTGCATTTGCTCACCTCACATCACATCCAGAAGACCTCCGTTCACTTGTGTGATCTTGTCAACCCATTCAATCAAGGTACAAACGTCTCGCCGTCAAGTTATACTAGCGCTGCAAAAAACCATATACATTGTATGCCGTCTTTGCTAAAGTTCTTCTCTTGCGCATCACCTCGGCAAGTCAACGTCCTCCTCTCGCCCGCTGGGCTTCGTGCTTCGGCCCGCCACTACTTCAGCTCGACAGCACACCACGAGTATGCGCCTTGCCCCAAAATACGGCCGGCGAGACAATTCAAGTACAAGATGGCGACGCAGGAGATGGTGGTCGTGAGCCAGCAGTCCATGCAAGTCGCGACCGCGCCCACGGCACCCGTCAAGACAAAGGCAGGCAAAGTGCCGCCATGGAAACAGCGCAAGCAGAAGAAGCTGCTGCCTGCGTCGGCCGTGACAGAAAGCAGCACGACCATGCAGAGTACGGAAACGAAATCGTCCCAGGCAAAGAAAAACAAGAAGCCGAAAAAGGCGAAAGGAGAGGCTGCAGAGGCCACCGCCGGGCTTGAGAATGGGGTCGAGCTGTCCCAAGTTTTGCAGGTTACAGAGACGATAGAGTAAATACTCCTCCTCCTTCTCCTCCTCCTCCTCACCCTAGCTCATTCATACTGACCGTCATATTAGATCCAAGATGGAAAATGACGCCCTCGTTCAGGACAAAGTCACCGTGCCCAGCCCCGAGTCCGGCGGCGTCCCGGAGCCCACCAAGGCCTACCTCCGCTGCGCCTCGCTCGCCCCGTCCCGCCTCGCCCGCCCGCGACGCATCCTCATCGTCATGGACCTCAACGGGACACTGCTGCACCGGCCCAACAAGCGGCGGCCCTCCGTCTTCGTCGACCGGCCGCACGCGCGCGTCTTCATGGAGTACCTGCTCACCCACTTTGCCGTGGCCGTGTGGTCCTCGGCGCGGCCCGAAAACGTGCACCTCATGCTGGCTAGTCTGCTGACGCCCGCGCAGCGCGCGCGCTGCGCCGTCGTCTGGGGCCGCGACCACTTCGGCCTCTCGCGCGCCGACTACAACTCGCGCGTGCAGTGCTACAAGCGGCTCGCCCGCGTCTGGGCCGACCCCGGCGTCATGGCCGCGCACCCGGACGCGCGGCGCGGCGGCTGCTGGGACCAGAGCAACACGGTCCTCGTCGACGACTCGGCGGAAAAGGCCCGCAGCGAGCCGCATAACTTGCTGAGGATACCAGAGTATGCCGGGCGGTCGGCGGCGGAGGACTGCCTCTTTGTGCTACCACAAGTGCACGACTACATCAACGAGCTCGCGCACCAGGCGGACATTAGCCGGTTCATACGGGAGACGCCGTTTCAGCTGGATCCGAGCTACACGTTGTGATACTTTGAGAGATGACAATGTGCAGGGACGTTTGGTCCGGTCATTCAATGGTGAGAAAACAGTTCTGATTTCTGCAAAGGGACTTGTTGATTGATTTTACATTGTTGTAGATGGTTGCTTCTTAGCTTTAAAGGCGGCGACTCAGAAACTGTACACAAACCGACGACATAGACTACAGCTTCAAAAAATTGAGACAGGCTTGGGTCATCATGTCCTAAATGTATGTAGGGTATATGTCGAATATATTGCTATTTGCTATTACTCGAGCAATTCTCTCTTCCCTACCTTGGGGATCGAATCCGTTGACAGCATGCGAGTTTCAACGAGCTCTTCAACTCAATCTTGCAGGCGGTATCAATACAAAAGGAGTGGCCAGTAAACACCATGGCACATGGCTTGTTTTTTTGTACTACTATATACTCTGTGTATTCGTGCCTACTTGGATACTTCAGTTCCTGCCCGTCATCCATTCCCATTGTCGTTACAATGCAGGGTACCAGCATATTTTATGAATGGCCCACTGCAACTCGTCGTTCATTTTCCCAGTCATCAACCCATGATCCGTATGCCTCATTACGCAGCCCAGCCTATGTTTTCAACATTTATTTGAAGACCTTGCCCTTGGCATAAGGGTACTCCTTGCCGTCGACAATGGCAGGCTTCTCCCAGCCCCAGTTGGCCTCAACAAAGGCACGGTCCTCCTCCTTCTTGGGGTCAAGCTTGACGAAGCTGTAGCTCTCGTAATCGGGAGCAACGTCAAAGACGGGGAGGTACTCCTGGCCACGGATAACGAAAGCGCCCTGAATAATGGAGGCGTTGTCCTCGCCGTAGACGGAGGCGGTACCAAAGATGTACTTGCGGGAGGCTTCAAGACGGTTGTTGAAGCCACCAATCAGGTTGCTGGACATGAAAGTGAGCTTAAGCTCCTCGTTGTACTTGTAGTCGACCTTCCAGATGGAGTACTCATCGAAGGGGACGGTCTCCCAGAAGTACTTCATAGCATCGGGGGTCTCGTTATTAGAGTAGAAGCGCTTGAGGTCGTCGAGAGCGAAGCTGGACTTGCCAAGCGCCTCGCAAGGGTGCTTGGGCTTGGGAGCATCCTCAGTGGCAGGAGCGGCGGCGGCAGCGGCGGCCTTGGGGGCGGCCTTGGGAGCCTCAGCCTTCTTGGGGGCAACGTTGGGGAGGACAACCTTGTCAATGAGCTGAACCTTGCCGACAACGTCGGAGTAGATGGGCTGGTTGACAATGGTCTCGTACCAACGGGTTGTGGCAGGGTTGGCCTCGCGCCACTTGGGGTCATAGAAATAATCGAAGCCGCGGCTGATGATGCCAGCGGCGAAGATATCGGCGAGAGTCAGACGCTCACCAACGAGGTAAGTATGCTCAGAGAGGTACTTCTCGACGACAGCAACGGCCTTGTCGGACTGCTTGGCGGCCTCATCAACAGCCTGCTTGTTGTAGGGAGCACGGCCGAGGAGGGGGACGTACTGGCCGGCAAGGGCGTTGAGGATATCAGAGTTGAAGAAGGACATCCACTTGAGGATGGAGGCGTAGCTACAATAATCAGCACGCATGTCTCCCACAGCGGATAGGTTTGATGATGGACTTACTCCTGCTTGGTTTTGCCGAGGAGGGTAGTCTTCTCGTTTTGAGAGGTGACTGTTCCACGTTAGCATCTGTGCCACAACCAATAGTGAACGAGCAGAGGGAAATTGAAAGCGTAAAGTCAGAAGTTAGGCATTCTCCACACAATGTTTTAAGACAGGGATAACTGTTTAAAAAAAGGCTATGTCATCACACGAAGCGGCGGCCCAGAGGCCGCAAGATGAGGGGGCAGATCTTGCAAGAAAGAGGAGCTGAGTCACGTACAGTAGATGGCAATGGCAACAGCCTCGTGGAGGGTGAAGCCGTCCTCGCCGACAAAGGCAGGGACCTTGCCAATAGGGCTTCCGGCCAGGTGCTCGGCAGTGCGAGGAGCAGCCAGGTCGACAGTGGTGACCTTGACGTCGAGGCCGTTGGCCTTGGCCACAGCCTTAATGGCGATGGTGCGGGGGTTGCCCTGGAGGAAGAAGAGCTGTCAGCGACTTGTCGTTGGAGGGAAGAAAGCAGAAAAGTATGCAATTGAGCGAGTCACCTTACCTCGCTAGCGAAAAGAGTTCCGAAAGCCATTTCGACTGTGTATCTCGGTTGATCAACGACAGGTGATTGCTCAAAAGGCTGAGTTGAGCAAGAGAAAAAAGCTCTCTGGGCCCGTAGAAGGTCGAGGAAATTTTTATGGTTGAAATGATTTTAGAGCCCCGCGCGTGGGTGGGCCCTACAGCACGCAAAGGGTGGTGTGGCTGTGAACTGAACAAGTATCTAATCTCCACGTGATGTGGCGCTGAGGCTGGGCCAGAGACAAAGGGTTTTTGCGCAACTCCAACACTGAGTTTCCTTCTACCCAGTTCATCGGAAGAGAGCGCACCGGCAACTCGAAGCCGCCAAAAAGCCAAATCGACGCAGCCATGGCCAGTGTCCACGCGTGCCTGCGCCAATTTCGGTGCACAAAGCCCGCTCTGGGCTCGCAATGGCTGCCCTCGGCCGCGAAGCGAGCCGCTCCCTCGACATCCCTAGCCATCAGAACGCTCACAACGACGACAGCGACGCCGGCCAACGACGACACGTCAAGCTTTGACAACAACAACAGCCTCAAGGCACAGCTCGAGGCGATCCGGATCCCGCACGTCGGTGTGGTCCACGCGCGGGCCGTACCCTCGACGCCGTCGTACTTTGCGCGGACGCCGCAGTTCAACGACCTGCACATTCAGCTGGCGCGGCTGCTGGCGCGGTACAACCACCTTCCGACGGTGGCGTCGGCCGAGGCAGCACAGATGCCGTGGCTGCGGCTTGAGGCCATGCGGCACGAGCTCGGCGAGTCCATCAAGGCGTCGCACTTTTCTCAGGTGATGCGTGTCGTCCGCCGGCTGCACTGCATCGAGCCCTCGTTGGCGCCGGCCGAGGTCGTTGCCGCCGTCGCGCGCTTCACCAAGCCCGTGAATGCACTCCTCAACGTGGCCCGGCCGCGCCCCGTGGACCGCTTCGGCCGCGCCGTCGGTGTCGGCCGCAGGAAGACGTCGACGGCCCGCGCCTTCGTCGTCGAGGGCACCGGCGAGGTCCTCGTCAACGGCAAGACGCTCAACGAGGCCTTCGGCCGGGTACACGACCGGGAGAGCGCCATCTGGGCGCTGCTCTCGACTGGTCGTCTCGACAAGTACAACATCTGGGCGTTGGTGGAAGGAGGAGGGACCACAGGGCAGGCCGAGGCCATGACCATGGCCGTCGCCAAGGGTCTCTTAGCCCACGAGCCGGCTCTGAAGCCGGCTCTCCGTAAAGGTAAGCGATGCATTCCCGATTTCGATCCCTCTACCGACGTGGTGAGAAGCTTTTTTTCGCTAAACTGTTAATTCTTGTTTCCTTCCCACAGCCGGCTGCATCACGCGTGATCCCAGAAGGGTGGAGAGAAAGCTGCACGGCCACGTCAAGGCTCGCAAGAGCCCGGCCTGGGTCAAACGTTAAAAGAGAGGCAGAAACAGAAGAAATTGCCCGACAGCTCGTACGGCTTACATGGAGGAAGTCGGTGCTTCAATTTGCCGCACAGTTGGCAGCTCCAGACGTTGGATGCTACCAGAGATGACGAGATGGATGCTCTGTCCTGGTCACCCCACTACCAATGTAAATCATTCGCATCAATTGTAGTTTTAGCCAAAGAAAGCGTTCCTTTTTTGACCCATGCTTATACCCCACGTCCCGTCCGCGATCCCACCTGCGCCACTCCGTGTTCGATGCCGGTTCGTGGGTGACATTCAGAGCTCTCAAGTCCCCCGGATAATTTTTTCGACAGTCTGCTACAAGCCAGTATGCCGACGGCTGGGGGAGAGCGTGTCGGGAGCAGAGAGACTAGGAAGCTGTTTTCTCCTCCGAACTCTTTTCTTGTCTCAACACCTCATCGAGCTGCGCCCAAAAAACCAGGCACTCGCTTACCCGCTCTCCGTGCCAGCCTGCAATGGAAATGTCCCAGACCGTTCTGTGCATTAACTGCCAAGTTTGCGCCGGTCTAGCCTCGAGGACAAGAGGCATAAACCGAATTCGCGACGGTGCCATGATGCACGCCAGAAGGTGCTATTATTGGACTCAACGTGGCTAAATCCCGCAAAAGGGGGAAAATTCCGCATCCTTTTCACCCGAGAGCTAATGGAAAAAAGCCCCCGACATCGATGCTGCCAGTGCCCCGTACAGGGCTCACCAACCGTGGCTTCGCAGCGGCCACAGAATTCAACTGAGACATACAATGCACAAAATTGCACATATTTGCCTCGTGGATGTGACGGCATCTCGGTCCTCAATGACTCCATTATCGGACCTAGATACACATTTACTGTTAACACCGTTGACTCGGGGTCGAGGAGCTCACTCCAGGACCGGCTTGCTTGCCTTGTTGGCGTGCTGTTGTCAGAATGAGTGGTGGCGGATACCAGACTGATGTCCCTGATGCGCCTCAACATATATAGCGGCAAGCATCGAGCGGCCATATTGTCTGGAGGCGATGACCGTGGTCATCAATTTCAAAGGAACCTGTGAGGGATTGGGTCTTGAGTCGGTACGCCTGGATGATATTGCCAAGACTAGTGTGTCTCATAGCTTGCTAATAAAGACAGCCTTGACTACTTGATTCTACTGGTGGTTCATTTTCTAGTTATGTAGCCTTCCCCAGCCTGCCAAGTTTGCATACCATGACGGATCTATCACAATCTAAACAATGTGTGGGCGCTAGAAACCGCTAGTAATCCGCAATGTCTCTGAGAGCACTTGGGCTGCAACTATGGCGGGAGAACGAGGGAAGATGTCGATGCAAGGAACTGGCACCTACTCTAAAACCTAGCAACTGGTTCGCGCCGCGTGGAAAGTAGTAGTTACAGCCCTAAAGTTAAACCAGTGGGCTGGTTCGTAATAACTCCCAGTGGTGCGGTTACAAGTAGGGCCGTGGGGAAACAGCTTCCTGGACAGGGATGACATTTACAAGGAGCTGATACATATCACATTCCGAATACCAGTCTGCGCAGACACAATGTGGCATGTGCAGCTCAGCAGATTCTCGCCCAAGTCAGCCTTCTGGGTGCCACAAAACCTCAACCCTGTCTATCGTATCAATGTGTGCCAGCATGGATATTGGTTTATCCGGTAGCCAGCGTAATGCTATCCAAAAATTTATAGCCCCGCGTGCCGTTGCTTCCACTTGATGGGTGTAGTCCCAGGCCACATTTGGTTAGCTATTCTATTGCCGAGTAGCCAAGCGGTCACAATGGGACTTTAGATTCAATTCGTATTCTTGCCAAATTACCCCAGGTCTATTCAATTAGAGACGAATTGTGCGGGCATTCAGGGTCTTCGAGTCTGTGGGGAGAGTGGAAACAAACCTGCTCAACTTAGTGGATGGGACGGATAAAGATACTTACTTGGAGCCGCTGTCGAGGCAAAGGTCAACTGATAAGAACAGGGAACCGAAGGAAACGCGGCAGTTGGCAGCTTGCAGGGGTATATGGAGGCAATCAATCAACTAGCTCAAAGCCACCAGGGCACCAACATTGGAACAGGTTCGCTAGTTGAGCCTACTCGCCGGGCCGGGCTGCCGGGTACCTCATCGAAAATCGGTGAACTATGGGATTGATGACTTCCTAATTACTGTACATGTATTTACAGGGCCAGCCTGGACCTTGGCAGTGTCAATGAGTCGCAAATTCGAGGTAGTGCATGGAAGAGCAGTGGCCCAGCCGTCAACCTTTCACTATTTCCTGTTTCGCAAAAAGAGAAGAAAAAACCACTGTCGCCAGACGAGCGAATGAAAAGTCTAGTTGGCAGGGGTCTATTTGGCAACGTTGCAGGGCGAGCCCTTGGGAACCGCTGGTAGCGTCGAGGGACGGGGTGTGGCGTTGAGCGAAGGGTCGCAAGATAAGTATTCAATTTTTTTAATAGTATGAACGGTTTCACCTCTTCAATGCTGATTACCGAGAGTACTCATCACCACTTGATGCACTGTCGACGAGAAATGCGCGCAGCTGAGGCTTGAATCAAAACGAATATCGGCTTGTAACTATGATCTGTTCCAGGTCCGTATGCGGTTTGTCCATATGCGCTAGTAGTCTCCGCGTCGCAGCGCACAAGCTAGGCTTGACCGAAAGGGGTACTCGTGTGCACGATGATGCATGGTTTCATGCATCGAAAGCTGCCGTTTTGTTTTCGTCAATGGAGACCAGTCGGGCACTCAGTATTGCTCTGGGGGCTCGCTTGTAGACGTGTCCTTCGGTTTCCCTCTAGAGCGATTGCGAAGGAAGCTGTTGTTTGATAGGGCTATTGCCCACCGGCTACAGCTGCCGGTGCCACCGCCATCGGATCTGCATTGCCTGATTGCGTGGTGCTGGTACGTACGTCGATTCAGCAAGAAAGCTTCCATACTGAAATTATTACAGTGTGCGATGCGTATGACCAATTTGGCGGGTTTGCGTGGTCCTTTTAACGGGGTCAGCGATATAGACAGGGGCGTAGTTAATAATATGCACTCCGTACATAGTGCCAAGATCACGATCATCATCCCACCCGCTGTCCGAGAATGTATTCTGTCATGTCGTAAACAGGCATTGTGCTGATGAGTGGAACATTAATGCGAATGTTCTAGAGTGTTCCGTAGAATATGCCTCGCGCGCATAATAAAGGTACGAAGAGCTTGGCCGACACTGTGGTGTAGTCAAACACGCTTGACAGGGCAGGATTACGGGACGGGTTTGACTCAAGCTAGTTGAGGTCATGGAAACCTGATGCAAGAGAAAGCAAGGCAGGATACAAAAGGTTGGCCTCCATAAGCATGGCGAGTTTGAGGAGAGGAAAAGGTCCTGCGACGTGTACGTGAGGCTTGATAGTTACTCTGTAGGCTGAGGAAACGGAAAAAAGCCTGGCCAGACGCACGGGGCCATGGGGCGTGGCGGGGCGGAGCCTAGCATTGATTGAGCTAAAGCCTAGCGGGGGAGCCAGCGGAATGACGGGCAAGTCAAGGTTGACAGTGGCGGTGGCAGGTGGTGGCAGGTGGCAGGTGGCAGATGGCAGATGTTTGGGACAAGTTACAGTGCCTGCAGATAACGAAGAGAAACCATGAATGACAATTAGTTACCTGCAACTATGCGGTTGGGTATTTGCATGGAATTAATTAAGGCCCACCACACCGACGACAGTAGCATGTTGAGCCGGCGGATAGCTTTTGACAGGCGCGGCTCCACCCAACTGCACTAAATAACCTAAGGAGGTACCTAGGTCGGTACTGTAGGTAGGTAACTACAAGGTAGTCCACTTCCCTCGAGGGCCTTGCCTCATTTGGTAGTTCCTGGGGCCACCATTGTCTGGCAGCGGGGCTCCCTCTTCAAGGCGGTCCGGGGCTTGTCCTTACGCATTGCCTTTCTCCGGGCTGTCCGCAGTTCCTCGACTGCCCCCCCTCAGACCCTCAACGACTACGTTCGATTTTCCTTCCAGCAATCCTACCTAATTATCTTGCTTCGTCTGTTGGTGAGGCGCATGCGCATGACCCGAACTCATTCTAGAGCCCTCGCTAACACCAGAAGTATTTATGTTGGCCAAGTGTCGCCATATGTAGCCCGTTGGGTCATGCAACAGCAGCCACAGGGTGCAACTTCGGAACCCAATTCCGCCATCGTTTTGAGCCCGTACTCGCCTGCTCGCCTGCTCGCCTGCTCGTCTCTCGTCGGTTGTCGTTAATGTGGTCTACCGATTCGCCGGGCATCTCGATCATGGGGCCGACACCTTGGTGACAAGCCAACAGAAGACGTCAGTGACATCACATTCAATAACCCACGGGGAACGATCCGGTGCCCTCTTACGATTTCTTCACGAAATGAGCAAGCCTGTTTTGGGCAGCTCGGCACCGCGACACTGAAGCTTGCAGTGGGGGGTGGCGCACACCCATTGACCCAGCTCTCCAAACTCTATGCTCCTCGTGGGGGGTGTCATTGGCGGGAGTCGCACACGTCCCTTTTACTATGTATGTATCCAGCGCTGCCCAGCCTGGTCTATTGTCTGGCGTCGACAACAACGTCTGTAATGCGAGACAAAGTTTACCCTCGCGTCCCTGCTGTGGGTGCTGTGGGCACGTCCTGGTAGGATCCCGCTCAGCTACACCGGCCATGCGCTTTGCTCACCTCTGTCCTGGCCTGGCACTACCCTGCCAATCATCGCCTTTTGCAGCCAGGGTCCAGCCACGAACGCGTGCTCTTCTTGTCGTCCGCGGCCGGCGCTCGGCTGGGAAACCACACAGTCTCTCCCATTGCCATTTAGAGGTGCCGGATCGCCCGTGCATGCAGCTCACGGCCCGGTCAAGACGCAAATTTCGGCCGGATCTTCTGACTCCCTCGACTCTGCGAAACACAGCGCGGCCATCTTGATGAAACAAGCCTCTTCCTGCCTTTCCCGCCACAACTTGTCAACCTCGCATCCTCTACATCTCGGTCAGGACAACCATCTGCCCGAGTCAAGCACGCCAAACTGCCCCTAGCAAACTCATGCTCACCTGCATCGGCCTTAGCTTGATGCAAGTCTCAGCCACTAGCTGCAAATCTCTTTGTCAAAACAGGAAAATTCGCCAACGGTCTTCAGCTACAACTTACACATTTGACATGGCTCAATAACTAACATTCCACGCTTCTGCCATCACCAGCCTGCCATTGTTGGGACGAATCCACTTTCCTAGCGGCGGCTTGACTCTGCTGGCCTTTCTTCCTCTTCCATCGATTTTCCACTGATCCAAGTTTCGTCCTCCGACACCGACTCAATTCTCCTCTTCACTGACTCGAGTGGGTATCAGCCATGGACTCGTTAACAAGTCGCGCATAAACGCTCTGGGTTCCGCAGCCTCCACATGGTTTTCCCCCAAAACCCTTACCCATGTTAGCAGCAGCAATCTTTCTTCGGTCCTTCTGAGCCAAATCTCAGGACATTTAAGCCCCCATATTTCTTGGACCAGGCGGCTCTCTTCCAGGCCCAGTTGCAGTGCGTCTGTAGTTCTTAGTATGCATGCCTTTGCGTACCTTTGCTCTGCTGAGTGCTTGCTGTCCGGGAGCATCCTCGCGATGCGCATAGCAGGTTGGTAGTTCGTGCTGCCTGTCTTTGTCATGCGGATCAAGTACACCATGCTCAGCCGAGAACTTTGTCTTCAGCTATCTTGCCCCTTTCCCCTCTAAACTTGAGAAGGGCTCGCTCCTGCCAGTTTTTCATGTTACCGTTTCCTACAGACACCCCCCCTCCCCTTCCTGCCTCCCCTGCCACATGTCAGGGCTTATCCCAGACTGTGTGGCTCACTCGTCGCCTTGCCCATCATTGACACCTAAAATCCTCTATAGACGTGACGCAGCGGATAGTTGGTCCTCTTGCATGTCCACTACGCTCGTCTGGATTAGTATGCATGTCTTGTGTACCTTCCGCAACGTTCCTATTTGTATGCCAAATTACCCCAGGTCTGCATTCGTTCTGGCTCCTTTTAGAGACAATGACTCTTCAGGCTTCGCGATATAAGACAGTCTCTCCCGCCTCCCACACAGACGGACCACATTCAAGCACTCAAGGGGTCGTGGACAGCTCATCTTTCACTTCCATTCACCACGAGATCTATCCCGGCCACATATATCCATATATCCTGTTCCCCCTCCTCCCCATTTCTCCCGCTCCCTCGTCATTTTTCCGAGGACACTTTGCATAACCCCTCTTCCCGGGAAACCCACTTGCTCGGTTCTACTCGTCGACACTGGCGGGTCTACGAGCTTCTCGCTCATTGTCAAGCCAGTTGCTCCGTCGGGCTAGCTCCCTCTCACCATCCATCCGCTCCGCTTGGGTTGCTCGGGACCGAAGGTGGGCAATCATCGCACCATTGGCGTGTTGCAAAGGCCTATTCGTGGCGTTGCAGTCTGCCAAGCTCAACGCGACAACGGTTGCCCGGTTTTCTTATTAATCTTATTTCTTCTTGGGCATTCCTAATAGACGGTGAGCTTTGCACCCGTCAAAACTTGGCGGACCCGGCCTGTCTTCGCCTGCCAGTGGTGTGGTCCTGCCAATCATGAACTACTCGATCTGTGGCTTCACATTCTACCAATCAAAAACACAAGATTATCCGTGTTATTCGGGACTCAAATCGTCGAAACTTACTTGCTCGTGGTTTTCACTGTAACTCTGGCACAATACGATACTTCAACACCATTCACGACTTCGAATGTTCCCAACTCTTGCGCGCTTACGTTACCACTGTCTGTCAAGTCGAGCTCAGAGACTTTCACTGTCGAGTCTCGGTCACTGATTTCCGAAATCCCGGTTTTCATATGATTGGGCATTAACCGTTACTTGGGAATCCCTAGCAAGACAGCATTGACCGCAATAATTCTCCGACGCTGCCAAGAAGGAGAGGTGTTTTTACTCAGCACTCCTCCTAATCGGACGTTGCCGTAACCCTGGCGTACTTTTACCCTTCGCCTGCTTCCCTATCCCCGGCTAATCGCGAAGCCCATCTTCGAGAGGCTTCGTGTGGAGAATTTGCCGGGGATATGGACGAGCACAATCAGAGTCGACGGTATAGTCCAAGCACACTGAGCGATTCTCAGGGAACGAGATATGCGCCACTGGGATCTTCTACATCGCAACATGGCTTGCTCCCTGATGTACCAGCGGAACGATACCGGCATGGTCAACAGCAGCAGCTCGGGCTCTCTACCCCGGCACGCACCCTGGAAAGTAATGCCGGTGGCGACAGCCAATATTACCCAGATCAAATCTCGACATTTCCTGGTTCTACAAGCCTATCGGCCGCACAAATGTCATACGGATCCGATTACAACCCGGGTGGCGCCGACACAGGCGCGCGACAGCAACATCAAACAGTTGGGTTTGGCAACTACAACGCAAGCATGATGATGTACAGCGTACCGCAAGCGAGCACGCAAACTTCGATTTACAACACGCCGCAGTATGCCCCCTCTCTACCACCTAGAAATAACCCCATGGCATCGACGCCGCTTCTCTCCACCCAGGCCGACGTGAATCCATCATACTTTGGAGAAGAGCAGGCTTCCCCTGAGACGACCTCGTTGGAGCACACTGCCAACAGCGGGTCAGCCTACTACCAGGATATTCCCTCCTCATTCCACTACACAACGGGAGGGGCAGAAAGCAGTGGTGGCAGCGTCAGTGGCAGCGGCAACAGCCTCACCGGGGTAGAGAGTTTCTATCAGGTCGCTGATTTAGGTGCTAGCAGTTCGGGCGCAATGGCCGAGTCTTCAAGACCGGACAGGACAGCGGAGTTTGAGGAAAAGTGGCAGGAATACCAGCGACGCCTCGCCAGCGTATTTCTGGATGTCAAAAACGGAAATCTTGAAAAGGCGGCTGATGGTCTCTTGAGCGTCTCGTTCTGGCTCTTGTCGAGAGTCGAAGAATTAGGTGAGTGGTTCTCTTCACGTTTTCGCCTGGATTTGTTTCTACCTGGACCGATCAACTAACATGGACATGTGACAGGCCTAACCGAAGACGACGAGGACCTTCACAAAGATCGCCTCAAGCTGTGGCAGGACTTTAATCACGCGTGGATCGCACTCGTCTTCAAACAAAAGAAGCACATGCAGCAGTTTGATGCCGACGATGTGGTGTCGCAGCCTCTAGCAATACGGACGATCAAGAGGATGGGCGACGAGCTTATTCGCCTCTGCGATGGTATTGAGAGGCATGGTCTCGTAGACTACCAGTTTGGTGTGTGGGAGGACCAGATTGAATCATGTAAGTGCAGTCCTCACCTGCGCAAGAAGAAGAACCATATTTGCTTCTGCCAGAGTCCTAAGGGAGCTTGAGCACTAACATGGGATTTTGCATTAGTACTAGAGGATTGTCTCAATCTTTTCGAGGACAAGGAAAAGGAGCAGAAGGAAGCTCGGCGCCGAGACGAGGCCAGCTGTAGTGGATAGATAATGTGCACACGATGGGAAAGAAGGGGGGGGACTTTATCACGAGGTTATGGAACATTATATGGCGAATTCATTTTGGAGTATCAGGATTTTGTGCAGCGCGCATATCACAATATCAACATCGTCAAGACGAACACTGTCCGCCCTTTGGTCGTGCTCGTGCTCGTGCTCGTGCTCGCCTGCATCAGATACTGGTATGGCTCAGCTCTTGTCTATCAGTAGCTGGTAATTTGTACTCTACATGTAACTTTGACCAGCCGAAAAGCCGCCAAGACAAGGCGAACGCCAAGATATGCCTGGAAGCAAGCAAGTGCCTACTTCGTAGAGCCCCGGCATATGTGACTAGGTCGAGTTTTGCACCAGTAGCTAAGTACCTATGTATGTAGCTACCACATCGTTAGTCCAGCCAGGTTCGGCGCATCCCTATTGGCGCGAGAATAATCCGGGTGTCAAGCCAACTTGTCCGTTTATTAGCCCACTCCCCTCCTTCCTTGCGCGCGCGGGACGGGCGTATCGAGATGAGTGAGACATTCGCAACAGGGGATTTTCCTTGGGGAGGGGGGGGGGTCAAGTATACAGTAGTCAGACACGTAGATCCTGCCCAGAGGAGCTGAAATAGCCTCCTCGGCGCTCCTGGTATGCATCCCCAAACCTTAAAAAAGAACCTACCAAAAGGCCATCTTGGGAAGCGCCCTCCGTTAGTCTAACATTTATGCGAAATTTGTACCTACCCGCGGAGATTTGTAGGGAAAAAAAGAGAAGAAATAGAAAAAAAGAGAAAATCCTCACCGAAAAAGATTTAAACCACATCACATGGATTGTCTCAGACAGCGTGGGAAGGAATGTAGAAGAGCAGGTCCGGATCCCCAGACCAGGCTCGCCGAAATGTATAGGTACTCACAGTACGGACGTCCGGAGTAATTGATTTAATGTGCCGGGGAAGGGAATCCGTGCGGCGTCCCCTCCCCGCAATTAAACTGGCAGATCTAATTAGTTAGTTTTCGCTCGTCTTGTTTCATTTTTTTGTTGTATTTTGGAAAGTCTCTCATCAATGAACTAGTCCAGTTTGACTTTTTTTTTCCCGACATTCCCTTGATGCGCCCCGAACGGGATATACGAGACACATGTACGTGGTGGTCCCTGTTTTGTAATCAACCTCGGGTGTTGTCAGTCTCTCACGCTAGGATCAAGGACGGAGCCAAAACAAGAATAAAATAGAACAAGTCACAAGACTCCCTCTGCAGTACGAGAGCCCGTCCGTGCTTGGGTTGACGTTTGCGCAGCCGCCTTGGCGGATGGATGGGTGGGCAGGTCCCGTTTTGGTTCCCGACCAAGTGCCGCCTTCATTGGTGACGGAGCGAGGCTGAGAGACCAAGAGGGCAAAAACGGGCATCGTGGTGGTACCTGACCGCCCTTTGTTAGCCTTTGACCCAAACGCTCGGGAAATGTCTCTGTCGGTTGTCTTTTTCGAGATGTGACCGGGCTTTGATGGATACCAATTTGTTGACTAGCACGTTATCGGGATCACCCGCAGGGGTTTTTAGCTGGAGAAGAAGAAAAATGCATATCATTTCGATAATCGTTATATCATGATGCTAACTGATATTTTTGAAGTTCATCTGGCAGTCTCCCAGCGACTTGTCGTTTCGCGTGTACTGTATGTGTGTGTGTGGTGTTCGTGCGATTTTGATTCGTACCCAGTTCACCGGTTCCCTCAAAATTGGTCTACCACACGCCCCCCCCCAGTTCCGTTAGTTTAGTCCTTTAATTTGCCAAGCGCAAAAAGCCAAGTTTAGTCGCTGCCCAAACCAGGAAAACCGGTATCATCCCCCGAACGAAAAAGCCCGTCGGTTCGGTTAAGGCTGGATAAGGACAGGGTAGGGAAACGAAAGTGGGGTAGATTGCCTCAAATGGAAAAAGAAATGGCAAAGACTCACCCAATGTCATGCTCATGCTCACGTCAGTGTTTTCCACCATCTTGGTAAACTCCTCAAAGCTAATCTTGCCGTCGCCGTCCAGGTCGGCCTCCATGATGGTCTTGTCGACAATCTGCTGCAGCTGCTGGTCCTTGAGGTTGTTACCCACCATCATCTTCAGCACGATAAACAGCTCGCCGTTGCTGATATACCCGTCGCGGTCAATGTCATAAACCTTGAAGGCGAAACGGAGCTTCTGCTCCTTATTGCCCTTGCTGCTGAAGGCGCTCAGGCCGGACACGAATTCTTGAAAGTCGACGTCGCCGCCGCCGTCTTCGTCGAAAATGGCAATCATGCTAGGCAAGAACGGCGTGTGTTAGCACTGCAAGGTAAGTCTCCGTTTGGGCAGGTGAGGGCATGCGACAAGCGGTCGCATGGTCGAGGCTTGTCGCATGCTCGAGGGGCGCGGCGGGGAGCTGCTCACCGGGTCGCGAGGGGGTTTGATGAGATTTGGGGCAGACTGAGGAATTCATCGCGCTCAATTGTACCGGAGTTATCCTACACCAGAGTGTGTCAGTCATGTCGTGCCGACGAGGTCTATACACATGCATGAACGATATACCTTATCCAGCTTCATGAAGCGCTTCCGTAGGCGGTCGACCTCCTCTCTGTCAACTGTAGCACGATTAGCTCCACCATTTTCGTCCGAATTTGGTGATTTGGGAGCCACAAACAGTTGGACCCTTGGACAATGTTGTCCATGACAGCGCTGGTAGTGTTGCCCATGGTTGAACAGCGACGCGACGACTGGCGTGCGCGGGGCGGTGTATAGGGGTGCTGGGCAAGTCGCGATGGCTCAGTGATTCTGGTGGGTCAGGCGTCGATTGTATGGTTTCTCTGGTTATGCTCCTGTCGGGTACTGGTAGATAGATGGCGGGCTCGATTGTCGTCGCGGTCGTGGAGATGCGGGATGTCGTGTTGTTTGGTGGTGGTGGTGTGCCTGAATGGAGGGGTTTGGGTGGGGAGCACGGGCCAATGACGAAATGGGATTACCCTGTAGTTACCTGATCTTGGGCTTTTCCAGCGGCGGTGCGGTGAGCTCTAAGCCGACTTTCACGGCTCCAATGTACCAGGTGGGCGGCGTCCAATAAAGGACGCGATTTGATATTCTCGCACTGGGTTGGCGGCTTTACGTGTTGGATTTCTTGTGCTTGAGCTTGCGTAAGGAATACTCGTGACTGAGCTGAGCGTGGGTCTAAGTCACTCTTGCGTTGTGACGGCACAGCAGCACACCTATTTCTATTGCCGTCATACAAAAGGCTGCCAAGGAGTACAAACAGAATAAAGCAACACATAAAACGAAACTGTATTTCTTCCACTGAATTTTAGAAGAGACTTCATTTGCATACAATTCCTCATCGTCACATTCCCAATTCTGGTTGCCTCTGGTTACTAAGCAGATCTAACAGGTATCTGTTGCAGAGTAAAAAAAACAAGTACCAGCCCGGCCACAGTAAGCGTTAAGGTACTTCATTGTGTTACAGTGGCTGCAGTGGTCGCCGTGGCTGTTTATGGCGTAGTCCCTAGCGCCTTATTAGGGGACTAGAAAGAGGGGAAGAGGATGGTCAACGCAGGCGGCTTGTACCTTTACCCGCATACCTCACAGTAAAGTGACCTTGTAATGCCAAACGTCAACAAAAGATCAACCCTCCGTTATTGCGCCGAGTGAAAATTCTTCGCGCGGCAAAACAATCCCAACGTCACCTCATCCGCCGCGAGACTTTGCGCATCAAAAGGGTGCCACCACTGCACCTTTTTCATCCGCCCAATATCAAAACTACACTTGTTACGCTCTGATTTATGACTTGAGTGATTTTTTTGGCGGTTTTTCCGCGGGCAGACTGCCGTCCTCCACCACCCCTGCACGATGTCTTCTCGCAAAGTCCGCGTCAAGAAGCTCAGCGTCAAGACTGCCCTTCCCGTGCTCAGGGAGGATCAGATCGATGCTACAGAGTACGAGACCATCACCACCGAGTCTCAAATCGTAACCGGTGTCGAGCACGCCGAAGAAAAGGTTCGTCCCTCTCACCCCTATTTTGATGCCTGATATCACGAGTTTTGCCACGTGACCCGCTGTCCAACCAACCCCTGTCACTTGTCTGCGGCGCATCTGCCACACCCCAAACCCGGCACTAACACGGCCTGATCTCTCTAGGAATATCATTTGCAATCCATCCTTAAGGATGCCGGCACAAGTAACGACCAGGAAATTCCTGTTCCGCCTCCCCAGGAGAGCGAGGTAAACTATGAGCAACTTTACCCAGTGCCTTTCCACAGGCCATCCACATATATTCGCTTCTCACAAACCGTCGAAGAGTGCATCAACTGCCAATATGACATGAGCACCGAGGATGACGAATTCCTCAAGACATATAATGCTAAGCCTGGGCCTGCTGGGGCCTTGTCTGAAGACGATTTTGAACGCATCATGGAAGTGCTTGAAGACACGGCTGCTGAGCAAACTCCTTTTGCGTCGGTTGATAACACAGTCGTTGCTTACGACATGATGGTTCCCGGACTCAACCACCTCGGAGCTCAGCACCTGATGCAGCACGCCAAGCCCATTTATGAGTACTGGAAGGCCAGACGCCAAGAGGCTGGTAACAAGCCGCTGCATCCGGCACTCAAATTTGAGACACACCAAGAAACAGATGACACCGACCCCTATGTCTGTTTTAGACGCCGTGAAGCCCGACAGACCAGGAAGACGCGAGGACGCGATAATAAGATTGTCGAGACGCTTAAGCGCCTGCGTCGTGAGCTTGAAGACGGCCGCCAGTTGGTACTCATATCGTATGAACGCGAAATGATGAAGCGTGAACTTTTGCACATGGAGCGCGCAGTCTTTGAAGAGCGTGCAAGGCTTAAACACATTAAGCTTAAGCTCGGAATCAAAGGCGAAGACGACGACTTGGTCAACCAAAAGGTGTGTACCGTAGCCCCCCCCCCAACCTTGATTACTTGCGACTGACTTTCCGAATAGCCACAGAAGCGCAAGCCTGTCGATACAACGGCTGCTGCGCGGGCTGCTGGTGCCAATGTTCGCACCCCAGTTCGACCCGATGGCCGCCAAATGGAAGCCGATCTTCTCCAGCTTGCTGATCAGCTCGCTGAGAAGGACAAGGAGCTTCGTAACGAGATTGAAACCAAGGTTCAGAATCATCGCAGATGGAACCACAACCACATTGATCTTACTGTAGACCCGCTATCGCCCGTTGAGGACCCGGGCTTGGAGCTCAAATTCCGCCCTGCAAAGACGCAGTACCTCATGACGCCACCTGCATCGGTATCCTCTGACTCGATGGATGTGGACGAAGAGGGCCCCACGCCAATGCGACTGGACAGGCCTCAAGCCTCTCCCGCATTCCAATTCAAAGCAGGCGGAATTGCGTGTGAGCCGCTGCAAACCAATCAGCCAGCGTTCCGCCGCAGGATAGGTCGCTTGAGCCGCCTTTGGATAGACAGACGAGGCATGGCCACGCCGCCCAAGACCGATTCGCAAGGATGTTCGGACCGCTGGAAGTACGACTCCGACGATGATGACGATGTTGAGCCACCAGTGTATGAGATAGATCCATTCGACACAAGAGCGTTGAAATTCCGAGCGACGATTCCGCTTAGCTCATACCTCTTCCGGGGTAGACCAACCGTTCCGCCCGAGGTGTTGAACAGTGCAGCGACGCGAGCTCTACCAGCGCCACCGTCAGCGCAGCAAGCGCCAGCAGTCTCCTAGTGGATGCTGGGGCGCTTGATGTAGCACCAGAGTAGTGTATGATAGGATGACCTGTATATAGCGTCTTGTTTTTTCTTCTTCTCTTTTTTGATATTCGGGGAATCACCGAGCGGACCACCCGAGGTATCAGTGCATAAAGCCTGGAATTGGCATATTTGTTTGCGCGGAGTTGGGAGTTGGGCTAAGGTCTTGGGGATATTTAGACAAAGAGCCCCCCGGGCACACATTCATAAAAGAATAGAAAGACTGGTAGAGCCAAGAACAGTCGTCTTCTCCTGAGCAGTGATTACAAAGCTCCGGGGGCTCTCCCCATCCACTTTCACGCAAGAAAAGCATCGTACCGTGTCGCAATAGGCTGGTGACTTCTTGTGCGGCGAAGGCGACGTGGAAAGCTGATGGATAGCTGCGTCTGCGGCGTTCGAGCGAGGATGGCGGCCGCTGTGCTGCATGTAATCGTATCGACTGGTGGAATCACGGCAGAACAGAGGCCCATGATGAACGAGGGAAAATGTTGGCCTGGGGGAACAGAGTGGTGGCTCGACAAACGAGGCTCAGTTGACTGGAGCACCACAAGCTGGTTAGTGATCATCAAGTGTAGCGGAAACGTAGGTGCTGCTAGCGCCGGCAACTCGTTGGCACGTACAAAATGAACAAGGCTACCGACTATGCAGGAGAGCAAGAACAAGAAAGGAGGAGACGGAGGGTATGAGAGATAATCTGCTTCGCGCGGTTGCAGTCTGTGTGGAAAATATTAGGTGCCGCTTGCAACAATCGCACAGAGAGAAGTGCGGGTGGTGTGAGAATGGACGGAGTTGTGGGGCCGACGTAGTTGTTAGCAGTCGGGCTCACATAAACGTGGTACATCTGTTAGTTGCCCTTGTTGTCAGTTTTCACTTTTTTTGGCGAGTTACTGACGATTAGATAAGCTCCGTTTTTTTTTTTTAAACCATTGTGCCCCGCCGTGGACGACATGCCCCCGTCGTGGGAAGAATCCCCTGGACTCGTTCACTTTTTGACAATATTCAGTGTATCATCTCATATAACGCTATTCCTCTGACTATTTTGCAATCCAATCAACCACAAGATTCACAGAAAATAACAATCTCAACCCATCCTCCCAGAGAATCATCCACAGAACCATTGCGACACCGTCTTGAACTTCGTGACCCCTCCATAGAGCCCTTCACCCACGCCTCTTGTTCCTCCACAACCACCACACCCCTCCGCGTCCTCACGCCATGCCCTCCCCCGGCAAGACGTCCTGGACGGCCCTCGGCTGCGAGGGCTCCGCCAACAAGCTCGGCATCGGCGTGGTGCGGCACACGGGCGCTCACGACACCACCATCCTCTCCAACCTGCGCGACACCTTCAACGCGCCGCCCGGCGCGGGCTTTCTCCCCAAAGACACGGCGACGCACCACCGGCGCGAGTTCGTCGCGCTCGTGCGGCGGGCCCTCGCCGCAGCCGGCATCACTGACCCGCGCACACAGCTCGACTGCGTCTGCTTCACGCAGGGCCCGGGCATGGGCGCGCCGCTCACGTCCGTCGCCGTCGGCGCGCGCACGCTCGCGCTGCTCTGGGGCCTGCCGCTCGTCGGTGTCAATCACTGCGTCGGGCACATTGAAATGGGCCGCACCATTACCGGCGCCGACAACCCCGTCGTGCTCTACGTCTCCGGCGGCAACTCGCAAGTCATTGCGTACGCCGAGCAGCGGTACCGCATCTTTGGCGAGACGCTCGACATTGCCGTCGGAAACTGCCTGGATCGCTTCGCGCGCACGCTCGCCATCAGCAACGACCCGGCGCCGGGGTACAACATCGAGCAGATGGCCAAGCGGGGCACCAAGCTGCTCGACCTACCATATACCGTCAAGGGCATGGACTGCTCCTTTTCCGGCATCCTGGCCGCGGTTGATGCGCTTGCTGCGCAGGTCAAGGCGGGTACGGCGGATTTCACGGCCGAGGACTTGTGCTTTTCGCTGCAAGAGACCGTGTATGCCATGCTCGTGGAGATTACGGAGCGCGCCATGGCGCACGTCGGCTCGCGGCAGGTGCTCATTGTTGGCGGCGTCGGGTGTAACGAGCGCCTGCAGGCCATGATGGGCCAGATGGCGGCGGAGCGCGGCGGTAGCGTGTTTGCGACGGACGAGCGCTTCTGCATCGACAATGGCATCATGATTGCGCACGCAGGGCTGCTCGCGTACCGGGAGGGCTTCGAGACGCCGCTGGCCGAGAGTCAGTGCACGCAGCGTTTCCGGACGGACGACGTTTTTGTCAAGTGGAGAGACTAGGAGATAAGTACGGAAGGATGAGTCGAAATGGAATGAAGAATGAAAAGGGCATGGAACACGGCACGGGCACATAAATAGCGACTGATTTCGAATATATACGCGTACGATTTGCATTGTAAGATTTGACCCATGAAAAACATGTCAACATGACCAATTCTATCTCAAAACAAGCCCGAAGTCTGCGCCATTAATACGATGCTGGAAACAAAAATATGCGAAGCACAACGATTGCTGCACTCAGCCTTCATCCGCCGATGTAGGTTTGTATACTATCGTCGTCACATACTACGTCATGTTAGAGACTTTGTCCCCGGCGGGAAAGCAACACAAAGCACGTACCTTGCCGCGATATCTCGTCGTCGCGCAGACTGCCAGAACGTTATTCTTGATGCTGCTCGTGGCGAGATGATTCAGCACTGTGTGGTTGGGCATGTTGAGCACACTATTGTCGTCCTTCATGAGTGTCGCCGCGTTGAGGATGGGCTTGCTGAGGAAACCGGGAAGGCTGGGCGGCGTGGGCAGCTTCTCGATGGCGCCGACGGCACTCTGGTACGCGGGCGACTCCTCGGTCTGGTCAAAGTCGACGAGGTACTGGGGGATTTGGCGGCGGTAGCTATCGCGTGGCGGTATGGCCTTGTACCGGGTGGGCACGGGCTGCGGGACTTCCTCGACCGAGGAGGAGGCGACGCCGCCGTTGCCGCCGCCGGCGAGGACGGAGCCGGCGGTCACAGTCCGGACCTGCCCGTCGGGACCGGGCGCCGCCAGCTCGATCGGCTGCTGGCCGGCCATTTCGGCGCTGACTTCAATGTAATTGACCAAGTTGTTGCCAAAATCGACCGTGGTCGGCAGGTCAGGTGACGTTTTCATGATGGTGTCCACAACAAAGCGGACGTGGTGGGTGCCCGGGAGCACGTAGATGATGCCGGCAAAGCAGCCTGGCTTGCCCTCGCTGCGTGGGAGAAGAGGCGATTAGTCGTGGGGGACATAGACCTGCCATCGCAATTGCGTACTTACACGGGATGTAGACGCTGTTTTCTGCTCCATTGGAAAATGGTACCCGTCACGTAGACCTTGTCACCGCCGCCGTTCCATTCGATTCGCGTGGGCACGACAGGGCGCGATCGGTCGACACGGAGCTCATGCGAGTCTTCGTCGTCGAAGGTGGCCTGGCTAACGCCGGAGCTCTTTCTGGTCAGACCATCCGACAACTCGTGCTCCATCTCCGGGATGCTGCCGCCTGGTGCCAACTCGTCGGCGCCGAGGATCGGCGAACCGGGCGTGTGCACCTCTTCCTCAATCGGCAGCGGTAGGCGAGGCGGGCGAGCATTATACATGTCGGTGATGCTGCTGCTGGCAATAAGGTGCGCGTCGGCCATTTCGGAGTCGGTGCGGTTGATGCCCGGGGTGCGGGAGAGTGTGCCACCGCCGCCGGGGACGTTGAGGGGTTTGGAGGGCTCGGCGATGGGTATGGGCGCGGCAGCGGTAGGCTCAGCCTCGGTCAGCGGCGGCTGCTGGGGGACAAAGAAGGGGAGGTTGTGCGGCGAGGCGCCGCCAAGGGTGGGCGGTAGGGTCGAGCTGGCGGCTGAGATGCCCCTGGGCCGTGAGGCAATCGATGTTGAGCCCTGGGCCTGGGCGAGCGAGGGCTCGGGAGGGGCAGCGGCAGAGCGGTGTGTGGCGTGGGCGGGGAGTATGTTGCGCGTCGATGACGATGCCGACGACGAGTCCTTGCTGGTGCGGGACGAGGCGACGGCGCCGATATGTCGTGCAGCGGAGGGGGCGGCGTCGTGGGAGGAGAGGGCGGGCAGCGAGGACGGCGGCGTGGCCGACTTGGAACCCGATGACTGGTTGTTCCCCATGGTGGGCGGCGGCCTAACGAGAGAGGGAGATGTGACCTGACAGAAAAAAAAAGCAACACAACCGCGTCGACGGGGAGGGGGGCCGGGCGCTCTCTTTGCGAGGGGGGCGGGGAAGAAGAAAGGGGTTTCCGAGAATATCGAAACAGTTGCCTCCCAGTGGATGGGGACCAATGGAGGAGGCTTTGTGTGAGGGAGGCTCTGATGATTTCGCGATGGGCTGAGAGGGCTGGGATGGCGTGAGACGATGGTGTCAAGGCGGCGCGGAGCGAGAGAACGGGTAGAAGGGGTTGGTGGTGGTTGAGAGTTGGCGGGGTTTTTTTGGCCTCCACGCCCGCCCCGATAGGCCACCAGCGATAGGCAACGATAGGCAGCGATAGGCAGCGATAGGCAGGTACCTATATATACCGAGGGATGCGGAGGTCGTGGGTACAAGATATCTACCCCTGGCGATTGCAATAATTTAGGAAGGACTTAATGGTCTAATATGTCTAATATTGGTCTATTGACATTGAACATCGACAGGATTGGCCATGATGCTGCTGCGGAAGCCTGTCGCTCCCAATTGACTTTGAAGCTTCCCCTCGCAGAGTCTCGGTCGTCAGGCGGAAACCGCGTCACGATTCAATACGCCCGCTTTATCGACGGGTTTGCGTAGATGGAGGAGCTGTGCAGCAATGAAGAAAGAGGGCGGAACCGATGAACTAGTCATATAAGTAATAAGTGTAGGTCGGAGTCGACAAAGAGCTGAATAATATTGTGGTGGAGGGAAGCTCCGTAGCGCATCGCCTAAAACAGCCAAGCGGCGATGGAAGCTTTCTGGGCTTTCTGGGGCACTTGACATGAGGAACTTGCCGGTGTTCCTACAATCTCTTTCCTCTACGGTAAATTTATTGAAAACTCGTTGACTCTCTATATTGCTTCGAATTGGGCTGGCTCAATAGTATTACTGCAAAGAAAAAAATTACTTGAAATGATTCGTCAGACCACAGGCCAAAATATCCTCTTTGGCCCACACCCCTGTCCCTCCACTTGCATCACATGCAGCTTCCAGCTTCCCGCGACGATACTTATCCCCAGCATCAACCACACTACACGCAACCATGGCCGAGGTAAGCTCCGCCGGCGCCCCCTCCGCCATCCTCGACATCGTACTCTCCGTCGCCCGCTCCCTCTGGTCCGTCCAGTGGGGCCGGCACCTCGCCGGCGTCGCGCGCCTCATCGCCCTGCCGCTGTCCCTCATCACCGTGCCGCTGTCCTGGGTCGCCTCGGCGATTCTCGTCGTCTCTGCGCCGCTCCTCTACCTGCTCGGCTTGCTCGCCGCTTCCGCTCAGAGCACATACTCTCTGCTCGCCAGTCTCAAAGTTCGTTTTGGCCCCTCTTGTATTCGCGCGTCGCAGATTGCTGACTGTTTGGTGCCTTATTAGCCTCTGTATAGCTTCGTGAGTCCCCTCCAACACTGATTGATTGGAAGCACACAAGAGAATAGTGGGCCGGTGATGAAGGGCTAACAAGAAATAGCTATCTGCTGCCGCGGGCATCGGCATCGTGGCTGGTGTTGTCCTCGGCGCCACGTCGTCCGTCATCACGTCCCACCTCGGTATGCAGGACCGCGACGAGGGTCGCTACGATCGCGACCGCGACCGCGACTCCATTGACTACTACGACGAAGGCGATGACGACGAGAGGGACTACCTGTACGATAGCGACAACTACCATCTCAGCCCGCCGTCCTACCAAAAACCCAGTGACCGCGATGTCGGGCCGAAGCGGCGCGTGGCCCACGGTCTGCTCTCACAAACGATTCACGAAGAAGACGATTCATCCGGCGGCTAAGGCCCTTTTTCGCACCTGCTTCTCTTGATGCGTCAACTATTGACGAATTTTCGCTTCGTTTTGCTCCACGCCCGTCGACCTTGCCCTTTAGCGACTATATGATACCCAACTACCTGGTAACCTTCTATCTACAAAGGCAAGGAATCGCTTGATAGTCACAAGTGGCTTTTCGACCCCGCCCTTTCTTATATAATTATGTTGAAAAAAACCAACCATTCTGATCTGAGACGTTTGTCCTTGGCCCTTTCAGACTTCTCATTCTCTACCTAGGCGAAAAAGACAACCAACACATACAAACCCTATATGGTCTGGGATATATTATGTCCCTCGTCAGTTGTGCATCGCCAACCTCAACAAAAGGCGAGTGTCTTTGAACCGTCTACTTCGGTTGGACCTTCTCCACCTGCTTCGATGGCCGGACCCTGTCCTACTTTGGATTCGCTCGGCTCCTTCCTAAGCTTTCTGCCTTTCCCGGTTCCTTTCATTGACTTCGTCATCTTAAAAAGGGATCGTCACCCTGGTTCTATCGTCGGTACATGTCGCGCTCACGATCACGATGATCGCGTCGCTCCATCCCGGGAGACCTACTTCTGCTAGTCCGGTGGTCTCTGTCGCGGTCTGGCCGGCGGTCTTCCCGGGGTGCGCGCCGGTCATCGCGTGGCGGTCGGTCGTCTCTACGTCGTCCGCCATCATCCCGCCCATAGCTGGGGATATATGAATCCATGTCTGCGGCGACCCTCTGCCCCCCTGGGACGCCGCTTGGGCGGTTTCTGGGTGGCGCCCGATCACGGGCCCGGTACTCCTCCTCCCGCCCTCCTCTATCGGGAGGAGGGCCGCGACCTGGTGGTTGTGGCCCGCGCTCGCGCTGCCAAGCCGGTCTTCTATGCTCGTCCGCGCCACGAAATCGACCATTGGCCGTGCCGTTTCTACCATAGCCATCACCGCTGCTGAAGCCCGCCGTCGCTCCGTTGGCGTCTGGCCCAATGCCGACTGTGCCGCCCTTGGGGGCGGGTGGGAGAGCTGCCTTGCGATCCTGAAACTTTCTGCGATCTAGCTCGTGGCTTTCTTCGTATGTGGGAATATCGCGTGGCTCCATTGGTAACGGGGCCATCTTGAAGTATGAATGCTCCAGTGCATCCACAGCATTGATGCGAGTTCTCCAGTCTAGCTTCATTAGCTCTTTAATCAATGATATCGCGCCACTTCCAAATCTGACGACTAATGGTTAGCATTTAGCCTGGGCTGTGTACAGATGGATTGACACACTCTCTGAAGCGATTCTGAAGATTACCGGGACGTGGGCGTGGCGATAAATGTTCACCACCAGGTAAACTCTTCCAGCCAGGCATGTTTTCCTCTGTCGGCGAGCCAAGCAGGTCCCAAATAATGTCGAGCTGATGACTGTCGCTATCACCCGTCAGAATCGGTTTACCGATAAGCATCTCTCCAAACACACAGCTGAGCCATGTTAGCAGACGTCGTCGATCTTTGTAGCTTTCTTGCTTACCCAACACCCCAGACGTCGATAGCCGTTGTGTACTGGCGCAACTGCAATAGCAGCTCCGGAGGACGATACCATCTGGTCACGACAAGACCGGTGTAGTCTCGACGGCCGTCTCCCATTGGCCGACCCGGCTGCGGTGTTTTGCCGTCGTAATGCCTCGCAAGACCAAAGTCGGCAATTTGAAGATTGCCGGTATTACTGATGAGCAAGTTGGCTGCCTTCATATCTCGATGCAAAATATGCTGGTCGTGGAGATAACCCAGGCCTTGCAGAAGTTGAAGCATATAACACTTGATCTGGCCCTCTTTGAAGTGTACAGCGGGGTTGTCGAGCAACCCAGAGAGATCGTGGTCCATGTACGGTGTGACTGTGTACATGATGTACTTTTTCCGTTTGTCGGCTGGTCAAATCGTTAGCTGAGTTAAGCAACGGGACGAGGCACGTCGAAACGTACAGGGCCGTGATGGATGCTCTACCGCCATATCTTCGAGCCGGAGGACATTGACGTGGTTGAGAAGTTTGAGGAGTTTGATTTCTCGTAGCGCAGTGATGGGGAACTAATCCTTGTCAGAATCTCAATTCGGAATCGAGAGGTATTTAAAATGCCTCCATACACCATCCTTTTCGTTGTGCATTATGATTTTTTTCAAGGCGACGATTGCGCCCGTCTTCTTTGATCGAGCTCGGTGAACCTCACTGTTGGCTTGGTCAGCAAAGCGCGCCCACTGCCGCGTCTTAAGGGCTAATCCTCACCCAAAGGTACCTTCTCCGAGTTTTCCTTGTAGCTCATAGTCTCCGATGCGGGAGCAGCCGCGAAAGCTCATTTTGGGCCGCTGGTGGGTGATGGCAAAAGAGCGAGGAGACACGCCATTTGGAGCGTAATCCATGGTCACGAGCAGGCGCCGGGAGGTGACGTGGCACGGATTTGAATAGGAGGACGAGAGATTCGAGCGGATGGTTGTAACGTGACGATGTCGAGCAAAGAGCGAGGCATAGGTCGCGACAAGGGTTTGTCAAACTCTGGCACTTGGCCAGGACGAAACTTCGAGCGTGTGCGGGCAGCGCTGAGAGGAATTTTGCAAATGGTGCGAAAAGAAGACAAAAAAACTAGACGCAGCGCGTATGGTACCGAGATGGCGCTTTGCAGGATGTGCAGACTGCGTGTTGATGGGCGACAAGGAGCGACTGGGAATGGCTGGTGTTGTGATGGTTGATGTGTAGATGGGTACCAAGTACCTAGGTACAGTCGGTCACCATAAGTTCCGTTCGGCCCCAATTTTTTCAAAGTCGCACCTATCCATAGCCTAGCTATCTAATTTTATAATTACTATAATATTTATATTTCTAGATAAAATAAATTTATAAAATTTATATATATAATAACTTATACTATTTTCCTAATACTACTTTTTAATACTTTATATATGTGATTATTAGTGGACAACCTTGAGCATGAAAATGTCCAAAAGACAGAGATGTATCCCAATATTAGTAAATTGACAAGCCGGCAGGCTCTTGATCGTCGCCGCTTTTACTTTTAGGAGTAATAACGTATCTTTGGTGTAGAAGCGGCTTTTAAGAGTTGGAAACACGTAGGACTATGTGTCTCCGATGTAGGCAGGGCGTCCTGCTTTTCATACCTAGTCTAACATGGTAATTGGCTTGCAGCTCGTGTCACTGCGATGGTAGAAGGCGTAGTCAGACCTGGAGCGGGGAATGTATCATGAGGAAGACAACAAAATAAGAGCCCATTTAATTTGTTCTTTGTAGGTACGCAGCTTCGCACCAAACACGCTTACCTAAACGGAGCCGTCATTTAGCAGCCGCCAGCTGTCAACGGCCCAACCTGCATCGCCAAAACGTCGAAAACATTCAGCCGCCTCTCCAGGTCATATCGCAACAGTCCTTACAAGATTCCCATCGCCGGACTCTGATTCTATCCATCCCATTTTGCGCTCCACGGCCCGCACGCGCCCCAGGCTCGCGCCATCGCCCCTCTGACCAAAGCCATCGAGATTTTATTAGTGCCACCAAATCATAGTTTTTTTTTTTTTTTTCGCAGCGAGTGGGCTATTACAAATGGATACCGGCGGCTTTCCGACCATAATGCTTGTAGTACGGCAACGTCCTACACTGTCAGAGAGTTTCGACGCTGGATGGATCTCTATTCGTCCGAGTCCGACATCGCTCTACACCAAAGCGATCCTATCCATTTCCCGTTCATTATGAGTTCATTATGAGCGGCACATCCCACATCCACAGCACCCCCACCAAGTTACACAGCAGTATTCTTACTGCATCATCTTGACGCTGCTCATCAGCCCGATCTCTGCGTGCCACCTCAGCTTGCCTCAGTTTTTGCCATTTTGTCGCCGACAACGTCCCTGTGCCTACTCGGCAATTCCACGACGCCCGGTATTCACAATGTCTCCGGCTACCGTCCTCCCGCCTGCTGGCCAGCAGCCCGGCCCCGTCGCCACCGGCACCGTCCTCCCGCCTGCTGGCCAGCAGCCCGGCCCCGTCGCCACCGGCCTCCCCGAGTCCCGCGTTCTCATCATCGGCACCGGCGGCACGATTTGCATGCAGGAGGGCCCCGACGGTCTGCAGCCCAGCGGCAACTTTCTCGAGAGCGCCATGGCGCCTCGTCCTACCTTCAATGACCAATCCGGACCGCATGGTGAGTTTTCTCTGTATGCTCTGTTGAGTTGCCGGCCCGCTAACAAACCCCGTAATAGTAACTATGCAGGCTAGCTTCAAGGGCAAGCCCATCTCTATCGACAGTCTACGCACGCCACCGACCGCCTATGGTCGACATATTCGATATGGCATTGTTGAGTTTGATCCGCTACTCGACTCTAGCTCCATTTCGTCCAACGACTGGGATGCCATGGCCGAGTGTGTAGCTGAAAACTACAACCTCTTTGACGGCTTCGTTATCCTCCATGGTACCGACTCGCTGTCTTATACAGCCTCTGCGCTTTCTTTCATGTTGTCCAACCTGGGCAAGCCTGTCATTCTCACAGGCTCCCAGGCGCCGATTTTTGCTCTCCAGTCCGACGCGGTCGGCAATCTGCTGGGGTCTCTGATCATTGCAGGTACTTTTGTCATCCCCGAAGTCTGTCTGTTCTTCCACAATCGCCTTTACCGCGGCAACCGCACCACAAAGGTTTCGGCAGCCTCTTTCCAGGCCTTTGACAGTCCCAACTTCGAACCCCTAGCCCAGGTCAACGGTCTTGGAGTAAGCGTCAATTGGAACCTTGCCCAACGCGCCACTTCCATTGCTCCCTTCTCCATTTCCAAGCGACTTGACACGACCCACGTAGCTTGTTTGCGCGTCTTCCCCGGCATCAAGCCGGAAATGGTTGACGCCGTCCTGCATCTGCCTGACATCCGTGGCCTAATTCTGGAAACGTTTGGTATGGGCAACGTGCCCGGTGGTGTTGATGGCAGTCTGACCCAGGTCATCAAGTCGGCCGTTCAACGCGGTGTCATTGTTGTCAATGTCAGTCAGTGTGTGAACGGCTTCGTATCCCCAGTGTATGCTCCAGGTACCCAGCTTGGCCGCGCTGGTGTCATCTTCGGGTTGGATTTGACTGCCGAAGCTGCCCTTGCCAAACTGTCATACCTCTTATCTCTGGGAATCACGAATGAAGAAATCTCAGCGCTCTTTCCCAAGTCTCTCCGTGGAGAGGTAACCGAGATTGCCCATCCTATCTTCAGTCATCCATCTGCACCGCTTCAGAACCCCGCCTCGCGTCTCACGGATATCGAGTCTGCTTTTACGGCCTTGGGATACGCCATCCAAAATGGCCAACTTGGCGTCGTCAAGGATCTCCTCAAGGGTGAGGGTAGTCAGCTCCTCAAGACGGCCGACTATGCAGGCAACACAGCCGTCCATCTTGCTGCTGTGTCTGGTGAAACTGATATCATGCTCGAGCTGCTTCAGCGAGGCGCCAGCGTCCACGAGCGCAACCGCGCTGCCAATTCACCACTGTTCCTGGCCACCCTCTCCGGCAAGGATGAATGCGCACAGCTGCTTAAAGCCGCAGGCGCCCACCTTTCTGTCGAAGAGGTCGAGAGACAACCCCTTGCCACGGCTCCGCGTAAGGAGTAATTTGACTTGCAAGCAACCTGCACCAGAGAAGGTACATCAAGGTTGCTGCGCGGACGTTTCTAGATAAAAACGAATTAAATAACTATATCACGGCATATCTTATGAAATTAATTATATATATGAAATGCCTGTTTTATCCAACTTTGGGTGACAACAAAAGTACAGCCTAAAAGTTCTGGTGACGCGATTGACATGGATGGGTAGAAGCAAATTGAAGCGTACCTCCAGTATCCAATAGTTCAAATAGTTATGAGATATGGTCATGATATTGGCCAGCCCCTGGTGAAAAGGAATACTTTATGCATTAAGGTACCCCAGTCCAGTGCATATGCAGGCAAAACCAGTATTGGCCGCTATATTCATCACACCATATGGACAGATAGTGGCTGCCTCGGTATCTGAAGCTAGCTGTAGGAGCAAGGCCAGCAGCCGCTCTATTTGAGTTGTCCTTGCATAATATACTCATGCCCCTTGAACGTCGACGTCCAGACGAGGCACGCGAGCAGCACGCTCAAGGCGCCGGCCAGGCCCGAGCCGGAAGACCCGTCAGCATGATGCCGCGCGACAGCTGCGGGAGGAAAATCTCCCCTCTTTTTTTTTTTTTTTTGAGAAACTGTGCGCGGAAATTGTGTCGGACGGTGGTATGGCCGGCCGGCGATGAGTTGGCGCTGAGTTTGCTGATGGTTCGGGTCTTACCAGGTTCTTGCGCCTCCTCCATACCAGTCGCGGTGGCTCGAGCAGTCCTGAAGTGCGCGACTTGCAGAATTGACGATATCGAATGACGGGTTATACTCGAAATCACTCAATTCAATACCGTCCCTTGGATTGGATCAAGCCAACAACGCGTGTATAGCAAAGTTCACCTCAGCTACATTCCCGCACACCAAAGCGCCGGTCTCATTGATATCCCCAACCGCTCTCCCCAAAACATCCGACCCGTCGGCGGCATCCACCGCCTTGCCGCCCGCGCACTCGACAACCATGGCCACTGGGGCAGAGCTCAAACAGCCTGCGCAGCCTGGCGCGGCTGCCCGATGACACGGGGCGAGACGTAGATGCCGTGGGCCCTTGACCATGGCATGCACCAGGTCGGGGGCACCAACCCGCCGCTGTAGCGCAGCGTGTAGCGCTCCGTGATGTAGTGCTGCACGAGCGCCATGTACGCGGGCGACTCGGACGCGGCGCGCAGGTTCGCCGGCGCGAAGAACCTCGTCCTGACCCCGTCGCGGTAGCGCTGCACAATAGGAAAAGGGCCTACTTTACGCGAGGTTGCAGATGACACGGTATGACGCGGGGCAAGTGAGAACAGTGGTGCAACGTTGTTATGCGAGGTGTGACCTGCGCAACCCCTCAGACCGCAATCTCATCTACTAAACCGGTAATAATATAGTCTACTAAAACGAGGGCGGTGGCTTCGGCTCCTATATCGGATCTGCGTCGGAGTGGTGTGGTGTGGCCCCCTGCTGTTGTAAGAATAATACATCTACGGATATAGAAAGACATGGCCCCATTTCCGGGGGTTGGTACGATGTCTTACTATCCCAGTCACGTATTATATATCCGAATAAGCCAACTACATAGCAGTGTGCCTCGACAGTAGTTAGCCGAGCGCGAACAGACACTGCATACATGAGGCCAATCAACTCTTGCCTGTGCGAGTATCTCGGTAAGACAATGTATACGTGCAATCGGCTGTGCAACGCAAATCAGACGCTCCATGATTTCGCCTGCCCAAAAAACCAGCTCACCAAAATCCTTCTGACTTGACTGTTGCCGATGGCCAAAGCCGAGAATGCATACATGTCAGTCGCCCCTCCATGCCCCCGCCCCGCCCGGCGCCCAGCGGGCTCGGAGCGCCGAGATTATGTCGAAATCGGGTATTCGGAAACAAGTCAAGGGGAGTAACTAGCAAGAGTATTAATAATGAGATCGCACTTGATATAAAGCGGTGCCTGTCGTTCTTGGCAAAGACTGGGGGGTCACTCTTCTGCCAGTTGCTTTCTCTCACACTGGTCTCCCAAAGACGCAACTCGAGTCAAAGTCCTATAGTAGCGAGGGCAGCGAGGAGGGGGCGATAGCAAACAAAAAGTGAGACCCTTTTTTTTGGTGGTTCATCGCTTTGTATTCATTCCACAAGTGTGGGCTTACTTGACTGCGGCGACAAACAAGTTGAAGAAGGGCTGTGAATGAAGCGGCAAAGTGCAGCAAGTCTTTTTCAATTTTCAGCTCTCGTCTCATCCCGTGCATCCTCAAGGGGAAAAAAACACACACAAACACACACAAGAATACAGCAAAACCCTCTTGATCAAAAGGACCTCGACTTTCTTGCGGCGACACAGAGCGGGTTTTGTCCTGCACAGTGTTTGATAGCGACATCCAACAGGCCGTCCTTTAAAAGCGAGCCCAGCATCACAAGACCATTGACAGTTTTGCAAACTGATTCATCACATTTTTCTGATTTTCCTTGCCCGCAACACTCAAACACCACAGGTGAGCAGACAGACACACAGACAAACCATCATGGAGAGGCCCGCCAAGACACCTGCCATCGTCGCCGAAACAGACAACAACGCAAGCAGCAGCTGGTATGACGGCACAGACGCCGACGCTGCCTCGCGGAAGCGCGTGTCGTTGTCGGGCGGCGAGGAGAGCCACGATAATAAGCCGCAAGAGCCGCCGCTCTCCCGTGCCAAGGCCATCGCTCTTGTCCTCACCCTGACGGGAGCCGCCTTCATCAATGTACGAAACAAAACACTCAATTCCTCTTGCCACGAGATCAAACCCGCATCTTGCATCTGGCCATGTCTGAAGAGGAAGCGCCGTCTAACCGTGATACCCATCCTGTAGACCCTCTCCGCGCAGAGCGTCGTCATCATCCTCCCCGCCATCGGCAAGACGCTCGACGTCCCCGACAGCAGGCTGCAGTGGATCATATCTGCCTACTCGCTCTCCTTTGGCTGCTTCCTGCTGCTCTGGGGCCGCATCGCCGACATTTTTGGCAAGCGCTTCATTTTCATTGCCGGCTCCGTCTGGGTCACCATTGCCACGGCCGTCAATCCCATCATGCCCAACGAGATTGCCTTTGACCTGTTTCGCGGGCTGCACGGACTGGTAAGCCCATTTTTGCTCTCCTTGAAATGCGTATAATCGGGGCGATATACCCCGACTGACTTTTGCTAGGGCGCGGCCGCCAATGTGCCCACGGCGATTGGTATCCTTGGTGTCACGTTTGCACCAGGCAAGGCGAAAAACTATGCATTTGCCGCATATGGTACGCCCATACCCCCCCAACCCCCCCTTCAAACCAAACAACTCACGTCGTTCACGAAAACACCGCAGGAGCCGGCGCCCCGCTCGGAAGCATCTTTGGCAGCATCCTCTCGGGCGTCATCGCCCAGTACGCCAGCTGGAAGTGGGTGTTTGGCTGCACGTCCATCATGGCGGCCGCCATCTCCGTCGCCGGCTTCATCCTCATCCCGCCGGCCGCCGAGCCACCCAAGCTCGCTGCCAATGCGAGCATCGCAGCGCGCCTCCGCCTCGTCGACTGGGCTGGCGGCGCGCTCATCACCGTCGCCCTCGTCGCCCTGCTCTTCGCGCTGACAGAGGGCAACGTCGTCGGCTGGCACACGGGCTGGGTCTACGGGCTGCTGGTCGTCGCCGCGCTGCTCATGGTCGCCTTCTACTTTTGGCAGCGCCACCTCGAAACCAGGCCGGCCGCCGCCGGCCGGCCCCCGCTCATCAAGGTCAGCATGTTCGGCAACCGCCAGTTCCTGGCCGTCATGGCCATCATGGGCCTCTTCTTCGCGTCTTTCAACAACTTTCTCGTCTTCGCCACGTACTACTACCAAACCTACCTCGGCTACGACCCGCTGCAGACCATGCTGCGCTTCCTGCCCACTGGCGTCGGCGGCATATGCGTGTCCTTTGCCGTCGCGTTCCTGCTCAGCCGCGTGCCGACGGCGTTTATGCTCGTTGCCGGCACGCTGGCCGTGTCCGTCGCGAGCCTGCTCTTCGCCGTCCCCATCCCCACCACCACCACGTACTTTGCCTGGGGCATGTGGGCGATGCTGCTGTCCGTCGTCGGCGCCGACCTGACCTGGCCCTGCCTCACCTTCTTCACCTCGCAGGCCCTGCCGGCCGAGGACCAGGCCGTCGGCGGCGCGCTCATCAACGCCGTCAGTCAGCTGGGCCGCGCGATTGGCATCGCGCTTGCGACGGCCATCCAGACGGCCGTGCTGGCCCGCCGCCGGGGCGTGTCGGTGGAAAGCGTCGGACCGCTCACCGAGATGGACAACCCGTCGCTGGCGAGCATCCGGATCGCGAGCTGGTTCAACTTTGCGCTAGGCATCGCGTCCATGGTCATCGTGTGCGTCGCCTTTCGCAAGATGGAGGTTATTGGCAGGATCGCGCCCAAGCCGGCGGCCGCGGACGTCGAGGGAGGCGTCAAGACCGGATAAGTATTAGGCTTCTATTATAGGCTTATAAGTAGGGGGGGGGTAATATACAGCTTATAAATTATTCGGTTATGGAAAATAAGCTGCTAACAAGATAAAGGGAACAAATTATTAACTTAGTACTAAAAAATAATAATAAAGATTTATTATTACAACTAGCTAGGATACTTCTATAAAATAGTTCTTTAATAATTCTTATATTAGGGACTTTTCAAGGAACTTATTATAAAATATTTTATAATTATATTCTATACTTGAATACTTGATAAATTTATACTATTCTTTCTCTAATAAAAAATGGTATCGTTTTCTTAATTTATGCTATGCCTAAGAAATAAACCTTCTTATCCTCTTTCTCGTACTGCTACTATCCACTGTTTCCTCAGCATCATGGCTCGCATACACCTCTATCGTCTCCTCTACCCCCCCCAAAAACCTATCCTTCTCTTCTTCTTCCTCTTCCTCTACCCCCTGCAGCTCCTGCCCATCATACTCCTGAGCCAGGATCCTCAAGTTCAGCCTCACCGTCGGGTCCTGCTCCAACTCCTGCCACAGCTCCAGATCCCACTCCTCCACATTCTCACTCAGCCCGGGCCTTCGCCACGGCGGCCACTTCCACACGCCAGCAAGAACAAGATGCCGCTTGACCACCTTGAGCGTGAGCTCCATCAGACCCAGTACGCCGAGCACGGCAAACAGCGTCGCCCACCAGGCAGCGTCCGGTCCCCACTTGTTCCGGAAGCTGAACTTGATGTCGTACGGGCCCGACGGGGACGCCGCAAAGATAAAGTCGAGAAACGACAGCCACGCGAACCAGCCGATGGTAGTGACGAAGAAGGACCCCATGACAATGACCGACTTGTAGTGCGTCTCGAAGAGAAACAGCTTCCAGTTGATCCACAGCACGCCCGTGGTAAACATGAGCGTGCCGAGCGCGTACAAGCCCTCGTCTTTGGCGCCCGGCGACACCCAGCCGTAGCCGGCCCACACGCCGTACCACGCCATAACGCCCTCAACCGCCGCGAGCAGCATCCAGCGGCCGTATTTCCACGCGTTAAGGCCCATGTCGCGCTGGCCGTACACGTACAGCTCTGGAATAGCCAGCAGCGTCTCCGCGCGCAAGTCCTGCTCCCAGATGCCCATGCAAATCGTGCACAGACTAGTAAACAGGGTGTTGAAGACCGTCAGGCTAGTAGCCTCGTACAGTGATGTCCCCGTGTAGCCATTGTATCGCTGGTAGATGGCCTGCGGCAGGTAGAAAAACATCTCCTTCCAAAATGTGCACAGGATAAACTTGGCGGTGCGCAAATAGTTCCAGCGCCCGTGGACGAGCAGTAGCCGCTGCAGAAAGCGGAATTGCGCAATTGAGTAGTCGGCAACGCGCGCCGCCTGCAGGCCCTCACGGCCCGAGATGCCAATACCCACATGACTGGCCTGGATCATGGCGAGGTCGTTGGCGCCGTCACCAATGGCTAGGGTCAGGCCGTTGCGGCGCGTGAGGCTAAACTTGCTGAGGCGGTTGCGCACAGTGTCCACGAGCAGTGCCTTTTGCGCGGGCGAGGCGCGGCAGCAAATGACCGTGTCAACCTTGAGCATGATCTCGAAAAACAGTTCTGACAGGGTCGGCGACTTTTCGGCGACGCCGAGCGTGTGCCCGTCAATAACCACGACGCTGTGGAGAGCGCCGGCCTGTAGGTCCTCAGTAAGGGCCATGAGCTGGAATTCGAGGGCGCCCTTGGCAACGTCTAAAATGTAAATGTCCGAGCCGGGGCGGATAAGTCGTGCCGAGTGAGCAATGTTGATTGCAGTCTCTCGTTTATCGCCAGTGAGCATCCAGATCTTGATGTTGGCTCGACGGAGCTTCTCAATCGTCTCGGGGACGCCCTTCTGTAGCTTGTCTTCAATGGCACTGGCTCCAACTAGAGACAATGCTTGCTCAAGCATGTCGCCGGCGGACTCTATCACCTCCTCTCGATTCACAAGGCTTGTCGTCGCATCCTCGTACACCTTTTTCCACGTGCGGTAATCCTGTTCGGAAATGTCTTTTTGTGCAAAAAGTAGCGTTCGGAGTCCTTCCGTGGCAAAGTCGTCGATGTGTTTGAAGCACTTGGAGAAGACTTCAGAGTCGTCGTGGATGCTGGGGTCGTCGAGAAATTTCAGTTTCTCCGGTAGCTGGGCGTGCGTATTCACGCTCGTGCGGACGTGACCGCGGTTAATGTCCATGGATAAGCCTCGCGTGGAAGATCCCGCGCGTGTGCCGTCCTCAAAGCTGCTCGCGCCTTTTCTGAGCTCGAAAGATTTGCTGCGATGCAACACTAAGCGCCGTATGGTCGATTCCGGCTTGACAATGTTATTAGTGTTGTGTCGGACAGTCAGACTGGGCCTGCCTCCGAAGCTGTTTCTCGGCTGGTGCTGTTCGCTCTGACGCTGCATTTCGTGCTCAAGATCGGCGCTGGCGCGGATTTCGGTGGCCTTTTGCATAGCGAGTGACGACTGCTTCAGGCGGGGAAGTATGACGGAATCTGCTCCCTTGCAGATGACGGTGATGCGGCCGTCGTGGCGGCGAAGCACAATAGACATGCGCTTTCGGTTGCTGCTAAATTCGATAATGTCGAGAATTTCAAAGGTCTCTCTCTTGAGTTGGCCGTTAGCCTGTGTCATCTCAACCGTAACTTGTTTTGCCGTTCGTTGAGCCACCAAGAAGCCCATTTCTTGAGCGGCGCGGACGAGCGCCAATTCGTCCGGAGACGAGGCTTGGAATTCAATCTTGCCATTGATATACTCGGGCAGACACGTATGGCATAGCGCCATGGCCAAAATGTATTGCTTGGCTTTCCTGGCAAAGGCAGAATGTGGCCGGAGCTGAATGTAGTTCAGTAAGTCGCTCGTGTTTACCTCTGGCTGGACGTGATCGGGGCGTCCGGTCGAGCGCCAGTGTGAGGACGAACGCCGGCCGCTCATGGATGGGCGAGCTCCCATGGACATGCGCGGTGAAAGAGGCTTGTTCACGTAGCCTGGGCTAAGCGGCAAGGTAGGAACCGGGTCAGACTTGTATAGCGAATGCTCTGTGCTCGAGCCCTCCAGGCTGGTAGTTGTATTCCCCTCGTCATAGAGGTCCATTTCGTGCAACCACACAGTTCCCGCGACGCTGATTTTGCGAAACTTCATGATGTTGTCCGTAAGCGTCCCCGTCTTGTCGGAAAATATGTAGCCAACTTGACCGAGGTTTTCCAATATGGTGTTGGTGTTGCATCTGGCGGGTGTGTCGGTCTCTTCGTCGTACATGCCGACGTCGGAATTGAGGAGCAACAGCTGTCCGACTTTGACGATTTCCAAGGATATATACAAGGCAAGTGGGACGACATTGTTGAACATGATGATGAAGGCAATAATGATTTGGTAAAAGGGGACGGGGGCATTTTGGAGATACCAAGCTTTTTCTTCATAGCTGTGTTGCCATTTGAGGTAGCCCATGGAGACGCCGACTGACACGATAACCACGTAAGTGGCAAGGGTAACGACGACGCAGTTGACAATCCTCTCGAGGGCGGGTTTCTTAGCAGATGGGTTCTGGTTCGAGTTCATACGAATCTTGCATTCCTCTCCCGTGTTGATGACTATGCCGACAATGGCTGCCGTGTTTCGCACGATGCTGCCCCGATAAATGACTTCATTGAGCGTGAGGGGCACAGGTTTGCCGTCGACCGATACGGATCCTTCAAAATTGAAGAGCTGCGGGTTTGGGTCCTCGACGAAGAAGCTGGCTTTGCAGTTGGCAATGCCCTCAATGGTGCCACAGCCGCTCAGCGCCGAGGACAGCTGCTTGCCCTTGAGATTGGTCTCACCGTCGAGGGCCATGGTGTCAATGTAGGCCACATCATTCTCATCAGTGGTCCAAAGGAGCACAATGTCGGCGGGTACCGGGTCGTCGCGGTTCAGCCGGACAATATCTCCAACCTTGAGGTTTCTCCAGCGGCTGGGGACCCATGTAATGCCGTCGTAGGCGTCTTCTGGCAGGATCGGAGGCAGCGCGGCGGCCGTGATGCGGAACGGGTTCCATTTCAGGGCCCAGGGAGACGGCTCAGCCTTCCTGGTGTAGTGGTTCTTGCGCCCCAAAGTCGTGGTGAAGTTGGCGTTTTCAATACTGTCGAGACGGCTTCTCCTATAGTCGTCGTAGCCCTCCTTGACAATGGTGAGCAGGACAAAGAAGAGCAGGGGCAGGATGGTGGTAAACGTTCCAGTAGTGGACAGGCCAGGAATCTGCGTCAAGGGTCGTCGGCGATTAGCGCTAAATGAACGGCTTTGGGGCCTGGGATAAGAGACAGCGCCTTACCGTTTGAGGAATGCCGACGCAGAGAAAGTAAAAGTTGCCGATGCGGGAGAATTGGAAAAAGAGCTGCTTGGGGATGAAATTCCAAAAGGTGTAGCGCGAGGTGCGAATGTCGTTTGAAATGTACGCGCGGCCGCGGCGGGTGTCGATGAGCGGCTCGGCGTGCTCGATGCTCAGGGGGACACGTCGGCCACCCTCGGGGGCTGCGATGCTCTTGCGCCGCAGCAGAGGTTCGACGGCCTTTGTATAGACCGTCTGGGCTGCGTCCTGGGCGCTGGCCAGGTAGGACGAGATAGACGCTCGCGCAGCTGGCAGACGGCGTTTCTCGACCACGGAGGCGCCGGCGGCAAGCATTGCAACGGGGGGCACTTTGCGCCGTTTGCTTCAAGGGCCGCTGCAAAGGAGCACTGCGCCGCAGAGGGGGGAGGGGGGCGGCAAGTTAATAATGTGCGAATAGCATGCCAATTGTGTGCAGGGCGGTCCCCTTAGCTGCTGTCGGGGCTGGGTGAGGATGTTGTTGTTGGTAGCGAGATGGCTGTAGGTGGTGGTTGGTAGCGCAACAACACACAATGATTGGTGGGAGGCGGCGTCAGCCAGGACTGCGCAAACCTGCGTAGGGGCAATAAAAAGTATGTAGTCGGAACTGAATAACAAACAGTGATAATGCAAGTGACCGAACCAGAGACTCGAGTCGAGAGAAGATGCTAATGAAAGGGAAGGAAGGTAAGTAGCTACGGCCTGGTTACGTGTCCTAGCAAACGGTACCCAACAGTGCCTACCTTCCAAGGATCTAGTCGATCGTGGTGGGGCATATTCACCTCTGAAAAAGGGCTCACAGAAGAAGAAGGGTGGGCAATCGGAAGAAGACCTAGGTAGGGACCGCGTGCCAGAAGCGGATGGCATCAATGGTCGGTGACAGCGAGGCGGCCTGTTGTCGCAGCTGCATTGAACGCTACATACGCCATCTCATAGGATGAGCCCAGGTATGATGAATTGAACAAGAAAGAGGCGTTCTTACAAGTGGCTTGATTGTTAACGTTAGCTATTTGAAGAGGCCTTGACAAACATGGGCTTGCCTTTGTTGTCAATTTGAGCCCAGCCGCCCCCAAAAAGTTCCCCAAGAATACTCCGTATTCAACTCCAAAAAGGAAAATACTCCCTAATTCCGGATAAAATACTAACTCTTGTGGCACAAACGTGGCGCACGTGGGGCCGCCGCACGCCTCCTGCGGCGCTATTATGCAGCGCATGACCGCGCGACCTACAGGGGGGAGCCCGCCAAAAAAAAAAAAAACGAGGCTTCCAGTGGCTGGCTGCTTTGAAAATACGAGGCTTGCTTGTCGCAACGCCGTGAGATTGTCTTCTGTAGTCTATTAATACTAGTCTCTCCTTTTTTTTTATCCTCGTGGCGTCGCCTGCCCATGATAATATGGAGAGGACAAACGCGACTCAGAATCTACAACTGCTTTTGGCCGCCCCTCACCTTGTTTCTTCTTTTTCGCCACCTATTCTCACACGCTGCTTGATGACGAAACTGCAAGGGGCCGCTCAGCCCACTGGTTCGAAAGCTTCTCAGGTGGTAGTTGGTATCATTCATTATTAGGCTCGCTCCAAGCCACCATGTCCCCGGTTATTAATGATAATAATAAAGCCAATTGCAGATTGCAGCATCATCGATTCCTGGCCGCCTAGTTAGTAATACTGAGTAGGCCCTCCTTCGACTCAATGTAGTGCTCGTGTTTGTTGGAAAGAGACAATAATAGCATGTCTTGTCAAAAATCCAAGAACCGTGGGGAAATATCAGAGTCGAAGCGATGGGAAAATATATCCACAGAATCATACATAACGCCAGTCGTATCTAAAAAGTAGTCGAAGGATGCGGCTGCATGGTGGAAATAACTATCGTTCCGTTATGCGCCACCCTTTTCCCGTTTGCTAACCATATTTTTGGGATTCCCGCGCCGAGTCTGGTAAGCTATAATTCGAATGTTACTTCACCAGTCAAGCAACATACTAATTCAAGCGCCCAGTCAATTTATAATAGTCGCTCATGTCTCTTTAAATAAGGCATGGGATAACAGCCCAAGGAAATGTAGCCGATGATAATAATACTTTTTCCCACTTCATTCGGGCGGGGAATTAAAGAAAAAGGACATCGTGCGAAGAGTCAACCACAAACCAACAAAACCAGCAGAGCAACCGCGGTTCTTCTGTGATTTGTTGCTCGTAAAGGATACGATAAAAGCCAAAAAAAAAAGCAATCAGTAAATCCAACCACTGCTCATGAGCCGTTGCTTGTCAATAAACTAAAGCTGCACCTGCGGGATGTTGTCCATGTTGCCTCCGTCATCAAGCCATTCCTTCTTGATGAGACGTTCGCGCGCTACAAACAGGTGCTTGTACGCTGTCTTGACCGTGCCGTCGCTAACGCCAGCCTGTTTGGCAATGGGGAGCGATGCCCTCGGTTCGCCCACCAGGTGGCAGGCCATGTAGATGCATGCAGCCGCCACCGACAACGGCGAGCGGCCCGCTAGTGCTGCAATATCGTTCGCCTGCTCGGCAAGCTCGCGAGAAATTTTGGAAATCTTCTGCTGCGCCTTGAAGCCAATCTGCGATACGTAGCGGCTACACAGGTCCTCAGCACCAACCGATGTATTCTCGTAGTTGGTGACGGTATTGAGGCCCGTCGCCTCACCCTCTGTGTCCTGCAGCTTTTGCAAGAAGTTTTGTAGCTGCTTAAAGACTCTGCCAACTTCCTTCTTGCTCACACTCGTCAGGTTGAAAATCTCTCGGAACGTGCGAGGTACGTTGTTCTGGCGACATGCGATGAAGATGCAGCCGGCAATCACAGCCTCTTGCGGCTTGCCCTTCATAAACTTGTACTTGTCCACAAGCTTGAAAATGTGTTTGGCGGCATTGGATACGTTCTGACCCATGTTGATAGCCTCGCATAGTGACACAATCTCCTTGTACGCTTGCATGAGGCCCCTCTGCTGCTTATCCTGGTTGGTGTTGTTTTGCACACGTAACAGGTTCTTGTGCTGACGAGACTCGGAAAAGGCAACCGACGTGGCGAGCTGCTGTCCCTCGACGAACTCATCCTGGGGGCCACCCACACGACTGGGATCATCTCCGTTCTGGTCGTCGTTGGCAAATGTACGCCATTCAGATCGCGTGTCAATGATGCGCGTGCCTACCACGACACCGCAGCTCTGGCACACCATGTCTCCGCTGGAGAATTCCTCCACCAGGTTGGGGGGAATTTCCCGACAGTCGGGACAGCAGAGAACATTATTGAGGTCCTCCTGAAACCCAGTGCCTGAGCCGTCACCGGCGGCAGGCGGTAGCATTTTGGGCTTGTACACGTGGGGCGTGTACAGATTTATAATCTCGTTAAAGACTCTGCGGGATTGCTTTGTCTCCTTGCGGCGAAGTCGTTGCTGCTGTTGCTTTCGTAGCACCGTCTTCTTGACGAGGGCAGTACTCTTATTAGACTGTATGCCAATCTCGAGCCGATTTTGCCAAAGTTTGACGAAAAGCGGTGAATGCAGCTTGGCGACTGAAGGTGCAGCTGGCAAAAGCCGATGAATAAAGGGTCGGTGTCGTCGAGAAAAAAAAGGGTAGACGGCGAAGGACAGGTAAGTGGTTTTATAACGCAGATAAATAATGCAGATGCTTGTAGCTCGAGCCGCACTGGATCACGGCGTGGAAGCGATTTAATTCTTGTTTTTTGCCGTCGATGAGGGAGTCGACGCTACGAAGGGACGGAGCTTTTCCTTTTGAACTGAATCAAAATAGCGATAAGCAGTATTCTTTTTTGAAGTTTTTTTCTAAATGAGGGCCGGTGCGCACCCAAGATGAAGCGAGTGTAAGGCGTCGCACTCTGCCAAACCGACCGTTCTGACCAGTGAAGGCGTCTGAGAGGCTCAGATCAACGAAAGTCGGCTTGAAGTGGTCGTCGCGCGGGCGCTCGATGCAAAGAACGGATTCGGACGGCACGGAGATGGCTGTTGCGATGGATGACCGACTTCTTACGGCAACGAGGACTGTCTATGGTGATGTTTGAGGAAGGAAAGAAAGGGCCTGGCTAGGCGAACGACAGGGAAGAAATGGGTTGGTAGCGCCTGTGCGATAGTGCCAGAAGGATCTATAAGGCTGAGTCAGCAGCTCCGCGGCCTCGGCGGGAGCAAGATTTAATCTGAATTTGAGGACTGAGCTGAGTGTTAGTGGATACTCCTACCATGGGCAAACTTACTATGTAGGGTGATGTCGCTCTCAACGATCTGCTCGATCTCCATATTACCACCAAACGACAGCCAATAATATTCAGACATGCTGCCCGAGTGATCCTGGAAGAAGTGCGACTGGTGTTAAAACACAGTACATCGAATCTCAACCAGACTTATTGATCATATTGATCTCATTATCTCGAGATTCATACAAGGCTTCGCTATTAATTGATTATCGACATTGGCCTCTCAACCAAGTCCTTCTCGAAACCCACCACCATCACACACCCACCCTCATCCAGTGCTACCAAAATGGCCTCACAAACACCTGCGGCTTCGGAGGACCTGTGTCCGGTCGATATCAAGCCGCTTCTGGCCAAGATGTGGCCTAACGACAACCGGGTGACGGCAGATGAGATCGCGGAAGCCGTGTCGCACTTTTTCACAAACCAAGTCACCCCTGCGCAGACAGCCTCGCTACTCATGGCCTTGCACTTTACGCAGATGGACTTCCAGCCCGAGGTTCTCGCCAAGTGCGCAGCCGCCATGCTCAAAGCCGCGGCGCCCATCCCGGTCGACGACATCAACGCAGTTATTTTGAAACGCGGGCGCAAGGAGGGCAAGTACAATGGCGGACTTGTAAGCACTAGACTTGCCTGTTAACGTGTATGCCAGCTTGCTAATTAACCCCGTGTAGTGTGACATTGTCGGCACTGGTGGTGACTCTCACAACACATTCAACATTAGCACAACGGCCTCCATAATAGCATCGGCCTTGCTCCTCGTCTCCAAGCACGGCAACAAGGCCAGCACCTCTAAATCGGGCAGCGCCGACCTGATTGCCAATATGCAGCCCCGGCCCCCTGTCGTCGCCGCCGTCACGCCCGCGAACCTCGCCAAGATCTACGCGGCCACAAACTACAGCTTCCTCTTCGCGCCCCTCTTCCACACCGGCATGCGCTTCGTCGCGCCCATCCGCAAACAGCTGCCCTGGCGCACCATCTTCAACAATGTCGGCCCGCTCGCCAACCCTGTCGAGGCCGTCCTCGAGTGCCGCGTGATTGGCGTTGGTCGCAAGGATCTCGGGCCTGCCTTTGCCGAGGCCCTGCGATCCGTCGGCTGCCGCAAGGCCATGATTGTCTGCGGCGACGAGGACCTCGACGAGCTCAGCTGCGCCGGCCCGTCGCACTGCTGGATGCTCAAGGAGAAGACGCCTGGCGGCGAGACGTACACCGACTACTTCACAGTCGAGCCCAGCGATTTCGGTGTCTCGACGCACGGCCTGAATGAGGTGTCTTCTGGCAAGGAGCCGAAAGAGAATGCGGCGATTCTGCAGCGCATCCTGCATGGGGAGCTCCAGGATGATGACCCGCTCGTCGAGTTTGTCCTCATCAATGTTGCGGCCCTCTTTGTCGTCTCGGGCATCTGCGAGGCGGAATCGAGCAACATGGGCACAGGCGATGATGGCAAGGTGATTATAGAGCGCGGTCCTGGTGGACAGCGCTGGAAGGAGGGTGTGCGGCGCGCCAAGTGGGCGATTCGCAGCGGCGAGGCTTGGAAGCAGTGGTCGGCCTTTGTCGACATCACCAATGAGTTGGGTGCGTAGACACGACAAGGCGTGGAACATGCGGAGAATTGGTAAATTTATAGTCATTTCTTGGCATACGCTGTTTCAGGGAAAAGTAAAGCAAATATGACTTCAACCATTGTACATTCCCGTCCGCCGCTCAACTTTCCGTCGGTCCTCTAGCCCTAATAGGTAGACTTTCTTCTCGTAGTTGGGCTCAAATCTTGCGGATGCGAAACCCCCAAAATACCCTTGTTACATATTCCCGCTGAGGGATCATGGTGGCATTTTCCTTGCCGTGACGAGTCACTGCGTTGTTGTCTGCAGCCGGGTTGAGGCGTCGGCGGCGTGCTCTGGCTTCGTGTGTGGCGTCGAAAGTCGCGCAATTGATAGCTCTCGAGTGATTTGTCGGCATCTTCATAATGTGGCGGGCACAGGTGTTGTTGGCTTTGCTGGTGCATTCTGCGCATGTGCTCAATCCATGCTTGGTAGTGCACTTCGATGGGAACATGCTCGGACGTGTATGGTTGCACGGCGTTTTTCCGTCTATAGCGGCGAAAGTATACGATGACAGCGACCAAGAAGGGGATGGATATTGAGAGAGGAATCACAATGATCCAAATCGTCTTTTCGCTGCCCTGAAGCTCTTGCGTCTGAGTGTCCGAAGGCAGGATGGTCGGTACCATTCTCAAGGTATTGGTGACGTAGAGGGAAGAGAAGATGTAATGGAAGCACACTGTTGGCAACAACAGGAACAAGATCCGAAGACAACATGGGGAGTTCAATTTCTATTTACCTGAGCCAATAGTTAAGTTACCAAGGCTGTTGGCATATAAGGCTGAAAAGCTGAACCCCCACAACCCTTTTCATGTGGCTAGACGGTAAACACGCCGCTTCTTTAATGACTGGTGGCCATGGCGTCACGGGCATTCCGCAGGCTCTCTCTGCTTTTTTATGTTTTCTGCCCGTCGGTGATTGGATCTCTGATTGCCGGCCTTGCGGCAGGCGGCGCCCAGCCGGGCGGGCGTGCATGGGGCGATGTGGTGAAAGCAGTCACAAAAACGAGCAAACAGACCAGGATCAGGCGCATTCTAGAAGTATCTCGGCGTGATTCTAGCGTGCCTGGTAGCTGCATCGTGAAGGCCCGTATATCAGGACGTCGATTGACAGGTCTCGCCCGTGTAAGTCTTTGCACTGCCCGTCTGGCGTCATTGGCTGCCAGTCGGCTGGGAAGCATCACGGCATGGATCGTACAGGTCATGGCCTTGCATGATTCCGTGTCGCGTGTCATGCCACGTACAGTTGAATTGTTTCGTATTTTCCGACCTGGGTAAAGTGCTGATTCGGCGACGCAGAATAAAGCCAGACACATACGAATTATCACAGTTATGCATTTGCGTAGATGTGTTTTGCAGTGCTTGTTGGCCTCTAGGAGGTGCACTCCGATACTCCGAGGAGAAACGAAGCAGCGTGCTGTAGTTCCGGCTACAGTGGACAAATCAGCGGCCGCCTCAGGACAGTGGGAGGATGCAGCTCGGAGGGAACGCCGGACACGGCCTAAAGCCAGATCAATGTCGGTGAAGCTACAGCGCTCTTAGCGTCTGTAACCTGTCCGACGGCTGCTTCAATGAGCCCCGAGAGCACCGCTTTGCCCGCCGCAACGACCCGCCCGCCTTACGGTACTTACTTGATCTACTTGATCTGTCCCATGCCGCGGCTCGCTGCAGTAGCCTCTCCTCTTTACATAAACCATTGTTTCCATTCATCGCAACTTGGCGGCAGCGGACCAAGCGTGCAGCGTTCCTTTCCGGGCTTGATTCATCGCTTGCTTTTTTCTTTCGTTGGTGCAATCGGAAAACATGGCTAGTGCTCGGAGAATGGCCGTGGCCATCAATGGCTCCTGGCGGTCCCTGGTGCTACCACATTCAATGAGCACACGACGCTGGAATTCGACGTCTGCCGTCGAGACCCCGCTGCCTCTGGAGGGATACCGCGTGCTAGACATGACGCGAGTCCTTGCCGGTGTAAGCTTTTTTTTTTTTGTCCGTGGGAGATACTGACCAATGGGTAGCCTTATTGTACACAAATTTTAGGTGATCTTGGGTACATCTTACAGACCTCCTCTGACGGCTTCGACATGACCACCTCACTAATTTCTGGGCCAGTGCCGAAGTCATCAAGATTGAGCACCCTGTACGCGGTGACGACACACGAGCTTGGGGTCCTCCATACGCAAAGTACACGCAAGAGTCTGGCAAGTCGGGCCCCGGCGAAGCCGCGTATTTCCTCGGAGTAGGTTGCACGCAGCACTCAGCAGCCATCAGACATCCACTTACACCCAATAGGCAAACCGCAATAAAAAGTCAATTGGCCTGTCATTCCAACACAAGGATGGAGTGGACATTCTGCATAAGCTCGTGGCAAAGTGTGACATTCTAGTGGAAAACTACCTCCCGGGCACTCTGAAGAAGTACGGCATGGACTATGAGACTCTTCGCAAGATCAACCCCAGCCTCATCTATACGTCCATTACCGGTTACGGCCAGACCGGCCCCTATTCCAGCCGCGCCGGATACGACGTCATGGTCGAGGCTGAGTTCGGTCTCATGCACATTACTGGTGCTCGCGACGGCCCTCCTGTCAAAGTCGGCGTCGCCGTCACTGACTTGACCACAGGTCTGTATGCCAGCAACAGCATCATGGCGGCTTTACTAGGAAGAGGCAAGAGCGGCAAGGGCCAGCACATCGATGTCGCTCTGAGTGACTGCCAAACAGCCACCCTCGCAAATATTGCCAGCAGCTGCCTCGTTAGCGGCAAGAGAGACACCGGTCGGTGGGGGACCGCGCACCGTACGTTGAACCGCAAACAACATGTCATCTCAAGGCCCACACACTAACATCCATCCAGCTTCCATTGTCCCTTACAAATCCTTCAAGACCAAGGATGGCGACATTCTCTTCGGCGGCGGCAACGACCGCCTCTTTGGCATCCTTGCCGACGGTCTCGGCATGCCCCAGTGGAAGGACGACGCCAAGTACAAGACCAACGCCGACCGCGTCGCCAACCGCGTCGAGCTCGAGGACAAGATCGAGGCCCTCTCGCAGCAAAAGACGACGCACGAGTGGCTCGCCGTCTTTGAGGGCCGGGGCATGCCCTACGCCGCCGTCAATGACGTCCAGGACACGCTCAACCTCGAGCATACCAAGGCCCGCAACATGGTGGTCGAGGTTCAACACGGCGACTGCGGCCTGATTAAGCTGGTCAACTCGCCCGTCAAGTTTTCCGAGACCCAGCCCGGGGTGCGGACGCCGCCGCCCACGCTCGGCCAGCACACCGACGAACTGCTGTCGGAGCACCTCGGCATGAGCGAGGCCGAGATTACTGCGCTGAAGGAGCAAGGTGTAATCGGTTGAGTAAAAATTGCTATGTAGAGGCCTTGTCAATAAAACAAATCATTACTCACCCAACTGAAAGAATTTATGTCGTCAGATGCAATTTGTTCGAGGAGAGTCACGTGATTCAATTGCCATCTCGAAGCCTTGTGGAGGGAGGCAAACTCAATCCTACAATCGCACGCCAGCCGAAGCCATCTAAAACAGGGAAGCTTGGCGGTAGATTTCACTCGAGACTTGAAAAAAAAAGTCGGGGTTAAATTTGCGATGCGCCTCGTCACTAGACCCGGCGGATAACGCGTGGCTACCCGTGTCAGTTTTTGGTCATCTATCCGTACCATCGAGGTCTCATAGTTGCAACATGCGAGGTAGAGCTCTTACGAAGGTCACGAGCGTCCTGTTATCTCGAGGCTCATACGACGCCATGGACACCGATAGCGCAAATCCAGAGCGCAATGCGCTTTTTGTTCATCCCTTTGTGTCGGAGCCCGGTGCACAGAATCAATGCGCATTGCCGCCACATTTTCGCCTACATCAGTTCAGTCAAGCTTCTTCGCTGATACTAAGCCGCATCAACGGCAAACACGCCATACACGGAACTGGCGTAGGTAGTCCATCAGATACGGGAATATCAGACGGTGCCTCCAACGAAGAGCTCACGCTGCTACTGCCTAGAGACTTTTCACCGTCTACAGCGACTAAAGTGGAATACGTGCATGACACCGACGATAGCTTTGAGACAGAAGGTGTCGATTTTTCCCAAGAGTCAATCCCATTTCGGCCGCCCTACGAATCAACAAAAGAATACGACGTCGTCACGAATGCGCCACCAGAACCCACCAGGGAAGAGGCCATCGAGGCGCAAAGACAAGTGTGGCTAGATGCACTTCCCGGAGGCGTGATGCCCGCCAAGCCGGCGTTGGTTGGATTCACCGCCGGCGTGGAAGCGTCTGCGTCTGCGCTGACGAGCTACTTTTCCAGCAAACCCAAGACAGACCTCCTGAACATACTCTCCTTTTGCGACCAGCTCGAGCCCCAGCTACTCGTCGACCTGTCTGTGGCTGTGGCAAGGCGGCACCCCGGCCTGCCGCTCTTTGACGCCCCTGACTGGGAGACCAAGGTCTGCGAGCAAGAGGCGGCGAGGGTGGCAGCGCTCGCGGCGCGAGCGAGGACGCACCAACGACCGCGCCACGGACACACGCTGCTTAACCCTCGCATGAGACAGAGGCACAAGGGCGTTCGCAAGGTTGTCAAGATCACCACGGCCGCCACGACGGAAACCCCTGCGAAGACAGTGCTGGTGGTGCAGGATGAGGTGAGCGAGGAAGAGGAGCTTCTGCCTCCAACGTGGCGCAAGGCGGGAGAGGGCTTGTACGCAACGCTACCGCCGGAGGACCAAGACACGATGTACCTGGCCGATGAGGGCGATAATGAAGCGTTCAATCATTTCATGGTGGACGGGCATGGAAATTTGACGGCATTTTTAGCTTGTGGTTGAAGCATGAGTACAGATACTCTATATTATTTCTCGATACCCCCTAGAGTCAACCAACATTCGATTTACGGTTTCATCCATCTCATGGCTTGGAGTGTCTATATCACGACTGACAATGTAGCAGCGCAACGAAATCGACATACAAGTGTCTATTGCATTATTGGCTGATGAAGATATATCCTACTGGAATGAAACAAAGCGACGTTGGAATTGCATAAACAAGGCCCCTCCTTTTTAGAGAAATGGAAAGAAAGAAGAAGGTAAAAATTATCGAATCCTTATCGCCAATGCCTAACTACTACGCGCAATGAATAACAAACCCCCTTCTAAAAACTATTGGCAAAAAAACTATTTGCAGTGGCAGTCAAAGTCAGTCAGGGCCGACTTGACGACGTTGCCGACGATGCAGAGCAGGGCCTCGACTGCGACGGACACGAGCACCTTGGCCTTGGTGGCGAAAAGGATAGTCGACGGCAGGATAAGGACACCGTCGGCGAGCGCCGTGATTTGCGCGCCTACATGCGCCCCGACGTCAATATGGTTGGCGCAGCCGGGCTGGCTAAAGGAGACGCAGTCGCGCGCGCACGAACCGAGGCCGAGCTTGCAGAGCGCGACCTGCGTCTTGGTAGGCGCGGCGTCGACCGCCGTGTCGACCAACACGCCGAGGCCGTACACCTTTGTGTTGAACAGCGCGACGGCGTCGGTCGCCTTCTTCAGGTACAGGCCGCGCAGACCGGCGAACACTGCCTTGAGATCGGCGGAAACGTTGCCGGCCATCTCGGCGCCGGCCAGCGCGTCCACCTCCTTGCCGATGGACGCCGCGGCGATGAAGACGAGCGTCTCGAGGCTGACCTGGCAGTACGCGTGCGCGGCGTCGTAGCGCACCAGCTCCGTCGCCGACGCCGCGCAGTACACGCCGAGGTCGAGGTGCACCGATGCGACGGCGTCGAGGCTCGGCGCGGGCCAGGCGCCGGTGAGCGGCGTGCCGGCGCAGGCGGACGTGGTGGCGGACCAGGTCTGGCCCGGCGCGCAGCCGCAGGACTTGATCCACGGGCTGTACGCCATGGTCGGCGGGCAGGAGAAGCCGGACACGGCGGCGGCGAGGGACGCCTGTACGTCGGCGGAGAGGGCGAGGGCCGTCGTGCTGGTGCCGTTGGTGCGGACGGTGGCGATGGCCATGGTGGAGGGTGACTTGGCGCCCAAGCCGACTTGGGCTTTGATTTCGGCAGCAATCTTGGCGTCGACATCGATCTTTGCCTGGGCGTCGGCATCGGCGCCGACCTTGGCATCGGCGTTGACCTTGGCATCGGCGTTGACCTTGGCATCGGCATTGATCTTTGCGTCTACATCAGACTTGATGTCGGCATTGATCTTTGTATCGGCATTGACATTGGCGTCAACCTTGGCATCAGCGCCGACATTCGCCTTGACATCGATATCAGCACTGGCCTTGACATCGGCGTCAACCTTGGCATCAGCGCCGACATTCGCCTTGACATCGATATTAGCACTGGCCTTGACATCGGCGTCAACCTTGGCATCAGCGCCGACATTCGCCTTGACATCGGTATCAGCACTGGCCTTGACATCGGCCTTAATCCCAGCATCAGCCTTAATATCGGCGTCGACCTTAGCACCAACATCGACCTTCGCATTAGCATCGATATCACCACCAACCTTGACATAGGCGTCAAGGTTGGCGTCAACGTCGGCATTGACCTTGGCGTCAACATCAGCCTTGATATTGGCATTGATCTTTGTATTGTCATTAATACCAGCGTTGACCTTAGCATCGATATCGATATTAGCATCAGCCTTAGCATCCGCGTTAATACCAGCGTTAACCTTGGCATCAACATCGACCTTTGCCTTGGCATCAACAGCCGCGCCAACCTTCGCGTCGACAGTGGCCGCGGCTGTGGCGTTTGCATCAATAGTGGCTGTGGCTGTGGCATCGACATCGACCTTTGCCGTAGCATCAACATCGACCTTGGCCTTGGCATCAACATCGACCTTTGCCTTGGCATCAACAGCCGCGCCAACCTTCGCGTCGATAGTGGCCGCGGCTGTGGCGTTTGCATCAACAGTGGCTGTGGCTGTGGCATCGACAGTGGCCGCGGCGTCGACGGTAGCAGAAGCGTCAATCTTGGCATCAACATCAGCAGCGGAGCTGCCGTTGGCGTCAGCGGCCGTGGCCGAGACAGCGGCCGCGAGGCCTAGCACAGCAAGGGAAAAGCGCATGTTGATCGTTGTGTGTGTGTGTGGACGGAGGGGGGTATGAAAGGAAGATACCGTACTTAATGGAATAAGCGAGAGGACCGATCGAGAC